TAAATTGCCTCTTGGTCGATGCGTGCCGAAGCGCGTCCCGGCCATGTGATTGGCTCAGCCCGCGCGGGCCGGCGCCCATGGTCCTGGGCGGTCGACTGCAACCCACCCAAAGAGCACCAGGGGGGAGGGGAGGGGAGGGGAGGGGGACTTGCTCTCTCGTAGTCTGATACCTGGCCATGGAGCTGTTTGCACGGCACATCCGCTCGTACCCTGTTATCTTCGTCATGGCCCCCAAGGGTTCCCCGCCGTGGCGGGATGCCGGGGGTTGTCGCAGCGGCCTTGGATGCTGTCATAGGCCGGCGCAACGGCCCTGGTCCTTGGTCCTCTCTCTCTTCTCTTTCCCTCTCTCTCATGAACGAGCGCGCGAGAGAGAGAGACAGAGAGACAAGCGTTATGCAAGCCTTTGGGTACAGTGTGCGCGCACACGCCCCAAGTCTGGGGCGACTCGCGACGCGAGGCCCTTGAGCTCTGCGCTGAGCTCTGCACTGCACTGCACTGCACTGCACTACACTGCACTACACTGCAGCTCTGCTCCTCCCTCGCGTGCTCTTTGTTTGGCCCTGCGAGCAAGCAAGGAGCAGCGCCCGACGGGAGCGACCTTGCTTCGACGGCTGCTCCTACATGGCGCTACGGTACGCCTTGACAACCCGTCGAGCACTCCGTGCGGTAGTATGGGTAGGTACTCTGTACGGTAGGTAGGTAATATACAGGCCATTGCTGTGCAGGCACCAGCTCCTGTCGCAGGCACGGATGGGGGATTCATCACTGCCGCTGGGCACGGCCGGGACGTCTTACCAACAACAGGTGCATCGCGCCGCTGCCTGTCTCCTCCTCTCGGTACAGATGCCCTCGGTACTGTATCTGGCAGCTGCTGCTGCACACATGGCTCGTCGTGCAAACCAATGACCGATCCGGCCGTGGGCAAGCCAACGTCACACCCGCTGTGCTCAGGCCAGTGCTGCTCCGTCCGTGATGGGCGCAACGCCATGATTCCCACGTCGCCCAAACTGCCTCGGCGAAACGCATCCGTACTGCTCTGCCATGACGGCTGCTCTGCTTGGCACGGCTCGTCTCCTGGGACCAACACTCGCCCGACAGCGGCCCGCCGACAAGAGGCCCTTCCTCCAGCCCCTTGCTGCTGCTCCGGCTGCACAGAGGAAGACGGTCGTGGCGTTTAGCCGACATGAACGAACGTGCAGTGCAGGCCCGTACCACGTCAGGCCAATGTCCCAGCCACAAATACCACCTACGGAGCAAGACGGAACCGGACATGCGGTGTTGGAGCGATGGGGGGATATATATATATACATACATATATATATATATATGTACAGTAGTATATACAGTAGTAGGCTTTGAACGACCTGCCTGCCTGCCTGCCTGCCTGCCTGGCCTACCAACGTCGCTTGGCGCTGAATCTCGGTGGCAGCTTTCACGGCACGGCACGGTACTGTACGGGGACGTACGGATCGGATACACTCGCTCGTGCTGACTGGAAGCAAGCCTTGGTTCGACGGCATCCAATCGAATTGACAAAAGAGGACGAATGTGAGACGGACCCTGCGCTGGCTCCCCGACTGTGGTGGCCGAGAGGTAACTTGTTACATAGAGTACCTCTACAGTATAACAGATGCGTATAACAGATGCCATGACATGTCATTGCGCCCGGCCATGTGCCGCATCACGGCCTTTCAGTTCGTACCAGCGCTTGCGGCAGCAGCAGCACCACCAGCGGCAAGGCAGATAGATAATTTACTTACTACCTGTAGTAGATACTACTTCGTACTAGAAAAAGGCGGATTCACCCATCTTGGCCTGGCCGGACAACATGGGACGAGCACATAAACATGCATAGTGCACGCATTTCCACTGTATGTGCAAGGCCCACGCACCCTGCCTCATCGGTCGCGGCGAATCGGTACCGACACTGTAGTGGATGAGGTACAGTACCACAGTGCCGCCTCTCCCCTTGCGGAGCACACGCGGCGAAGCCTCAGCGGCGCGGTACAGTGGGGGCTCCAAGAGGATACCTCGCGCGTGACGATGCTCCGGCCAGCGCGCGTGTATCGCAGCCAAGGTACCTACCTAATGAACAATTTAAAGTACCTGCCGGCACAAAACGCGGGCACAGGCACCACCACCAAACACGCGCTCGCGCATCTGGCATGTACTGTATGTATGCTCTATGTACACACACATGCACACTCACTCGCACTCACACACTCACACACACACCAAGCACGCGCAAGAGAACCACAACCTTGGGGCAGGAAATAAAAAGTAGCCTGGCCGGCAAGACAGAGGCCGCATCTCTGCCAATAATAAAAACAAATAACATTTCGAGGGCGACGATGGCCTCGCGATGCAGCCAGAGAGACTGGATGGAGACCAACGACGGCGAGGATAACACCCACGGGCTTTGCATGCACAGCCGTACGGTAGTACTGTAGAGGCCCTACCTACCTAGTTACCTACCTTACCTACCTACCTGCCTTACTCCGTACATGCAAAATTGTACACGCCTGGTCCCCGAGCAACGTCATGACCGCAAACTTTGTCTCCCGTCCCTCCTTGTCCTGAACCCCGAGAGAAAGAAAAAAAAATTAACAGCCTGAGACAGGCACAGAAAGGGAAAAGGCATCGCGAAGACAGCAATCGTGCAAAGGCACATCTCGACATCCGGTTTTCCTTCGTCGCGCGCGCCACCCCCCCCCATCTGCAGTTACCCATCTTCCTCCGCCCCAAGTCGTACCACGGTATGGGCCCCTGCTGCCTCGAAAATTGCAGCCGAGAGGAACAAAGCAAAAAAGCTAACCTCTGCAGGTCACCATCATCATCCCCAGGTCCAATTCACCGGCCTCGATCCACGCCGCCTCCGCTTCGTCTCTCGAGCATCCAAGGGCCTCGCTCGACGAGCCAAACCGCTACGCCAGTTCGTGGCCCCGTCGTCAAGAGTCGTCGCCGACCAACGACTGCCAAAGCTTCGACGCTGGCCATTTGCATACTGGTGGGTTCCCTGGCTAGCCCTGGTACCTGTCATGCGTGCATCACCACGACGAACCCCCGTCCTTGCACAACAGCGTAGACACCGCTCTCCACCACCTTCATTCTCACGCCCCCCCACTGTGGGCACGCACGCGGCGGCCGTCGTCGTGGCTCGCTCGTCTGGGGGCCACCAACCACTGTCCTCGCACCCCTCCCCCGGTCTACCTCTCTCTCTGGTTCGACCTTTACCCCCCCCCCCCTCCTCCCCAGCACGAGTAGCGCAGCCCACAGTAAGGCGACGCGGTACGGATGCACAAGTCACTGGCTGGTGCTGGTGCAAAGCAAGGCAAATGGCCGCCGCCCAGGCCAAAGCAAGGCTCCTCCCGACCAGCAGCAGCAGCAGCCAGCCAGCGTCCCGACCAGGGACGGGTACCTCTCACACACATGCTCAATGCATGGTCGTCGGCTGGTTAAAACTACCATGCATCTCCTCGCCTCTCTCAGCTCGCCTTTTTATCCCACCGCCCTCCTCCTCCTTCTCATCCGCTCTCCCTTTCTCTCTCTCTTTCTCCCCCTTCCTCTCCTTCCATCCACTCATTCCCTCAGTCATTCCGTCTCGTCCTGACCCACGTTGGCTGTAGGTCGGATTGGCAATTAGACTGGGGAGAATCCCGTCCGTCACTCGACGGCTCCCGGACCGAAGCCACGCCTCCCTTACCGCTCCCGAGGACCATAGGCCACCAAGAAGCCCCGAGACCGAGGACTGAGAAAAGGTGCGAATCAAAAGTAAAATCGGGAGGTGCTCGGTGCTATTTCACCTTTTCCACTCCCGTCTCGTCGTGTCTTGTCGATTCCCCCCCTTGCCGAGTTGGAGCTCCAAATTCCTCGGCGCCGAACCGAGGAATTCCAATTCAATCCTCCACGAGCCCACCCGCTCCCCCCTCGTCAACGCGGCGAGACCACCACGCGGCTCCCCGCTTCCCAAGGCCGGCGGCTCAATCGGTGTCGAGGTGGCGCTAACCATCCCGCTGGATAGACTCAGGCACCGACTGCAGAATCTCGACGGATCCTGCACCAGCCCGCCCAGTAAAATCCGACTTTTCGACTCCCGTCCACCAATCCGCCTTGTCTGCCGCAATAGACGAGGCAGTCGATGCCATCTTGATTGGCCAGCGTCTCCAGCGTCGCGTCTCGACGGCACTTTGCATTCTCCATCGCGCCAAGTTGCGGCATACGGCAATTCGCAACGCTCAGTAGATAGGTATGTTTCGTGCACCTCATCCCGAGATTAGGCTTCGGCGGCATCTAATCTTTCTCGCTGCTCCCTCTTCAGCTGCATGCCGAGCTACTCGCTGCATATCTCAGCCTTCTCCACAGTCGCGTTCGACTTCGATCCTCTTACTCTGCCGGAGACGTTAACTCGTTGATCCGGCCAATCAGAGGGCCCCTCTCGTCCCTTTTCCGCCCCGTGTCGAGGTAAGCCTTTTTCTCCCCTTGCCCTCGCCAATCCACCGCATTCCTCGTGCCAAAGCCAATCCCCTACTCTCCAAGGGCGCCGCCGCACTACTCGCAACGTCCCCCGGCCGGCTGCTGACGGTGGTGTGAGACTCGATCTGCAACGGGTCCCCCATGCTAACGGGTCGCTTTTTATTGCATTTAGATATCCAATAGTGGTCGACGACGTCTTTAAACAGGCCCCTTTCCGATCCCTTTCTCTGCCAACTTCGAGTCCATGGTTCTGGCTCCGTTCCCAGCCACATTCACTCTTTTCCATTAGTTCTTCGTCGCGCTCTTTAATTTCCTAATACCCTTAATTCCTTTTTGGGTACGGCACACTCCTTGCACCGCGCCCGAGTCCATTCACTATCGAAACCGTCTCCGACTACAAGATTCCTGGGGAACTTAGCATTCACTCCTTGACCTCGACGACGCCACTCACCCGAGTCTATAAACTCGACGCCTTTCCGCCGAACCTTGACTCAGCCCCCGTCGTCATCCGTCCGGCTCACTTAACCATGGAGTTTTCCCACGCCGACGAGACCTTCCTCGAGTCCGACGACCCTTATCAGCCCGGCCTCGACGTTCGCACCGCCGCCAAGATGGTGGCTCGCCAGAGACAAGACGTCATTGCCGGCGAGCTCTCGCGCTTGGCTGCCGAAGAATATCTTGAAGACGTATTGAAGCACATGCAGACCATGGAGGTATGTTTCGAGGCTCTGCTCCTCATTGGGGACTCCGCTGACCGAGCTCCTTTGGCTACAGGACGAGACTCTTGCCGACGCCGCCCTCATCGACATGCAGCGCGAGATTCAGTGGTACATGAGGCCCTATCTCATCGACTTCCTCGTCGAGGCACACGCCGCCTTTGTCCTCCTTCCCGAAACGCTCTTCCTCACCGTCAACCTGCTGGACCGGTACTGCTCTAGAAGAGTGGTTTACAAGCACCACTACCAACTGGTCGGCTGCGCCGCCCTGTTAATAGCAGCCAAGTACGGCGACAAGAAGGACCGGGTTCCTCAAATCTCCGAGCTCAGTAACATGTGCTGCGGCCTGTACGACGCCGGCATGTTCACGCAGATGGAGATGCACGTCCTCAACACGCTCGAGTGGACCATCGGCCACCCAACCGTCGACTTCTTCTCGCAACTGCTGGTGGCGTACGAGCGTGACGACAAAGAGGTGGACTGCATGTCGTCGTACCTGTGCGAGATGGCCCTCTACCACCGGGATTTCGTCTCGACCAAGCCTTCGACCCTCGCACGCGCCTCCCTGGCCGTGGCTCGAGCCGTCCTGGGCCGACCCGACGTCGCCGACCGAGAGCTTGATCAGGAGGAGAGCGCCGTGGCCGAGGCCCTGTCGCATCACCTTGACCAACCGTCGCCGACGCTGGCCCGGAAGTACTCGTCGCCAGGCACATACCGAGTCTCACACCGGCTCGCCGAGTTTGCCGCAGCACGGGCCGCCGCCATGGCCCAGGCTCAGCAGCGCTGCGCCATTCCGCCTTCGCCGCCCGCCGAGATGACGACGAAGCACGGTGACATCTACAGCACGCCTCAAAAGGGACACATGGCCCCAGGCAACTTTGACGGCTACCTCACCCCTCCCATCACTCCCGACGGCGCCTGCTTTGCCGGCAACATGCCCAGAGACTCGTATCCTCTACCACCTCGGTGCCCCGTCACACCCACGCCGCAACAGCAGCAGCACGCCTCGAGCTATACACAGCACGGCCGCACCGTCGGTGTGCCGAACCAGCAGGGGGTCTACCAGCAATAGGGTAGCTGGTGGCAGCCTCAGCAGTCTTCGGCCCCGGGCTGGCGGCCGGCTCAGATGGTTCCTGACGCCAGCCTCATCACCGTCTGGGGGTGGGCACAGCGCCATTCGTGGCAGCCGATCAACGACGAGGTATCAGGCGTGCGATTGCTGGACGCCGCCCGCCAACGCAGGGCCCAGGCACTCGAGGTTGATCGCGCCATTGGCGCCATGCAAAACGCTTGCATTTCTCTACGTTTCAGCATTTAGCGAATTGCTCTTGTTTCTTTTGCCAGTTGCGAATCCGAAACCCATTCCCAGCAAGTCTTGCGGCACCAAAAAAAAGGGCACCCCGATGATCATACCCGACTCGATTCTTCTCTTCTAGTTTTCAAATTTTTTCTTTACATGTTTTTTTGCATTCACCGCTTGGGGATACCACCGGGCCTTGGCCCGATGCGCCGTTGGCGTCGACAGGACGAGGCTAGGGATGACGCACCTCGATAGTGTGCTGTCAACTCGACAAAGGGATGTCAGCCCGATGGAAGGGAAGCTTGGTTTGTCACAAAAAAAATCAGGGAAGCTCGAGAATGCACAGTGGTCATTATCCGACAGGAAATGGATCCAAGAAGGGGGGCGGTAGAGTGCAAGGTAGCCTCGGGCGCCCGTGCGTGTCCGACAGGGCGGCGTGGTGTCGAGGGTCCGGCATAGACGGGTGGACTCTACAGAGGCATGTGTCGATGGAAAGAGGCACAAATCGTCGAGAGCCGTGACGGGCAACATCTGGGCCTCGCATAGCACAAAGATAGCACAGCGCAGCTGTAGCATGAATCAAGGAAACACAAGAAACCTCGCATCCGTGTCCCTATTGAGTGATTGATGAACGAACACGGGACTATTGTCGATTATTGTCCTGACTGCCGAGGAAAAGGAGAGGGACCAAGTCCCCGCAAGAGGCCGGGGGGGGTGGACAATTGCCCAAGTGGGCATTTGCGCCTACGTCTATAATGTTTGATTGGCCTTGAGAGTGCGAAACAATAAATTACACTCCTACCTACAATACGTATGTATGTACAGAGAAGTGCATTGCGCATGGTATGTGCATTCGTCTTGGACGCATGACGTAGGGCGCAGTGTACCAAACTAATTACGGTACCTCCTCACCTGAGTAGCAAGGCCCCCGCCCGGCCTGTATCCGTTCCTCGGGTCGGCATGTAAGGTTATCGGCGGTTAAAGTCACATGAGTCGAGCAGGCGGTGGTGGATATGTGACGGGGCATGGAGAGTAGTTTAAATTGATTGCTTGATGAGATGCTATTGAGTCAATGCATATTATTAATTAACGTAGTTGCAGCTTCGGGCAGGTTGCGCGCAAGGGGCCATCATTGGCCGGTCTTCCTAGGGGCTCATTGGCGGGCAAGGGGAAAAGGGGCCCCTTGCCGGTGGACGCACGACTGGTATGCCGACGTAGTGTGCAGCAAGGGGATGGTTTCTTCTTTGTATCCGTATTTGTCTGTCGATTGTGTGGGCAGAGAATGGCAGATGCTAGTACGGAGTATTACGTACTGTAATTACGGAGCAGCTAATTAATTAATTAGAGCAGGACCGATTGGTGTGTCGTGCCGAGCTGCTGACGCAAGTACCGAGTACGGGGCGCCGGGCCGGTCTCGGGGGAACTCCACACGTGACTAGTGCATTCCTTCCCCCTCTTTCTCGCTTTGTCTTCGTCTTCTTGTCACCACATCCATATCCACCTCCACATCCCACTCGATCCACGAGCGCCGAGGAAGACGGGATGAAAGAAAAAGGGGAGGCGGTGGAGAAAAGGCAAAGCGAACTCTGCGTGGCATGATGGGCCTGGCGTGGCAGGTATGTGCGTGTGAGTCTCTTTGGCCGACACGAGATGCTTTGGCTTGGCTTGCATCTATCGCATCGTCAGGTATGCTCAGGCGACGAGCGACACTGTCAGGAGGAGGACTATGCTTCGCCCTTGGACACAGGTAACCAACCCCTCGGACGATTGGCGACAATGGCCTGCCAAACCACCATCGCACTCAAGCGAGGGAGGGACCTTCTCTATGTCGAGGGAGAAGGAAGGGTCTCCTAGACACGATGACCTACCCTGTACCAGCGCTATTGAAAGATGGCCAACGTCATCCGTCGTCGTCGCTGCCCAACAAACGTGCGGTCCCGAGACACGTCTCCTCTTTTGATCTGTCTCTTCGCCCTGTCGAGATCGCCGGCTTTGTTTCTCTATGCCTCTCCCCCCTGCACGCCCCTGTACGGCTGCCGAGAGCTGGAATGCCGGGGCCCGGAACAAGGCCTTCGTATGCATAATGGGTGAATGACGCCTTCACCGGTTTTGCTCGCTCGCTTGCTGGCACGGGCTTCGTCTTCTTCGGCAACGCATACAAAGGTCTCGTCTTTGTGCAACCGCGCCGTTCCCGTCCCGCTATTGAATCAGCTCGCGAGCCCCTGTCCCACGTGCGTCACAGCTGTGTCTGCTGCACCAGGAACAAACGACAATTTCCTTGACATTCGAGCTCTAAATCGACATCTTCTGCCCTACCACGACGGCGATGATCCCTTTCCCTCTCTCCATATTTCCCTCGTCCCATGGCAAACGACGTCGCCGAGCGCAAACACCCAAACGACTCGTCCCCGGACATGCCAACCCAGCACATGGCCACGCATCCCTCGAGTCCGGCGTCATCCTCGTCCCGCAGCGCCACGATGCTCTGCCCGCCGCCAAAGGGCTTGATCGCCAGCGCAGGGCTATGGCTCTGTGAGTGCTCTCGAACCCAGCCAAGGCGCACCTCTAACCTCTCCTCCCTGAAAAGCCAACGTACGGGACCACTTTGAGGTGCACTGCGCAGACTTGCCACCCGAGGCGCGCCGCACCCGCTTCCTCGGCGGCGGCTGGCCTCTGTTCCGCACCCTCGAGGCTCATGTGCGTGACCGCGTCCTCGACGACTACTTGCGCAAGCACTGCAAGTGCCGCCGATGGCTCTACCTCGTCTTTGCTTCCCGCCACCCATACCTCGCAGACATGGGACGCCTTGTCCGTCAACTGTCCAGACCTAGATCTGCATCGCGACCCCTGGGTCATGTGCCAGGCCCGTCCACGAAACCCCAGGCTTTACACCCCAGCGGAACCTTGAGCACCTCGAACATTCAGAATCCTTCCCGGGCACACGACCTGGACGACAAGACTAGCGTCAACCCATCATCCCCTGCCCAGGTACGAGCCCGGATGGCACGAATCAGCATGGAGTCGATCCGCAGGTACTTGCTCGCCCCGGACGTCCGCGAGCGCCCCCGCTCCGACCCAATGGGCCCGCTGAGCGGGCAAGACCTCTCGACGTTGGAGGATCTGCTGAAGATTGCGGACGCGTTGGCCATGTCCGACCGCAGCAACAGGGATGCCGTTACCGCCTCCTTGGCGGGGCGGGACTGGATCGAGCTCGAGCTGGAGATGGACGACGTGTGGTCTGTGGACGACGGAACGGGAGGGGGGCGAGCAGGGGAGGAGTCGACGGTGAGGCCGGTTTTGCAGGAGCTGTACCCGGGGCCGAGCATGCGCCGGGACATGCCCGAGGACCAGCAGCAGCCAAGCGCCGGCTCATGCGAAAAGGACCACCCCAAGTCTCTGCACGAGTGTGACCCGCAAGTTTGGCGAGCTGAAGCCGAGAACCGCGCTTTGCATGCACATCATCAACTTGCCGCACCGCACCGGCACAGCGCACCGCCAAGCACCACCCGGACCCCCGAGTCCCGGCTCATGGACAGGCCGCAGGCCAAGACCACGGGCAAGCGGCGCCGTGGAAGTGGTAGGTGCCCTCCTCCTCCCCATTGTCTCTCGGGCAGCGCAAAAGCTCCCAGCCAAGTCCCCCTCCCATCGCTGACCATACGCGGCAGATCAGACATCGGACCGGCCCGGCAAACGGCGCCGAACGACAGAACGCCACTCCTGGATAAAATGGCTGTCGTCGGCCATCTTTGGCGGCAAGCAAGAAGAGCAGGTCGAGGCAGCCGATGAGCTGCGTTCCTCGGATGCCGAGACGGAGAACGCGCTGGGCAGCCCGCGACGGCCGCTCTGGGCCGGTACGCCGGTGGGCGATGTGCTGCGCCTGCGGGACCTGCGGGACCGTGATGATGATGGCTTTTATGATGACTCCCTGGTGTCGCGCTGTGCCACGACACCGGCCGAGCTGGCTCGGGAGAGGGCGAGCGGGGAGCGTCCTCGCGCCGATCTCCCTTTGCCCAGCGCACGTGTCCAAGCCGCCGAGGGCGAAAGCCAAACCTCGACGCCGCAAGCCCTCGACTCAAAGGCACAGGAACCGGCAGGCTCCCTGCCACCAAGCAGCGGCAGTGACGATAAATCCAGCTCCTACGATCCAGTCGCCTCATTCATAGCCCGTAAAGTCCGAAGCCCCGCGCCGTCGCTCGAGCGCTCATCTCCATCCGATCTTTCGAGAATCGATGCCCCCGCCCTCATCTCCAAGCCTGAGCGCGAGCCTGTCGTCGATCTCAACACCATCGCCATCGTCATCGCCCTTCCTACCCGCCCCTGAGTTGCCCCGCGACCTTGCGCACGTGGTAGGCGAGGAGGCTGCGGAGGAGATGGACTCGTCACCGTGCGAAGGGCGGAGGACCGTGTAGGCGGTGCCGACGAGACTGTCGTCGATGCGGAGGCGAGCCTGGCTCTTGCGTCGCGCGGCGAGCCTGGGTCCCGAATCTCAGGATCTGAGAGTACGGACTCCGACGAAGAAATTTGACGGGAATGGGAGAGGAGTGAGGATAGAGGAGAGAGACGGTAGAGAGGAAGAGAGGAAGAGAGCTTGGCCGTGCTGAGTTGTTGACCCTTGAACTGGATTGTCCCAGGTGGCGTCTTCGCGCTTCTCCTTCTCCGCTCGAAGCACCAAAGCAGAGAGGAAAGAAGGGGAACAAGGAAGAAGCCGGGTTGGATGGACCCTTAACACAGGTCAAGTTCCATAACCGCCAAAGGATAACCAAGACGGCCCCCCCTTGGTATTCAAGTCAAGAGAACATCACAGCCAAGAACCAGTGTAGAAGAAATTGTGGCAAATATCATTTAGACCATGGCCATGACATCTGATGGCACTGCAAACCCGCGGGTCGGATGCCCTGAACCGGCCAACCATGCAATCAAACACCATGGATCGTGACTCCGCGCACCGCGTTCCCAGGCCCTCGTCCATGCTCTTTCCCCATCATCCCGCGATTCTCTAGTACCGCTTGCCCTCCCGCAGGGTATCGGCAAACTCCTCGAGCGGACTCCGGAGCAGCTTGGTCTCCTTCCACAGGTTGGGCGTCAGGAAGCCGTACGTGTTGGAGACGGCGACAAAGGTGGCCTTGAGCGTGTTCTCGAGCGTCTTGGTCGAGCCGGCCGACGACGTGTACGAGTCCTCGACACCGGCCAGCTGGAGGAAGCGCTTGACGGCGGGCGAGGCAACGAGGCCCGTACCGCGGGGGGCAGGGATGAGCTGTGGCAGAGGAGGCCCGCGCGTTAGCGTTTCCGTCGACGACAGCTTGTCCCGTTGACGAAAGATTGGAGCGCGCTGGCACAGACAGAGACACAGGGCCGGCCGGACCAGCGCGCGAGGGGAGGAAATGGGAATGGACATACTCGGACGGTGACGGAACCGCACTTGCCGCTCTGCTTGCAGGGCAGAGAGTGAGGCTGGCCGAGGTTGGTGCCCCAGTAGCCTCGTCGGACGGGGATGACGCTGAGCTTGGCGATGATGATGGCGGCGCGGATGGCCGTCGCAACCTCCTTGGACGTCTTGATGCCGAGGCCGACGTGGCCCTCCGAGTCGCCAATGATGACGACGGCCTTGAACCGCGTCCGCTGACCGGCACGCGTCTGCTTCTGGACGGGCTTGATCTGTTGGTCCGAGACATGTCAGCGACCGCGCAACAGAGACGATTCGACCGAGAGCTTTCCGCCTCCTCAGCGTTCCGTCCAGCGTCTCGCCGCCGCCGCCCCTCCAGCCTCCAACGAGTTCCCTCTCCGAGGCCCTCTGCTTCGTTGAAGCGACACGAAAGCGTGGCAGCAAGAAAATCAGGGGCAGAGTCGTTCGCACCTTCATGACCTCGTCCTTGAGCTTGGGCAGAAAGGTGTCGACAATCTGAAACTCCTTGATGGGCAGGGAGTGCAGGTAAATCTCCTCCATGCTGTTGATCTTGCCGGCCTTGACCAGACGGCCCAGCTTGGTGACGGGCTGCCACTCCTTCTCCTCGCTCTTGCCGCCGCGTCGGCCACGGCCACGACCACGGCCACGGCCACGACCGCGGTCGCCGCCTCGGGCACCGAAACCACCGCCTCCGCGTCCGCCACGGTCAGCCATTGTGAATCAAAAGTCGGGAGTCGTCGAGTCCTGTCCTCGTGGGGAGTCGGTCGCGGCGTTGGGCGGGCGTGGGATGTTGAGGGCGGGCGTGAAGCGGCTTGCTCGAATGGCCTATTTTCTTGAGGTACGCTGGTGGGGTGCTCGCGATCCAACCCTGAGCCGGTGGATTTTTTTCTCGAGAGGCGGTGCGATTGGGTTAGGCGAGCCCTAATGGCTTATCCTGTGGCTGGTGACTTGCTTAGGCATCCAGTACGAGGACCGTGTGGGGCCCATCTCGGTGAGCCTGGTCGGTGAGGCGTGTACATTGTAACGGCACCTCAGCATCATCCACTGCGCCGCCCATGACAAGCGGTATCGCTCGCCACTTTGACGACGGACTTGAGCTCAAGACATTGTAACAAGTAAGAGTAGGGGAGCAGCCTAAAACTTGCACTGACGCGCGCACCTTATGAATGGCCTGACGGATCAGGCGGTCCGGCGAGTTCTCCGGTATCGTCCCGAGTCTTCGCGAGTCGTGAGCCTTGGGTGTCAGTCCCGCCGGCCGGCCGTCTTCCGTCACGCGGGACATTCGTATGTACATGAAATCGACAGCAAAAAGACAATGCCAGGCCAGCGATGATGAACAAGGGTATTGTAACTCCGAATTCCAACTGCAATGTCCGCCTTGCAAACGCGAGCCGACAAGTCCAGACGACGCCGCCACTCGCTTTCCGCCAGCCATTACTCCGCCTTCAGAATCAAGTTGTCAGAGGGCCGCACTCGCTGGGCCCATTCCCTGTTGTCGATTGTCAGTGACTGCATTAAGTTGGTCCGGCCCGACAGTAGGGGCTCACTCACGTCCAGCTTCCGTCGTAGACTTTGCGCGCCTCGGCGGAGCCGTATCCTGCCACGTCGAGAGCCGTCTCGATTACGCAGGCGGTCACGCCGGTACCGCAAGTCGAAATGATGGGCTTCGTCGCATCGACGCCCTTTTCTTCAAAGATGGCCCTCAGCTTGTCGGGTGAGGGATAGGCCCTGGTCTCAGGATCCAAGACCGCGCTAACGGGAATGCTCAGCGACCCGGGCATGTGTCCCGACGACAGGCCCTCCCGGGGCTCAGGGTCCTTGCCGCTGAATCGGCCGTTGGGCCGGGCATCCAGAATCTGCACGCCCTCTGCGCCCTCCTTGTTGTGGTCCTGGGCAGCCTCCCTGACCTTGTCGAAGCTGGCCACTTTGCTCGCGTCCAGTTCTGGAATGGGATATGGGCAGCATTCGACGTTGTAGAACTCGCCCGATTCGGTGGGCAGGTCTTGCTCAACCCATAGCTTGAAGTTGTTGAGGATGTGCACGTTGCGGTGGCCAAAGATCTTCAAGGTCCAGGCGACGCGGGGAGCGCTGAAGATGCCGAGTTCCTTGGTGTCGTAGACGACGACCGTGTCGTCCTTTCTGATGCCCAGCTCACTCATGGCGCCGGCGAAGCGCTTTGCGTCGGGCAGCATATGGGGGTACGGGCTGCGCTTGTCAATGACCTTGTCCAGGTCGAAGAAGCGCGCTTTGGGGATGCGCTGATCCCGGAACACTTGGATTCCCGTCCGTCCATCATTGGGAAGGAACCAGGCGGCGCAGAGAGGGACCACGCGAGGATCAGGGCTGATGGGCGATGGCGGGGCCGCGCCGAGAGCTTCGTGTAGCTCCTTGGGGGAGACGAGATAGGACGAGAGGGTGCGGCGCGAGGCCATGACTGCCCGTGGCGTCTGCCTCGACCTCCAGCGAGGGAGGCCAAGAGCTCGCGTCGTCCGGCACAGCCCAAGCGACGCCATGGAGAAGACGTGTGGCTCGGACAAAAGGGGTCCGAGACCGATGTGAGTGTCGACTATTCCAGCTCCAACCCGGATCCGAAGGAGGGACGAGGCCGGCAAGCGATCGATTCACGAGAGGGGAGTTGTCGAGGCCCTGAGGGCGGTGGGCGGGGCTACGCTCAACAGCGCGACGTGCGAGAGGACGTCGATTTGAGCTGGCACTAGTGAATGGTCGCAGTTGATGGCGGTTGCTTGCTGCTGCAGCTGGGTCATGAAAGTGTCGGCGTCGTCTGCAGAAAAGCAAGCACAAAGGTTGGTTGAAGTTGGACTAGTACGAAGTACTGTGAGGTAGGGAAGTTGTTACTATCCGTACTCTGTAGTTGGTGTGGAGAAGCTCGCCAGGGCCAATCCTGAGGGCGGCTGGGGACACCAGCAGCGCCTGCCGAGGTCTGCAGTGCGGGGGGTCGGGGTTCGGGTGCTACAGGCTGCCAGAGGTACAAAGTCCAAAGTATCCGTACCCTGCCAAAACACCAACACAAACATCCAGACGCACAGCCTGTTTGCCTCCCTCGCCCTTCCCGCCCGCCAAAGAGACCGAGGAGAGAAAGAAAGCGAGGGATAGACACAGTAGAGTCCAGGTCCATGCGCCATGAAGGTCACCATCAAGGAATGGAACTCGGTCGCTACCTGGCGATGGGATATCCCCGAGGACGACGTCTGCGGCATCTGCCAGGTCCACTTTGACGGGACGTGTCCAACTTGCAAATACCCGGGCGACGACTGCAGTCTGCGTGAGTGTCCCGAGCCTCTCCCGTCTTCTTCACATGTCTCCAGGTCCGGTGGGAGGGGGCGGCGGACGGCGAGCATCGCGTCGCTGACGACAAGAGGGGCCTCCTCTCCTTAGTTTCGGGCAAATGCGGCCACAACTTTCACATGGTGCGTGACCTTCTCTCCCCGCCGCCCCTGGACCGGGTTCCGTTGACAAGGTCCCCTGCGCCACAGCATTGCATCATGGAATGGATCAAGCAAGACTCGGCTCGCGGTCAATGTCCCATGTGTCGCCAGCGTACGGATGCCCTCCCCCTATCAGCGGCGCAAAAGTTACCTGGCTAATCCGCCTTGACACAGCTTTTGAATGGGTTGATCAGGCCAACGAAGCTTCTGCATCTGCTGTGGAGTGAGAGCATGATGGCAGATGGCTGATCGATATGAACGTCACTCTTCGGCGTCCCATCATCTATTGCCTAGGTGCCGGACTAGCTGTCGTCGTGGGCATAGGGGAGCGCCTTTCGTACTGATTGCACGAGTCGCCATCCCAGCAACACAGCCACGCAGGGTGCGGTCAAGACCTGCATTGCATCTCTTGGCGAAGTTTGCGGGGAAATCTGCCTGCACCGCAGCCGTCTCGCCGTGGTGCGGTGTATCACATCACATCACAACCCGGGACGGGGCTCCTCCTCGCGCCACGGATCTCTACAATTGCCCTATCAGCCGAGCCGTGGCTCCCCGTCCGTCACAGGAGCATCGCGCCTCCGGGCATTACATGTGTGGTGGTTGGCGACGGGAGAGCAATGAACAAGGCGGGGTGAGGCCCAATCATCTCGGGGTGATGCAGTAGCACGGGTGATGAAGCAGGCGCAGATTGTCAAAGCACTTTTCATTACGCCATTTTGCTATGCTAAGCTACCCAGATTACATGCACCTAATCTTGCTGTATGCTCATGACCAATGCCACGTCGCTCGTCTTGTGCGTCAGACCGGCCGGTGCCGCGCTCCTCTAGGCGTCCGGGACGTAGACGCCGTCCTTGCATAAGACGACGACGTTCTTGAAGAAACGCCGCCACTCGAGTGGGTCGCCCTTGATCTTGATGAAACGCACGTCGAGGACCTCGCTGCCGTCGGGCAGCGGCTGCCTATCAACCTTGATCTCGCCGTGAAGGTTCTGCTGCCTCCCATCGAGGGCCTTGACCTTGATGTTGGCCACGGGGTTGCCGCCTGACAGACTGGGCGAGACGGGGACCAGGGGCACGTTGAGCTGATGCAGCGCGTCGCTGAGCATCTGCACAAGATGGGCGGCGGGCACGTGGGAGAAGAAGCGGGTGAGGGACTCGGGCGGGCAAATGTCGCGGAAGCGGCGGGCCTGCTGCGTCAGGGTCATGGACGGGCCCGGGGTGTGGGAGAACTGCGACATGGAGGGCTCGTCGGCCAGGGTGCCGCCGAGCACGGCGCGCGGGGGGAGCGAGGCGGCGGGCGCCACCATGGAGCGCAGCACGGGCTGCTCCCAGTCCCACGCCTTGTCGCTGATGGGCGTCTCGGGCTGCGTCGACGAGAAGTTGCCGGGGCCCGGGTCCATGTCCATGTGGTCGGGCGCGGTGGCCTGCCGCTGCGAGGCCGAGGGCGGCTGGCTCAGGTCGATGCGGAGATTCTCGAGCATCCGGGTGGCGAGGTTGATGGGGTCCGAGACCTTGCCATCGGCGGTGAGGAGCGGATTGCGGCGCGTATACCACGGGTGTTGGCGGATCTGGGGGAACCCGAAGCGGCGGGCAGGATCGACGGACATGATGCCGCGCAAGAGGGAGAGGGCCTCGGGCGGGACCCTCTCCCAGAGGGCGTCGGTGCTGTGGCCCGAGGTGCGGATGTACTCGCCAAACTCCCAGCTGCCGGGCGACGGTTCGTCCCAGGGGGTGTTGCCGACGAGGAGGACGAAGAGGATGACGCCACAGGACCACAGGTCGGCCAGGTCGGACGAGTACTTTGCGGCAGCGGACGTCTTCTTGTCGGCGCGGCCGCAGACGAGGATCTCGGGGGCAATGTAGGGGGGGCTGCCGCACAGGGTGGAGCTCGTCTTGCGCTGGCCCTTGTACTCGAACATGGTGGCCATGCCAAAGTCGGCGAGCTTGAGGGCGCCGTCGTGGGAGAGGAGGATGTTTTCAGGCTTGAGGTCGCGGTGGGCGACGCCCTTTGAGTGCATGAAGCTGACGCCCGAGACGAGCTGGAGGAAGTAGAGCTGGGCAATGTCCTGGCGGACGCCGACGTCGGCCTCGATCTTGTCAAAGAGGTCGCCGCCCTCCGCAAACTCCATGGCGATCCAGCGCCAGACGGGGTCCTCGCCCGAGGCAAACCACTCGATGATGTTGGGGTGCTGGCCGACGTGCGAGTGCAGCGACACCTCCATGGCCAGCTGCTTGGTGGAGATGCGGCCATGCTTGGTGGCGTAGCCCTTGTGGATGAGCTTGACGGCGAAGACGGGCGTCGGGGAGTCGAGGGGGATGGCTTTCTTGATGCTGGGCGTAGAGAGGGCGGTCAGGAGAGGCTTGTTCTGTTGGCGCGAGGCATACGTACGAGGCGTAGGCGCCGCGGCCGACCGTCTTGGAGACGATGCGAAAGGGCAGGTCCCGCGGGAGGGGGTCTAGTTGGGACTGCCGCATCTTAGTGTCAGTCGGAGCGCGATGACGGGGGGAGTCCATGACCGTCGGACGAGCTGGCGTCATCAATGGCATGGTGTTGCGCCCTCGGTTCGAGAATGTCACCACAGACGCTGAACTTTAGGGTGCCGTGGGAGACGCACGTGCGCAAGAAGAATCTTGGGTAGAGAGAAAGAGAAGGAAGTATTGGTTGGACTCACCATGTTCGATCAAGCGAGTTGGAGCGCAAGCCTCTGGCCCTACCGAGCTTGAGGTTCCTTGCCAGCACATCAGCCGTCTGTCAGCTTCGTCAAGTCGGGCAACGAACAGGAGCGGACAGCCCCCGCCAGCCCGCCCGGGCGTAAACAACAGGCCAGATACTCCGTAGAGGCGGAAAGGAGGAGCGTGTGGCTTGGCGCGTCCCGGCGCGTCTGACCGCGTAAAGAGAAAGCATCATCAGCATCATCACACAGAGCCCGGCGGTTTGGAATGCGCTTGGTTGGTTGGTTGGCCGGCGTCTCTGCCATGCTCCCGGACCCACTCCCACCGCGCCACGGAGGACTGTGTTTTCTACCCGTCAACGCACTGTATAGCACCCCTCCCCCCCGTGCATGTCTAGACGGCTACGGAGTAGTTGCAGCGGCTTCATTGGTCGTGCTCGCTTCACCTCTCTTAGTCCAAGGACGCGCAACGAACGGGCCCTGCCTCGGGCCTCCAAATGGCTGGATCGTGACTGTTACGCCCACGAGGCTCAAGGCCTCGCCCGCGACCATGCGTGCTTGTTTGTTGTTTACTTTGGCCGGGCCCGAGGGGCACCAACACGGGCCCCGTACACACAGTGCGCATACAGCCGCGTGGGACGCCGTTGCTGCGGCAAAAATAGGACAAAACATGGCCCAAAACGAGCTGGCCGGTGCAAGCTGGCATCGCTTGTCTTTGGCGACAGCCTCCTCCCGTTGCTACTCCACAGTAAAACACTGCCTGCCAGTTCAGAGAGAATTGCCAGCACATATACAAGCCCGGCTGTTGTCACCTGCCGCGAGCCAATCGTTCCCACGTTATCCTATTCCTTTCTGGCCTTGCCTCTGTTTCTCCTCATCAACAACCCACCGCCTCTCCCTCCTTCATTCTTTCTCTCTCGCTTGCACACATATCCCCCCCCCCTCCTTCGCCAAACCATCCTCGCGCCCTCAAACCTCGAGTCGGGCCGCGTCTTCCCTCTGGTCACATCTCCCTTGTTGTCCGTGTCTCGCCGCTTTCAGTCCTGCTCTGCTTATCTGGACCAACTGCTCGCGACCGTACGCACGCGACCTCACGCCAACAGACACGCACACCAGCGAAACCACACCCGGTCTCGCGACACCGAAGAAGGGAGAGAGATCGCAGGGTCCGACGATGAACTACGCCATGGAGGACAACCAAAACTCTGCTCCCGGCAGCGTCCAAGCCGCCAAGCTCAACGGCGCCCGCAAGGGCCCAGACTCGCACAGCGTCACCAAGAGGTCAGTCACCCGTCTCTCCTTTGGTCCTGCCGTCCCGGCCAGCGGCGCTGACCTGATCCAGGCTGCAAACCGAGCTGATGCAGCTCATGACCTCGCCCACGCCCGGCATCTCGGCGTTCCCTTCGGCCGACGGCAACCTGCTCTCCTGGACCGCCACCATCGACGGTCCCCAAGACACCCCCTACGCCGGCCTATCCTTTAAGCTGAGCTTCGCCTTTCCCTCAAACTACCCCTACGCCGCCCCGACCGTCCTCTTCAAGACGCCCATCTACCACCCAAACGTCGACTTCTCGGGCCGCATCTGCCTCGACATTCTCAAGGACAAGTGGACCGCCGCCTACAACATCCAGACGGTGCTGTTGAGCTTGCAAAGCTTGCTCGGCGAGCCCAACAAGTGCGACCCCCCTTTTCTGGCTTCGTGAGTTCTAACTGACTGTGGCGCAGCGCCTCTCCTCTAAACGGCGAGGCCGCCGAGCTCTGGGACAAGGATGCCGCCGAGTTCAAGAACAAGGTCGTGGCACGACATCGGGATGTCGAGGACGAGTGACGACAGCCTCTCGCTAGTCTGGGGGGCATTTGTTTCGCTCGGGAGGCATGGCATGTTTGGCCACTAGGAGAACCGGAGTCTTTGGCTGTTAACCGCGGTAACTTGCCACGGGAGTTTGGATTGCATTTTTGGCGCGCCGCGTCCTGGACCTTGGACTTGCATAGGTACTGTCCGCTAGGACATACGAGAGCAATGTTATCGATGCTGGCATAGCCTCACGACGCGTTCGAGAGACATGGGCCATGAACACCTTGTCCTTTTGTTCCTCTTCTCTTCTCCTCTCTCATCGAAAGCGCAGCTATTTCTTCGTCCGCAGGCCCGCAGAGTCGCTTCTTGATTGCCGCGCCAATACACGTGAAGCGGCATTGAGCGTGATTCACATTTTCCTCTGTATTTTCCGCGTGAAAAGCTAGAACAGCCGATTGCAACTCCGAAATGCCATGCCACCCTAAGAACCAGTCCCGACAGAAAGACGTCCTCATTTACTCCTCGACGATGACCGTGGGGAGGCCCTTGGGGTTCTTGACGTTCACCGCCTGCACGTAGCTGTACAGCTTTTCCTTGGCGTCCTCCTCGTCGTTTCGTCGTCGGGAAATTCGGACGCGAAGTCTGTAGGGAACGCCCTTGATGCCGCACTCCCAGACTTTCTTATTGAGCTGGGGGTCCAGACGGACGTCGGAGGTGCCCTAGGGAACATGATCAGTCGGGGCGTCACGTCTTGAAATCACGGTCAGCAGCACCCAGCCTATTCGAGCCGGGTGCAGATTAGGTGGCTGGATGAGCTTGCGAGAGGGTAGTCGTACCATGGCCTGGGTGGCGAAAGCCTTGATCTCCTTGATGGCGCGAGGGGCCCTCTTCTTGAAGGAAACACCGTGTAACTTTTCAACGTCCGTTAGTCGTGCCGAGTCCTGGCGCCCGTGTACCGGAATTCTCCCCATCGCGTCGGGCGGAGAAGACGTACTCTCTTGTGCATGTGAATGGTGTACTCGCGGGCGACAACGTCCGCAATGGCGGAGCGCTGAGGCTTGCCGGCAGGATTCTTTCCCTTCGTCGTCGACATTTCTGGTTCGGTCTCGTCAGCTTTGCGGCCTGCAGGGCGACGGAGGGGAGCGCGTGAGGCGAGGAAAAGTGACAGGCTGCAACGACGTGCGTATGGAAGAGGCGGAGGGGAATCCTGGTGGGCGCGGCTCGTACCTGCGGATCGGCTTTCACGGTCTGGCGAGGAGGAGTTGTGATGTCGAAGAGCCAAAATCCGCAAATTCTTTGTGCGTAGGGCAGGCTCCAAGTGCGAGTGAATGGGGGGGTAGCGAGCCAATCAGAGGCACGGCACCTGAGCGACTTGGCGGCTCACGTGATGGAAAATAAGATACTTAGCATTCCACGGCCACGGACCAGTCCACGCGAGTACGTACAGTACGTACCCTGCGGACATTACCGCAGCAGGTGCCGGGTGTTGACCGACGAACCACTTTCGCCCTTCCCCAACTCTGTTTGTTGCTCTCAAAGTCCCCCCCCAACCAACAAACCTCTGCCACCGACAACGAGGTGCCACCCCCCCCGTGCTCTTGCGCAGCAGCGCTGCTCTCCTTTCCCTCTCGCCCACCGACGGCTGCTTCGAATCGAGCAAGGGGATCTCTGACTGCAGACAGCGGGAAATGGGAAGGCTGCTTGCGACATAGCCGTCATTAAGGAGGCCTGTGAAACCTCGTGTCGCGAGTCTGCCAGCCAGCCACTGCAATTTTCTCAACCGCCGACCGATCAATCGAAACTTCACTTCCTTTTTTTCGCACAACTCACGCCAGCAGTTGTCGCCAGCGGGCAGCAGCCCAGCGAAATCATCATGGAGAGCACTCCCGCAAGGGCGACTCCGTCGCCGCAGCCCGATTTGTCGAGGAACCGGCTTCCCACCCTCTTCGAGGTGCTGAGCCGCCGTACCCTTCCGCCCGTTGACCTCTTCTCCTTCTACATCTACATGCGAGACCAGCAGCGCTCGGTAGATTATCTGGATTTTTGGTTTGTCGCCTGCAATCGCTCGAGGAAACCCACATTGTTGCTGACACGCTTTTCAGGCTCGACGTGGCCCAACACATGTCGCTATGCCGTCATTATGTGCGCGAGCTTCGGCGGTCTGTACTTGTGGCCACGCCCGATGTCGACAAGGCTGGCTCTAAGAGGTCGTCTGGGATATTGGAGAGCATGGGCGACCTAGATCACCGTGCTGCGGGCCCATCGATGTACGCAACGGAAAAGGAGAGGGACCAAGACGCTCAAATGTCGGCCTTTTTGCGTGAGGACCAAACGCACGAATCGCCCCAGAGCGGCTCCGGCGCCGTTCGACCGAGCCCGCAGTTCAGCGCGTCGCGCGATGTGACCGACTCCAACTCCCCGTCGCACACCGTCGCCCGTCAAGACATCCGAGCTTCTGCAGAGAAAATCCTGTACACGTTCCTGCTCCCGGGAGCTGAACGAGAGATCACTCTGCCCGGATCCATCACGCAGGACGTCACTGCCGCGATCGAGGACTACGGCCGCGACGACCCCGAGGTCTTTGATGTAGCTAAAGACTACGTATTTCAGGCCATGGAGAGGGACGCGTTCCCGGGTTTCCTGCGGATGAAGGCGCTGGGGAACCTGATTCCTCCCACGCTCGTGATGCGGCTCATTGTTGGCCTCATCTCCATGTTTGGCGCCTTCTGGGCCGGCTTCATTCTCATCTTCCTCGACAGGTCGCGAGCCACGAAATGCTGGGTGAGTCGGCGAATCCCCTGCTTCACGCACACGCGGTGCGGTTGCTAACACGTGTCCCCAGCTCATTCTGCCCTTCACCGTCGGCGTCTACTTCCTGGCCTCGTACCAATACTCGCTCGACCCCATCATGGCCATGATTGGCTTCAGCGAATATACGCCTTTCAACTTTTCGCGGATACGAGAGCCCTATGTCCGACAACTCCTGGCCAAGCGAGCCGCCATGGTCCTGGCAGTCACGTTCCTCATCGACGCCGCTCTCTGCGTCCTCTTCATCCTCGTGCCCGGCAAAAGGCTATGAAAGCGGCTATGGCACTCGCCGGCACCTGCTCGGCCGCGGGACGTAGAGTATCGCGCCGGCTGTCCTCCCGCATTGCCGCCTCTGGCAGATGCCGAGGGACTGAGCTCTCACGACTGTCACGACATTTGATAAGGACTACTCTTGTGTACATATACCAATTAGCGCTGGATTTTCGCATTGGGGACCAGTACCAGCCCAACATTGGGTGTTTCATTCTTCTTTTCATTTGTGTCTCCTCTGTTTTACTATTCTACTCATGTCTGCTTGCCCCGCTTAATATCGTTTGCGGGCTCCGATCATCTCTGTCTGTTTCGGAGTCCAGGGTCAACCTCGCCCATGGAAGAGCGACGACCGAGGTCTGGAAAGAGGTATAATTTTCATCTCCTTTTAGAGAAGTCTAAAACACCAAGCATTGGGCATATCCGTCGTCCACCGTGTCGTCTGCGTCGTGACCGGGCATGGCGATGATATGCCGAGAAAAGCAAGAAAAGAGTTGGCCAAGAAGAGCAGGGCTTGTGACGGTCGCTCGGGCACTACATCTTCCGTTTACTGGCCCGCTTGGTCTGCTCCTCTGGCAGGTACGGCTCGTCGAGCTCCATGGTCTCGTCGACGGCAGAGCTTCCCGTTTCCAGCATTGCCCGCTTGTTGATCCCTCTCCGTGGCAGGCCGTCGCGGCTTGGCAAGTCCTGGGAATTGTCCGTGTCTCGCAGCTCACCCATCAGGCGGCGGAGCTTCTCGTCTGCCGTCTTGGTCTCCATGGCACGAACGGCGGCGGCGTAGCGTATGTCTCTGATCTGTGCCTCGAGGTCGGCAAGGGTGGTGGTACATCGATCGGACCAGGCATTGAGGGCGGCGGTCATATTGGGAATGGAGCCAGGCTGGAGATCGCGAAGAGGGGCCACGCTCGTGACCTGGACGGCCTGGCGGGCGGGGTCGAGGGTGGCATGGAGGAGGCCCTGATACACAGCCTTGATGACGAGGTCTTCGAGCTGGCGGGCCGACGAGAGGTCCAGAGCTCCCTGGAGTGAGTCGTAGGAAAGATTGGCGCGGTCGCGCGCGAGGGTCAAGAGGGACAGCTGGCGGAGCTTCAGGGCCTGGGCTTCGACGAGGGCGGGCAGGTCGGACGCGGCGCGGTAGGTCTGGTAGGTGCCGTAGGAAAAGACGTGGAGGAGGTCGAGGTGGGGGGCGAATTCGGGGCTCTGGGCGAGGGCCTGTATCTGAGGCGTCTGGAGGAGCTCGGCGAAGACGAAGGTGTTTGGGGCCGAGGTTGCGCGGGTGATGAGGTCGGCGGCGGCGCGGGGAGAGGTGGCCGACTTGGAGAGGGCGAGGAAAGGCTGTTTAGAAAGAGGATGTCAGCCAAGCTGGCGACACACAGAGGGGGGGTTGTCAATGTGAGTCGGGTCAGAGGGTAGTTAGCTGTACCGCGAGGGCATCCAGAGCCTTGGTCTGTTCCATGGTCGTGGGGAAGAGGCGGCCGGGTGTGTGGGCTCTCGCTCGGAAGAGGAGGGGGGGGTGAGCAGAACGGCTGCAGCCTCACCGGCTCGCGGTCTGTCGGCCGGTGATGCTTCGCCGCTCGATGGATCTCTGGTGGAGGGTCGGAAGGCAAACGCGGGGCCGGGGGCGGCGGCTACGGGGACACGAGGCTGCGGGTAGAAGATGTATTGGGGGTTGAGAGGCCGAAACGGGACTGGTTTTGGGAGGAAAGGCTGGCAGGGGACGGTCTGAGCGGCTGGGCAAATGCGTTGTTGTGTCAGGTACGTCGGAGGTTGGTGATGATGAGGCTGCTGCCCGCCGGAGAAGGGAAGGCAAGTACCTTTGCTGGTGGCATTCATAGGTACGATAGTAAGTACTGTATTAGCATGTAATCGATACTTTGGTGCCCGTCTCAGCTAAGGCTGGTGGCGGTGGTGGTGGTGGAGGCGAGGACAAGGACAAGGACAAGGAATCGGTTAGAGGAGGTACTCAGGACCTAGGCAGGCAGGCAAAGCACCCATAAGCTGGGCCGGGTGCTTGGCTGCCAGAGGTTCCGGGTACATGGTGTTGAGCCGGGAGGCGGGGTGGGTTCCGGGCGGCTCTGCCGGGCTGCTGATGCACATCGCAGACGGTGCAGTAGGCACACACAGGTACGGATACATCAGTCAGTAGGCGACAAAGGGGGCTGCAGGGGGGGTGAAGGCCAGCAAAGGCAGCCAGTGCATGATAGCGCGCAACTCTCTCTAGCTCGCCCTTCTTGAGCTGCCACCCAGTCGTTTCATACGCGCGGAGCGCCGACGGCTGGACAGGAGAAACATGATGGACGGGCCCAGCATCTGTCGAACAGCACGTGTCCGGGCAACCGCCGGCGCAAAAGACGACTTGACTCCCACTCGCGCACCATCCGCCAATACGAGCTGAGGCTGTTGGCTGGCTGCACGAGGCGGGCCGCTGACGGCCGATGCTTACGGCGTCGGACGGCCGAGGAACGCCGCGAGACAAGCATTTTACGACGCAGTGGAAAAAAAGGAGCCTCCGAAGACACGTGGAAGCTCAGGTCCGCTAATAAACTCTACCTTGGTCTGTTCGGGTCAGAAAAGCACGCTTTGGGCGTGCCGGCGCGTGTGGTGGCGCGAGAGAGCCGAAACGGACGGGGGAGGGGCGTGCGACCAAGATGGCCGTTTTTCTGCCGTCCTGGTGCCGCATCCTGGTGCCGCATCCTCGTGCCGCATCCTCGTGCCATTCTCAAGCGTTGCCGCCGGCGAGAGGGCTGCTCCGATGGTTGATGATGGGACGGGGCCATGATGGCGGCATGGCCTCAAGCGGCGTGAGCGTCCTCGCACATGCGTGCGAAGGGCAGGGAGGAGACGAGCCGCCCGTGTCAGAAAGACAAGCGCGTTGGTCAGCACGCAGACGAGAGAGAGCGAGGTATGCACAAAAGGTCCTGTCTCGACATGGGTCTAAGCCATTGGCCTGTCTGCCCATACCTTCGGGTACATGGTGCACAGCCGACGTTGCCGATGGAATTCCGCCCCGGAGGAGGGAGGCCACGGTGCTCGGGCCCGCCATCACACACACAGCGCACATGCAGCGGCAACCCCTGTACGTAGCAGACCCGAAAGAGGCAGCTTCAACGCCCGCGCAGGGTCCCCCACTAACTTACTCACCTCCTGTCCAGGTGCGTGTACTGTATGTACAGTACCTTCCTTACCTTGGTTGGCCTGCCTCTCTCTTACTCTTCTCCGTCTCACCCTCATCCACCCGTCCTCGCTCTCTTTCTTACTCTCCTCTGTTTCTTACTCTGCTCTCTCTCTTACTCCCTCCCCCTCCTCCCTTTCCCCGTCCCCTCTCTCTCCCCCCTCGGCAGCCCTTATACAAACGAGACCCGTTGCTTTGCCATCCTCGCCTTTCTTCTGCTTCTGCCTCGCCTTTGCGCGCCCTTTCTTTGTGTCTGTCCTAAGCAAGCAACTCTTTTTTCCTCATTTGTACCTCGACCCCCTTGGAAGCTGGGCTTCCGATTGATAATCCTCACCACCGCTTCCGAGATGCCCGCGCGACGCCGGTGACGAATCCTCCTCTCCTTTTCTGCTGCTCCCAGTGAACCTCGTCCGCCGACGAGCGCCACCAGCCACCAGCGCCTCCAAAGAGTGCGACAAAGCACAGGCACCGCCCAATACCGCGCAACATCGAATCGCCATGGCTCCGTCGCCCATCGCCATTCCTCCGCGAGGCCCTGCCGCCTTGCTCTCCGCAAGGGGGACGCACATGGCCACCACCGCCCTCCGCGTCGGCGGCATGACGTGAGCCTCTCCTGATCCTTTCCAGCTCCGCCACCCCCCGTCTCTGGCTGACCAGGTCCAACAGCTGCGGCGCGTGCACGTCGGCCGTTGAAGCAGGCTTCAAGGGCGTCAACGGCGTCGGCAACGTCTCGGTCAGCCTCGTCATGGAGCGCGCCGTCGTCATGCACAACCCCGACATCATCTCCGCCGAGCAGGTCTGCGAGATCATCGAAGACCGTGGCTTTGAGGCTCAGGTCCTCGCCACCGACCTCCTGAGCCCCGCCGTCATCCGATTCCAGCCCGCCGAAGACGAGGGCCCGGCTCTCGCGACCACCACCGTCGCCATCGAAGGTATGACCTGCGGCGCCTGCACCTCGGCCGTCGAAGGTGGCTTCAAAGATGTGCCGGGCCTCAAGCACTTCAGCATCTCGCTACTCTCCGAGCGCGCCGTCATCGAGCACGATCCGGCCCTTCTGACGCCAGAGCGAATTGCCGAAATCATAGAGGACAGGGGCTTCGGCGCCGAGATTGTCGACACGGCCAGATCATTAGCCATTGCACGCGATGTCAAGAGCCCGGCGCCTCCCAGCAATGTCGCCACGACTACGGTGGCCATTGAGGGCATGACATGTGGAGCGTGCACGTCGGCCGTTGAAGGTGGCTTCAAGGGCGTCGACGGCGTGCTTAAATTCAACATAAGCTTGCTGGCGGAGCGCGCCGTCATCACCCACGACGTCACCAAACTCTCGGCCGACCAAATCGCCCAGACAATCGAGGACCGAGGCTTCGACGCCTCCGTCCTGTCGACTATCATTGACGCCGGCGACCACAACGCATCCTCGTCGACGGCGCAGCTCAAGATCTACGGCAGCCCGGACGCCGCTAGCGCCAAGGCCCTCGAGGAGACGCTCAGGGCTCTGCCTGGTGTCACGTCTGTCTCCCTGAGCCTGGCGACGGACCGCCTCACCGTCTCCCACCAGCCCTCCGTCATCGGCCTACGCGCCATCGTTGAGGCCGTCGAGGCCCGGGGCCTCGATGCCCTCGTCGCCGACAGCCAGGATAACAACGCGCAGCTCGAGTCGCTGGCCAAGACCCGCGAGATCACCGAGTGGCGCACCGCCTTTAAGACGTCGCTCTCGTTTGCCCTGCCCGTCTTCATCATCGGCATGATCTTGCCCATGGCCATTCCGGCGCTCGACTTTGGCAATGTCGCCCTGATTCCTGGCCTGTACCTCGGCGACGTCATATGCCTGATGCTCACCGTGCCCGTCCAGTTTGGCATCGGCCGCCGCTTCTACGTTTCGGCATACAAGTCGGTCAAGCACGGCTCTCCGACCATGGACGTCCTCGTCATCCTCGGTACCTCGTGCGCCTTCTTCTTCAGCGTCTTCGCCATGCTCGTCTCGCTGCTCGTGCCCCCCCACACCAGGCCCAGCACCATATTCGACACGAGCACGATGCTCATCACCTTTATCACGCTTGGTCGGTACATGGAAAATCGGGCCAAGGGCCAGACCTCCAAGGCGCTGTCTCGTCTCATGTCGCTCGCCCCGTCCATGGCAACCATCTACACGGACCCTATCGCCGTCGAAAAGGCCGCCGAGGACTGGGTCAGGTCTCCACAGATCCCCAAGACGCCGCTGACGCCGTTGCGGGCACCCGAGTCCGCGGGAGCGGCCTACGAAGAAAGGCTCGTCCCCACCGAGCTGCTGCAGGTCGGCGACATCGTCATCATCCGGCCTGGCGATAAGATTCCCGCCGACGGCAACCTAGTCCGGGGCGAGACGTACGTGGATGAGAGCATGGTCACTGGAGAGGCCATGCCGGCGCAGAAGCGTGTCGGCGACAGCATGATTGGCGGCACCGTCAACGGAACCGGCCGCGTCGACTTTCGCGTCACTCGCGCCGGCAGGGACACGCAGCTCAGCCAGATTGTCAAGCTGGTCCAGGACGCCCAGACCACCCGGGCGCCGATCCAGCAGCTCGCCGATACCCTGGCCGGCTACTTTGTCCCCACCATCATCGTCCTCGGTCTCATCACCTTTGTTGCATGGATCGTCCTTAGCCACGTGCTGCCGAACCCGCCCAAGATCTTCCTTCAGGACGCTAGCGGCGGCAAGATCATGGTGTGCGTCAAGCTCTGCGTCTCCGTTATCGTCTTCGCCTGTCCCTGCGCCCTCGGCCTCGCCACGCCCACTGCCGTCATGGTGGGGACGGGCATCGGAGCCGAAAACGGCATCCTGATCAAGGGAGGCGGCGCTCTCGAGAGGACGACCAAGGTCACCAAGGTGGTCCTGGACAAGACGGGCACCATCACGCACGGCAAGATGAGCGTGGCCAAGATGACAGTCGTGCCTCTGTGGAAAGACAACGAGTGGCGACGACGTCTGTGGTGGTCCATTGTGGGCCTGGCCGAGATGGGCAGCGAGCATCCCGTGGGCAAGGCCATCCTGGCGGCGGCCAAGGAAGAGCTGGGCGTCGAGTCGGAGGGCGCCATCGCGGGGAGCGTGGGTGAGTTCAAGGCGACGGTCGGCAAGGGCGTCAAGGTGCTCGTGGAGCCGCACTCGGCAGCGGAGATTGTGCGTTACAGGGTGCTGGCCGGCAACGTGCGCCACTTGCAGGAGAACGGAGTCGAGATACCCGACGACGCCATCGAGGCGTCGGAGGAGCTCAACGCGGCGACGCGCAAGGACCTGTCCAAGACATCGACGATGGCTGGGACGACAAACATCTTTGTCGCCATCGACGGCAAGTACACGGGGCACCTGTGTCTCGCCGATACCATCAAGGACGGCGCGGCGGGCGCCATCTCGGTGCTGCACCACATGGGCGTCAAGACGGCCATGGTGACGGGCGACCAACGCTCGACAGCGCTCGCGGTGGCGGCGGCGGTGGGCATAGCGGCCGACGACGTGTTTGCCGGCGTCAGCCCCGACCAGAAGCAGAGCATCATCAAGAAGGTGCAGTCGCAAGGCGAGGTGGTGGCCATGGTGGGCGACGGCATCAACGACTCGCCCGCGCTGGCGACGGCCGACGTGGGCATCGCCATGTCGAGCGGCACCGACGTGGCCATGGAGGCGGCCGACGTGGTGCTGATGCGGCCGACGGACCTCATGAGCATCCCCGCGACGCTGCACCTGACGCGCACCATCTTCCGGCGCATCAAGATGAACCTGGCGTGGGCGTGCATGTACAACGTGGTGGGGCTGCCCGTGGCCATGGGCTTCTTCTTGCCGCTCGGCTTCCACATGCACCCGATGATGGCCGGCTTCGCCATGGCCTGCAGCAGCGTCAGCGTCGTGGTGAGCAGCCTGCTGCTCAAGTTCTGGAAGCGGCCACGCTGGATGGATGAGGCCGCGGCGGCCGACGGCGTGTTCCGGGACGGCCGCCCGGCGTGGGCGAGCGGCGGCGGCGGCGGCGGCGGCGGCATCGTCGGCAACGTGGTGGCGTGGGCGAGGACCGTGGTGCCGCGCCAGGCGAGGCACAAGACGGACGAGGGATACGTGCCGCTGCAGAACCTAGATGCCGAGCCGTAACGGCGACGCCTCAAGTTCGTAGATGCCGCGTCCCCCCCTTCTCGGCCCCTGTTTCGACGGTGTTTTCCCCCATGTCCCCCCCATGTCCCCCCATCCGTATATACCCTCCGTCGACCTCCTCTCTCAAGAGAGCCGAGTAAAGGCCAACGTCACCCAGCGACCTTTTTTTCTAGACATCTTGCGAGCGGGATTCATCGACGCGTCTCTTGCGAGATGTGCCCGGCCTGTAGGGGAGTTCTTCATGAAGTAGTTTTAGCATGAGCGAGGAAGAGGCGTGTCCTCGCCGGGCGGTGCCTTTTACACGATTAAATTTCCGCTCACGTCTTTTAAACCTCGTCTTTTGTCTTCGCGTGCATCTCTCGTCTGATCTACCGGACTTCACAGGACCCTCGGACACGGAGCGAAACGGCCAGCCAGTCCTGCGTCGCCACCGTCGTCAGCGGAGATTGAGAGAAGTCGTCATCACGGCCCGCGAGCCGTGTCATCATGCCCACATGCTCGGCCGTGCCTACGTAAACAGCAGACGGCGCAAGAGTCGCCTATTTGATTGCACTTCTTTCATTGTGCCTTCGCGATGCTAACCTTGCAGTCCAGCAAACTCTTCCGCACTCGGGCTGGGCACGTCACGGCCCCAGTCTCCTCATGCCCGCCATCCGTCCGCGGCTTCCGGGCCCCGTGCAAAGATGCCCCGAGGCGCGTTCTAGGTCGGGCCGGCGCCCAGGTGACTTGAGCACATGGGCGGAATCGGTCAACCTCGCGGCCAATATGGGGATGGATGGTGTCTCGTCTTGGTTCCCCTTCTCATTCGTCCTCACCCGGCGTTCCTCCTTGGCGGGATCGAGGCAAGGTCCCAGCATATCTCTGCCTCTTCGTCTTGTTCTACTTGCAGCCCCCGTTCATCATCATCCCTATGCCTCCTCTTCCCCTGCTTTTCCCACGCTCCTCCTCTTCGTCTCGCGTCGCTTCGATGCTCGTCTATTCGCAATATTAAAAGGAAGGAAAAGGGCGTGCAAACAGCCAAGGAAACATCAGACACATGGGCGCAGCATCGCTCGCGCAATGGTGGTACAACAAAATCAGACCAACAGTCTCGTCGTCTCCGAAAAGAAAAAGAAAAAAAGAAAAACGCCGTGCCGATGCTGGTGAGCAATGTCTTGCTCGCTCAGAGACGCCTTGTGGCATGGACTGCCCTGCCCCAGGCTAGAGCTCCTCTTTGGGGCCCATGCACACGCATGGTTAGCGATACCTTGGGCACATACGCCCACCGGTAGCAAGAGAGGCTAGGCTGTCTCCAGCAGCCGGGCCCCGACTTTACCATTGCCGTCTCGTTTCGACCCGCCTACTCAGCGGCGCCGGGGACGCGGCGCTGCTCCGCTCGCCTTGGAAGAGAGCCTCTTCGTGCGGGCCGCAGAGCTCGGCCCAGGGTATGAAGCTACCGCCGTGGGCGTCGGACCAGGCCCCTCCGTAGGTGTTGCCCGCGAGCTTCTTGCTGCTGGGGAAGACGGCCTTGGCCGCCCACCTGCGCCCGTCGATGAGACGCGACGAGATGAGATCCCCCGCCTGCGACGACTGGACGGCGGCCTTGAGCAGAGACTCGGCAAAGGGGTACCACCAATACACCCGGTACTCGGCATCGAACCCGTCCTTAGGCCCCGTGCAGTGCCACAGGGCATATATGTGCTTCGTCACCAAGTTGACGCCAAGACTGACGGTGCGAATCCAGTCGCTGGCCGCCGTGCCCCGGTGGGCATGGGGAATGGCGTCGTACAACCTCGTGAGCGCCGCGCGCACATTGAAGGGCATTTCAATGGGATACGGCTGAAACTTGTCGCCCGCCTCGAGCACGTCGGCCTTGACGGTGGCCGTCAAATTACTTTGGTCAAAGGGCAGGCGGGTCAGAAAGGATTCGTATCCAGCCTTGGTCTGGAAGAGGGCCGACTCGTATTCGATGGCAACGTGCAGCTCCGTTTGCTGGCCCCCGGTTCTCTTGTCGGGGATGATGCGGTCGGCAGGTCCGCCGTGGACCTCGCCGCCGTGGGCGGCTTCTTTGGACCTCCAATACTCCTGGCGGGCCCATACGTTGGAGACGTAGTACTGGTCCGAATCGCGGAACTCAAAGGACTCATCGTACGTGGCCTTGATCTCGTCCATGGTGGCATCGATAAGCCTCCTCACGTCACCGACGGGGCCCATGACGGTTCCCGAATTCAGCCAACGCGGCTCGTTGAAGACAATGTCCCCGTTGCCCGAGTGAGGACCAAAGGCATTCGGTCCCATGCTCGACGGGGGCACCGCCCAGCAGCGCGGGGCCCTGGGGTCGAAGGGCCAGCAGACCTTGTCGGGGCCCCAGAAGATGGTCTGTCGGAGGTTGCGCATGCGGGCGCCGGCGACCGAGGTATTGAAGCGCTCGGCAAGGTGGGCGTCGGCTCGGTCGGCGACGTCAAAGTAGCGCTCGATCATGACTTCGGCCGGCAGCTGATGGATGATGTCGTAGGCGTCGACGATGAGGACCAGGTCGTCGTCCTCTCGAGATTTGAGCGAGTCAAGATAGCGCTTCACGGCGCGTAGCTTGGCTAGATGGGTAACGGCGGCATTGAATTCGCCCGTCGCGTTCCAGCCGAGGATGGTGGGGACGGGGTAGCGGTTGACGGCCGACGAGACCAAGTTCTGGCACAGCTGAAGGTTCGTGTGGCTGGCAGGGATCAGGTAGTGTAGACGCGAGGTCTTGACGCCATGGCCACCGTAGAGGGAGCTTGGTTTCCGCCATACCGAGGTCCAGCTGAGCTCGGACTGGGTGGCGGACTGGGAGAAGGACTGAGGAGCCGATTAGCTTGGTCTTCTGCAAGGACATTGACAAAGTTGAAAAGAGAGGAGACGGTTTTTGCCGAAAGGGGCGACCATACAGAATATGACGGATGGGCGCCGAGGAGCATAAAGACGACCAAGATGGCGCAAGCAGTAGGAAGCAGGACACGCCGCAATAGGGGAACGGACGCCATGGTGGTGACTTGATGTGGTGGACGTCTTCACATGAGGGCAGAGAAGGCACAAGGAAGAAGGAAGCCGGAGCGGCAGAGGATGGGAGGGGAGAGGGGAGAGCAAAAGAGAAAAACTGCTACGAGGGCCAGCGAGAGAATGCCAGAGAGAGAGAGAGAAAGAGAGAGAGGCGTGCGCCGAGTATAGTGGACAGTCAGGGGGGTTGATTATGTATGTATTATGGGAAGGAGGACGGCGAGCCTGAGGACCAACATAAGAGCACGGCAGGAGCGATGATGCACGGTAGTTGGGGCAAGGGCAAGTACGTAGTCGGTTCTTGCGTAACGGAGTATGTACATACATGCAAGACTTGGCCAACGTCGGGTCCCGAAAGAGACGGAGACGCATGCGCGTGCGTGTGCGTACATGCTGTACGCACCGCATGGGCAAATACGACGAGGAAGACGCGCGGATAGGTGGACAGGGGAAAGGGGGGGACGATTGAGTGCGAAGCGGGAGCGATGCACAGGTGACAACTCTATTTCTGGCTCCGCGGATTGCCTCTAAAAGCCGGTTTTTCCTTCTTATTCTGCTTCAGTCCACCAGTAGCAAACAATTCCCCCCCCCTCTCCCTCTCTCCCTCTGTCCCTCTCTCGTGGAGAGGTGGAGAGGAAACCCTAGTGTGTGCGGAAGAGTCGGCTGCTCGGCATGGCCACAGCATGTGTAGGAAAAAGAAAGGAAGGTCGGTGGGATGCGAGCTGCAGCCGCAGTGGCGTCGGGCGCGCAGCACCAAACATGTCTCCCATGTCGTGCGCCGGCGTCCGGGGTAAACAATGCCTGACCGTGGGAGGCGGGTGATGACCATGGTGATAGGCCCGTCGAACCCCTGCCTCTCGCTGCGCTAGCCTCTCACCATCTCACACTTGGGCCGCCATCCAACTGATCCCTATAATAGAATCAAGATAAAGTAACAGTACCACTACCGGGGTCGGTTTCCACGAGCCCGCTAGTGCTCTTGGCCGAGCGTACAGAGAAAAGGGTAGAATAGGGCCTTCGATTGGTAAAATGACACTGCCAAGGCGCATCCCGTAACGACGACGGCCCGGACATGGCAGCCATCACGCGGTGTACCAAGATCGAGTGCAAGATGGCCGGGAGACGAATAGGGGCCTGTCTTACTGTACGCAGACTTGCTTCTGGCTCACCTTACTATTAATTAGCCTGACACATACAGTATACGGCAGTACTGCACAGGCCTGATTGTTGGTAGGAGAGGAGCCAAGGACGTAGTGAGCCGCGGTTCTCCTCGTATCGTGCTTCAATGGATCCACGGGCGGCATATCGCACTGCGTCGTCCAGAAGTAGGAGAGGCCATCCTTTTGGCTGCCCGGTTTGGACAAGGACGCGAGGCGGTGGCTTGGTACTCTTCCGAGGGAAGAAGAAGCTCGCGTGTCTCAAGCACAGGTTTGCCGATTCTTCAACAAGAGTCGAGGGCCGTCTCGGCCCTCGTTGACGGCCCTCGTCGACGGCTGACAACAGCACAGTCCAGGGGGGATTGGACGACGTGAAACACGGTGAAGTCAGACAGCCAGGAGCTTGGCGCTGCTCTTGGCGAGAGGCTCAGCCGGGGACCCGGTCTCAGGTCTCGTCTCGTCGACGCATGGAATGCATGGAACGTGTGCCCTCGACCGAGTTTGGCTCGCGAGTTTGTCTGCTCGAGTTGACCATGGACATGGAATGGGAGGATAAGGAAGAAGTGGACAGAGTGTACATGGAATACGTAACTTGATCCCAGTCGATGAGGTAATCGGTGCGAGGACGGATCGTGCTGTGGGTACAGAGTACTCCGTACAGTACAGTGGTATTGGTAGGTATTGAGCAGCCAAGTTGGGGCAGTAGGGTAATTACCTCCCTCCGGAGGGCTGGAAATGACGACTTAAATAGCATCATTTGGCTCCAACAGTCAATTAAACCCAACAACGACAACACACGATCCCTTCGGCATCTACAGTAGGTATCCGATTCCGTATTGTTACGCCTTGCTCCAGGCATAGATAGCAACCTACAAATGTTCTTTTGCGGTACCTGATGGGGTAAGCAAGCACTCGAGCAGGATCCGCAGCCTGCAGGCACCATCCGCCATGACCGGCATGACAGCTGGATGTGACGTCCCGGATAAGCAAGTACTGTAGAGCGCGGAAATGTCACGGATGTATGGATAACGTGCTTTTTTTTCTATATAAAAACCCCATCTTCTTTATTCGACCGTCGTCGAGCTGCTCGTACGACCGACAGACTAACGAGACACGCTACTCGCTTGGTGTCTTGGCGTGGCGGCTCGTGCTCGGCAATTATTCGTGGTGCTGTGGTATGTACTGTAATAAGGTACCTACTGTATGTGTATCTTGGAATACCTACCTACCTAGGTAGGTAAGTAGGTACTGTACAGTAAATCATATTGTTGCCTTGGGCGCCGTAGGGCGGAGCAGCCCGGACCAAGGAGCTCGTGGGGGACAGCCGGGGCTCACGTCTCCACCTGGGCCCGAGCCGGGCTGCGTAGATCGAGCCTGCCAAGTGCCAAGGGCCCCGTTGGCCGACCGCGAATCACATTGACGACGGCTCGAGGTCCCAGGCGTTATTCCCCCGAGGCTGATTAGTTCTGTTGTTCGGCCCTTCATCTCGGTTTTCTCATCCCCACGGCATCCGATCGAGGCAGCCAACGACGGGACTTTTCCAGCAACCCGTGCTGATCTTCACCTTCATGCGCCCCTTGTGTGCTTAGATGATGGTGCGAACAGGGCATGTTGAAGATCAGGTAATCAATCGTGCGTGGCCTTTGTTCTTGCGTGCAGACAGGCATGAATAAATTTTTGGTAGATGCTTTAGGTAGGTAGGTCGGTACGGATACTGTACTGTACTATACTGTACTGTACTGTACCGTGCCGTAGGTATGTTATGTAGGCAGGTAGGTAGGCAGGTAGCTAAGGTAGGCGGCAGCAATAATAGTAAGAGAGCCGATTGCCATCTTGGACAGAATTATGCACACGCAGACGGCGGCTTCTGCATCCTCCGAAGAGCTTGTGCACGCCAAGCCCGCGCTGAGTAACGGCCCAATGGTTGGCCTTGGATTTAGAGCCCGGCAAGACAAACACCCCTTTTTTATGCCTCTGGCCAACCTTGCTGCTGCTCTTTCCCTCTGGGGTTAGCACCTCTAGGGCGCATGGGAGGGCCCTGGGCGATTCAAATTACACCCTTGCTGGCGCCAGAGCCGGCCGGCTTCCTTCAGCCGTCGTGACCAGCAGCAGAGGAGCTTTGACGAGGACACGACGGCGGGAAACTCTGCATCGGGTGAATGAATGAATGCTCTCTCTCTCTCTCCGGCACTTCTTCCGATGGATGGATGCTGCCTATAACTCAAAAAGCACCAGTACCACGCAAGACTGACGCGTAGCTCCCCCAGAGCCAAGCGCCTCACGGGGCCCCCGTCCAAGCATCATCGTACCGGTACTTTGTCCCACGCAGCTCCCCACCCTCGCTGCCAAGCCTAAGCCGCTACACGTCAGCCACAGCCAATATGCCAAGACTCGGGTCGGTACACCCCACGTATCCCACCACGTATCCCACCCCCGTCCACCCCACTCCTGGATACTCCCGCGCTACTCCTCCAGAGTCCGGTCGCGCGAACTCGTCCCCCGTAATTCTGACCCCCTGCCCACCTCAAGTACCTCTACCATCCGTCGTCCTCGCACACACGGTCCTACTTGAGCTCGCGCGCCCAATCCCTTCTTCTCCTCTTCGCTCGTCCTCTTCGCTCGTCCTCTGCCCTCCATCCTCGCGGCCTCGCCTTATTCAGCCGCCTCCCCTCCATCTCCATTCTCTCCCTCTCCCTCTTCCGCTCTTTTGCCTCGCCCGACTCTTTATTCTTGGCCCGCCCCTCCACCGAGCAGCACCGAGCAGCACCGTTACTCCGCATCCATCCGTCCATCTACTGCCGATTCCTTGCCTCGTCGGCCACGTCAATCGCCATCGCTCGTCTGCCGTCTCGCTGGAGCATGCCGCCGTCCCTGTCGATTTAATATCCAACGATTCCGTCCTCTTCATATCGGAACGCAGCGCTCTGCCACCCTCCAAAATCCTTCGCCGTGCTCCGAAGCGCAATGGCTCGCCGTAGTGGCGAGGAGCCCGTGGCCCTGCTGACGCCCGAGGAGCAAGAGCGTGAATACAAGCCCGATCACGACATCGAGAGCGATGCCGGCTCCCCAGAGCCTCTTCCCACGCAAAACCTCGACCACGAGTACTCGATCCCCAGCACCGTCAAGTTCACCTGGCTTGGCACATATTTTTTTTTCTCCTTGCTCCTGACCCTCTACAACAAGCTCGTCTTGGGCATGGTGAGTCCATCTCGTCTGTCTCGCCTCCATGCCGTTTGCTGACGTTTGCTCTCCTCCCGTGCCAGTTCTCCTTTCCCTGGCTGCTCACCTTTCTGCATGCCGCTTTCGCCAGCCTCGGCACCTGCTCCATGATGCACATGGGCTATTTCAAAATGTCGCGCTTGGGGCGCCGGGAGAACCTGGCCCTCGTCGCCTTTAGCGCCCTCTTCACCGCAAACATTGCCCTGTCCAACCTGTCTCTGGCCATGGTTTCCGTGCCTTTTTACCAGACCATGCGCATGCTGTGCCCCATCTTCACCATCCTCATCTACCGCGTCTGGTACGGTCGCTCCTACAGCACCATGACCTATCTGTCCCTGGTCCCCCTCATCATCGGCGCCGCCATGACAACTGCCGGCGAGATGACCTTTACCGACGCCGGCTTCCTCCTTACTATCCTCGGCGTCATTCTCGCCGCAGTCAAGGTATGTCGAATCCCCCAGCACAAGACGCACGGCCTCATCTGACCACTTCCAGACCGTCGTAACCAACCGGTTCATGACGGGATCGCTGGCGCTGCCACCCCTTGAATTCGTCATGCGCATGTCTCCCATGGCCGCCCTGCAAGCCTTGGCATGTGCCACCGTTACTGGCGAGGTCGCCGGCTTCCGAAATCTCATATCCTCGGGCAACATCTCGCTCAGTCCCGCGATCGCCTCGCTCGCTGGCAACGGGTTCCTCGCCTTTCTCCTGAACGTTGCCTCGTTTCAGACGAACAAGCTGGCCGGTGCTTTGACGATGACGGTGTGTGGCAACCTAAAGCAGTGCCTGACCGTCCTGATTGGAATCTTCTTGTTCAAAATCTCGGTCGACGCGCTCAATGGGGCAGGAATGGCCGTCACCATGCTGGGCGCCGGTGTCTACAGCAAAGCCGAACTGGATAACAAGAAGAGGAGACGGCAATCCGCCTACCAGGCTGTGGAACAGAAACCCCGGTAGCAGCGACGGCTCCGTTCGATACCCCCTCTTCTTTTTAATTTTCTTGTCGATAGATCAACGACGACGATAGATGCGATCCGGGACAGCTTGGGCCCAGTTGCCGGGCTGCGGCGCTATTGGTGACCCTGCGATGCATTTGACTCCCCCTGGTGCGGGAGATTCTCGACAAGAGCATGGCGCTTTGATTTTATACACTCTTGGCTGCAATTTTTCGACCGCACGCCGGGTTCGGGGCCAGGGAGCATTCGCATTGGGGCATGGGTTTTACACGGCGTTTGGACATTGCTGTCGGCTCAAGATGCGGCTCGACGAGGAAGCCAGCAAATAGTGATATACCTCTAGGATAAGGTGGTGGTGTCCTTGTACGCTACGAGCCCGCCTCTTTCGGGGAGGGAGGGGGAGGAAGGCATGGGGTGTAGGTGCTTGTTACTCGGCGTGCCCAACCGAGCAGTTTCTGGCACTGGGATATCATAGCCGTCAAGACACTGCGTCGCTACAATAGATGTAATGCATTACGTCTATTACTGCCTGATATTGATGCGCTGCCAATGTTGAATGTCGCTGGATGGAGGCGCTGTCTGCGGCGGACTTTTGGTGCGGACTTTTGGATACGGCCTCCGGGGTCGGTCGGCGCCTCCTGCCCACGGCGGTCCGGCAATACGGCACGGCCAACCTCGGCGCCGTCCGAGGCCCCCGGAAAGGCAAAAGAGGGGCGGCGGGAGGGTGGAGAACGGGGCGCGTGGGAAAAGGCAATGTCATCAGCCCGGTGGCTTTGGGGCGCCATGCGAGATGTGGCGCACCGGCAAGCAGGGAACTGGGGAAAGGTACATGCGAGGTACGAGGTAGGCAAAAGAAGAAATGACGAAGGAACGGAAATAAACGCCAAGCAAGCGCACGTATGTGGAAAGCTTACGGAGCAAGAAGAGATCAGAAGGGGAAAGTCGAGGAAAAAGACCGTGTGTTGTGGCCTCTTGCCCACCGGGCATCTTCATCACCAGGCCTGGCCTGGCTCCCGTGCGCAGTGGACGCCGCGTCACCGTTGCCCTCAAGTCTTGCCGCGAGACACAAAAGCCCGGCCCGGCAGAGGACGCCAGATGACGCCACAAACCAGTACGTAGATACTTTTTTTCCGTACACACGCTTGCCAAGACTTCCGGGTGCCGGCTTTGCCGCACCGGGTCCTCCCCTTCCCCGCCCCGCCCCCCCTTTTTTTTGCGTCTGCGGGGGCTGCTGCGGGCTCACCGGGGGAGGTCACCAGCTGGTTGCTGGGCGGGGGATCCTTTCGCCTTGCCCGGGGAATTTCTTATGGCATGGGGCCAAGGGGAAGGGGTGGGGGGATGCTGAAGCTGAGGCTGAACGTGGGGAGCGAGGCATACGCTGAAGCGCACGGAGCAATGTTGACCTGATGCCGCATACAGCTAGCTACCCATGCCCATCTACCTATTAACGGCCTTATGATATTTTTAGCAGCACCCTGAATTTGAACCCATGTCTCGCAAAAGCTGGCTGGCTAGGTATAACAGGCGGGATATAACCAAGGATGGACCCCTTTCGAGATTAAGATACGATGACGCAAGGAAGCACATGAGACGAGAAGGTGAGGTTGTTAGGGGTTTGGGGGGTGGTTTGCCAATTCCGACGGCTTGTGCTCATCGCCAAAAAGCCTACCAATAGAACTCGGTAGGATGAATGAGAGATGAATAAATACAAATGATTGGTGATGAGTGCTGGCAAGGGGCGCGAGAGCGAACCCGGAGGAGAGAGATGGGGATGGAATGGCGGGGATAACCGGCAAAGTCGGCTAGCTCGGACGCGCAAGCACGGGCTGACGGTTCGGTAGACGGACGGGGCTCGACGACGTCGTCAGTCGAGCGTCGTCAGCAGCCATGGCGTTTTTCGCGAGCACACCCGCTGGTGAAAGGAGGGAGGGTAATCATGTGCGCTCGTGGCCCTTTTCGGTCGAGTAAGGCCATGACACCGTCCCAGAGCTCCGGGGGCCACCTACGAGGCCTCCCGCCTCAAGTTGACGATGCCCTGTCTGATGTCCTCGACGCTCGAGTTGGGCTGTAGCCCGAGCGCCAGTGCCAGCACCTCGACATCGCCGGGCTCCGCCGCCGCCGGCCCATACCGGCCGACCGAGACCTGGCCCAGGGGCGGGGCCGGCGGCGGCAGGACGACGAGTTGGGGCGCCGCCGCGGGACTGACCCCGCCGGCCCACGTCATGGCCGCCACGCCGCCCTTGCCCTTGCCCTTGCCCTTGTCCGAGTTCTTGCTGAGCATGCCGAACCGCAGGCCCACCTCGGTGGCGGTGACGAGGATGCTGAGGACGATGAGGAGGATAATGATCCAGGTGATGGCGCTCATCTTGGCGTCGGCCACCGAGTCTGAGAGAATCTCGGCAAGGTCGAGGAAGACGCGGCACCGCTCGTTGAGCACCTTGATGCGCGGGTCGATCTCGAGGTACTCGCGAACGGCCTCGTAGAGCGGGTGGAGTGTCGGCTCCGAATCCCAGAAGAAGTTGGGCACGTCGAGGATGTTGGAAGCTAAGCAGGCCCAGTGTCAGTGTCTCTTGGGCCTCGACCGCAAAGTAGCTCCAGGCCTGTCGAATGGGCTGGAGGGGGTGAAGGGGGTGCTTACAGAGGTTGATGTCGACGCGGCTTTTGAAGAGCCTGCCCAGAATCTTGACAATCTCCGTCCTCGTCATGTTGAGCTCTCCCGTCAGGGCCAGCGTCTTGGGCACGTGCTGCGCGTCCAGCATCGTCTCGCTCATCCTCTCCTCGAAAAAGCACAGCTTGGTGCTCTGCGCAATGGCGTGGCTAATGGTCAGCTTGATCATGTGGTCCGACCGCGGCAGCAGCGTGATCATGTCGTTGAAGACGCGCGGCCGCTTGATGTCGGCACTGTACTCAAAGTGAAACTCCTCCGTCTCAAAGTCGTCTTGCTCAAAGGGCCTGGTCAGGAGGCTGATGCCGTCTTCGGCGTCTGCAAAGGTCAGGTCGGCCAGAATGTCCTTTTCTTGGTGCTCCGTAAAGTTCCAAAACACCACTACGCCGTACGAGAAGACGAATATCTCGGCAAAGTTCTTGGCGTCGGGGGCCAGGCGGTTCATGTGCGAGGGTATGCCGTCGTCGCTGTATCTGTGAGCCTCGTCGTCGGGGGACGGGTCGCCGAACGCTGCCGCCCCGTGGATCCCTCTCTCCGGGCTCTCCGGGGTGGTATACGCGTCGTCCTCGAAATAGCCCTCGTGGTGATCCCGCCGCCCGCTTCGCTCAATCTCCAGATCCAGCATCGTCTTTCCCGTGCCCGGGGTCTTGAGCATTGGCCGGCCGCGGACCCGGTAGCCCTCGGTGCCGTTAAGCAGGGGCAGGGCGTAGATGACGTAGAGACAGTCATCGTAGAGCTTCGTCTTGGCCTCGTGCTTTGTTCTCAGGAACTCGGACGCGGCGCGAACCTTGAAGGCCTGGGCCGTGCAATAGGCCGTGAGCCGGCTGACCTTGTCCTTTCTCTGCACCTTGGGCAATCTCTCGGCATAACTTTTGCCTCGGATTCCGCCTCTCTTCCTGAGCACGTCCAGTTCCTCGTCTCTCAGCGGCCGGTTCTCCTCCTCTTGCAGCCTTCTGGCCAGGACCGCCTCGCTCTCCACTTCCTCCTCGGCGTCTTCGTCTTGTTGGTCCGTCTCTGGCAGTAGGACCAGCTTTTCGCTAATCTTGGTCGTCCTCGAGGGCATGGGCTGTCCGGTCCGGGAGTGGACATTTGGGAGCCCGCCAGCAGAGATACGTCGACTGAGCTGCGGGCCACCTACTGAGGGGTGCGGCCTCTGGGCGGGGACGGGCGGCCCTCGCGGCTGGCCGGACGGGATCTGCGAGTTGTACTGAAGGACATTATCGACAGTCATGAATCGCATCGGCGTCCGACTGGAGGCTCCGGTCGACGAATCTTGGCGCCGCGGGAGTCTTCTCTGATTCGACCTCTCCCTCGAGTCCGTGACCTGTATCGTCGTCAGCGAATGGGCATGCAGCAGGGGAACTGGACGAGCCACACCAGCACCGAGGGCCGCTGTTTTCCTGACGACATGATGGTCCGCTCTGGCGGCCGGCCAGATGGAGGGCGACGTCTATCTCGCGATGTCGATGGCGGGCCGGGTGTGCAGGAAGGGCGGCGAGTTGGAGGACTCGAAATCGGCGCGCAGACGGACGAGCTGTCAGCGGATGCTCGCCGTTGTATTGCCTGCTTTGGTGAAGCGCCCGGAGCGTGCACTATCGGCCCTTTTGTGTGAATTGCAGCTAAGGAGCTCTGGATGTCAAGGGCGCAAGTTGAGCTGCATCTAGCCTGATGGATGTTGGTCAATGTGACCTCATCCCGAGTGCGCCGCATTTTCTGCGCGGTGCCGAAGAACAGCCGCGACGTCCTGCGTCTTATGTAAGCGGACATCTGATCGTCAGGGAACAGTAATTAGCTTTTCAATGCCTTTAGTTCCCGCCCCGCCCTAGACTTATGGAGCTGTTTCTCTCATTGGCGAGGTTTTGGATGATCGGCGCATCTGCTGCCCGCGGAGCGCCACTTCCCGAGAGTGCTGGGCTACCCTATACTCAATCCCAGTGCCCTGTGTTTGCCCAGCACTTTTGCGGCGCCGTGGAGCAAGTACGTCATGGGTCTCTCGATGTTTGAGCGTGCACTGTACGTGTTCATCGGAATCAGAGACTGAAAACTCCGAATGTCACGGCATGGCGTTATGCGACCCACGTGCACGCTTCGAGATGCGCATAATAGGTTGGGAGGGGTAAACATGGCCGGCGTACGAACTCGCCAAAAGTCAGCTCCCAACAGAATAACGGCGTGGCGGACGGATCAGACGTAAACAAAACAACACGGCAGGAAAAAGGAACGGGAACATTGAGAGATGGGGGGACACCTCCCAGAACCAGAGCATCACACGGTAGTACAATTTCCCCACACCGCACTCTGCAAAGGCATTTCCCATGGTACTTTTCCTTGGCTCACCTCAACGCTCACAACGGCTGCACGTTTTCATGCACTACAAGCTTGGATCAATGCGTGCAGCTTGCCAACAACTTCGTCGTAGAAGCAAGGGGGCGGCGGCTTGGAAGAAGAGGCACGGAGAGAAAGAGGACGCGAGTGAGCATCGCGTGCTTGTTGCATGCGTGGGCCACTCGCTGTTGGGCCTCGGCAGCCAGCCGGACAAACCACTACGGTATTTACAGTAGTTATTGTTCTGCGATAAGCATCTGTCAGATGGCGGAGAGCGAGTCGGTGGGCCGTCGGTTTGGCGAGGGTCGGCAGCCAATCAGCGGGCTCAGGCAGCTTCATTCGGGCAGGTAGCGCCTAGCGTCGAGTGGCTGTTGCTAGGCGGTTGTCCCGTTGTTTGTTTACCTTGTTTTGCCCGAGGCTCGACACCGCTGCACCACAGGGGGCACGCCTGGACGAGGGAGCCCAGGGGGGCCAAATAAGGAAAACGAACCCCGCCACAGGCGACAACTTCTACCCCAACTTCAACTGTGACGGCGCTGGCATTCCCACGGCGATCCGAAACTGGCCCACGACATACTGTCATTCTGCCATTGTCATCTCTCCACCGCTCGGCTGATTGATGTCTTGACTCTCGACGACATACACACATACATACAGCGCAGCTCGTACCTCGAGTCCTCCCTCGCACACGGTGGACCCTCGCCCATTCCAGTGACCGGCCCGATACAATGCGCTGATGGGCGCCAATTCCAACCCCGTTGACCTTTTCCTGCTGTCGCCAAGAGAGCATCGACAGCGTGTGTGAGCCAGAGAGAGGGAGGGAAAGGCGGCCCGGGAAATAGAGAGGAGACAGAGGCGTGCCAATCAGGTGACTTCGCCCTCCGCAAGGGGACAAGACGCTCTGCCATGTCCTTCCAACCTCACCCTCTTCGCCAGTCGCAAACCGTCGACCTCCCGCCCACCAGCGACATTCTCGACCGGTATCCCTCCACCACATCCTCATCGGCCTCGTCAGCCTTGTCCCACGCCTCGGACCACAGCATCGTCACCCCCTTCACTTCCGCATCCACATCCCCGACCAGTGGCCACGCGCCAAAACCCCCCAAGCTCCACAGACGCGGCCAGAGCGATGTCCTAGCCAGAGCACGAACCTTCGAAGCAGGGGCAATGAACGCCTCCGACGGCACGCACGCGAACCTCTACGGCACCGCTCGCAAGTCTCTTCGCCCCCTCCAGCAGGCGCCTGCCTCGTCCCCGCCTCGCGCGTTGGCAACCCCGCCAACCAATCGTTCCTTGAGACACGAGCGCGGAAAGAGTTTCGATGTCGCCAAACTCGCCCTCGCCCAGAGCGATGGGCCTGCATCGCCCATTTCGCCCCCTCGCCCCGTCTCTTTGCGGCCCAACTCGATGTTGCTGACGAGATCCGATTCTGTTCTCCGGAGTAGCGCTCTGCCTCCCAGCGGCCAATCTCCACAACCTGTCCACACGGCTCACATCGGACGTCCCGACCTCGAGCTGCTCGGCCGATCCTCCACGAGAGAGCTGCGCACATTGTCGCGCCTGGCCCGGTCCGAGTCTGCGGATGACTTTGCCATTACCTCGCCCGCCCAGGAGGTCGTGGGTCTACGCGGCCGACGCCGACTGCAGCGCGTCGACAAGCCCAATGGCGGCCGTGACCCTAGGACGGCTGGCTACGGCTGGGAGGGCCGCAATTGGATGGACAAGCAGCGCCAATTCCTTCAGGCGTATGAATATCTCTGCCACATAGGAGAAGCCAAGGAATGGATCGAGGACATCATCAGCAAGTCTCTTCCCCCGATTGTCGAGCTGGAAGAGGCCCTCCGCGACGGCGTGACGCTTGCAGAGGTCGTCGAGGCCCTCAATCCCGACAAACGCTGTCGAATATTCCACCACCCGAAGCTTCAGTACCGACACTCGGACAACATTGCCATCTTCTTCCGATATCTCGACGAGGTGGAACTGCCCGATCTCTTCCGATTCGAGCTCATCGACCTTTACGAGAAGAAAAACATACCCAAAGTCATACACTGCATACACGCGCTTAGTTGGTTGCTGTTCCGCAAGGGCATCGTCGATTTCCGTATAGGCAATCTCGTCGGTCAGCTGGAGTTTGAGGACCATGAGCTGGAAGCCATGCAGAAGGGCCTGGATAAACTGGGGGCCAACATGCCAACCTTCGGCAACATGAGTGCTGATTTTGGGGTCCCCGAGCCGGAGCCGGAGCCGGAGCCGCAAGAGACGGAGCAGGAGAGGATCGATCGCGAGTTGGCCGAGAATGAGGAGTCTATCCTCGAATTGCAGGCCCAGGCCCGCGGTGCATTGCGGAGAATGCGCCTCGGCGACACGATGCAGCGCTTCTGGGACGGCGAGAGGCAGGTAATCGACCTGCAGGCACGCATCCGTGGCGACTTTACGCGGCAGATTATGAGCTATCGGCTCCAGATGCGACGGTCTGCGATTCTCGTCCAAAGCGCTGTGCGCGGATTCCTCGTCCGGAAAGGACTGGAGAAGAGCGACGAGTTCTGGAAGAGCCTGGAGCCAGACATTCTGGATCTACAGAGCATGATCCGAGCAAGAAGGGTCCGGGACGAGCTCCAGGATAAGAGATCGCTCCTGGAGGCGTGCAAGGGGCCCGTCCGGGAGATTCAGGCGATCTCTCGGGGCTTCTTGGTCCGTCAAAACCGGACCACCCAGCAGCACGAGACTAGGGAGACGTCTGGGTCTGTCCTGAAGCTCCAGGCCCTGACTCGAGGAATGTTACTGCGGAATCGCGTCGCCGACGACCTCCGTCTCCTGGAGGACCAGGCTGGTGCCATTGCTGGCGTGCAGGCTGCCGCGAGGGCTCTGCTGACTAGGACCCAGCTCGGCCGCGAACAGGAGCGGCTGCGCGCATTTGATCTGCAATGGACGGCCTTGCAAGGCTTCGTCCGAGGAAACGCCTCCAGGACCTGCCACGACGCACTGAAGGCGGAGCTACAGCAGCATGCAGATGGTGTCGCCCAGCTTCAGGCTTGGCTACGAGCTGCAGCAGTGCGGAGAGAAGTAGCGATTCAACTGGACGCATTGAAGGAGAGCACGCAAGAAATCCTAGCTATACAGTCTCACGGTCGGGGCCTCCTCGAAAGGCGCAGCGTTTCGGTACTTCGGCAGCAACTGAGCCTCCATGACGCTCAGATCATCGACCTGCAAGGACACGCCCGAGGCTCTCTTCAACGGCAACATTACCAAAGCCTGGTGGAGGAGCTACACTCTCACGACGACGCAACCGCCGCCTTCCAGGCCATACTCAAGGCCATGATTGTTCGTGCAAGGATCGAGGATCTGATTGCCGAGTTCACGGAAGAAGAGGAGTCAATCGTCGCTCTCCAGGCCATCGCTCAGGGGTTCCTCGTCCGCGCCCGCTTCGAAGCAAAGAAGCGATACTTTGACGAGAACATGCAGAAAGTGGTCAAGATTCAGAGTTTTGTGCGCGCCAAGGTCCAAGGCGAGGCGTACAAGAGCCTCACCACCGGCAAGAACCCACCCGTCAACGCAGTCAAGAACTTTGTCCACCTACTCAACGACAGCGACTTTGACTTCAACGAGGAAATCGAGTTCGAGCGGATGCGGAAAACAGTGGTTCAACAAGTGCGGCAGAACGAGATGCTGGAGCAGTACATCGATCAGCTCGACATCAAGATTGCTCTCTTGGTCAAGAACAAGATCACCCTCGACGAGGTCGTCCGCCACCAGCACAACTACGGAGGGAACTCGATGGGTCTCCTGGCCAACTCTAGCATGTCTTCGGCGAATCAGTTCGATCTCAAGGCCCTCAACAAGAGCTCGAGGAAGAAGCTCGAGTCCTACCAGCAGCTCTTCTTTAGCCTGCAGACGCAGCCGCAGTACTTGGCCCGGCTCTTCAAGCGGGTACGCGAGCAGGGAACAGCCGAGAAGGAGTGCAAGAGGATCGAGCTTCTCATGATGAGTCTGTTTGGCTATGCGCAGAAGCGACGTGAAGAGTACTACTTGCTCAAGTTGATTGCGAGATCGATCCGCGAGGAGATTGAGGGCGCCGCCATCCTTCAAGAATACGTGCGGGGCAACTACTTTTGGACGAAACTGCTGGCCAACTACACACGCTCGCCGCGGGATCGCAAGTACCTGCGCAGCCTCTTCGGCCCGCTGATACGAGACAACTTCATCGAAGATCCGGACCTGGACCTCGAGAGTGACCCGATGCAGATTTACCGATCTGCAATCAACAACGAGGAACTACGCACTGGACGACCCGATCCCCGACCGCTTGACGTGCCTCGCGATATCGCCATCCGAGACCCCGAAACCAGGCGCCTCTTCATCGACCATCTGAGGGACCTCCGTGAGATTTGCGACCAGTTTTTCCTGGCGCTCGAGGATCTGCTGCATAAGATGCCATACGGTCTTCGGGTCTTGTGCCGGGGAATGTTCCAGGCCCTGTGCCAGCACTTCAGCAGGGACCCGCAGGAGCACTTGCTGCAGGTGGTGTGCAACTGGCTGTGGAAGTTCTATCTCCAGCCTGCGCTGTTATCCCCGGAGCAGGTTGGCGTCATCGAGAAGACACTGAGCCCCCTGCAGAGGAGGAACCTGAGCGAGGTGGCCAAGGTGATTGGACAGATTACCTCGGGACGGCCGTTTGGGGGAGAGAATATCTATCTGCAGCCACTAAACGGCTTCGTGGCTGATTCGGTTAACCGGATGCAGCATATCACGAGCGAGCTGATTACGGTGCCAGACGCCGAGAGGACATTTGACATTGACGAGTTCAACGACCTTTACGCCAAGAACAAGCCGACGCTGTACATCAAGATGACCGACGTCTTCGCCATCCACAATCTCGTGGCCGCAGAGCTGCCAGCCATGTGCCCGAGCCGAGACGATGTGCTTCGCGAGATTTTGCATGACCTAGGCAGCGCCAAGAACAACGAGAACGAGATGAACGCGGCAGGGTCGTCGGACATTCACATGTTCCTGACGCCAAAGCTTCACGACGTCGAAGACCCCGAGGCCGAGGTGAAGGCGCTGTTCATGGAAACCAAACGATGCGTCCTGTACATCATCCGGGTCCAGACGGGCGCCAACCTTCTCGAGATCCTGGTGAAGCCCATCACGGCCGAGGACGAGCAGCGGTGGGAGACGCTGCTGGAAGGCGACTTTGCCGCCGGTAGCCAGACCAAGGGAGCATACTCGGATGCCAACATGGCGGATATGACGAGAATGACATTCTACGAGCTCAAGCGTACGGCGCTGGAGAACGTGATGCACCTGGAGCAGATGGGGCGCATATCCAAGCAAAACTTTTACCAGGACGTCCTCAACGCCATTGCGAGCGACATTCGGAGCAAGAGCCGGCGGCGGGTGCAGAGGCAAAGGGAGCTCGAGGGCGTACGCCTGACGCTAGGGAACCTGCACGAGAAGGCCAAGTACCTGGAGCAGCAGCGGAAGAGCTATGACGACTACATAGAGCAGGCCATGGCCACGCTGCAGAACAAGAAGGGGTAAGTCAAGCTCGTGCGGAGAGGGCAGCTGGGAGAACAAGTTGACTAACCGGACTTGACTGTATTTAGGAAGAAGCGCTTTCTCCTGCCGTTCACGAAACAGTACAACCACGAGCGCGAGCTGGAGCGAAGCGGCCGGGTGCCCAAGTTTGGCAGCTTCAAGTACAGCGCGCGCGCGCTGTCGGAGAAGGGGGTGCTCGTGTCGTGGAGCGGGCTCAGCAGCGAGCGCGACCTGGACAAGATCAACCTGACCATTTCGTGCGACGAGGTGGGCATCTTCGCGCTCGAGGGCTCTCGAGGCCACATCCAGATACCGGGGGCGAGCGCGCTGGTGCCCATCGAGGACCTGCTGCAGGCACAGTTCGAGTCGCACCAGTTCATGAATGTGTTTGAGGGCAACCTCAAGCTCAACGTCAACTTGCTGCTGCACCTGATTTACAAGAAGTTTTACCGGACGGCTTGATCCCCACACTTGCTTGGTCCATCAACTCACACATACAGGCACGCGGGTGAACACACCGACCCACATGTACGCAAGCATCTCTCCGCCTGGGTCCACAACTGTATACATTTCAACTGCTCTCAGACGCCCCTCGGCCATTTTGCATCACAACCTTTTGCTCACCTTTCTTCTCTTTTTTTCTTCTGTTCTTTCAACCCCCTACTTTCCCGGCTCCTCTTCCTCGGGATATTGTGTCTTTGTTGCTCCGGCACGGCGTTCCGGGAGAGCCGGAGCGAGTTACGGTGCAAGCATGTCTGATTATACGCGAAGGAAGGGCGAGGAAGCGGGGAGGGGCCTGAGCATGGGCCGGGAGTCTGCACGGAGTGTCTTTTCTTCCAGCAAGCGGGTTTGCTTCATGTGGCATATGACAGGAACGAGCGAGCATGGACGTGGGAGGGGCTACGAGATGGGCGTCATGCAAGCCGCGGAGGCATTCGACTAGGTAGGCAGTCGACAAGACAAGGGCGATTTCCTCAAAGCTTGGCGTGCATCTGTCCCCGGTTGTGAGCAAAGGAGAGCACAGCGGCAGATTGAGGCGTTTGCTTGGCGTTGATGCAGAGGTTGATTGGCAGTTGGATGGAAAACAGTTTCGCCGGTCGTAGTTGGTGGCGAGGGAGAGAAAGGGAGAGAAAGGGAGAGGTGGTGATCAAGTTGAGTTGGGCAGGAGAGGCAAGCGCCTGAGGCGGGTTACGTAAGAGGAGGAGCGAGCGAGGTTGGGCATTAATAATGAAGAATGACAGTACGAAGAATGACAGTACGGATATGCAAGTGTCTGTCTGTACAGTAATGAATGAGGCGAGTCCCCTGAGGTCGAGGACCTCAGACCTCCTCGTCTCGGTCGGGGGACGTTTTTCCGAGACAGAACTAGGAGCGATATGGAATTGTCACGGCCAGGCGGTGGAGCTGCGCGAGGCAGGAAGCGACTTGGATTACGAATTTGCAACAAGGAGAGGGCAATTGCGCCATCGCCGACTCGGGCTTGGTGGGCGAGACGGGGCCCATGTGACCGTTTGCGATGCCGCGATTTCTTCTCTTCTCGTCTGAGCATCCAAACTCCGCGCCCCGCACCCTGTCCCACCGCCTCTCGCTCGCTCGCCGTTCTGAATCATCAGATTGACCGTCATACAACAGGGGCCGTCGAGCAGCCATAAATGATTCGCCTTCCTTTGGCTCTTATCCGCCATTCCTCTCCTTGTCCTACCCACGCGCGCACGCCATCGTCGCCCGTCTCGCTCGCCTCTGCTCCTCTGCTGCCCGCTGACCCTCGCTGCCTTACTCTTATCAAACACGCTTCCGACCCCTTCTTGGCCGTCACTTGACCGACCCCCAGCTGTTTCGGGTCGAGCCGAGCACCTCTCGTCGTCGAGACGGACCCTGGAGGGAGACAAGGGAAAAAAGCCACTTGTAACTCAGAGTCTCAGACCGTCTGCGGGGGAAACGGGCTGGAGGCCTTGTTCTCGACGCCGAGCTGTTTTCTCCTCCAACTATCTCTCTGCCTTGTATCTCATTCCAGACTCTGCGTGCCTTGTCTCCCAGACTCTTTCTGCCTAGACATCCAACTCTCTAGACTGCCCACCATATTCCACGGAAACCCTTCTGCTTACTGCTGCATATTGGCACAGTCTTGACAGACAGACAGACAGACAGCATGTCTCCCGACATCAACTCTCTCCCGCCCTCGTCGGCCACAGCCCACGTCGCAAAGGCCTCCGATGGATCCAAGCCCAACATCCTCTACGTCATGGCCGACCAGCTTGCCGCTCCTCAGCTCCGAATGTACAACCCCGAGTCGCAGATCAGGACGCCCAACCTGGACCGCCTCGCCGCCGGTTCCGTCCAGTTCGACTCGGCCTACTGCCCGTCCCCCCTCTGCGCCCCCTCGCGCATGAGCATGATCACGGGGCTGCTGCCCGCCAAGATTGGCGCCTGGGACAACGCCTCTCAGGTCAACTCGGAGGTGCCCACATACGCCCATTACCTCCGCTCCAGGGGCTACGATACCGCCCTCGCCGGCAAGATGCACTTTGTCGGTGACCAGCTCCACGGCTACGAGCGGCGCCTGACCAGCGACATCTACCCGGGCGACTTCGGCTGGGCCGTCAACTGGGACGAGCCTGACACACGCCTCGAGTGGTACCACAACGCCAGCTCCATCCTTCAGGCCGGGCCCTGCGGCCGCAGCAACCAGCTCGACTACGACGAGGAGGTCATGTTCAAGAGCACCCAGTACCTATGGGACCACGTCCGTCAAGGCCCCAACAAGCGGCCTTTTGCCCTGACGGTGAGTCGAGATGAAACCCCCTTCAGAGCCGCCTTGATGCGGCCCAGCGTACCGACACGGCTCGGAACACATCATGATATCTGGACTGACAAATCTCGTCTTCTCCTAGGTCTCCCTCACTCACCCACACGATCCGTACACCATCACCAAGAAATACTGGGACCTATACGAGGATGTTGACATCGCCCTGCCCAAGGTCCGCATTCCCAAGGAGAAGCTCGACACGCACAGCCAGCGCCTGATGCGCGTCAGTGATCTCTGGGACCACGACTTGACCGACGACCAGATCAAGCGAGCCAAGCGGGCCTACTATGGCTCCGTCAGCTACGTTGACGACTGCATCGGCAGGCTCCTCGAGACGCTCGCCGATGCCGGCCTGGCCGACAACACCATTATCATCTTCAGCGGTGACCATGGCGATATGCTCGGCGAGCGAGGGCTCTGGTACAAGATGAGCTACTTTGAATCCTCGGTCCGTGTTCCGCTCCTCGTCCACTACCCCAAGTGGTTCGAGCCTCACCGTGTCTCCCGCAACGTCTCGACCCTCGACCTGCTGCCCACCATCTGCGACCTGATCGGCACCAAGCCCGCGTCATACCTCCCCATGGACGGTATAAGCATGATGCCGCATCTGCAGGGAAAGGACGGGCACGACACCGTCTTTGCCGAGTATGCCGGCGAGGGTACCGTCCGACCCATGATGATGATTCGGCGCGGGCCCTGGAAGTACATCACCTGCCCGGCAGACGAACCCCAGTTCTACAACTTGGAGAGAGATCCTCTCGAGTTGGACAACCTGGCTCGCCTGGTCAAAGTACCCCCCCAGACCCCCGAGCAAGAGGAGGCCAAGGCCATGTTCGAGCAGTACGACGCCGAGGCCAAGGCCAAGTGGGACTTTGACGCCATCACGGCACAGGTGCTCCAGTCGCAGCGCAGCCGTCGCCTGGTCTGGGACGCTCTCAGGCAGGGCACCTTTACCAGCTGGGACTATGACCCCATTGACGATGGTCGGACCAAGTACGTTGACCTGCCCAATCATCTTGCCCGTGAAGGCAACGACCGCCAGGCCATGGAATTTGAGGACTGACGTTGCAAAAAGATACATACGCTCCACAATCCCCCTTGACGAGCTCGAACGTCGTGCTCGTTATCCGTTTGTCGATTCCCACGGCTACACGATCAACAAGGCCGTCAGCTCAACTCGCGGGTGAAGGTTCGATGGGCATCCGGAGTAGAGCAGAGAAGGGAAGAGAAGAGAAAGACCGCCAAAGATCACGCTCAGGTATCATCGACTGGAGCCAGGCATCCCAGCTTCGCTCGTGGGGACCGGAGTCGAGGAGACCCAGGCACATTCTCGGGCTTTATGCGCCGTGGAGGCAGGGGCCCTCTAGGTAGCCCTCCTTTGCCGTTTGCACCCGCTGCTGCCACTGGGGCAACATAACTGACAACCCAGGGTAAGCTTGCGACTTTTCAAAGCAAATTGGCGCTTGACGACGGGGGCCGAGAGGGAGGCATTTGGTGTAGTGATGTTGGAACAAGGCTGCAGGAACGAAACATGGATGAGCCGAAGCGTGAAGGACTCCATCGATTCGGTGTTGCATTTAGGTTGGATTTGGAATTGAAATCGTTTGCAGAGAAAAGACACATGCTGCGAGTCGACGTGAGCCGCTTCTGCGGGCAGAAGAAGGATGCACGTCTGAATGAACTCTGGAATGGGCGATCGTGACGATGATTGTGAGCGTACGTTGGCTGTATTAATCAGCCGTATTGCATTTGCGAGCTTCGGCCGGTAAAAAGAGTTGATCCGCCCGAGCGATGTCACGACGCGCCAACCTTGGTCCAAAACTTCCTTTGCCGCCTTAACCTGCCACCACACTCCTGTCGGTCAAATCGACCATCACTGCGCGCGCGCAACATCCCCATCAAGCACGACAGGCGGAACGAGGCAACATGGCGACACTAAGTCTCGACGAAGACGAGCTCAAGTCGGTTGAGCAGACGCTCGCCAGGCTGGCGCAGCTGTCGAGCAGCATCCAGAGTCTCAAGATGGACATTCTTAAAAGCAATCCACTCCCTCACCCGTCGGTCCGCCCTCACCCTGGTTCGCAGGCCGGTGACAGCCATTCAAACCATCACCTGGGCGCAGTAAGAGCTGACCTGGGAAATCGCAGATCATCCCTGCAGGCGTCGGCACAGATTCTGCAGCGAAACCTCCAAACCGTCCTCGACAACCTAAGTGAGAACTCAGACCTGTTTGCGCGCATGGCGATCCACCCTTCGACGAACTACCCCGGGCGCACGCAGGAGAACCTCCTGACGCAACTGCTGCGCAAGAAGCTCGAGCCCGACGTCGAGGAGCTGGTGGCCGACGGCCGGGAGACGGCCAGGTTGGCAACGCCCGAGGGCGTGGTGGAGCTGCAGGCCATATGGGACGAGCTGCGCCAGTGGACGCACGAGCGCATTGCCGCCTATGTGCGCGACGAGGCTGGCGACGTATACACCAAGGACGAGCGGGCGACGGGCACAGATAAGGTCCGTACGGGGCTGCGGCGGGGGCTGGACGAGGAGAGCGACGATGACGACGACGACGACGACGACGACGAAGAGGCTGACGAAGCCGAGGACGGGATTGACGATGATGGTGATGGCGGCGATGAGGGCAAAAAGGGCAAGACAAGGCTGGTCCGAGGCCCGGAACCGGAGACGTTGTTGTGGTTTGCGGCGCGGGGCGACTTTGAGGTGCCGCGCAACGTCGAGTACGAGAGGAAGGTGGGCCTCAGGAAGGGTCTCGAGGGAGTGAATATCCCGCCCGCCAGGCCCGAGGGAGCTGAGCCGGCCTAGAGCGGGTTCGGTCGTTCGGAAGTCAGCCCTACGCCTTGGCGGATGGTACGACATACCAAGAAAGCGGCGGCACGGAGAGCCGTGTCCGGGGTCACACGTCAAGTCGCGGCGACTGGTATTGTGTCCGGTCCCTGATACTTCAGCACGCAGCCAGATTGCACACCAAACGGAAGCCCCCAGTGCCTCCGGGTCGAAAAAAGTGTCTCGAACAAAAGCATGGAATTTTATGCCTTGCAATATTGCCTACCGTCGGCAGACCACGACGTCTTGGGCGCATATCATATCGACCTCGCTGTCAAGGTAGTGCCGGTCCCGAAGACCAGCGGAAATGGGGCCCCGGCTGGCGCCTACAGCAGCATTATCTTCGTGGAGCAACTTGAGCCCAACTCATGCCGGAGGCGAGGCGTTCCTTGCGGTGGCCCAGCGAATGGCTGTGGGCCGGGCGAGTGCGATATATGCGTTCTTCAAACAACTTCAGAAACGCGATCATAAGTTGCTCTACCGGTTGCTTTCATGGGAACATGCGCTTAGTTTCGGGCTTCCCTTTTGTTGATCACGCGAACCGGCATTGCCGGGCAGGAATGAGGCACAAGAAAAGACGTGCGCAACCAGGTCTTCTCAGTCTTGCGACGCACCGGAGACACAATATATGAGACTGAAGCACCCGTGCGATGCTGCGGACCTGAAGAGGCCGAAGGCAAAGTACCTTCGCGACGCTCGGGTCAGTTGGCAGACAAGGGGAAACCGCGCTCGAGCAGCCGACGTTGGCGGGCGTCCGTGGGCAACGTCTGGGCAGATAAATGTCCTTCAGGGCCGCATTCGCAATCATCTCCCTCACCCCCACCATCACCTCTTCCCCCCCCGCACGCGCTTTGGCCCTGCTAGCGGGCTGTGATGGGCCGGGAGGGGACGGCGGGCTACTTGTAGAGGTGATGTCGAGGGGAGGGATGAGCGCGGGAAGGTCGAGCGCGGAAAAAGAGGAGACGGCCGGGAAGAGAACCCGACGATGAACTTGCTTGCGAGGCGGAGAGGGGGGGAGGGGGGAGCGGCTGAAATGCTTAACATGGCTGCGTTTTGTGGCTTGACGGGATTGGAGTCGATCCGGGTCCACGGGAATCGACGTTCCTGGGATAGAGGGCATGCCATCCATTCGAGGAGGTGTGTCGGCGCGAAGACATGGCTGGCCTTGCTCTCATCATGCTTGGCCTCCAGCGCTTGGGCTCACAGGCCTCGTTGCCCGATAGACGGTTTTTCCTGGTAAGGTCGGATCTGCGAGACGTGCTGACCAAGGGAGGGATGGGGGATGTTTCTGTTTCAGTTTTCTACAGTCGCATTGGCTGTCAAAGTCGCTTTCAAGTGTCGGACAAATACGAATTATAAATACACCCCTTTTTGTGCCATTGAACCACACGCGTCGGGGTATCGAACTCAACGCCATGACCGTTACATAGCGTACAGTACATGTTGCAATTAGATCTACAACCGCTGTCTCCCCCCCGCCTCCCCGCATCTTCTCGTCTGGCCCTCCCTCTATATTCGGTTACGCCCGGTGCCTCCTATGAGGCATCCTACACCAGCCTCTCCTGGCCGCTCTGGCCGTCGGCCTCGGCACCGTCGGGGCCGCCCCCGGGCTGCGGCTTGTCCGAGTGCTTGGCCGGGTCGAAGACGTACATGGGGAACTCGAGGAAGAGGGTGCGCTTGAGGAAGACGGGCATCTTGGCGTACAGCTGCGGCGGAAAGGGGATGAGGATGCTGGTGCGGTCGAGCCAGCGCTTATACCCTGGCCAGTTGTTGCCCTTTTCGTACCGTGCCTGGGCCTTGGGCCGCTCCGAGAGTGGCAGCCCGGAGACGAACATGAGAAGGAGGGTGAGGAACACGGGGCCCAGGATGCTGGCGTAGAGGGCCTTGAACGCCTGTCCGCCGACGTAGCCATCGGCGGCGGAGGAGACGGCAATCATGTAAATGGCTGGCTCGCCGCATTAGTCACATTGGGCCGGGTAGGGACGCAGGGGCATGGGGGAGACCGGGAGACTAGGGTAAAAGCGGGGAGCCTTACAGAATTGGATGATTATTTCGCCAAAGTAGTTTGGGTGCCGGGAGACGGCAAAGAGGCCCTTGTCGCACACGGCCTTGGCGTCGTGGGCCTGGCGGAAGCGGTACTTTTGCACGTCGCTCACGGCCTCCATGGCGAAGCCAATTGCGAAGAGGAGGACGCCGGCAATGTCCCTGCCGGTGCCAAAGTCGTGCTGCGGGTAGCGCGTGACGTTGGGGGAGTTGAGCAGGGTGATTGGGAGGGAGACGAGCCAGACCCAGAGCATCTGGAAGACCCAGAAGCCGAGGAAGGGGACGAACTTGTCGCGCTTGTCATTGAAGCGGTCGTCGGAGCCGGTGCGCAGGATGCGGAAGAAGAGGAAGCCCGAGAGGCGGACGGCCCAGACGATGAGGAAGAGGGAGGCGACGAGCTGGCGAGCGTGGTGGTGTCCGGACAGGGCGAGGGTGAGGATGGCCAGGACGACAAAGTTGGAACCGCCGGCGAGATCTGGTTGCTTCCATTATTATGACATGATGACTCGGGTTTGACTCGGGTCATGAGGATGAGAAAGCGGGGCGTACCGGTGAGCTTGTCAAACTTCAAGGTAAAGGCAATGGCAAAGAAGAAGAGCTGGTAGGCGACGGTGACAATGGCGGTGATGGCCAGGTAGTAGTCGTCGAGGACATGAGCCGTGGCCATGGTGAGGCGGCTTGATTCGATTGGTCAATGGCCAATCCTGGCTGCAATGCTGGAGAGCTGATGGAGAGCTGCGGGCGAACAAAGGGATTGTAATTGTGTGTCGGGCAATGAGTGACGGGCAGCCTCATCCACCATGCCACTCGCCTTGGCCCGAAGCTGGTTGCATCCAAAGGCGAGAAAAAGTCTCTGACGGCGCGGCCGTTGGTGGATGAGTGGATGGATGGATCATGGATGTCATCATGGCTTGAGGAGGATTGACGTCGGTGATTGGTGAAACGACACTGTCCGATTGCGGGCCAGAGACGGAGTATATTGTTAGTCAGGCCTCTACACGGTGTACGTACCCAGTAGGGCTGATACGCGAGCACGTGCTGGATGCACCGAGACAGCTGGAGTCTGCAGCCTTTTCCAGCGAGAGACCATTTGCCGGCATTGCATCCACCCACATGCTCTGGCATGCCCGTGGGCTCTGCCCAATCGACCGACTGTGGCGCCGCCTCGAGCAGCCTCGAGTCAACCCGACGTTGGCCGTTGGCAGGGCCAGGAGGCGGTACAGAACGGGGATTTCGGCCCTACCATCCATCCACACCCTCTCCACCTCTCCTGGCCCTGGCCAAGACGCCCGTCGACATCGTCCATACATCCACGCATGGCCCATACCGGGTACGCCAAGTCTATTTCTTTTTCTCCGACGGGGAAGAAAGAAAAAGTGGAAGATATTCGAGGGGGGGGGGGGCGGGGACAAGGCAGCCTGACTTGACGACGAGCGACCACGAATACCCACTCATTGAATGCTGCCAGCATCAACAAACGCCATCATCAGCGCTCGCCTCTCGGCATGGCCAAACGAGATGGATCAGCCTTGATGTGCTTTTCACATCGTCTTGATGGATGAATCTTCCTCACGCGCGGGCCCCGTCTTCGTCCTCGGACCCACCTCTGGCCCTCCACACGCTGTCGATGCTCTTCGGCTCCGATTCCAAAACAGATCCTGTCTGGGTCTCGTCTCGCGACGCTGCACGAAACAAACTCCTGACAGACCGACTTGTCAGGCGGCTGCCGACAGTATGCGGCTCCCGACACCATGGCCTCGATCGACCGCCAGCTGGCCATCCGCCTCCCTCTGCATTTCACTACGACTGAACGGCCATCTGGCATCTCAACCTCCTTCGCTTCTTTACGCTGCCTGTATCAGATTCCCGGGCCTGGACGCCTCTGCAAACATCTCTTCCGCCGCCCTGACCTGCACTCGCATCTTCACTCGGCCGCCTCTTTTTGACTGCTGATTTATTAACCCGTTCGCCGCTTGATTCCTGCTTTCGTCTTCTGCCGTGCAGACTACGCATCTCTACTTCTCACGACGCTGCGCAAGGGCCCGACTTGATCGCCTAGTCCGGCTTCTTGCCACCGCCTGCTCGCACCCGCCGATTACATGGCCCGACACTAAACTTCTTGCCTGTCATTTCGGAACCGCTTTCACTTCTGAGCTCGTTTTCGGCTCTCTCCGTCCACCTCCACTCAACAGCTGGACTGTTGTTACAACCTTACTTAATATCACCAGGTGCTGCCGTGCAACGTCTCCAAGATGAAGGTCGCGGCCGTCCAGCTTCTCATAACCTCGGCTGCAGTGCTGGTAATGATCCCTTCCCATCCATCATCCCCAAGACGCGTTAACTCGGCTGACTCTGTCGTCCAGACTACTGCACTCGGTAATGAAGCGCAAGACAGTCACCGCCAGTGGAAGAAATCTATCTTAAACTTGAAACAAGCGCTGCCTGTAGGAGTCGGAGGAGCCGGAGGAGCCGGAGGAGCCGGACTGGCAGGAGGACTAGGACTCGCAAGCCTCGGAAAACCAGCGGTACTGGTAGGCTCAAACCAAGTTCCACAAAAACAGCAGCAGCAGCAGCAAAATGAGAATGTGCAAGGACAGGGACAACAACAATACGAGAAGGGGCAGGACAAGGGAAAGAAACAGCAAGATGGACAGCAGCGGCAGCAGCAGCAGCAAGGGGCCTGCAACATCGGCGCCCTCGTCACCACCGTCACCGTCGGTTGCGGACAATGTGCGACAGATAATGGAACCACTGTCACCCACACCGTCACCCAGGCCGCCGCGAAGATGAAGGTCACCCAGGCTCCTATGAAAGGTGCCAAAAAGCCCCAAGGGCAAGGAAAGGAGTCCCGAGTGAAGGGAGAGCAGTCCCAAGAAAGATCTGTGAGCAGGGCGAGCATTCTTCCTCTTCGTGCAACGTGCTGACCATACAAACCAGGGTGCGAACAAAAACCAGCAGGCCGAGATCCTAATCATCACACGCACCGTCGTCAAGACCAAGACCGTTAATGGTCAATGTGCAGGGGCCGTACGTGCTCTTTTCCCTGATTTCGCCTGCTTGTTGAGATAAAGCTGACTCCCCCCTAGCAGCAAGCCCCGGCCCCTACCATCATCATCAACGAGGGCTGCAACAGTGGAGAGCGAGGCGGCAAAAGTGTAGAGCAGGCTGGCCAAAAGGAGTCGCCGCAGGTCCCAGCCACGCCCAACTTGGACGGCAACGGAGTCGGGGTCAAATTGGTGCCTTTGCCCAAGCCTGCGCAGTCTCAGGTGTCTGAATCTAAGCCGTCGGAGCAGCCCAAGCCTGCGCAGTCTCAGGTGTCTGAGTCTAAGCCATCGGAGCAGCCCAAGCCTGCGCAGTCTCAGGTGTCTGAGTCTAAGCCGTCGGAGCAGCCCAAGCCCGAGCAGCCCAGTGCGGACCCGGCCAAGGCAGCCCCGGCCAAGGCAGCCCCGGCCATGGCAGCGCCAGCCATGGACGGTGCGAAGGCCCCCGAACCCGAACAGTCCAATCCTGCGGCACCTGCCATCGACGTCTCGGGCCTGAGGCTGAGTAGCGCGGTGAACCTGGGCAGTCTGCAACCTGGGCAGTAGGCAACACCTCGGCAGCCTTAGCTTGAGCCATGATGTAATGAGACAACTGAAGGGCCATTTCGTAGGGACGGCAGTTCCAGAATGCCACCAGCTGTTAATATACTGTGACAAGGGCGGGAAATGGAACAAGAAAATCCATGTACAGATTTTATTTTTGCTTGGGTATGTTCACAAGTGCTATATATAGGTTTTTAATAGTATCTCGAAGATGAGGCGATTCTATGCGGTCACGTCCCCGGGAAGCAGGCTGTATCTGTCTATTCGTGCTGTGGAGCGGGTATCATTCTTTGCGAGAGAATTACACAACTTCGGGGCGACGTGCCCCTTAGTGCTGGGGCTTCTCGGTACTGGCCGAGTGCGTCGCCAGCTTCATCTTCTTTGCCTGCCGCTTGCTCGTGGGCTGGCCACCGTCGTCGCCGCCAGGTTTGCGCTTCTGAATCTTGGTGCGGCTTGCTGAGCCGTCGGCAGTGGTGCCGGGACCCGCGGCGTGGCTCGCTGATTTGGCGACCGGTCCGTTGGCGTCCTTGGAGGCAACTTGGACGACATCGATGACGCCGCGGAAGCCGTTTCTCTTAATGCCCTCGTTGACAACGACGCTTCTCGGGATGGAGCGGAAGCCCTCGAGTCCCCTTTCACTGGCGAGGCCCCAAACGCTCAAGAGGTTGACGACATCGGCGGGTGCGCGGAGGGACAGGGCTGTCTTTGCCTCGCTGCTGATGAGGAAGCCGCGGCCGCGGGTGGCGCGAACGAGGCTGGACATATTTGCGATGAAGTTTGCACGGCCGCGCGAGTCAGCGGCGAGGAGCTGAGCGTAGCAAATCTCGAAGCGGATGCCGCGGGCGACGGCGGCCATGCAGGGCTTGGGGCGGAAGTGGAAGGGGAAGTGGACGGTTAGGTCAAGGGAGATGATGGGGACGTCGAGGGTCAGGCAGGCGTTCTGGAAGGCCTTTTCGGTCAGGGGCCGGATGGCGAGGACGTCGTAGACGGTGGCGAGGGCGGGGAGGCGGTAGTTTGAGGCGGCCGGGTCGGCGAGGAGGAGGGTGGCGCGGTGGAGGACATGGGGCAGCTTGCTTGCGGGCGAGGTGGTGCCGGCGGCGTCGAGGTGATTGGGGAAAGGCGAGACGGGCTTGGCGGGGAGGGGGAGCTCGAGGGTGTGGTTGAGGGCGACGGTGGCGTAGCCGAGCGAGGCAGAGAGGGAGAGGGCCTGGAGGAGGCGGTCGGGGGGGGCGGCGGGCGACCAGGCGAGGTTGAGGTCGTAGAGCATGACGGGTGACAATGATGGGTGACAATGGTGGTGACGATGATGGTGACGATGTTGGTGGTTGATAAGTTAGTTGTACATGTTGGCCGGGCGGGCTATAACGGGATGCGGGGCGTCATGATGCGAGATGAAGGACTCTGTTGTGATTGTTGATGGAGCTTTGGATCGAAGCTTTCACTCATTCATTCTCGCCTCGACTCTCGCTCGACTCAGCTTCTCACTTGACATTTTTGCTCGGGCCAATCAAGGCTGAGGTAGCCATGCGGGAGGTGTGGCGTGTTCTCGCGGGGAAAGAGAGGGAGACTCCACTGTGGCGCAGCGCATTCGTCAAACCGCAAGCAAAGGAAAGGCGGCATGGCGTCACTTTGTCTTCTTCATCCATTCACTCACCACCTCAATCCTTTTGGCCCCCTACAGTTTGTCTTGTCTCTGCACTCTGCACTCTGCCGCCGGCGCCCCATTCTCGCTTCCCCCATCGTACCTCCAGCCACCCACCCAAATCCGTGTCTCATTCGTTGCAGGCAATCCCAACAGAGTCAGCCAGCACGCTACTTTTCGCAACCACAGCAGGCCCCGGAGCTCGCTCTCGCGCCCTCGCCCTCACCCTCATCTGCGATCCCCTCTCCATCTCGCCCCTCGTCGCCTCGGTCGTCGCTCATCGCCCTGCCGCGCCCGACGATACGCCCACATCCAGCCACGACAAGGAAGAGACCAGTCCCACGCCCAAGGGCCACATCGGGCTCGCTCTCCACGACGGCCACCGCGAGCTAGCCCTTGGACCCCGGACCGCCGAGGAGCCATGTTCTTCTTCTTCTTCTGCGGGGAGCATACCTTCCGCAAGGAGGTGCCCGGCTATGAGGGCATCGTCTGCCAGTGCCACCACTGCGGCAACATGGCCGGCCATGTAATCAAGAGCCACCCCTGGTTCACCGTCTGCTTCGTCGTAAGTATCCCTTGGCCACGCCTCACTTCCTTGCCGCCTTCTCGCGCTCGCTCGCGTCGCGATGCATGGCTGGCCCTCTCGTCCATTCTTGTCGAGCCAGGCTAAGCTTTTGACGCCAACAGCCCTTGATTCCCTTCTCAATCAAAGGATACAAGGATGTGTCCTGTCACATCTGCAGCTTCAACCAGCCACTCGAGAACCGTCCCGACGTCATGGCCATGGCCAATGGCGGCCAGCCTCCGCAGCAACAACAGCAACAGCCACCTCCCGGGCAGCGCCCGCAATACAGTTAGGCCGCACCGCCTCTCAAGACGCCGTGTTGCCCGCTCTTTGCCTGTCCTCGCTCTCGTGATGCGCCGCCTACGGCGTTACACTTGCATACGCGAATGCTCACCTGCGTGTACGCTTGGTATAGTACATGCACACTTACCCTCGACCATCAGTGTAACATATTCATCCTCTTCCGCTCCCTGTTCTACTTCTTCCGGGACCTTCTCAATCGTGGCTCCTTTTGGATATCGGGAGACAAGGGGGACCTCGTCGGGACGACTAGGCCGTCGCTCGGCTGCATGTCTGATCCAAAAAGGGACAACAAACTGTCCGCATATCTTGGGCGGGATGCCAGTCTGGGGCCGCGTGGAGAGCGCTTTGCTTATCAATGGATATTGCTTTGTTTCAATTCGTCGTGAGCCTCCTCCCCTTGACCGTCTTTTCCCCCGTACGACGGAACTCGTCAGTATCGTTTGGGCCATGAACGCGGCACTCTTCCTCGCCGCAAACCGGCATCGATCTACGCTCTCTCGGACCAACGGAAGCTCGGCTGTCCCACCCCTTCCTGCTGGCAGTCAAGTGCCGTCGGCCACTCCCGCACCGCATGGGGGCAGGCAAGGGGGGGCACTGTAGACGTCATGTGGCCCGTCTCAAGGCGGTGACGATGAATGCGCGGATGCGGCTGTCGACGTTGGAGGCGCTGGATCCTGCTACGGGAGCTGGCCGTGGGCGACAAAGACACGTCTTCTTCTTCTTCTGCTAATGCTGCTGCTGCTGCTTCATCGCCATGGCCATCACGGGCACTGCCGCTGTGGCGCCGTCGACCGAGGGAGAGGAGAAGAAGAAATGACGAGCCCCGAGAATGGAGGACGAGGGTGAGGCCGTCTGACGACCCGGGAGCAGGACGAGGATGAAGCATGGGTGCTGTGCAGCATAGGCACAGTGAGTAGCTCCCCTTTACTTAATCCGCATCGTCCTCGCGCCTACTCCCCCCGTTGTGTGGACATGTTCCCACGACACACATCCTGCACCCATATAGACCCAGAAAGGGGACATGAACGTGCCGCGTCCTATCAAGACGGACTGGAACAGTTTGCCGGCGCGCAGATGTGCGACTTGAACAGCTCCTCCCACTGGCGGCCGCCGTCGCCGACTCGGGAGCAGACGACAGCGGCACGTCGTCACCTCACCACCACTCCGGCCATCAACCACGCCTCCGAGCCGGCACCGTTGCCATCGCCATCGCCGCACGGCGCCCCCCCCCCCTCCTCCTTCTTCTTCACCCCCGAGGACCGTGCCTACCTCCGCGGCCGCCTCCCCATACACCAGCCCGCCTCGGCGCGCACCGCGGCGCAACACTTTGCCCGGCTGCCGCGCGTCTACCAGGCGCTGGCCGACGGGTGCCGCGCCCACCTCGTCCTCCTCGCCGCCGCGCCGGGCGATGGCTGCTGCTGCTGCTGCTGCCGCTGTTGCCGTCGCCGCGCGCGCGTGGCCGTGCTCGCCCAACGCCTCGCCGACAGGTATCGCCGCTTTCGCCTCGTCCTGCCCCCCTCGTACATTGACGAGGCCGTGGCTCGCTGGCGCCGCCGGGGGCTGCGCGCCAGCCGCTTCTGGGACGGCTTGCTCGACGAGGTTGAGGTGTGTCTTTGTCTCTTGCCTCTCCGCCCCTTTGCCCCCCCCCCTTCTGTTCTTTTCCGCCCTCGCGACAACACATCACGAAATGTCGAATAGACACAAAGCCTGATGGCCGAATCCTCCCCAGCGCGCCAACACGGCCTGGTCCATCCTCCGCCTGTTCATCCTCGCCTCCGTCGTCCAGTCAACCCTCGTTGCCTGCGCCTTCGCCCTGCTCACCGCCGCGCCCGCCCGCCTCGCCCTGCTGGCCGCGAGCGCCCTCGCCTGTGTCTGGTCCGCCACCGTCGCGGGCGAGCGCCTGCACGCTTGCTGCGTCGCCGCCGACGACGATGAGCAGGAACTGCACGACCTGCTTGGTGGGCTGCGAGCCTGAGAGACGCACAGAGGCTTGCTCGTGGCTCGTGGCGTGTCTTCTTGTGGAGTCTCTCACTTTTGGTGGGTATGATGCATCTATTTTCACTCAAGCTCGAAAGTATCTCAATCATTCATCATGAAACGGCGCCCGCCGGCTGCTTATGTTATGCATGTCATGAGAGAAAAACAGCATCAGCCATTGCATTGGGTATCCTGTCTGTTCATCCGTGCACGAGCAGGCCGACTGCTCATCTATCCATGATTCGTTTCATCGTGTCCCTGGGGCGCCCTCGAGCCCGATGGCCCCCCGTTGCCATCCTCTGGCGCCCTCGAGCTCGCCGCGCCCTCTTGCATCTTCAGGCTCTCCTCCAGTGCTCTCCTGAGCTCCTCATCCTCTTCGTCATCCTTCCCCGCCGCCTCGGGCGCCTTTCCTTTGCCCTTGCCCATCTGCTGCCGGTATTCCTCCTCGGCCAAGCTCTGCTTCTTCACAAAGTCTAGCACAATATCCTCCTCCGTGCGCTGCGTCGCTTCCCGCTCCATCTCCTCCTTCGATGCTGCAATGGCGCGTTGGAGCTCTTCCTCATCGCCCTCGTCGCCACTCCGGGGCGGCGGAGTTGAATGCTTTTTCGATTCCTCAATCGCTCGCTGCAGCTCGGCGTCGGCATCGGCCTCGTGAGTTGAGTAGTGCGTAGGCGCCGATGCACTGTCGGCTGATCGCCTGGTCGACACCGCATCGAGCTCCACGAATCCATCCTCGTGCCCAAGGGATGCGTGGGCCATGTGATTGGCCATGCTCTGCTGGATAGCTTGCTCGATAAGCGCCTGGTACTCCTCGTCGGTGATCTGGAACTCCTCGCTCTCAAAGATGGTGGTGTTCTTCTCTGGATCCTCCGGAATTGGCTCCGGCAGGCCACCATGCTGCCGCATCGCACAGACACTCTCACGGATGGCCGCCTCAATCATGGCATCCTCCTCGGCATTGCCACGCGAAGTCTCCCGAACCGAAGCTTGGATGGCCTGCTCGTACTCGGCGTCCTCGGACAGGCTCGGCCGCGTGCTTGAGCCGCTGCTCGACGTTAGCGGTACCGGCACGTCGACATAGCCCTTCTTTAGGAGCTCCTTCTGAGCCTGGAGCTTCTTCCTCTCTTCCGAAGCAAGGTGACGAGTGTGAATCCAGCTCGTCTTGGGGCGCGAAAACGGTGACTCCGGTGCTCCGTTTTGTCCCTCCTGTGCTGCGACCACCTTGCCCGCCACCTTTTCCTTGCGTTTCATCATGTAAAAGTTCTTGAGGTCAAATTTCAAGTCATCCCAGCGTCTAATCATGTCGCCCTTCTCTGCGATGGATACCCTGCCGAGGTCTTGTTGCCCCTGAATGGCCCTTGAGGTCATGATGTAGTTCTGGACGCTCCTAGTAAACAGCTTGGAGACTTGTGCATGGACGCCCTGCATCATGTACGCCGGAACGCCCCAAATTCCTAAGCAGATGTTAGCTTGTTCGCGCCTGAGAAGTCTCGCTACCGGTCAGCTTACCAGCGGCAGGCTTCGTGATCAAGCCCCCGATACCCTTGCCGAACCCCTTGACGAAGCCTCCGGCACCCTCCTTCCCAGCACCCCGAATCGGCTGTGTCACGAGTCCCGCGATGCCATCGAAGAAGCCGTATCCAAGTTCCTTGCCGGCAATTCTTATGCCGCTGCTCAGGTCCGTGACCTTTTCGACGGGCCGGATGGTGTCGTCGTTGTAAAGCCTCGGCACGTTCCTGAATCCTTTGGCCAGTCCCAGGCAAAAGTTCATGGGTGACTTGACGCCAGTGGATACGGCACGCCCAACGTTTCTCCCAGCTCCAACTGCAGCCCCCACGCTGACACCCAGTGGGCTCGAGTCTCGGCGCGAGAATGCCTGCCGCAGTTGTATGCTCGAAGCTCGGGGGCGGGAGCGGGAGCGATCCCCCGAGTTTTGTCTCTCACCCTCACTGCCCGACGTCACCGTGGCCGACAGATCTACCAATGGCAATTGCGACGTGCCAGGGGGGGAGGGGGGATCATGACTACAGATGGCGACGTCTCGATTCGCTTCCGGGGGAGCAGGCGACGCGATGCTGGAAACATCAGTGCTTGACTCTACCTTTGAGACCTTATCCGCGGAGACAAGGCTCTGCTTGCTGGTGCTTCCGAGTAGTAGGGGTGGGGGTTTGTTCTGGCTCTCCTTGCCCACCCGCTGGCCTGACCTGACCATTTGACGCGGCATATCGGCAATGGCCATTCCGATGCTGCTGAGATCCCCGACAAGTGAGCAGGCACCTGCCGAGATTGGATCGGGAGGCTGATCCTCTGTGTTATACTCGTATGGCCGGTATCTGACACTCGATTAGCAAATGATGCAGGCCCGGGATCATGGAAATCTTCATACAGCTTGACGTCTGTGTACTCGAGCAGCCCCTCGCTCACGAGCACCGCCACCGCGAGGGGGGAGAGCCGGACCATGGACCTCCGGACTCGCCACGCTGCCGCCTTGTCTGGGGCCACAAAGCATCTGAGGGATTCGATGTCGAGGTGCTTGTGGAAGCTGTTGCCTCCGGCTTGGGTGCCGTGCTCTTGGCGGATCTTTCGGCCGAGCTCCTTGGCTTGTTCCTGCGTGCCAGGCTGAAGGCAGATCCGGAGAGCCTCGGCCAGCTTCTCGGCTGTTAGGTCCTTGTAACGTATCGGCTCCGGACCGGCCTTGGCTCTCGCTATCATGGCACCCCAAAATGGTTGATCGCCAAAGAAGGGAACCACAAACGTGGGCTTGCCCGCCTTGATCCCGGCAGCGGTGGTGCCCGCTCCGCCATGATGGACGACACACGAAACACGTTCGAACAGCCAGTCATGCGGGACGTTGCCGAGCATGTGAACACCCTCGGGCAAGCCAACGTCATCGGCTCCCAGGCCGCCCCAACCCTTGGAAACGAGAGCCCTGACGCCAGACAGGTGTATAGCGTCGAAAATCATGCGAGTCATTGCGTTGGGGTCGTCGACCACTATGGAGCCGAAGCCGATGTAGACGGGTGGCGGACCAGCCTCCAGAAAGGCTGCCAGCGCGGGGTCAGGCGTGAAGGAAGAGGCCAGGTTGAGAAAGTAGAAGCCCGAGATGTCGATGTTCTTGCCCCAGTCGTTTGGCTTGGGGATCAGGGTTGGGGACCAGCAATAGGTGTAAGGCACTTTGAGCCGGGTGAGCAGGCCTGGCGCCCAGATGAAGGAGAGGGGAGGAAGGTCGAGTGCCTTTTCTCGGAACCGATTGATAACATCGCCCAGGCCCTGCCAAGTCATCATCTCGACAAGCGTATAGGTCAAGTTATTTGTCATGACATCATCGGCGTTGGACGACTGGACGTTGGCAAGGGGGTGAGGGAAGGCTCTCGTGGGAGACCACGGCATGCTGTGTACGTTGACCTTTAGCAGATGGCATTAGCTTGGAGCCGTTGGGGCGCGAACTCACGTGAACATCATGTGCAGCGGAATGCCCAGCTTCTCGGCGATGTGGATGTGCGCAAAGCTCGGAGGATTGGCAATGATGGCATCGGCGATAAAGGGCTCCTGAGTCTCGTCTCCCGGCAGACCCGCGGATAGGTCCAGGGGCTCGTTGCGGCCATGGGGCTTGAGGGGTGGGCCGGAGCCATTGCCGGGCTCGATGCAGGACCTCCAGCAGCCGAGCAGCATCTCCTGGATACCCCTGCGCCGCTTGCTGATCTCGCCGCTCTTGAGAGCGTCGATTCCGGGCATGAGGCCGGGGTGCTTGACCATGAAGGCCATGAGCTCGGCAGGGTCGCCGCCAATGTTGAAGAACTCGAGTTCATTCTCGAGGACGAAGTCCTGAAAGGTTGCATGGGTTGCGATGCGGACGCGATGGCCGTAGTCGTTCTTGAGCACCTTGCCGAGAGCGACAAAGGGCTGGATGTCGCCGCGGGAGCCGACAATCTGGATGACGACGTTGAGGGGCGGCGGAATATGCTCCGTGCCAGACTCGGGCCCGAGCCCGGGAGGCAGGTACGGAAGAGCGGACGAGGGCTGGGGCTCGACCGAGAGTTGGCTGTCCAGAGTGGGCGTGAGGAGATCAGCCAGCCTCCTGTTCTTGGTGTTGATATTGATGTTGACACGGCCATCGGCTGCAGGACAGGAGCTGTTAGCAAGCGGGCCGCGGCCGGCCGGTTGGGGACATACTGGTGACGGCGGCGCCAGCCTCGAATCCAGGCTGGGAGAACTGGACATGGTCGTGGTGGGCACCGTAGGCAGGAGGCGTGTCGGCGGGCGAGCCAAGGTGCGGCATGATGAAGCCGTCGGTCACGAGAGCGTCCGAGCCATCCTCGCCGATGCGAAGCTGGGCGGGTAGTGACATTGTCGGGGCGCCTCGAGCGGCATCTTGGTGGTGGCTCGCCGGCCTCTGCCGGTCGTCGACGGGCTCCATTGTGTCAAGCAAAGACGAGAAATGCCGCGGCTGCTCGGGCGATGACGAGGAGAGATGATGGAGCTGTTGGGCCGTGGAGCAGACGACTGCCAAGCCAAGTGCGTGCGTGCTTGCACAAGGGCGCTCGCACCGAACATGTGAAGGCACGCACCGGAGTTGAGCCCGGTTCCTGTTGTTGTTTTGTTTGGTCCTCTTCGCCGCGGCGTTTGGTCCCCGGGCGAGAGAGGTCTAATCGTCTTGTCCACCAACCAAGAATGGACGTCGTGAACAAGAATTGAACAACCTTCCCGCCCCTCCAACTCCCCCCCTCCCTCTAAAAAATGTCCCGCATAGGGACGGGGCGTAGCTGTCAGGCCGCTATATTGTTGGTCTACATGCGCTCACTACCAACTCCAAGTACCCAGCACATCAACCCACTTGCACTTACAGTACATGGATGACTGCCCAACTCGTCGAAAAGACTTCAGCCATCTTACTGAGTAACCGTACTGTCCTGCAAGAATTAGACGTCAGCGTGGCTTGGGATCGATCGTGTTTCAGGGTACAGATACAGTACCTTCCTGGGCGCCAACATCTTATCGTCATCATCCATCCTTTCCTCCTCCCCCCTTGCCGCCGTGATTCAAGGAATTCAAGGAACCACGGCGGCACACAGCCACTGCCCGGGTTTATTTTTGGCTTGTGGCTCATCGCGCCTATCTCTGCCTCGTGCATGTGCATCGAACCATCCACACATGCTGTGCACGCCTTCTGCGCATGGTCCAAAGTCCGTCTTCTCCTTGTCCTCACGAATCGGGGCACTGTAAGTCAGCCCACCTAAAGTCCGGCACACCCCAACACCGGCACTCTCCACAACACCATCGCGTCGTCAAATACATTACATTGCAACCGCGTTTTCTCGTGCATCTCTTGCCCTATAATTATAAAATAAATACTATTTATATCAGCGATGCCTCGGCTTTCTAAGTATACCGAAAACCAGCTCCAAGAAGCACTCGAAGCTATTAAAAACGGGATGCCTCAGCTTCATGCTAGTCGAAAGTAGGGTATTCCAAGAGGGACCCTCTACACACGTCTTAAAGGGGCTCTGCCCATCAAGGAGGCAAAAGAGGCATATTAGAGGCTTAGCCAAGAGCAGGAAAAACACCTTGCCGACTGGGTTCTTGCCCAGGCCGCCCTTGGGCTGCCTCCAACGCATTATCAGGTCAAGGAATTTGCCGGCCGCATCGTTAAGGCCGGCGGCGATACCCGTCCGCTTAGGAAGCAGTGGATTTCGGGCTTTTTAGCCCGGAACCCAGAGATTAGTACCATTAAAGGTAGATCTCTCGATTCTGCTCGCGTTAACGGCGCCTCTGTGGCCCGTATCGAGGAATGGTTCCAATTGCTTAAGCTGCCGGCTATACAGGCAATCCCACCGGAGTCCCGCTTCAATATAGACGAAACGGGCATCCTCGAGGGCCTCGGCTCTAATAGTCTAGTACTAGGGAGCTCAGAGAAGCGAGAGACTCTCAAAAAGCGGCTAGGATCGCGTTGTTGGACTACAATAGTCGAATGCGTCTCTGCTATAGGCCAGGCCTTGACTCCCCTTGTGATTTTTAAGGGTCAAGACCTTCAACACCAATAGTTCCCTGACGAACTTGATTTTCTACGAGATTGGGACTTCATTGCCTCCCTAAAGGGCTAGACAAGTAATGCTATCGCTATTTAGTGGCTAAAGTAGGTTTTTATCCCTTAAACAAGGCACCATAAGTAGGGCAACACTCTTCTTATTATTAACGGCCACGGGAGTTATTAGACTAATGATTTTATGTACGAATACTTTTAGAATGGTATATATCTCCTTTTCCTACCATCACACTCCTCACATATCCTCTAACTACTTAATATCTCGGTTTTCTCGCCTATTAAGGCCGCATACCGACGTTAACTCGAGAAAATCGCATCTTTCGACGATATAGCGCCAATTAGCAAGGCTACCTTCCTTCGTATCTACTACGAAGCCCGGCAGGCTGGCCTAACCGAAAAGAACATTAAGGGAGGTTAGCGCGGGTCTAGTTTATGGCCAATTAATATAGTAAAGCCCTTATTAAGCCGCTTCGTCTTGCCGCAGCCGTTAACGCCGTCAACGCTATTAAAAAGGAAGAATATTAGCTCCTTAGCTAATAACGATGCCCTTAAAACGCCTAAACGATCGCAAGAAGTTCGCCGCCTCGTTGTGGGGCTAGAAAATCGCGGTCAAGTTGACCGTACAATCCGACTACTCTTTAGCAAAGTTGGCCGCGCCCTTGACAATCAAAATTGGTAGCTTGCAGCTGCCTAGCTTCGAATACAACAGCTTAAGCATCAATTGCATCGTCTACGGCCTCGAAAACAGAAAAAGGTTCTATAGGATCCTAATGGCCGGTTCGTACGGATTGATCAAGTTATTAAGACGAGGCAGCGGCTCGAGCGCATCCTCGAGCCGGCTGCTATTGCCGCAGCCAATCAAGGCGCAGATTTTGAAGCTCTATGTGGTAGCTGGCAGCTTAAATAGCTAGAAAACACTATAATTGACTATCGTAACGTTGAAATGCGGCTTCAATTACTGTTGGAATGTGCCTACCTTGGTGTTGTGGAGAGTGCCGGTGTTGGGGTGTGCCGGACTTTAGGTGGGCTGACTTAGGGGCTCGTCCACTCATCGGCAGCCTCGTCTACCAATCCAAAGGCACGAGCCTACATGTACTGTACAAAGTACACAAGCACATCAGAGGCCAGCACCAAACGGCGTCGTCATCTGCCGCGCGGGTGCATCAGGACCCAGGAGGAACAGGCCCCCAAATCTCAGAGGCATCCATCCATCCACTAGCTCTCCCACGGCCGGTGGCGCGCGGAAGCCATGGGTCGGACAACAGCACAGCGACCAAGAAATATCATCGCATTGAAGTATTGATACAAGGCGCTACGTTCGACATGCTCTCTGCTTTGAGCCTGCCGCTTGATCGTCCGTCTCCGTCAGGACCGCTGTCCAGTGTATGCCCAGTCCTGCCCACCCTCGTACACCGCCCAACCCTGGACTGCCTGTCCTCAAACCCAGGCTATCTCTGCCAAAGGTTTGGCCAAAGGTTTGGTTCCGACATCGTCCAGTCCGTTACAAAGACTTCGCCCGTCCACGTAGTTGACAACTTAGCTCGAGAACCGTCGCGTCATCTTGGCGATGACTGAAGGCCATGTTAGGTACCTGCTGCAAAACTATTATATTCAAGGGAAGCTCACTATGCAAAGCGACAACGCTGAAGATGAAGACGAGCGACAGAACCAGAACAATGACGGGGTCAACCTTGAGACCTGGCGATTCATCCGTGTAGAGCCCTGCAAAAAAGATACATTAGTTCAGCCTTTCAGCGATCATGTTGCCTATTGTTAAGTTCGGCGAGTGTGTCCAAGGGGCAGCCATACTCAGCATGGTACTGCTGGAGCCGCCGGCGCCGGCGGCCCTCGTGCTGGTCGGCCGGGCATTGGCGATCTTCTCCTTCTGGTCGGCAGCGGCGCGTCGCCGAATTGCCGTCCGCGCACCGCCGGGAGGCGTCGGGGACGAGGGCCGGCCGCCGCTGACGCCGCTGGCCATCGCCGGCGAGTTCGTGGGGGAGTCGGAGCGAGGGGAAGACTAGGTAGGACAGCCTCCAGTTAGCACACGATAGTCCACAGCCAGCAAGTTGCTATCCAAAGATCCGACTCCGGCTGGACGTCGACCGGCAATTGGAATCGATGGGCGCATACCATTGTCACGGTGATGAGTCGCTTGTCGAGAACCGGCCGATCAAGAACCTCTGCAGGATTCCTGAATCGTTAAATGATGGCGGGTTGGATGCGACACGGATGACAGACGACGGGCGACGGTATCTCAAAAGGAGCCCGAAGAGGCGCCAAGTTGAGGCCACATGCACCAGAAAGATGTCGGTAAAACAATGATCCGAGTCAGACAGTATATGATATATACCCACACTGTACGGAGTACGGCACAATTGGTAGGCCCCGGCCCTGGCAGCTACACGGATATCCCTTCTGCACTATTATTAATCTGAAGTCTCACTTTGTCACCAGTTCGAGCAGCAGTCATTTTGTGTCGGGGGAGAAATCCCACAGGACTCTGTATGTTGCGCTGCTCTGTGCCGCGTCTACTTCAGCACTCGAGTGGCAACCCAATCGCTTTGCCTGAATCTGCTGGCAGACTCGCCTGTATATGTACAATTCAAGAAAAGCGGCGTAGAAGAAAGGCGCGAGTGATGAGACAAAGGGAACCACAGGACAACAAACTCCACCGAGGCAGACTGGGCGGACTCTATGGCCAGCCGCCAGGCCCGAGAGACGAATATAAGAGGGCGCGGCCCTGTCTGGGCAACCTGGCACCCGTCCGATGCAACCTCCGCGCGGGGCCTCGGGGTAGCAATCCCAATTTCGCGGAGGAGAATGGCCGGCTCTTCCTCCCGCATCCCCGTTCCGTGCTTTCTGCTTCTTCTCCCTGGGGTTTCCTGCTCCATCTTTTCAACTTTCGTGCCCTTTGGATGCGATGACTTTGCCTGTTTCAAGAAATCTCCGTCAAGGACTGGGCCGTCTGGCCTTTGGCCTCCAACGCTTGCGATCAAAGAGGACATCTAGCTGGCGTAGAGGACCTTTTCCCTCGCTTCACCGAGGCCGATCATGTATGATTAGACAGTAATACATCTACATCAGGAAACGAAAGATCTCAACCAACGCCTTCCGCTATGATGGCAATACTGCGAATGGGGGCTGTGCGCTTGCAAGAGTGGCACAGGTTAAAGAGAATGGGGAGGGAATGGAAAAGGAGTTGGTCAAGGTGATGAATGACAAAAGGGGCGTGGGTGGTATCTTAGAGAGTGACATCGAGCACCAGGCTAACGTCGGCCACGTTGGGGCCGGCCAAGTCCTCGAGGACGGGGATTAGATCGAGCAGCTCGTTGTCGTGGGCATCCGAGAACCAACTGCTGATGGGGACGGCGTGCTGCGGGTGAAAGATATACGACGTCGGCGAGTTGTCGATGATGATGGTGTCTTTGAGGTCCCGGCCGACTTGCGAAAGATCTTTGACATAGTTGCCTTGATGGTTGTAGCAACTCTCGCGGAAAAGCCGATGATGGACAACATTGTGGATATCCAACTGATCCAACAAGGGGTCGCCGTACTAAATTTCGGGTCAGCAGTCTGGAGCGACGCGCAGCCATCTCGCAGCAGGGCCGGGAAGAGCAGGGTCTGACCTTGGAGACGGACGCCGTAAAGACGACGACTTCGTAGAGCTCGCCGACTCTCTTCATGAACTCGTCAACACCGGGTCTTTTGATGACGTAGACGTTATGGTAGTTGCCCTCGATCTCGACCGGTATTGTGAAATCCGCCTGGTGCAGAATCTGGGCTGCTGTTAGCCTCGGACCGACGTCTTGGGGCGACAGAAACGAACCTTGAATGAGCTGTGGACGAGGGTTTCGTCGAGGTCCAGGACTAGACATTTCCTCCCCTTGTGTTCCACTGCCACAGGGGGAAGCAACCACTTCTGAGCCTCATGGGCAGCTGGACCCGGCTCGGACACAGGTAGGGGGGCGACGGCGGCAGGTCCTGGGCCCGGCGGGGGCGGGGGCGGAGGTATCGTCCTCTGCTGAGGCTCGTCGGTTTGCGCAGCAGCGGGAACAGCTTGGGGGTCTTGGGGAGGGGCGTCTGGCATGCTGACATCTTCGTCGCCGCTGTCCGACTTGTCGCTCTCTCGGGGCTCGTTGCTGATTTCCTCAAGGTCGGGCTTGGGTGGGTCAACCGTGACGGCTGGAGGGGTAGATTGCTTCGGTTCCTCATCTTGGTGCTCAGGGACCGGCACCTGATTTTCACCACTCCCAGACGCTTCATTATCGTCATTGTTGGCGGGCGTGGCTACGTTTTGGTGCAACTCTTTCTCGTCAAGCAGCTTCGCGGGCGCCGGGTCCTGGGCAGCCTGCGGTCGAGACTTGGCCGTGGCTGGTCGCGCAGGCAGCTTTTCCACCTTTTGGACATTCTCGGGTTCCCCATCGTCGACAGCGTTGGCCGCATCAGGCACGACGCAGCAACCGAAGAGCATTAGCAGGCCACCGCCGCGTTTCTTCCGTTTCTTTTGCTCACTGGTTGACGGTGAGCTCGGCTGGGAATTTCGAAAGGTATTGCCCTGTTCGCTGTCGCGGCCGGATCGGCGGCTCGAGGCGCTGCCGTTGCGTTGCCTGCCTGCAAAACTACCCTTGGACTCCTTTGAACGCCCGCTGATGCTGTTTCGATGATCCGTGACTGTTGCCCCGCTGAGACCGGTGGAAGCCGCCGACGATTGATTCCTCTGCTGCGAAGAGGACCGCGAAGGCACTTTGAGAAGCTTCCGGTCGCCCTTTGACGTCCCCGCGTCCTCCGAAAGCGGCTGGTTATCGTTCTTTCCACCCATGACAGAACGTCCTGGGCCTTGGTCAGGCTTGATCTCGGCGGGGGGGTTCGGCGTCACGACAGTCTCCGACATGGCGTCTGCTACAACGAGGATAAATCAGCTGAGGGTGAGGGCAGAAGCAACGACGAAGCGCTGATCAGAAAGGAGAGGGAGAAAAGGGGGCCTGGAATAGGGGTAGGATTTGCTTGATGCAGCAAACAGCTCTCGATGCAGGATGCAATTAGATGCCGCCGTGGAGAATGAGACGCGCCGCGCCGAGGCCGTTGCAACTTGGGAGAATCGAGACGCGGACGAATGGGTATGGGCAGCCTGGCTGGGGCAGGGAGTTGCGCGAGGCAAAGCAGCAGTTCAGACTCACCTTGAGGCGCCGTCGGGCCAATCCAATGGACCAGCCGCGGGAGGAGAAAAAAACCTGCCCCGAGTCGCTGCGAAGGTCGGCTCCTTCAGAGCGACGGCTTCAGGCAAGGGGATCCGGGTCTCGTGTTGAAGGGTGTTGGGAGGGGAAGAGGAAGAAAAAAAAAGCACCCGGAAATGGGAACTTGGCGAGGCGCGAGAAACGCGAAATTAGGGATCTGTGCCGCGGTGCCCAAGATCGGGCACTTGGCAAGGCGGCTAGGGCGCTGCGAGGATGAGCCAAGCCAAGCCAAACCGTCGCCGTTTGCGACAAGCGGCCGAGTCTTGAAGTCGCTGAGGTCGACCGTAGGGGGCGAAGAGAATCACGGTGAGCTGGAGGAGAAATGGCGACGGTGAACGAGGCGCTGGACAGAGCACACGGGGTGGAGGAGAGAACGGCGTATCAGAGGCTGAAGAACCTGGTACTGCAAGCGAGATGATGACCGTAATAAAACGTGATGGTTCGGGTCTGGAAGAGCCAGCCAGGTTGCCAGGCTCCCCGGGGGGGGGGGGGAGGAAGACAGAGGTGATGGGGCTTGTGCAGCACCTACCCGCCTACTGCCAACTCTTCCATGTTAGCGGTGCCACCAGTAGTAGTAGTACTTGTAAGCAGCAGCCGCCGCCGCCGCGGGGGCCCAAAGTCAGAAAATGGATTTGATGTACTGCAAAGTACTAGCGCACTAAGTTTTTGTATCAGAATACTAGAGAGTACTTCTGAGGCAGAGCGGGTCGGGCCTGGGCCAGCAAATGAGGCTGCGGTATATCGAGGTACCCGCCAGGTAGCGCTGGCTGGGTTCGGCGGCTCGGTTGGTGGGCGAAAGGTGTGGGGTGGGGTTGGCCAAGAGGTCACCCCTGGAGTGACATGATAGGGCAGCATCGCGTCTCCGTGCAGGAAATCCGACTTTGCACTCAGCAAACCGGCGCTTGCGAGGCGGTAAACTGTGCGCACAGAGATACTATCAGCACTGTAGAAAGATAGCCCGTGACCTGCTGTCGGGTCTCAATTTCTTTTTGAATGGCACCCGCCAAGCCCATGGCCCTACAGGTATTCGTACCGTGCCCATGTATTATGTATTCATCCCTCCACTACGGAGTACGCTCACCCGCCGAGGAGCAGCAAACGTTGCAGTTCCAGCTGTTGGCTGTGAATTGGGCAGGCGCTGTCGCCGCAGCGCCCGTGCCCGCGTGCTCTACAGTATGGGCTGCGCTATGGATGTAGAGTCAAGGCAGGTTTCTTTTTCCCCTTCGTCTTGGAGAGGGTGGAGAGCGAGTGTCCGCGAGTGAGGGGAGGGACAGGTGGGGCGGAATAGAGGGGGCAGGGCTCTTGTCGGGATATCTTTCGGATCTCGGGCGGAGGAAACAAATGGGAGGAGATGCCCAGTTTGAATGGGAAACAAAGATGCCGTGGGGCCAGTGCTCGCTCCATGGGGGCTGTTTGGCCTCGCAGACGAGTCGTCAGCAACAAAGGCCAGCTTGATGGCAGACCCGGAGCTGGCTGTAGATTAACAGCGGGTTATTAGTACCTACTTGTAGTGGCAAGTCGAAGGAACCCGGAGCTGCTAGTCAATCGACTTGTACCCACGTGCAAGAGGACACACTCGGCGGCAGCAAATCGCTGTCGGCATCGCATCGCAGCATCCCCCGTGCAGGGCCAGCAGGGCATCGGGCCATGGATGCAGCCGGTCGCGGTGCTCCTCGACATCCAAAAGCTCTCACGACCTAGAACATGGTCCGGCCCGGCGCCACCATTGGCCTCGCAGGCGCCTGGCTGCCAAGCTGCCCACCCTCCAAAATGCCAGGTGTGGGCCAAGGTCTTGTCCACTCAGCTCCAGCCCGAGTCTTGGTACAGAGCACCGCTGCCCTGTTCCGTCAAGGCACCCCGGCTCGCGGCAATGAGGACGTTAGATGGGCATACCCCAGGCACTGGGGGAACTCGACAAGTCTCCCACTTGGCCCGGGGTAAAGTATCGGTACTTGACCTGCTGGTGGCTTGTTTCCCCCGAGCGGGTTGGCTGTGACGGCACGGTAGATCACTTTGCTTCTCTCTGCTCTCCATGCCTGGCTCCAGCTTGGTCAGCCAACCGTCGCCCACCCATTCCCGTCGGCCTGTCGACACGCGGATGGCCGGAAGAGGCCAGAAGAGGTCGTAACATGAACTGTACAGTACATGAGCAGAAGGCAGGCATCAGAGACAGCATCAGGGGGTGGCCGAGGTTGCATCATGTTGCGAATCCACGACACCCACACTCGAGCGTGAATGGATGGCTGCCAGAGGATCCTCGGCGCAGCAGACCGTCTGGTTTACACTCCTGCCCGCACTGCATCGTCGTGGGATGGATCCAAGGCGACTCCTTCAACCCAGGGGAAGAGGCTCCCTCCCCCATGCCCGTTGTGAAAACTGACATCGGCGCCGAGTGTGTTGATAATTACCGTAGTTGGGCGGTCCGCTCAGGCTGCGTCATGTGAACCCCGAGCGAGCAGTGGCAGGGGCACGTGCTCTGCTCGCAACGCACATGGCAATTGCCCGGCGAAATAACGCAGCCCTCTCCGAAGGACTGAGGCTCATCTCATGTTTCCCTACGGAGTACTCCTTGCTGAGAAAGGAATGGAGGGTTCAGGGTGTTGAAATGGACCGCCACCAGGCAAACCAAGTTGCAAGGTGTAGAGCGCTGTAGCTGTCATTACATAATCTGGTAGCGAAGTGCTTCCCTTGTCGGCGCCGGCACTAACAGGCCCTCGTAGCCTCGGAACTTCACATGCCATTCGCGGCGTGCCGGATTCCCCGATGCGCCCCCGACGTCTCCCACCCCTTCTCCAACGACCGTCTTCCCTGGCCTCATCCGAGCTCCGTCTCCCCTCATGCTCCATTGCCTCGACAAGACCCCTCGTCGCCGTTGCTCATGAGCAACCACCCAGACCGCCTGATTCGGGCCCTCGGTCCTTGAGCCCCCCTCATCATGGCAGCGCAATCCAACCTGCGCACCACGGCGGCCGAAGATGCACTGGCGGCCTTTGTGGAGAGATGGACCACCGTCATACGCACCAGGCTGCGCGGCACCTCGCGGAGAACTCGGATCCTGGGGACTCTCGCCCTCACCCTCTCCATTGTCCTGGGTGTCGAGGGCACCCGGCGTCGCTGGAAGAGACAGCGCCTCGAGCGGGAGCAAGGCCGCAAGCTTGTCCGCACCAACTCGTGGCTGCACAACAAGGATGGATCGCGCACCATTTATGTCCCCTACAAGGAGGGCACGTCCAAGGTCACCATCAACACGACCAAGCCCCTCACCTTTGAGGCGCACCGTCGCCTGTTTCTCAACCCGCCCCGCGTCTCCGGCCTGGGCGACGGGACCGTTCCCGCCGCGCACACTAAGCCGGGCCTGAACCTGGCCTTTCTGCACCAGTTTCTCAGCCTCATGAGCATCATGATTCCCCGATGGTCGAGCAAGGAGGCCGGGCTGCTCTTGAGTCACGGCCTCTTCCTCATGCTCCGGACATATCTGTCATTGGTGGTTGCCCGGCTGGACGGCGAGCTCGTCCGGGATCTCGTCGCCGGCAACGGAAAGGCTTTCCTTTGGGGCATCCTCAAGGTGCGCCGTTCTTCTTGCTCCTTTTTCCCACTTGAATTGCGACCTGCGCTAACACGCCTGTCCGCCACAGTGGTGTGGCCTCGGAGGTTTCGCCTCCTACACCAATGCCATGATCAAGTTCCTCGAGTCCAAGGTGTCCATCGCCTTCCGCACCCGGCTGACGAGATACGTGCATGATCTGTACCTCAATGAAAACTTGAATTACTACAAGCTGTCCAACCTCGACGGCGGAGTGGGACAAGGGGCCGACCAGTTCATCACCCAAGACCTGACTCTCTTCTGCGCAGCCGCCGCCAATCTATACTCGTCACTCGGGAAGCCCTTTGTCGACTTGTGTGTCTTTAGCTTCCAGCTCTATCGATCTCTCGGGCCCCTGGCCCTGTCGGGGCTCATGAGCAACTACTTCCTCACCGCGAGCATCCTGCGTCGGCTCTCCCCTCCCTTTGGAAAGCTCAAGGCTGTCGAGGGACGCAAGGAAGGCGACTTCCGAAGTCTTCACGCTAGGTTGATTGCCAACGCTGAGGAAGTGGCCTTTTACGGCGGCGCAGACATGGAAAAGACATTTCTGAACAAGGAGTACAAGTCGCTGAAGAGCTGGATGGAGGGCATCTACATGCTCAAGATTCGATACAACATCCTCGAGGACTTTATTCTCAAGTACAGCTGGAGCGCGTACGGTTACCTGCTCGCTTCCCTACCCGTCTTCTTCCCGGCCTGGGGCGGCGTCGGCGGCGCGGCTGAGATGGTGGAGAGCAAGGAAAGGGGGGGTCGCGAACGCAACCGGATGAAGGATTTCATCACCAACAAGCGACTGATGCTCTCCCTCGCGGACGCCGGGGGCCGAATGATGTATTCCATCAAGGACCTGGCTGAGCTGGCAGGGTACACGAGCAGAGTGTACACGCTGATATCGACCCTGCACCGGGTCCACGCCAACGCGTACTATCTGCGAGGTGGCCAGAGCGAGCTGTACTCGCTTTCCGACGTGCAGGGGACGATCCAGAAAGGCTTCGACGGTGTTCGGTTTGAGCATGTGCCAGTGGTGGCGCCGGGATTATGGCCGCAGGGCGGCGAGGAGCTGCTAGACTCCCTGTCCATGATTGTTCGGAGAGGCGAGCACCTCCTGGTAGGTGGCGTATCCCAAGGCGGGGCTTCCTGCGGCTGCGCACTCGCTGACACGGGATATGATGGTAGATATCCGGCCCCAACGGCGTGGGCAAGAGCGCCATAGGTCGAGTGCTCGCCGGTCTCTGGCCCGTGTACCGCGGGCTGGTGAGCCGGCCCAAGTGCATCGGGCAGGACGGCATCATGTTTCTGCCGCAGAGACCCTATCTCAGCCCCGGCACGCTGCGTGATCAGGTCATTTACCCCGACGGCCACGTGGACATGCGGGAGAAGCGCAAGTCGGAGGATGACCTCAAGAGGATTCTCGAAGAGGCCCGGCTCGGCTACCTGCCCGATCGCGAGGGGGGCTGGGACACTCGAAAGGAGTGGAAGGACGTGCTGAGCGGAGGCGAGAAGCAGAGGATGGGGTTTGCGCGGCTGCTGTACCACGAGCCGCAATACGCCGTCATCGACGAGGGCACGAGCGCCGTATCGAGCGACGTCGAGGGGCTGCTCTACGAGACGTGCAAGGAAAAGGGCATCAGTGAGTACCAGCGCGTCCATGGCCAAAGTAAGAGGATCGCTAATGACACGCTCGCAGCGCTCATCACGATATCGACGCGGGCGTCTCTCAAAAAGTACCACACGTTTAATCTCATCCTCGGCACGGGCGACCACGGCGATGGGTGGGAGTTTGAGCGGATCGGGACGGAGCGGGAGAAGCTGCAGGTGGAGAAGGAGCTTCAGGAGCTCCGGGAGCGGCTGGCGCAGGTGGACGAGTGGAAGAAGAGGCGGGACGACATTGAGCGCGAGCTGGCGGCCGTGTGGACCGACAAGGGGGAGGTGCTGGACGGGCCGGAGCTGGGTGAGGAGGCGGAGGAGATCCGGGAGCAGGAGGCGGCCGAGCTTGATGAGCCGGCGACGCAAGGGCGCGAGAAGCTCGCTTGAGTTGGGTGCGAGAAGCGCGTGCACGTTGATGGATATATCCCAAGTATGTATTCGTACGTGTAGATAGAGGTGTGTATGTGTATGTGTGTAGGTGTGTGTATTGCGAATCATCAGCCAGTGTCAACTGCGACTCTTGCATCATCAAAGTCGCAGGAAAGGTTGACGCATGCTCCGGCTCGTGAAAAGCCTCATGTCACGACATGAATTTTCCCACGGGCAGTAGCTGTCTAATCAGAGGAAGCCCGCACACCCTCTTCTTTCGAATGATTGCTCCGTAATTGACTTGGCGCGTGGTTCGGCTGTTCTTGTCCTGCCGGCTTTCGGTAGGAGTTTTTTCTTTCTTTTTACTCGTTCTCTGAGCGGCGTAATTTTCCTCATGAAGCTTGGGAGAGTCATGGTACGCACTTTGATTTGTAGAAAGTCTGGTGGAGGATTAAAAGCTCCCCACAACTTCCCGCTCCCTCGGGAAGAGTCGCCGAGCAGAGACAACGACACATGTCAAAATAAATACTATATCCCTATAGCTCAGCATTACTTGTCTATATTCCCCTGGCCTTCTGCTTTGTTAATCCCCCACCGACGGCGAGTGTTGGTGAGTCGATGAGGGCAGTCGGCGCCGCGTGCGGGAGTAAGGGGGCTCGTGCCTGCTGTCCACCCCCTTTTACCTTTGGCTAGGGTCCAACCCCCAGATGAGATGTGTCGTGGAGATGGGAAAATGAAGAATCGTTCAGGAGATGAAATGTGATTCATTCGGAAAGAGAGCTGGGAAGATCTGAGGGGGCACGTGCGTGGATGCGCCGGCGGAACCTTTTTTTTCCTTTTCCCTTTGTGGCCGCATGCGAGGCTTGGGAAGGAAGCTTGTAAAAGGGGACCTGCCCGGGTATGGAATTCATGTAATTAATTAGTTCATCAGGGGAGAAGGAAGGAGCCAAGGCAGGCGGAAAGGAACGAAGAGGGGTGCTGATTGCTTTGCACCCATCTCCTGCCTCTTCTTTTCTTCTGCACATGCGCAAGCGCTTCGTCCTCTCGCCATCCCCAGACGCCTCCACGTTGCACGACAACCGTTCGGAGACCAAGATGCGCGGCATGGCCGAGCCCCAAGAAATAGGCCACGGCTTTCAGGCCCGGTCCGCATAACAAGAAGTGCAATGTCTCGCACCGACGTCTTTGCTCTCGCCGAGAGCTCGCGTTTCTCTCTCCCTGTCTTGCGCTGTCTCACTCGCATCCGCTGGCCGCCCCTCATCATGAAAACTGTACGGCTCTGCACTGCAGCGGGGCGCGCTGCGTCAAGGGCATGTTGGGAATGGACGACAGAACTAGGCAGAGCGACTATCTGTCGGCTATCTTGACCTCCTTTCCTTACAGCTCGAGGCAATCCGTCTCCTGTCTCCGACTCTCTCTCTCATCCGTCCTCTCCCACCCTCTACACTCTTTATCGACGGCATCACCAGAGGAAGTCGCTCGCCGTTGGCAGACTTCGGAAGCGTCTTGGACCTCTTTCCTCTTCTCCCCGCTGCTGTTGCTCGCTGTCGTCCTCGGAGCTCGGGATGAGCCCAAAGCCCCCGTCCGCCACCATGGCGGGGCCCTTCTACAACCAGCGTTCGTCCAACTCTTCGAGGTCGTCGCTGCGGACCATGCAAACCATGTCCATCATCACCCAGTACAGCGACGCCTACAACCCCGGAGCCCTGCCCAAAGGTCCCCTCCGCGTACCGCAGAAGCATCCCCGGCGGAGCGCGGGGCCCGGCTATGGTCCTTCTCCCTATGTCAACCCCGAGCCCACCGCCGAGGTCGACGTCTTGCCCAGCAAAGAGGTCGAGGTTTTGCCGACCAAAGAGGGCGGGTCTGACGGGACTGAGGCGCCGCCGGCTCCCCGGGTCGAGGAAAGCACCAGCGAGGACGAGGAGAGGGGGTGGTTTGCACATAGGAAACGATCATCTCGCTTCCTCATCATCGTCGGCGTCGCCGCCGTCGTCATTGTGGGATTGGCCGTCGGGCTCTCCGTCGGTTTACGAAGGAGGTGAGTTTGCGTCAACTTCCTGGTGCTTGGCAGGGGGCAAACTAGCTGCTGATGGACGGCGGCTCCTCCTATCAGCGGCACCACGGCGAGCCCATCGGATGGTCCCAGGTCGATATTTCCAGCCGGCTCTTACGCTGTCAAGACGAGCCTTCACAAGACGTCGACGAAATGCACATCTCGGTCCTCCACCTGGAACTGCGAGCCCTTTGACGATGACGACTCGACAACCTTGTACTGGGACATTGCATCCCACGGCCCCTCAGCTTTTACCATCTCGTCCAAGCAGAACCCCCTGACTCCGCCCTTCTCCGACGTCAGCCTCGAGCTCGTCGACGGCAACCGGCCCACGGAGCGGCTCGTCTTTTCCCTGCCCACGACTAAAGTTGTTGTGCCTTCGGACGGTGCCACGCCGGCCAACCGCGCCGCCAAGTGCCAGTATCGAGGCGTGGTCTTGCAGGGGACGCTCTACACCCGGCGGCGAGACGGTCGCGCTATCTCGGCACCCGGGCAGCAAGAACAGCACGCCGCCTGGCCCGGGGACATTGAGATTTCCCAGGTCCTGAACTCGACCATTGGTCAGCCGACGTGCTTGGACGATTCCGGTACCCAGATCGCCGACGTGCAGGCTGCCCAGGGGAGCTGCGAGTGCTCCTACTCCAACGAGGACTAGGCGAGGGGGGTGGCTCGACGTGTATGAGTAGGTGTGGTTTTGGGACCCTTTTGTTGAGGGAGCCAGAGACGGTTCGGCATCAGCGGCTTCGGCGCATGTTTTACGCTCCTCTTTTCTTGAGCATATTGTTCCTGGATCCCGGGAAGGGATCTTTGCGATGCATTGGACTTGGCGGGCCACTTTACCCGAGAGCTGTTTCGGATTGATGATACCAAGACTATAATGTTTCTCATTCTTGTCGATAGATGACTAGCCTAGTAGTAAAGTTTAATGATCAAAAAGACGATATGCCTCTTGGATCACAAAGCAACGTACGCCCGACAGGAAAGAGTTGGCCTTTTTTCTCTTGAACGCCCCTCTCCCCTCGGTTGATGATGCTACGGAGGACCCAGACGATTGGTCGATGGACACAGCACCTACAGATAAATTCCTTTTGGCCAGGAACAGAGAGCGACGAGATGTCGGACCGGTCCCGAGTAAGAAGCAAATCGTCGCCGGTGTCGCTGCACCCCAGAGTCCATGGGCGATGGGCGGCGTGGGGGAGACGACAGCCGCTGCCATGCGTGTGACGTGTTCCTTCTGCCAATTTTTCTCCTTTTTATTCTTTTTCTCTCCTTTCCTTTTCCTTTCCCTATTCTTTCTCGTCGCCTTTTCTTCTTGCTCGTCGTCTCTCGTTGCTTTCTCTTCCTCGGTGTACGGGATCGGGCCGGCCCAGAGTCATTTGTCCGCTACCCTAGACAGAAGGGCTTGATATCCGGGGTCACCTGGTCTAATTTCACGCCGTTACTTACTCGGCAAAAAGTTGGCACTTGAGGTTCGGGGTCCCGCGTTTTGCTGGCTCATCTACTCATTACCGATGAGACCGGGAGCCATGCCGGCTCAAGAGGGGTACAAGAGATTTTCCGTGCAATCCATCTATCACTCCGACCATTTCTTGACCTCGAGCCCGTCGCCCCCCTCCGCGGAACGAGACCCAGGCTCTCCAGGCTGCTTGCATGCAAACGCCGTTAAACACCGTGCTCACAGGTAAAGGAAAAAAAAGGTTCATTCATCCACGTCCCTCAAGCTCACCCGCGTCAGACCCTCACAAACGCTAGTCGAGCCATCAGTTGCGCTGCTTATCCTCGCGAGGCAGGGAGAGAGTCAACACTTACTGGCATCGATTTGGCTGACCTGCGGCAGAGCCAGCCGGACCTTGTTCCTATACAGCGCCGGGCCGCGGAGCTGAAGGGGGTTACCCTCAAAGTAGACCGTCGTCAGGTGCTGCTTGTCCTTGAGCACGCCCTCGACCTCGCCAAAGTCTCCCAGCTGGTTGTAGCTGGCCCACAGCTCCTCCAGCTTGCTCAGCCCGGCCAGGCCCTTAAGGCTGGCCACTTGGTTGTTGGAGATGTCGACAATCTTGAGCTTATCGTTCCCCTCAAGCCCCTCGAGCGTCTCCAGCATGTTGTGCGAGATGTAGAGCTCTTCCAGCCCGGGAACTTCCTTCAGCGGGGACAAGTCCTTGATCCGGTTGGACTGTATGCTGAGTAGCCGCAGGTTGGGCAGTCCGCCCAGTCCCGTCAGCTCCGTTATCTTATTTTTGGCCACCCACAGCTCCTCGAGCTTGTCGAGGCCATCGAGATTCTGCAGCTCCCGGATGCGATTGGAACCCAGCTCCAGGGACGTGAGGTTGCCCAGCCTTTGGAGCCCCTCGATTTTGCTGATCTTGTTTGCGACTAGAAAGAGCTCCTTGAGCTGTGTCATATGGCCGATGTTCTTGATATGCTTGATCTTGTTGAAGCTCAGATCTAGGCTCGTCAAGTTGACTAGGTCGTCCAGCCCGCGCATGTGGGAGATCAAGTTGTCGTAGAGATCGAGGTCTTTGAGCGTCTCTGCGAGGGGGTCGAGCCCGTCAATCCTTTGAATGCTGTTCTGACGAAGGCAGACGCGAGCCGCGTGTTTGAAGCGTTGCAGCCGCAGCGAGGAAATGGCAGCGACCCGAGAGTGAGAGCACATGATCTCCTCGGCATCGGAATCTTCGCTATCGAGCAGGTCTGTGACAGCGCCTCTTTAGCAACCTGTTCTGGATGTACAGCCAGGCGGATGGGCGCTCACCTTCGTCGGCACTGATCTCCTCGCCGGGAAAGACGTTGCCATCGTCCGAGTATTCGGGGTCGGACAGGGCCTCTGGGTTAGTGACGAGAGCCGACTTGGGAACGCGAAGCTTGCCGTCCCATCCCCTGCTGTTCCTCATGCCCGGGCTGGCAGCCTCGCTGTCCTCGCGCGGGGCGACGCGGTCATCGTGGATGTCGATGTGCGCCGGCGTGTCGTTTTCCTTGTTGACGGGAGCAGGCATGGTGGGTTGACGGGCCGGTGGCGAGAAGGGGAGGTTGCCGAAGGAGAGGTTGACGAAGGAGAGAGGAGGCTCCGAGGAGAGCGAGAGAATAGACCAAGCGGGCTGAGACAGGGCGGCGGCGCAAGGGAATCGGGGGGCATTTGCTGATGATGCTGGAATCGTCTGATGTTTGTTCGGCGGCTGCTGAAATGGAGGGGCGGATGGATGGGATCGATGCGTTCCGTGACGTCGAGTCGCCGGCAAATGCAGCCGGGCGCGCCTAAAGGGACCGCGGCGACGGGCGCCATGGAGCCACTGAAAAAGTGACATCAACGGCCAGAAAAGCGGGGAGCGGACTTGGGTGCAGCACTGGACTGCACTGGACTGCACTGGACTGCACTGTATTTTAGCAGCGGCTGCCCAACATCGCCGTCGACCTCACCCCATTTCTGCAGGGCTTCGCTGGCACAAATCGCTGCCCGCATGCACGTGCGCCAGCGATGCGGCCGCGAAGTTCAGTCCAGTCGCCAGCGAACATGCCGTGACGGGCTCGCAGCAGCCCGCGATCCAACTCTGCAGGTTCTGCTGCAGCCCGCCTCGCGGCTCCAGTCCTCGGCCATGCGCTGGCTGCGGCCTCCCTCTGGGCTTCGCTCTGGGCCTCGCTCTGGGCCTCGCCTGGCTCTGCTGACGAAGGCCCACCCGCAGTCGGCGAATTGGCCAAGCAGAGCGTCCCTGCCCAGGCGGCGGCTTCATCTGCCGTCCGTCGCGATGCCCCCGCTCATCTTCACCGGGCTCTTTGTGACTCTCTGGTGCTGGAAGTGCACGATGCTGGTTCTCTTCCAGAATGCCATCATCTACAACCCCTTCATACCTCCCAATGCGAGGAGCATGCGCATCTCCGACTTTGCTCGCCACTGTGGGGGCATCCAGTGGCGCGAGGAGCGCATCCGGTCCCTGGACGGGACGAGCATCGCCCTGTGCATAAATGAGATGGCATCCCTGGAAGCCAACGACCCAGGCGGCGCCAAGGCAAAACCTCCTGTTTACATTCTCTACTTCCAAGGTGTGCCTCTTACCGAGCCGCAGCCCCGTCTATTCTTCCCTGCGACTTACAGTCCACGCAGGCAATGCTTCTTCGCTTCCGCCACGACTACCCGATATCTCGTGGGTTCTTCGCCGGCTGAGAGACGGCGATCAACACATGGACTGCACGACGATATGCCTCAGCTATCGCGGATACTGGACATCCCACGATCGTCCCTCGGAGCGTGGCATCAACATGGATGCCCAAGCCGCATTGCAGTGGATATCCCAGCGGCATCGAGACAGGGCCGCGGGCAATCAACTCTTGAAGCCCGTGGTCGTGCTATGGGGCCAGAGCATCGGCTGTGGCTTTGCAACGAACCTGGCGGCGATGCCCCGAGCAGACTCTGACTTGAGCATCGACGCGATGATACTGGAAACACCATTCACAAACACCCGCGCCATGTTGGCGGCGCTGTATCCCCAACGATGGCTCCCTTACCGACACCTGTGGCCCTTTCTCCGCAACCACCTCGATAGCTGGAAAAACCTGGGCGTGATAGCTGGTATGCAGCAAGTTCGTCCGCCACAAGTCTGCATCGTGGAGGCGGCAAAGGACGAGTTGGTGCCGCGGGAACACGGCGCGATGCTCCAGCGACGTTGCCAGGATCTCGGGCTCATCGCGGAGCGCGTCACGATACGCGGAGCCCTGCACAACGATGTCACGGGGCGCACGGCGGGCAAGCAGGCGATCGCGCAAGCCATTGGCACGGCTGTGGAAAGGGCCAGCGGACTGTCCGCACCGCCGAAAGCAACCGCGAAATAGTAGCGAGACGCAGTGACAGGGATGGAGGTGAGCCGGCCCCCAAAGCCCAGCAACCCCGAGGACCGCTAGGTGGCCGACATTGGCAGGCGGAGGATGCGTCCGACCGCGCTCTGCATTCACTCGCCGTACCTGCGCAACGTGCAGCATTTGCTTCCTTTTCCCAGTCGACCCTCGCCGAAAGGTTGTGGAGAGGGCTGATGTGCGCGGCGAGCAACAAGAGAGTGAGGCTCGGCATGCGTCTGGCGATTTGAAGAGTCATGTGGCGGGCCAAGCCATGTCAGGCGTCACCCAGAAGGCCTCGCCGTCAAAGCCAATTGATGCTTTTCGAACATGGCAAGCCGTCAAGCTCGAGCTGACGTGCCGTCCAGCTGTGAACAGTCACAGAACGGCCTCAGCCACCACCACCAACAGAGAACCCTGCCAGGTAGTACATGGCACGGCTGCCTTGTCCTCTTTTGCCACCCTCGCTCCGCTCTTGGCTCGAATGACTGGTTTGCCCCGTCTGATCCCTGCAAGCTCTGCAGCCCGCGTCGACTTGTGCTGTGCTGTACAGAGCACGGAGTACAGTACTGCGGTACGGAGCTTGTGTAGATCGTATCACGTGGCCACGCGTGTACCCTCTCGCACCCAACGCGCTCCAGGTGTACATGCGACGCGTCTCACTACGAGGTTCTCGACAGCCACGGACCAGCGTGGGCGTGCCCCTACCGTCCATCTCCTCCAGGCGGCCGGATGCCTTGGTCAACCCCCCCTGGATTAAATCCATGGATACTTTACTTGATACCTCGGGTATAAAAAGGATGCTCTTCGCCTTGCCGTCGTGCACGCACAGTTTTTCGGCTACGTCTCGCTGCTGGAGCCTGCCCGAGGCGTCGAGGTAGATATTTTCACGCTCTCTCATCGACAGCTGAGTGACAAAAAGAAGAAGGAAAAAATCGTTTCCGCCTATTTAAAAGCTGCGCCGTTCGCCCATCATTTGTTCTTGGTCCCATGATCCCATCACTGCACTGCTGCTACCTGCTCCAAGCCTCGCACTCGCCTCGATACGTGCAGCTCCTTCTACAGAGCTCCCCATCTCGCACCCACCATGTTTGGCAGACGGCTTGACTCGTCGAGCAAGAGCTTCTCCAAGGGCCACGGCAAGGCGTCCAAGTCTAGCTCCTCCTTCAGCAGAGACAGCGGCGTGTCGAAGCGCCGCCATGAGCCTCGCCACCGCAGACCGACGACGGCCTCGACGGCCGCCGCCACCGAAGACACCCTCATGAGCAAGTCAGTGGTCGTGTCTGACTTCACCGCTTCATCTCGAGGCGTGCGCGACCAGAGGCAAGATAGTTTGGCTGACTGGATGCATCAGTGACAGCAACCCGACGTCGGCCATCGTCACGCTCGTCGTCGGCGCCGAGCAGCGCCTCTTTGCCGCCCACGAGGACGTCCTCTGCTCTAGCTCGGCCTTCTTCCTCAACGCCCTCCGGAGCTCGTACCCCGAGTCAGCCACGAAGCGCATCTCCCTCGCCGACGAGGAGCCCGTCATCTTCAGCTCGGTGCTCGAGTACCTCTACAAGGGCGACTACTTCCCTCGCCTCAAGTACAACAAGAGGCGCAACTCGTGGGAGCTCGAGTCCACCACGGATGAGGAGGGAGGAGCAGCAGCAGCAGCGGGAAGAGTCGAGAGCACCGTCTACCATCGCGGCGTGGACGGCGATCTCCTCAAGGACACCGTTATCTATTGCGCCGCTCAGAGATATGGCCTAGAGGAACTGAAGAAGCTCGCGCTGCGGAAGCAGGGTCTTCGTGCGTTACCACCCCCATCCTACCCCTGCACTGGTCCTAACCGAGGAAGCCAGAGTCCGGTATTCAGTGCAGCACCATCCTGGCCTCGGCCAGGTACGCGTACGCCAACACGCCCGACAACGACTCCAAGCTGCGCGCCCACTACCTGGCCCTCATCATTCGCTCTCGCGGCACCTTTAAGCGTAGCGGGACGATGCAACTCGAGATGTACAACGGCGGCACGCAGCTCTTCTTCGATCTCTTTGTCGCTCTGTGCAACCACGTCGACGACATTTCGTCTGCACAGTGAGTCTACAACATCCCCCAAGCATGCACCGAGAAGGAAGACCTGTCTGACTCCCTCGTCACCCTTCTCTCATACAGGAGCACTCCCCGATCCAACCGTCATCTCTGGTAAAACAAACACAGATTTTTACGATTCCGTCCTTGAGGTTCCTAATGACTGCGTGCATTTCAACCTTTTCATCCATTACAACGTGCGATTGACCTGCAGAGATCTTCTGCCAAGCAGTTTGGAAGCAAGGGAGAACGTGGGAACACCTCTACCCCGGCGGGCGACCGGGAACTACCTCTCCTTGTCTCTTGTATTCGTGTATTTGGAATGTTGTTGATTTCGCAGCTACGCTTGTACCATTACTCTTCTCAACCCGCGCTTCGAGGAAAAGAGACGGGACTGCTTTTGGGTGAAAACTTGGACTTCTCGGCAGAGGCCTTGAAGCATATAGAAATATACGTGAGCAGTGGGAGTTGGGAGGCATTCAAGAGCGAACCCAACGCCGTGCAATGGATATTTAGTGCAACGTGCTGCACGCATCTTGACATGTCGCCCTCCGATCCTCCACAAAGGAAGAAAAAGGGATCAGAGGAAAAGAAAAACCAGTGGAGAGCAAATCCTGTGAAGTTGAATTGAGCGTGAACCTTGACGTGAACCGTGACCCACGCGGCCAGCCAAACAGCGCAGCAGGGGTGAGTAACTCGCGCACATTGCACCATTCGCCGTCCCGCTGAAGGGAACCCCTGTCTTCCTCCGGTCCGGAACCAAGGCGATCTGATGCGATATTACTTCTTTTCCCCCTTCCGCCTTGTTCTCCTCCCAAAAGGACTCTCTTTCCAAAAGGAAGAGCCTGCCCGAAAAAGTGAGTCACTAAGCCGAGGTGTGGGTGGATTGACAAATACCAGGGGCAACAGTAGCAAGAAGATGGTTGGATGCAGATAAAAAGCAAGCATCGCACCGTGTGCACATGATGTCGGACGAGGCGGACTGGTGTCATGGTCGCCAAAGGGGAGGCGTGAGAAAGTGCGGGAGGGTAGCGGCTCCTCATCGTGCAGCGAAACAGGTTGTCACTGGAGCCATTTCACCAAGACTCAAGCCAAGGTTAGGCCCGTGCAGTTTTGTCCTGCCGGCCCATCGTTAGCCACCGATGGCCCCAAGTGGTGCTGCTGCTCTGCATCATCTCCCATCTCGTACCTGGCACGGCCTGGGCTCACACGCCGGTTCCTGGGAAGGCACCCTTCTTGGAGAGCACAACGATGCCGCGCTCTCGTGCGACGTAGCCTTTCATGAGGTCCTAAATACGACGACCTGCGTTAGTGACTCATTGTCCTGTGTGCATCTTGTTACACTGTACCGACCTTGTAGATCATATTGGCCAGCAGACACTCAACCTCGTCCGGGTCTACCAGCTCTCCGCCGCTGCCCATGCAGATGGCAGCCCGGAATTCCGCCACGGGCACGCGGGTGCGCCGAACCGGCGCCGTGTTCGGTTCCTTAGGTTCGTCGAATCCTCCTGCGATGAAGACTTTGCGTAAAAGGTTACGGAGAGCAATGTCACGCCCACGCTCGAGGGTCAGGTAAATGCGTCGTTTGACCAACTCATCCTCGCGCTCTTGCAGGGCCACGTCGAATGTCCTCAATTCGCCCCGTCTGATGCATTGTGCCAGAGGGAGGAACAGCTGCTGGAGACGAGGGTACGGCTCCAAAAGACTCTTGGTCGGAAGCACGTGGCTCGTCAGCAGCCTGCAGGGAATGAGATATGTCAAAATGCGCCTGACAAGCGTCAGCATCACCACACGCCGTAGTTGCCTTGGCCGCACATACTCCAGGTTGGCCTTGCCACCCTTGTGACAAAGCCGCCACGCCTCGACGAGGTGCTTCTCGGCCTAGAGCCATGCGTCAGCCACTTGTCGACAGTCGATCGAAGCAAGAAGCTACCTGTACGTAGTTCTCCTCAAGAAAGAAAAGCACGCCCTCGTAGTATTTGAACGTCACTCTTTGGGCTTTGGGGAAGCTTTCCAGAGGAGGCATGTCTCCCTTGTCGTTGTAGACTGCTAGAGTCTTGAGAATTGTCCTGGACAGCGAGGCCGAGTTGAGCTTGAAGTACGTTTTGAAGAGCAGGTTGATGACGAAGTAGATTCCCCATTTCCGCGACTCCTCTAGGGGCGCTCTATCGTCACTGTCAGTTAGCTGGCTCTTGCAGGAGTGTCCTGCGCAGCCCTTACCTGTCGTTGAGGCACAGCGTGAAGATGCGCTTTAGATGCTGTTCACAGTCTCTCAACTGCGCCTGTTTCTCCGCTTCTGGGTCAAAGTCATCTTGCATAATCGCGGCGCCGCCGGAAGGGTCTGCGTTGGTACGGCTGCGTTCGTCGTCGGACTTGATGGCGAAGAGTCTGAGGTACTTTCCCACCATGTACAAGGTCGGGATGGTCCAGGCCTCAAAGCCGTGGTTGTTGTATCCTCGAATCAGCATCGAGGTGAGGTCTCTCCAAGACTCGTACACCCTGGTCCATGATGACTGAGCTTTTGAGTTAGGAGCTGGCTCTTCATCGTCCTGTAGGCTGGCGGTGACTAACTTTTCCATTCTCGCCTGCAAGAATCTCGCCGACAGCTTTCCAATACACCACGTACACCTCCACCCACCCGTTGATCTCGTCGTGTTCCAGGCCTCTGCGGTACGATGTTTGTGTCTTGATGAAGTGCCTAATGTCGCTCTTGGCGCTGTGAGAGTTTGAGCTTTGCCAGATTCCCCTCAGCCTGTGAGGATCATCAGGCGGTGGAACTGGGGACAGTGTCTGCGCAAGCACATAGCCATTTTGCATGGCATACGCCTTGGCGAAGTCGTCGAAGAGCTCGTTCATCGTGTCTGACTGGCAAAGGCCTCACTGCGGCCTGCCGCGGACAATGGCCCAGGCACAGCGCTCACCGGCTCAGCGCTGCAGTCGTGAAACTGTGGCGAGCAGAATTATTGACGAGCAGTCGGCGTCGATTTACTGACTGAGTTGCACTGTCTTGTCTAGATTATTCGACGAGTCCCTTTCGGAGCAGGCGAGGCGGGTTGATGAACATGTCGAGGTGAAATGTACGTACCGCGTGCCTTCGTGATGAGCGCTCAAATTGGGCGCCGGTAGCTTGCTTAGGTAGGTAGGTACTTACAGAAAGTACTGTCGGGCTCGGCGAGCTAAGATAAAGTGTGATAACGCACGTGATTGTGCCTTGTCAGCGGGTGGGGCTCTCCCCGTTCCTCCTCAGCCAATCGCTGCTGGGGCCCAAGCCCTGCGACCAGCGAGTACCTTCTTTCGTACCGACCGACCAACCCTCCCCACCCTGCGCGCACAAAAATTATCGTTGCGTCTCTGGCTGCAACTTGGACAACTCCTCAACCTTCGCCAGCCGTCGAAGACACTGACCACCGTCACCGTAAGTTGCCAAAGGGAAATACTCAGCGGGACAGACACTGACAGAGGGAACAGATGGGTAAGTCTGTTTTTCTTGCTTCTCGCTGCCGTCCGCTTCGACAATCCCGCCCTCGCTTTCGGAACGAATCGTCGATGCCTTCTCCATTCGATCAGCGCGTTACGAAACTATGCAATGGCCAGCCTCGAATCAGCGTACGGCCAAGATCTATACTCGCAGACAGCGCTCAAGCGGATCTTTGCACGCATTGCCCTTACAGCCCCCAGACTATGATTGAAAACTCGTCGCTTGAACCTCGCAAGGGCACACATCTTCCAGGGGCTCTCGATCGCGACATACGTGGACTTGGCCTCCGCGCTCGTCTCATCTCTCGCTCTGCTTCAGACGTCTAACACGGTTCTTATCATAGGTCGTCTTCAGGAATATGAGGTCATTGGGCGCCATCTGCCCACCGAGGCCAACCCTACTCCGGACATGTACCGGATGACCATCTTCGCGCCCAACACGACGGTCGCCAAGTCCAGATTCTGGTACTTCTTGCGAGGTCTGCGGAAGGTCAAGAAGGCCACTGGCGAGATTGTCAGCGTCAAGACGGTATGCAGCACCCGAGCCGGCGCTAAAGCACGTTGATCGACGGACGGCTCACTATGGACATAGCTGCACGAGAAGCACCCCCAGAAGGTCAAGAACTTTGGCGTCTGGCTTCGCTACGATTCACGCTCCGGTACCCACAACATGTACAAGGAGTACCGTGAGATGTCGCGAGTCGACGCCGTCGAGTCTCTGTACGCCGACATGGCTGCCCGCCACCGTGCTCGCTTCAGGTCGATCCACGTAAGTGCAAGACCAGGTGACGCTCTCGGAAGCAGCTGTTGACTGACGTGAGACAGATCCTCCGCGTTGTCGAGCTCGAGAAGACCGAGGACATCAAGCGACCTTATATCAAGCAGCTCGTCACCAAGAACCTGAAATTCCCTCTTCCCCACCGCATCAGCAAAGGCTCCAACCAGAAACTGTTCAGCGCGCAGCGGCCATCCACCTTCGCTTAGAATGTTTCGGGTTTCGAGAACGGTTGGGCAAGGTTCTGCGGGTGTTTACTACGGATCATGGAAATATCAACTGCATTGGCCTGATGCAACGGGCAGCGAATGAAGAAAAAAACCTCGAGCGTCTGGAACTGCGTGATGGTAAAGCAGCCCGTGTGATTCTTCCTCCCGTGCGGTCTTGACAGCCTGCGCGTGTGCTAGACTTGGTCGACGGAAAGGATCTCGGTAGAGATGAGCAACTTGGTCTGACCTGAGCCTACGACCCGGGTAATGCTGGAAGGCGTGCCAATGTGAAGAAAGGGCCTGCTTTGAACGCGCTGGTCCCCATAGCTGCGGGAGGGTGTGTGCTACCGAGATGAATACTATTGTCACGATGAAGCTGGCAACAGCGCAATGTTGATGCCTTGATGCGCCGAGAGGTGAGAGTAAAAGCTTAAATAGGAGCTGGACGCCCCATACGAGATGGCACCCTGAGGATATCAGTAGCTGGTAGCGCATTTGTGTAATAAAGGTATTTGACGGGGCCTCGGTTCACCCGCACATGCCTCGAGAACACTCCATGTGACTCACTCCTCGTCGGTGAGATTGGGGGCGGTGGGTTGACTGTCGACACTCGCTGAACATGTGGGCTAAAGTGAATCCAGCTCTAGCAATCGCATTCGTGCCGCGTGGCTTACAAAGGTTGCTCTCGTCTACTTGGTGGTCATCTCGAGGCACTTATCCGTCCGTCTTCTCCACCAGAGCCGAGCTGTCCAAGACAAACGACGACGACAAAGGACCTGATGCATCCCCCTCATCCGCCCGCGCCTTTGGAATGGACCACGGTGTCGACGACGCTGCCGGCATCCCCGCTGCCGCCGCTCGCCAGCCGACCCGAGATACGGACGGCGCGGCTGGTGCTGCGGCGGACGCTGGCGAGCGACCTGGCGGCGTGGCACGCGATGCGGTCGCAGCCCGAGGTGATGACCTGGACGTCGCAGGGCGCGCCGGACCGCGACGAAGCGTGGTCGCGGGAGCGGCTGGCGCGGCGGCTGGCCCCCGAGGCCGACGCCCAGTACGACTTTGCCATCTGCCTGGCCGACACGGGCGAGATGGTGGGCGTCGGCGGCTGCCACAGGACGTGCGGGGGGGGGCTCGGCTGGCCCGTCCTCGGGTACATGCTGCGGCGCGAGTTCTGGGGCCATGGCTACGCGACCGAGTTCCTCGCCGCCCTCCTGGATGCCTGGTGGGCGCTGCCGCGGGTCCCCGTCCCTGAGCTGCGGGTGGAGCGGAGCACCGTCGATGCCGTCGGCGGTGGGGACGGCTCGGCACGCGAGTGCATCGTCGCCGTCACGCTCGATGCCAACAGTGGTAGCCAGAGGGTCCTCGACAAGTGCAAGCTGGAGCTCGTCAAGGTCTGGGAGGAGCCCGACTTGCGGGATCCGGACACGACGGCCACGCTGTACGCCTACGTGGCCCGTCGGCCCGGCCACTGAGGCTATCTATCCAGGAGAACGAGGCAGAGGGGGGATGCAAGATGGCCAGGAGGACCCGTTAAAGGTCTGGCCACCAGACACATAACGACAGTGGTGAGATTTCCTCGACGCAGCGGCGAGTGAGCCGGGTTTCCTTCGCATAGATCTCGACTGCATGGCAGAGAGGGCTTGCGATGTGGACTGTACATTTGATTGAGTAGGATACATGGATTTCTTCCGGCTTAGATAACTGAGAGTTCTCATTCATTCAGCCCCAGCGGGCCCTTTGACCAGAACAAGTGACTGCTCTCCATCCACCACCGACGAAGTATTTGGGCTCCATCACAGGGAAACAGACTCGCCAGTGCCGATGTCTTCTCCGTCCTTGCCTCTCGCACACAACACACACACGTCTCGGAACCGAAAAGGGGGCTCTTCAAACACACAAATACCAGGTTCATCTTGCCAACTTAAAAATGGAGGGCAAAGTGGGTGAATTGGGAGGTAAGAAAAAAGGCGGAGTGGCGAGGCGCCTTACAGGTCGAATTTGCGAACGTTGGAGACAATCTTGATGACAATACCCTCGGTGGTATAGCCCGGCTTCTCATACTCGTGCGAGTGGTAGGCGGGGTCCGTCTCGTTGACCAGAACACCGAGGGAGCCGCCGCTGGACAAGCAGCCGACAATGGCCCCCTTCTTGTCCTCGTCAGAGGCCGACGGACCGCCGTCGATTGTCCGCGCAATGTCCTCGAAGAGCACCGACGAGTTCTTCTTGGAGTCGATGTGCTTGGCAAGAGCCAGGACGGTCTGGTGGTTGAAAATGTCCCACTCGGCGCAGTCGGGGGCATTCTCGGCCGTCATGGTGAAAAGGCGGCCGCCCTCGACCTCGCGGCCGTAGTCTCGGAGGGCCTTGGCGACGGTTGTGATGTCGTTGATGTCTACGTCTTGCGGGGTATCGTCTTGGCCGCTGTAGCAGTGGAGGGAAGACGATTCGCCCTCATAGCAGGTCTCGATATGTGCTCCGGGCTTCGGGCCGCGCGCCACGGCTTCCGTAGCCCAGAGCAGGGCCGCGGGCAAAACCAGTCGCGAGATGTACATGACGGGCGTCGGGAGTGAATTTCTTCGTCTTTGACTCGCACGAGGGCAAGTTTGTAAGAGGCTCTGGAGGTGGTTTCGGTCACAGGGGCTGCTTGGTTGAATGTTGAATGGTGAACTCTCTGATAGACAGTCAGTACGTAAGGACTTCTCTTATACCCTAGTCATCGAGCATCACCTCCAAGCTCAGGGGGGAAGTGAACAAGTAGGTACAGTACATGGAGGAGGAAGAGGAGGGGGAAGAGGAGGAGGAGGAGCGGGGGAAGTGAATGGTCTGAGTCTCTATGCAAATCTCCTTGCTTTGTCTCGGGATGCCATGGAAACAGGGCTGGAGTACGAACGCATGTTGACGTTGGGGCTGAAAACCGTGTCACACCGCATCTCTGGGATCAGACGAGTTGTCCAACCCGCACCCCAGTCTGCATATCGAGACTTCTGCAGGACGGAAATCTTTGTGCTCCTCTATCCACGGCGCTGCAACCTGTTGGTTGAAACGTGGCTGCAGGCAGGAGACGGCGTTTGCTGACACCGTCGGCTGCTTCTGCAGCCGCGATCGACGTCCTGTCTCAACCGGGAGGGAAACAGACGAAGTAGGTTCGGATAGCCCTATTGGGCTCGATTCAGTGCACTTAAATGGAGAGACATGAGCCGGTGTTTCGGTGGAATCGGCACTGTACGTCATGATTGCGTCGGTCCAGTATGGAGCTCTTTACAGCCGCAAGTTCATACTGTACCTAGGCAGTCACGAACAAGTTCTTTGCCATGTCGGGCGTGCAGACCGAGCAAGCCAGCACGGCCCTCGCAGGCCAATGAGCCTCCAGCAGCACACGACTCAGAAATCTCCGAGACCCGGGTTGGCTGTGTGAGGTTGAGAGGGGGCTTGGGTTTCAACTACCGAGAGGGCGCAGAATGGCCATGAACGTTCAGCCGGGCGGAGGCGACCATCGATGCCGACCGTGAACGGCCGGTCGCTGCTTGCTTGCCTGCTCCGGACGGCTGGCCCACCGTCATCCGATTGGCACTGCCATGTCGGGCAACAGAGCTCGATGGCGCTCGCTTCCGAGGGTCTGTTGGCTTCAATTGACGAGTTGGAGAGGCTGAGGGTGCTTGCATTGTCGCCATTCGAAAGAAGAAAGCTTCAGCTCGGGCAGCTGAGGAGGTTGGCCTGAAATCGATCACGTGGCCCTCGGTATTTGGTGGCCAGGCTCCTTGGCACTGCCAAAGGAAGAGATGTCGGAAGCCCACAGCAAAGTTAAGTAACGGCGATTATTACCACGGAGCGATAAGTACCACTACTAGTACCTACCTAGGTACTATCGACATGGCTGGCGAGACTTATTATATACCAGGTAGGTAGTGAGCGTCACTACCTAGGTAGGTAGGTACCTTACGTACTAAGATAGTATATATACCTAGTGAGCTCAAGTACCGCTAAAAGCACGGCATTTAGTAGTTATTGGACAACTTCCCTGTAAGCGCCCTACGGGTTCCCTCCGCACTGCCAAAGGGGTCCGTCTCAAGAAACGGCCTCGGAACATACAAACCCTTCCGGATCATATAACCAATCATCAGCTCTCAACTCTCTTTGCCCTCTACTCCAGCAGAAGAATTGACACAGCAGAAGACACAGCAAAAGGGAACCAGAAAAGAAGCAAAGATGCAGTTCTCAGGACCGCCACTCATCGCCGTCGCGACCGGCATCGTCGGCTCTGCGTGGGCTTCGGGTACGTCTTGACTGTCCACTCACCCTGTTGCACAAAACACACGGCCAGTCGTGGACGAGCTCATCAAATCACGCCCCTCCTTTGTTCTCCCTTTTACCCCCAATCGCAGGTGCCATCGTTTCCTTCTCTGTCGCGGCCCCTGCCGCCAAGGCCGTCCCGCAGACGACCGCCAAGGTCTGGTCCGAGCTCTACGCCCGCGGCTCGAGCATCATGCCCAAGGTCGCCTCCGTCGTCGCCCTGTCGTACGCCTACGCCGCCTACGACGTCTCTGCTCGCGGCGGTCGCTGGGCCGGTTTCGCCGCCGCCGCCGCCGCCGTCCTCTCCATCGTGCCATTTACCCTGACCTGTATGAGCAACACCAACGCCGCGCTTCACAAGGCCGCCGCCGATGCGCCCGATGGCCCCGCCGCCGCCGCGGTGCCCGACCTGATCGATACCTGGTCTCTCATGAACCTTGCGCGGGGACTCTTTCCCCTGGTCGGGACGGTGCTGGGCCTCTCGACCTTTCTCGCCAATGCGTGATGGCATGGATGGCTGGGGCACATATAATCCATGCGAGGACGAGACCCTTCTTTGTATGGAAAAGCTAATCAATATGGAAGGGGAAAGCATAGGCGACAGGCGACGCTTATGTCTGTCACTGACCAATTGAATGCAACCCGGGGGCTGAAAGCTTCATGTTGCGATCGTGTAAACTATGGGAAATCTCTTCTCCGTCGTCTCTTATTAGTCCCATCAAGTCGGCCATCCTGATGTGTGCTGGCACCGAGCCCTTGTTCACGAGCAAACATCGTCTTTGAGAGTCCCCCGTACAGGCCCTTTAGCCCCTTCTCCCCATGAGCAAGTCAACTTTGCAGCCTCGAACACGCAAGGCCCGACGCAGTTCATCCCTCAATGCTCAGGTGCAGAAAGGTATCTCGCCGGCAAGCCTAGCTGCCCGTCCTCATGGACCGCTCGTACGCGACAATGGCGTCGGAGCACCCGTCCAAGTTCTTCTTGGACTCCCACGTGTTGTGCTTTGCATCGAACCCCCTCCACTTAACCAGGTAAAAGTGCTTCAGGGTTTCGGCCTCGATGCGCGAGTCGACGATGCGCTCAATCTCCCATTCCTTGCCGGCAGTGGCGGCCGCTGCCGCAGGTGCCTTCTTCTTGGTCTCGCGGGGCCTCAGCTTGGGTGTTGCGGGCGACGACGCGGGCGGTGCAGCGACCGAACGGATCCTGCTCGAGCGCCGGCGACCACGAGTCTCCCCCTTGACTCGTGGCGTCTCTGTGCGGCGCGGCCTGCCTCGCGGCCTGCCTCGCGGCCTCTTTGGGGCGGGAGACGCTGGCTCTTGAGGGTTGCTGCTGCCTCGCCCCGAGCCTTGCTGCTCCAGCTCGGCGCCTTCGATCGCCGGGCTGCCTATTGCCTCGCCATCGCTGCTCGAGCCGTCCCAGTCTCGGAGGGTTGCTGCCGCGAGAGCATCCGCTTCGAGCTCAATGCTGTGACGAATCCTAGGTACCCCGTTCATCAGAAATCAAGAGCTCTGTCACCATGGGAGAGGAAACGCAGTCAAGGGCTCACTTGTCGACTTCATCACGGTCCATCAGGGTCTCGCGACCGAGGAAGACGGAAGTCTTCCCGGGTGATGGCGGTGCCATGGCGGTTCAGCTTGGTCGGTGAAACGATTCCGCTGGTGCGCAACGGTGCGCAGACTTGACGGAAAAGCTTGCAGCCGAGCAGCAGGCGACCAGCAGCGACCTGGAATAAAGCGTTGGCGTGAAACGGTTGGAGCGTGCACGCGCTGTCAGGGTCACGATGGGTGTTGCTGCAAGGCCTTTGGAGTTGTGCGAGAAGGGGTCAAAGTTGGCCTAGCGTCGAGAAGGAACCGAGAACAGAGTCGATAGGGTTTTCAAGTGGCATCAACCACTGAGCAAGGTTGGCATGTAAAGCCACATTCTCGACTCTAGTTGATCCGGTGCCGAGTCCCAGTCATTTCACCCTTGCCATGTCCACCAGCCAGAACATTTGGCCTTGCCAGCTGCAACGGGCTGGCACGCCAGCTGCATGAGAGAACCGTGTCTCGGCCATCGTGCTCGGTGAATGGTAACCCGGCTGTGACAAATTCATCTTTGATCTATTCTTCGTGCTCGCAGTTCTTCATAGAAGCGCTCGCTTTTTTTCTGGGTATCAGGCACCCTCGTCGTCGTCGGATCCGATCCATCCTGCTTTCCCATTCCTTCCTTGACGAATTTGATCAGAAGACTCCTGCGCTATCGTAGATGAACCCTTCCCCTTCAATAGTATCAAGAGTCCCTTGCATATAACCCGACATATGCGTCCGCAGCTCGATATCGTCGTGGGCCACCCAGGCGAGAGTCCATGGCTACGCAGCGCAACGCTCGGTGCTCAATCGACCTCTTCAACCTCATCGTCGTCCAGCTCGCGGAACTTCCCCTCTTGAACTGCCTGTTCCACCGGATTTTGTATGTCCATGATGCCAAGCTGCTTTAGCCTGAGGACACGTACGTTAGCATTGTCACGCTCGGGACGTAAGACTCGATGACTGTGCACCTCTCAAAAAGCACGAACAATCGCTCGGCCTCTCGCTCCTTTTCCTCTTGGGACATTTCTGGCCCCTCGGCGGGGTTTTCTTTATCGAGGAACTGTCCAGTGATTGGATTGACCAGCTTCTGAGCCCCAGCGTCGTCACCCGTGCTGAACGCTTCCGACGCAGATGCCGGAACAGGAACGTTGTTCTGGAAGAGGAAGCCCGATGCAAACCCGTACCCAACGTTCTCCACAAACTTTGACGCATCCCTGCCCGAAAGGTCAAAGAAGAGATGCGAAATACCATCCCTCAGTGCAGGAGTCAGTGGATTCGTCGAGTTCTTGAGAAGCCTGGCGGACAGCGTTTCTCCACGCCCCAGGACAGCCTGCCGATCTTCGGCGGACGGAAGTATCGCTTCTTCCAAGAACTGCCGCACCGCCGGCGGGGCGTTTTCGTAAACCCTGCCAATTAAGCCCACCAGGGGCGTCACGTTGTTTTCAAGCTCGTTGTCGCCGTACGCCTTCATCGACAAGTCCAAAAGAGACACGAGCCTGGAAGAGACCTTGGTAGGTTCGCTCTTGGGAAAAAGAGAAGCCCGGCTTTTGTCAGCCTCGAAATCGAGGTTGTAGAGCGCGTTGACAAGCGGGCCAAACGGAGGATCAAGAGGGTTTTCGTCGGAGACATCCTGTTTCCAAAGCAGCGCAACCACATGAGGAACGGTGGCAGTAAAGCAGGAAACTTTGTCTTTGCAAAAGTGAGACACGTTGAACATGAGCTTCAATGTCTCTCCGAGCGCCATTCCCTCCATGGGGTCATCCTTGGCCTTGGCCTTGTTGGACAAGGTCTTTGCGTGGCGGCTCACATTCTCAACAATATGGTCAGCCAGCCGGTGGTTCTCAATGAGATCGGGCAGATCGAGACTGGTGCCGTAGGTGGAGATGAAGAGAATGCGGGAAACCAGAAACTCGTTGTCCCAGCTGTCAACCTTGAGCTCGCTACAAGCCCTTGGGGCAAATCCCAGGTCGACGAACGTCTGACGAGTCTCGGGCTTGAGCAGCATGGCGTTTGCCAAGACCCTCAGAGCCGCCCGCGCAGTTTCACTAGACGGACTGTAGAAGCCATGACGGAGTAACATGGAGATGCCCTGAGCTTGGTTTAGTATGAGAGAAGACGGTGGCCGACCGGGCCGACTTACATCCTTGGTGAAGATGGGGTCGGCGTCGTTTGGGTCTCTGCCGTAAATCTTGAGCTCTTCTAGGGCACTGATGCGGTCTGGACAGGCTGTGAGCATGCTGATTGGTCCATGGCTGAGCCTGCGAGGATGGGACCAACCGTCGGGAAGAAGGGTGACGTTGTCAAGATCGTTGGTGAGCTTCTCAACCAGATCCGTTACAGCTTTGAGCTTGGCTGGAGATGGTTAGCGACGAGCGCCCGTGAGTCGTGGCGTCGATGGACTGACCGGGGCCAGTAGCAGTGCCTATTTCTGACGAGGCCATGGCGGAGCTGTCCTGAAGGCCAGTGCAGGCGGCGTGGAGCACAGCTGAGAAGTCGGCAAGGGAGACGAGAGTCGGGGCATGAAGTGCGCGCCGAGCAGTTGCGGGTACTCCCGGCCGAGATGCCCGAGCAAGACAGATGCGAGGAGCCGCGGAAAGATATCTCTTCGAGAAGGAAGCCGAGAGATGTGTCGAGTCTGTTGCCATGGGCTCGAGTCGAGCTGGGGGGCGGGGAGAACGCGGTGAAGGTGGCCATTGTTTGGTCCCTCTTCCAAGGTTGAGACTTAGACATGGGACGGGACGCCTCTACCGCTAGTTGGGTACCGTATCTCGGTACCTACATGCTAGTGAGGGGGGCGGTTGGTCATCGGTCGTGCCGTGTCAGGGAGGACTAAGGCCAGGTACCTAAGGTAGGTGGGTATTAGGTAGCCGATACAAATTAAGGTACTCCGTACTCCGTAATACTACCACGTCCCTCTCCATACTTTTCAGCTCTCTCAAAAGCCAGGGCCAACAATACGAGGCCTTGCTTGGTAGGGCTTTAGTATTGATCGGGTCCCCTCATGAAAAGGCGTGACGAGTATCACTTCAATCGAGCTTGTAAAATTCGGGATGTACTGTGAGAATTACCCTGCTGACTCGGTATTCGTAAACCCCCAAGAAAATCCGAGGAATCCCCGCCAGCTGTACGAAGTGCGAAGTACCAGGTACTCCCAGGACGGGAGGGGGAACCTGGCACGTCAGAATCTGCCCAAAACAAACCCCTACGAACCTCATCTACGAATCTCGAGCACGACGGATGAGACCTTTCAGGATCCTACATTGGGCGAGAAAATGTTTGTATCGATGAATCGGAAGAGCAGGCCCTGCCTACGATGATAAGACTCCGATTGGGAGCAGCCAGGCCTGCCATGGCGTTGCCGTCTCCGGGGGATGAGGAACAAAGGGCGGCGTTACCAACCCTCGGAACACATTCTGTTTGTTGCGCTGTCGGAGCCGGGCAACCTTTATAACACGCACAGGCATCTCTTTTGCCCCTCGAATATGGCGGTGCTATTGACACCACGGATCTCGGAGCAAGATTCAATCTCTCGGAGCCACAGAAACAGGACCTCCGACGTGTTCATATTTGGAGATTTTGGGCATCCTCATTGACAAGAACCACGTGGAAGCCAGCCTAGCTGAAGCAGCCCGGGGTATCTTTTGCACGGCCCCCCTCGTGGAGCGAGTGAACGGGTCTGGTGTTCGTCCAACGCCAACGACAGTATCATCACCGAGAATCATGCTTCTGTTCTGGCGACGCTCAGTTGTCCATTCAACACCAACGACGGTATCATCACCGAGAATCATCCTCCCGCCCTTGCCGACGTCCTAGTATTCACCCAGCAACGAAGGTATCATCACCAAGAATCATCCTCCCGCCTTGCCGACGTCACCCACGGGGCTTATCAAAAAGAGGTAAATCCACTATTGCCTTCCCGACCAAGGCCACCGCGAAGAGCATTGAAGCTCAGCGAACTCGACCAGACCAAAATGCGTCAAACTATCCGCAGCGACGGAGCGGCTCATCATCTTCACCTGCGCCTTTGGGGCACATGTTGGTTGTCTGCTCCCCGTGAGCGTGTTGGTCTGCGTCCTATGGGCATCTATGAGATTGTCGTCAGTGGAAATCTCGCAAAAAGGGAAGCAGACATTTGTAACACGCACCAGTCATGCAATCGCCGAAGCTCGCTCCACTATGGCCTGGTATAATGGTTTGAGAGAAACCCGATTCGACTTCTGCGGGCTCGAAAGCGCGCTTTCGAAAGCAAACATGGCATTTCATGACTGCGGACCACCTCGGGTACAGTCTTTTGAGCACTGGCCAGAAAGATGTCTTCTCAAGGTAGACTGACAGGAATCACGCTTCGCTCATTTCTCAGCCATCGAGAAACCGCATTTCGAAAGGCCCGGTTGTCGTACTGCGTTCGCGCTCATTGACGGACGTCCCTTGAGCTCGTGTCGGAAACAATTCATAGACACCGTCTGTATATGGTATAGTTTATAGATATACAGTTTGCTGCTCAGCCAGGCAACTCTGCTGTGTATGCTGGCTGACCCGCACAGGAGAGCCAGCCCGCCTAGAGCTCCTCCGATTATGGCCCCAATGTTATTTGGCTGGTTGCCGGAACCACCGTCCTTGGCCGCGGCTGACTGTATAGTCTGTCGTGTAGCAGAAGTGGTAGTTACACTTGGGAGACTGGTTTTCAGTCTGCTTGTCGCGGGGTTCCGGGTAGTGACAGGAGCCGGAGAGTCACCGGCCGTCTTGGGAGAAGGAGAGTCGGCCGTACCCGTGGCCTGCTTTGAGCTTCTTGTTGACGCCTCGACTGTGGGTGACGGGAAATACAGATCTATGCGAGGACTCTGTCCACAGGCGATATACGAGTACGTCTGGTCGACGCCGACATTCAAGAGCGCGGTTGAGCAGAACTGTTTTGAGCTACTACACCCGGCTCCATCTCGTTAGCGACCGTTTTGTACTCGAGGGTTTTTTTTTTCAAACAAAACGCACCATGTGAAGGTCGTCAAGTCGGTGCTTTGGGTCATGCCGCATCCGTCGGTGCATCGGAAGCCGTCCACGCAACTCCCCGCCAAGCCACAGTCGCGGGCGGCAAACACCGAGGTAGGACAAAAGCCCCAAAGGCCGTTCTGAGGATCCACGCGGCATTTGTATCCGGGTTCGGCCGTCCGGGGATTTGACGGGCTGCCGTCGAGGTAACCGCATGTCGAAAGCTCTGTCAGGGCTCGACCTTGGAGTCGAATTTGGCCTCGCGTCGCCGGGACGGAGGCGAGTGTCGGCTCCGAGCTGCCATGGACAACAAGCCCGAAGCTGGAAGTCAAATTGGCGGCAGCGTAAAACAGAGGCAACAGACGGCGTCTGAGGACGACCATGACGGCCGAGTCCATATATATATATATATATATAAATAGGTATATGTATGGACTCGGGTGCAAAGCAAACTTGCGTGGGAAGCGGCGGTTTGCGGGCCAAAGTGATTCACGTTTACGAATACTCGCAGCAATTATCAGTGCTGCCTTTTTAATGCGCTCCCCCTTTGTTTAGGCCCAAGTTATCTATCCACCCACTTTCATTAACTGTACACCCAAAAAGTGGATTAACTGTGGCTGACGGCCGAAGAGGGCCGATACCGCCAATTTGTATGCACACATTCTCTACGATAAGTAGAGCCAGGTAGTAACAGTTCTCCTTCAACGATAAGGCACCCAAAATTGAAGCTATTCGTACTGCGCTTTCTATGCTGATGAGACTATTCTTTGGTGTTTACAACAGGCCTCCTTCTTCGAGTGCACTACGTGCCTGATCCGCTTCATCTAACTGTGATTCCAATTGATCCCATACATCCTCAAGGGCGGCATCGTCCGTGAGGCCGGCGACGAAGATGCAGTCTTGGGTCTCCCGCCGTACCGGCTGATCGTCATCATCAGAGACTGGCGTTTGACGCCCGGCTTGTTGATACGCCCGTTGCATCCGTGTGCCTGCCTCGTACGTATCGCCGTTTTCCTCGATGTGCCGCAGCCCTCGTTCCGTTGAAGTCATCGCGGCCGTTACCGTACCCGTCATCGCCGCTGGTGCCGTTGAGGAGGAGGCAGTCGTATAGCCTCAGCCCGCTCATGCCGTTCAGCGATCTCGTGATGTGACGGATCCCGCCGCGTTGATCTTGACCGCCGTGACTCTTCGAGGTTGAGTGAGCCCTTGGGGCGGCCCTTAGCCCTGATAACTTGTGGCTCGTATGGTGCCCGAGTAGGGCTTGTGCCCTGAGCGCTTGTATCGATCGGAATATACCAAAATGGGTCGAAGTCGTCGAGTGTAAGGGAGGTATTGGTGTTGATAGACTCGAAGATTCGATGGCAGCACGGTAGCCCTCGACTAGTAGCCCAATTACAAGGACATTGACCTGGCGGCGGTTTGGCCCGTTGACTTCGGGGTCTAGAGGATCTTGCGATGCTCATCTATTAGTAGCTTTAACGCATATGACGATACTCGCTCGCGGATCGGCATATACGGCGCCTGTAGGAGAACGTTGATATCTTGTGGAGGTTTCGATTCTCTATCGCTGTGATCTGAGCAGCCTGATGGCCCCAGAAGCGTTCGAATCGTTGGAAAACGGTCGTCAAATCGCCCGTACAGGACCAAAGGAACTTCTTCATATGAGAGTGAAGTCCTCGACGATCGAGGTCGTTGTACGCCCGAAGTGGCGATATTGATTAACGAAACAAGATACAAACTTCTCCTTCCAAGGCGTTAGCCACGTATTGCAACAGTATTGTATAGCTGCAAGCGGGTGGCGGCCTGGTGTCTCAAATTGGCGTAAACGTTCGTTGAAGCTATTCACATCTTGTGACTTGACGATCTCGTTCCACTCTTGTAGAAACGCTTGGAATGCCGGGGCCCGTACGACTCGATTGCCGATTTTGATGCCTTAGGAAAAATTGCTTGCATTTCGCAACGACATTCTGGTTAATATGCCACGTGCAGAGAAGGTTAGTACTGTTTTGAAGCTCGCGAAAGCTATCTAACGCCTTAAGCAACGCAGTATCTCGGTCCGTGACAGTGACCCTTGAAATGGGATCGACTCCTTCTCGCAAAGGACTAGCAGCAACGAGATAGCCCAATAGTAATGGGACTCGGTCTCGCCGTTCAAGAAGATAGAGGCAATAGAGAACGTTTTGTTATCTCGAGTGGCCGCGCAGATATTCAATAACGGCATATTGAATCGGTTCGTCTTGTAGGTACAGTCGAGGACGAGGACATCGTGATGCTGACGCCATCGATGGAAGGTAGCACGAGGCGCGAGAAATAGCCCAGTTAGCCGGCCCTGGGGATCACGACTATCTCGATGAAAGAAGTCGGACTTATCTAGCCGGTCGTAGAGAAACTGAAGAGGCGTACGGCCAGCTAGTTCTTCCTGACGGTGCCTAGCCAAGGCGTTACTCACGTCTTGAGCCGTGATACCGGCTAAACGAGGATCGTCGTGAACCAGGTCACGAAGCTCGCCAGCAATATCGGTCGGCCGGGTATTGTTATTAAACTTCCGGATAATGTCGTCGCGATACTTCTGGATAACAAGCGCCCGGTACTTCGGAAAGACCATCGGGTCATCAACAAGGCGATGATTGTGAACATCGTGAAGATAAGAGATAGTCCAGTAACCGCGTTTTTCCTTCAACGAGAGGCGAAATTCACAGTCTGTTTTCTGGGTTGCTGTATTGAGGCGACGACGAGAGATATGAGCAGCTTTATCCTTCCGATTTTCGTAGGGGCCGGCCTTGATACAACGAACAAGTGCAGACTTGCGTTGGCCAGCGTTATCCCGCTTCGATGTTCGAATGTGTAGGGCGTAGCCCTCAGCCTCAGCAACGGTATCGGCGGCTTCCATCGCGGCCTGGAAGGTCGGGAATAGTGTCTTCGTAAGCGACTCCATGATTCGGGCTCGTAAGGGCAGAAACGCGGTGCGAATAGCTTCAGTTTTGATGGTATTGCTGATAGTTACGGTTACAGGATGTTGTTACGCAAGCATCACGAACTGGCCAGCTGGCCGGCCGGGAATGGGCGCACCAAAATTAGCGGCATCGGCACTGCGCCTGACCCAGCCACAGTTGATCCACTTTTTGGTGTACAGTTAATAAAAGGAGGTGTATAGATAATTGGGCCCTTTGTTTAGTAGATATACAGAGTCCGGCATATTCAAAGGTCCCGACTGCGCTCTCTACTCATCCATGTCATATGCAGTTGGCTGTAGCGTTTCATTTTCCCACCAGTGACGCCCAATTTCATCACCTGCTGTACGTGTAATTACTTGCAGGTTACTCAACGGGGACGCATGTAAGATGTATAAAGTAGTGCACCGTCAGGGGTGGCTCTGGCCGGGGGCGGGCGCTTCCTCATACTTCACGCTCATACCGCTGGGGATTTGCCGAGTTGATGTAACCCACAGTATCGCCACGTCGACCAATGCGCTGATGAGCACCTGAAAAGAAAATAGATACATAGGTCGTCTTTGTTCGTCGGCTGACCTCGAGGCCCGAGTCATCGCCATGACCGGCTCAGGGGACCATGGCCATTTTCGGAGCCGACCAAGGCTCACCCCGTGACGCCTCCAGCAGAGGGTATGAGATCCCACGGCGCTCGGGAGCACGATGCTGACTTTCAGGCTCAGGCTCAGGCTCAGGCTCACATGCAGACAACCGGGACGCCTCCACGATCGCTGCCCACCTCGGTGCCATCTTGGACGGGAATTCAACAAGCTCTCCGAGCATGAAGTGTCCGGCGCTGAATTCGGCCAGATACGAGCCTTTGAAAGCCACAGGCTCCGACAGCGCCCATCTCCGATATTTCTTTGCGCTCAACCTTCGAGACTGTCGGCCCTTGCTGCCCCGTCTCCTTGGCAGTATCATCGAGGCTATTCGCTTCCTCGGTCCACATCATTGCGCCCTCTCCATCGTCGAGTGAAACTCGCCTGACGGAACCGGCAATATCTTGGCAGCGCTTCGGCCTGACCTGGAAGCCCTGGGTATTGCATACCTTTTTGAGTCCTCGTCGATTGATCCCCGCGCTGGGCATCGTATCGTCAAGCTCGCCGAGCTGCGGAACATGGCCCTGCGGCCCCTTTTCAGCAACCCAGACCGCGCTGACAGGAACACGACGATTGTGTTCCTCAACGACGTGGCCATCTGTCCCGAGGACATCCTTGAGCTGGCCCTTCAGCGGAGGAACCTGGGCGCCGACATGACTTGTGCCATGGACTGGACATATGCCGGCCGTGATCCTACCTTTTACGATGTGTGGGTCGCCCGCGGAATCAACGGGGACTCTTTCTTCGATATTCCCCCGGATGGGAACTGGAACTCGGCGTGGAACCTGTTTTGGAACGCGGAGCATACAGGCTCGCGGTTCCACTCGCGCCGACCTTTTCAGGTTTTCTCATGCTGGAACGGCGCGACAGCCTTTACGGCTCAACCTCTCCTCGACAACCTCATCAGATTCAGGGCGGCCAACGAGACGGCCGGCGAGTGTAACCAGGGCGAGCCGCAGTTGTTTTGCAAGGACATGTGGTTCCGCGGATACCGCAAAATCGCCGTGATACCCACCATAAACCTTGAATACTCGGTCGAGAGGGGGGAGCAAATCAAGACGGCAAAGGGGTTTGTGTCGGAGCACGTGTCCAAGCAGGACTTGGCAGGCGATGAGATTGGCTGGAAGCTGGAGCCCCCAGAAAAGGTCAAGTGTATGCCGACCTGGGAGAAGCAGTTTTGGCAGCTGTGGAACGAGACGCTATAAAGAAGGGATCCCGTGTGCCCAAAGGCATAGCAGTGCCGTCTCAGGTCGACATTGAGATATCTTGGGCCGACAGCTCCATTTTGATTCGTATGTAATTACACTCGTTGAGGAAAGAAACCCAGACTCGTACAAGCAAAAGGAATATACACTTGGAAGAATCGAGAGTAGCATTGCAGTACCTACAGTAGACCAAGCCCCTCCAGGGGGCCGGGACGGAGCCCGATCGATCATCGGAGGCCGGAGGCGGGAGAGGCCACTGTCTCGGTGAGTGATGGATACCTAAGTACCTAGGTAGGTAGGTACCTAGGTAGGTAAGGTAGGTACCTAGTACTCTCCAAGTTCTTTTACAGCTTTCCCGTAGAGTACGTACGTGCTGGTCTTAGAAGGATCGTTATCCTAGAGGTACTTGATCAAGTGCCTTCGCACCCTTGCGGCCACCATCGGCCTACATCAAAGCTACTTGCAAGATACTTGTTGAGTGAGGAGTGAGCGGTGGGCTGCAACTCTGCCTGCAGGGCGCGCCCCGTACTCTTCAGGTACCTTGGGGTAGATGCCTTTTTGGTGCCGCGAACCTGCTAAATGGAGCCCCTACCAGCGCGCCTGCCAGCCAAAAACGCGTTAGACGTGACCCGGGGACGCGTTCATTGGAAAGCGTCGGGGCGGGAAAAAAAAGCCCCCGTCTTTTGAACGTAGCTGCTTCTACTCACCAGGGATGGGTTGGACCGTCTCGGCTTCCACCTCATTTCTTGACGCTCAAATTTTCCTCGCCTGGCTGTCGTCCTGCCTCTCCAACAGACAGATGCCCGTTCATGGTGTCGCCTGAACTCGCCGGCCGCCCCTCTGCTGCTAGATCGCCTGCGCTGCCTGGCAGCAGCCATGGCATCTTCAGCAGCCCCGGCCCCATCCACTCGCATCCTCACCAACCTTGCCGCCCGTCCACCGACTCCTCCGCGAGAAGCCAACCACGACGCCGACGTCTCCCTCAGATCCGTCGTCCTGGGGATATCGCAGTCCTTCGATCCCTGCCGCAGCCTGCAAACGCCCCCGGGCGCTCACTCGCCCTCGTCCTTGGTCGCGACCGGCTCCGACTCGAGCTCCGACCGCGTGCGCAAGAAGGTCGAGTGGTCGAGCCACACCGACTACAAAGACCCTCCCGACTATCGTGACGGGGCCCGACTCGACAAGTCCCACCTGCTATCCACCCCCTCTTCCGCCTCGTCCAAGCCCATCAAGGGCATCCTCAAACCATCGCCCGCGCCGAACTTGCTTGCCTCCTCTCTGGCCACGCAACTCGATGGCACTGTCACCCAGCTCAATCTCATAGAAATGCTCGACTCGTCCATCAAGCAGCTCGCCGGTCCCGACCGGGACTCGAAGCTCGATGCCTATATGATGCTCGCCCGGGCTCTCAAGACGTCCAACAACCTGCCGGATCGCGTGGCGCTGCAGAACAAAATGAGCCTCTTCATGCAGTTCATTCAGCGTGACATTACGTCCAAGAACGATAACGGCTCCCTCGACAACTCTCTTGTCAACCACGCCCTTACTCTGCTCGCCACCTTTCTTCACTTCCAAGCCATCGCCTCGACCATTACCTCCGACTTCGGCGTCTTCATCATCGACCATGCCATCCGCTCCTTCGAGGATCCCGCTATCCCCAAAGACATAGTCCGTCACTTGATGCAGGTTGTCGCCTTTCAAAACTTCTCGCCAAAGGTCATGGCGCCTGACCGCGTTGGCCGACTGGTTGCCGCCCTTCATAAAATCGAAGACCATGTGCAGGGCAAGAGCATCGTCATGAGTCGCCTGCACATTTACAAGCGGCTGGTGAAGCAGGCTCGCAACTCCATGCTCGCTCACGCCGACTGGCTCAAGGACATGTTCACCGACATGCTTAGCACGGTCAAGGACATTCGAGCTCAAGCCATCAGTCTGGGCAGCGAGGCGGGCTTCGGCCTTCGACCTGACAAGCTGCTGTTCCGCAAAGTCGCCGACATTTTCACCGCCACGGATGACGACGAGTCGTACATTGAATTTTACATCAGACGACTGCAGCGCATGGTCAAGGACAAGCAGACCTCCTTCGCCGTGCCGCAGATCTGGAGTGTTGTGATCCTCTTCTTGCGATGCCCCTTCGACCGCTGGGAATACTATGCCCCGTGGCTGAGGCTCGTCCAAGATGCCTTCAACATGACGGATGGCCCGACCAAGCAGGAGGCCAACTACGCCTGGAACCGCTATGTTTGCCTGTCCATCCTCGATAGCAAGATGGGCCCCAAGGCCGTCAACACATTATGCAAGCCTCTCCTCAGCCAGCTGCGGAGAAAGGCCAGCCCGAAGCAGCAAGATGAGGCCATAAAGCTACGGCGAATTGTCCTTGGAGGCGTGTGCAGCCTGTACTACTATGCTTTTGCTCAGGGCGATGAGAAGTGCCCTACCGAGGTGACTTGGGATGTGGCCGTTCAGCCTGTCATGACGCAACTCATCGATCTCGACGGCAAACCAGATGTACCCGGAGATTGCATGATGCAAGCGGCTCGCATGTTGGCCGGCCTCTTGGATGTCTCGACACCTCGTCCGCCTCGAAACCCCGACCGCATCATGGATACGACGCCACTCAAGCCCGAGGAACTCTTGCCGATAGATTCCAAATGGGTCCGCCGGAACTGCGAGAAGGTCTTCGAAGCCATCGAGCCCATTTTGGAGAAGAAGCTCGTGGATTTGGCCAACAAGGACAGCCTGGTCTACAGACTATGGCAGGCCCTCGTCGGGTCCGTTGCTGCAGCGTCGGCCAAGGACATCAAAGTCTCCGAGGACACCGTCAAGTTCCTGGCCTGTAGCCTGAGTCTGCTAGCCAGGGCTTGGTCCAAAGGATCCAACGAGGACGACGACTCGGCCAACGCCAAGTTCTTACCAAGTGTCCATCACTTTGTCCAAGTGCTAGTCGATGGACTGGGTGTTCTCCCATTCATGGAGAAGAAGCTATCCCAGAGCACGCCCAACACGTTTGAGGCGGTTGCCGCGCCCTTGCAACGTTCGGAGAAGAGTGAAAGGCCTTGGGGAGGTCATCGAACACCATTGCAACACCTCGTCTCGATGCTCTCTTCAATCCCTCCCAGCTTCGCCGATGACGAGGAACTCGCCGACTTTTTTCAGTCCGTCTTCGGGCCGTTCTTCAAGGGACGAAACACCAAGGCTCGCTCCGAACTCGCTCGAGAGCTGATTCAGTTGCTTCCTCGAAACACCTTCTCACCCTACGGTCCGTGGCTCTTGGCCGCAGAGCACATGAAGTCTTGCCTCGAGAAAAGCCCGGCCGGATCTGGAGCCGGTACATCTGGCAGTGAGAAGCTTCTGGGGCCTCAGTATCGAGAATTGGTTTCGCTTCTCGAGCGTGGCCTTGCGAGCCACCCCAAACTGCCTGCTGATAAGTGGAAGTGTCTGTTTGATCTTGTTTCTTCGGGCGTGTTTGAGGAATTCGGCGACGCTGGCCGTGCTCTTGTCGTCATCGAGCCCCTCGCCAAGGCGATGCTCGACAACCGGCTCAGCAACGCTGCTCTACCCTCGGCCACATCCGTTCAAGCAATGACGATGCTCTTCGACGCCGCCAACTTGCCCCGTGACCGAAAGGCCCTCGATGCCGCCCGCCTGCGCCTGTGGGGGGCGCCGCCTGCGACGACCAAAGCCGGGCCATCTGACCCGTTCGACAATCTGTACAAGCTTGCCAACCACCAGATGGAAGCGCTCTACAATACCTACCCTGCTGTCCACTGCCTATCAGAGTGGAACGCATTCGCTGAATCTGTTTGCATGTTTTTTGAGAAATGCTCGGCCGTGGCTGTGGTCAAGACCATGTGGAAAATGCAGCATGGCCTGTCTCCGTGGATTGAGGATGAGAAAAACCAGCTTCAACTGCCTGATCTGGCCCCCGTTTCCCGCACCGTGAGTCGACCGTGGTCCCTTTGAGACTGGAGCTATTACTAACAATTGCAGTTACAACAACTTTGGGACCATGTCTGCATCAAACTTGCTGCACACGAGCGATTTGAAAAGAAAGATTTCGACCAAGTTGAGCCACTTCTAATCGCCGCGCTCAGGAGCAGACAGGCCTTCGTCGTCAACAAGGCCGCAGGAGCCTGGAACACGCTTGTCAAAGATGTGGAGAAGGTTGAGTGCTCAGACAACTTCAGGTCCATCATCTCGTCTTTGCGGTCGAAGCTAGACCTTGTTGTACCTGGACATGGACCTTCCCCAAATACTGACTTTGATGCTCAAGTATCTGCCATTGGTCATCAGGACATGGAGAGCCTCGTCCTGTCGTCCGCAACGTCGCACCAGGACTCCAAGCAAGTTACTGCCTCTGCTTCGTCAGCGCCTAGACAACCCATCATCAGGAAGCGTCAGATAGAGGCAACTCCCGAGGCCGCCCGGAAGTCATCTAAGAGGCCAGGCACCTCGCGGCTTCGCCATGAGGACTCGCAAATCCAGTTTGCAGTAATCGCGCCTTGCCCTTTACCGCTGGACGAGTCCCAGCATCTCACGGATCGCCAGAAGGAAATTCGAGAGAGGCAGCTGGAGAATGCTGCTCTGTACTCGGATATCCACTCCGATGGCCCTGCGCGCTCAGGCGAAGCCGCATCCAAGGCCAGCAATGCTGCCGAAAGGACTGACAATGGAGAAAGAGAAAGTCTGCCAAGGGACACAACTCCAACGCGCAATACTTCGTTCAACGATTTGGTCCGCTCAACGCCCACACCTCGGCGCGGACAAGTCTTGCCGGTCGACGATGCGAACGATCCACCATCCTCCCCTCCAGTCCCCCGGCCTTACCCTCTGTTGTCCGAGATTCAGTCCCGCTCGAGAGCCAGCAGCTCTTTAGACAACTGGGAGTTTTCTTCGCCAACTGGGTCTCCCGTGGCAAGGGCTCAGGAAGCTGCCCAGAATGCCATGCCAGCCTCTCCCGCTGCGAAGGCTGAAGCGTCCCCTACGAGGTCACGCACAAGGACGAAGAAGAAGAGGCGATCTGCTGCCAAGGGGCGGGAAACAAAGGTCATACCCTCCAGCGTCCCTGGCGACCAGAGTACCACGAGTGATCGAGCAAAGGGCAGCACAGCAGGCCCTGCAGTCGCGGATCCGCCAGCTACTCCACCCCGGAGCAACCGAGTGCCTGCTGGTGGGAAGACGTGGGAAACACCCAAGTCTGGTGAGGATGAGTTTGTGGATGCCAGAAGCAGCCCCGAGCGACAATCACTCAAACCCCTCAAAACACGTGCTGTAGAGGCCCATGACGAAGAAGACGCGACGAATACGTCTTTTGCGTTTAGCGAAGGCGCGGAGAACGCTGCGGTAGAATTGGTCATCGAACTGGAATCGCGACGTTACGAACTGTCCGCGTCCGAAGGGGGGGAGAGCCCGAGGAATGATAGCACATCGGGTAGAGCGCAGAAGGATGAGTCTATCTTGCCACTGCCCGAGTCGTCACGAGGCCCGACAACGCGGAGGGAGTCGAGGAGACTAGTTTCCCTAGTTGTACCGTCCATGCCAGCCAAGGCTACTGACAAAGAGGTCGAAGGCGGAGCGAGACGGAAGAGGAAGAGGAGTGGCGTCAAATACCCCGAAAACCGCGGCAAGAGAAGGCGCTCAGAAGAGATAGAGGTAGCCCGGCCTGCGCACGAGCTGCCCAAATCTGTCTCGCCGGCGCCGTCTCCGCGACCCTCCCCTCAGCAAAAGGCCGAGACGGGCACGAGACGAAGCTCACGGAGACGGAGGTCACGTGCGGGCGCTACATCTGTTCCGGAGGCGGCGGTGTCATCAGAGGCTGAAGAGGCGGACCAAGAAAAAGCAGAGGCGGGCGTCGATGGCGGAGATACGGATGAAGAGCTCATGTCACAGCTGGTAACGGAGTCGTTTGCAGCGTCACGACAGAACGAGTCTCAAGAATCGACCAAGAGAGTGACGCGCCATGCGGCGAAGCAGAGGTCACTCAAGCTTGGGGAGGCAATGGATGCAACGACGGCGAGCCCAGCCAAGTCGGAGCGACGTGGCGGGCACGCAGATGAAGGCGAGGAAACGCCGACGATCCTGGGTACGCTACGAAGTGGGCTCGAGCAGCTGCGCAAGGCAGCGCTCGGGCGGGAGGTGGTGTACGAGTTGGAGGATGTGTTGATGGACCTGAAGCGAGAACTGTACGATGCGGAGAAGCGCGGCAGAGGAGGAAAGCGGAAGAGATCAGGGAGAGCTGCTCCCTGATGGCGCATGTATCATGGGCGTCTACTTTCAGGGCGACGAGCAGCTTTGGAGTTTGGGCGGGCCATGTTTGCCTTTTCTGTACTTGGCATGGGAAGATGAAGTGTACATGGATAGAAGAACAAGAAAGTACCGTAAGTTGACAGACATGAATGAGCACGACGCTTCCATGGCGAGGTTGAGGATTAGTCGAGGGAATGATTAGGGCGACAGGTTGTGGACTGACCAGTGGCGAGGACCCTAGCGGAGGCAAGACGGGAATAGGCAAGGACCCTGCGGACGTGGACGTGATCCAGGGCCGGGCAGATGAAGGAGGGTTGGTTGGTGGTCGAGACGAGGGGACGGTGGTGTCTACTGTAGGCCCGGCGTTTCCTATTAGGGCAAGCCGAGGGATGGATGAGCCCTCGTCGGAACAAGGTAGGTACCTACCTACCTCGGTACCTGGAGGCTCAAGTACATAACTACTTAGGTACCTAGGTAAGTACCTACCTGGGTAAGTATAGGTACATGCATGCAGTACCCAAGATGGTGTTTGTGGCCGCCATGACCGAGGAGTGGTTGGAGGAGGGTGAGCTTGCGCTTGAGGCCTTTGAGGTGCGCACAAGCCAACGCTTTGCACGGGCGTCCATCAAATCTCGTGTCCACGATGCTGGATCAAGGGGATCAAGGCGTCCATCAGGCCATGATTCGTCTTACTGTCTCGGCCGGCATGTCATGTCGGCGCGGCGGCCCGGCTTACATGCAAGGGTACCAACCAAGCAAGTACAGTATGTATGGAGGGGAGGTATGTTATGTTACTGTAAGAGCCAACAGAGAAAAACGGCCTCGTCAGCATAGAGCACCTGCTCTCTCTCTCTCTCTCTCTCTCTCTTGGTGCCCCGTCTCTTGGCCCCTCCCCGGCTTGTTCGAGGTTCGGCGAGTGACGTGTGCCGCGCCCTTTGTGCAGGGCACGACGACGTCGTCTTTGGGAGCCCGGGGATCCATGTTGCTGCATGCGAGTAAAAGGTGCATTTTTTTCGTTTCTCGGCTGCTGGTCATGTTTGGCCGAGAGGCGAGGGGGCGGGGGAGGGGGCGCCTAGTTTAAGCCCCTCAGCCCCCCACCCGGGTCCGCAGACAGGCCCCCCCCCCATGTCCGAAGAAACTTGCGTCCTTAATCCCCGGCATGACGTCGGTATTCCCCACGTTTGGTCGGCGGGTCCGTCGCATCTGGATTTTGCGCGACGTACTGTATGTACTCCGTATGTGAGTTACCGTTGCAGTACAGATCAAGCACGGAAAATGGCCCGTTCCACATGGCTTCAAGAGCAAGAGACAGACGGGCTGCAGCCTGGGGTGCAGCAGCAGCGGTCGCAGGGCTGACTTGGCACCTACTACAGGCAGGTACAGTGGCTACAGCGGATGGGGGAGAGGGAAATAGTGGCGCTCTGCCGCTGGAGATGGATCGGTGATGGCTGGCGGGTCCTGCAGCAGCGCCTAAAGCAGCCTCCGGGAGCTGCGCACAGTACGCGGTACCTGTACTATTGCTCTATTGCTGCCATGGCGCGGTACCTGATTGGTCAAAATCACGTGCGGGCAACCAACCGGTTGCTCAGTCAAAGAGATGAACAGCGAGCAGACTGAACAGACTGAATAGCATAAAAAAAGAAGTGCCCCAGGCCAGAGTTGAACTGGCGACCTTTCCAAGACACTTGCCGATTTCTGCAACTTTGCAGTTGAACTGCTCTACCGTTGAGCTACCGGGGCTTGGTGTCTGTTGTTGAAGATATTCGCGCCGCACCGCATTATAAGGATGCGCCCTGGCCCTGCACATGTACTCGATACCTGCCACAGGGCCCGCAAGCACTGTGTGCAGCCCCCCAGTGAGGCACGTTTTTTCCCCACTGCTTCTTAAGCCGAGGCACAGCAACAGCAACACATTGTGCCGTGCCGTCTTTTTCAAGCAATTGCCTGTCGGTGTTTCTACATCACGTCGACTGCGAATACTGTCGTATGGACGCATTCATGCTCGGTCCGCCATGCCGTGCGACGCTAAGCTGACGGAAATGCCTCTGCCCCCCAACCCATGGCCGAGGGAAGTTTGGCGGTGGATTCGCACTTTTTAGGTGCTTCTTGGCAGCGGAGACAGTTTCAAAACATCCATCCACCCGTGATCCGCCGAGACTCTCAAGGCAAAGGTTAATATCCCCCGCTCATCTTGGTCCCTGCGCCCTAGCCGGCTAGGCCGGCTTCCAGGTACCCCGGACGCCTCGAGAGCGAGGCGGTGGTGCCTGTTGCACGGCAGAGTCTTGGAAGCCTTCACGCACGCGGTGCGACTGGGTGGAGGCGTGGAGTAGTGTCTGTCCCGGGCTCTAAGACCTCGACATCTTATCCAGTAGAGTAGGCTTGCTTTGCTGTCTGTCATCCACATGGCAACGGGGGGGATAAATAGCCCCGGGTACCTTTTCCTCGGCAGCCGCATCCAAGCAAGACCAAACTTATAACCACTACCTTTTCCTCCTCCTCCTCCTTCTCCTCCTCCTCCTCCTCCTCCTCCCCGCCCTCCCTCTCCTCTTCGTCCCTCGCTGCTTGGACATCTGGCAGCCCTTTCTTTACAAGGCATCGGCTTCGACATCGGCCCCGACACCAACAACCATGGGCAACTACTTTGGCCTTCGCGGCCAAGCCCTCAACTGGGCCATTGGCGCCGTTGCCGGCTGCGACTTTCTCCTCTTCGGTTACGGTACATCCCCAAACAGGCCTGCCCTTTCTCAAAGCCTTCGTCGCGACTGACAGCTATCTAGACCAAGGTGTCATGGGCGGCCTCTTGACCCTGCCCGTCTTCCTCGAACAGTTCCCCGACATCAACGACAAGGATCCCGCCATCGCAAACGACCACGCCATGCAGTCCAACCGCTCCACCTATCAAGGCATTGCCATCGCCTCGTACAACCTGGGCTGCTTCATCGGCGCCGTCATCGCCATCTTCATCGGGAACCCCCTCGGCCGCCGGCGCATGATTTTCCTCGGCACCGCCATCATGGTCGTCGGCGCCGCCCTCCAGGCCTCGGCCTTTAAGCTCGAGCACTTCATCATCGGCCGCATCATCACCGGCCTCGGCAACGGCGGCAACACCTCCACCGTTCCTATGTGGCAGTCGGAGACGTGCTCGGCCCACAAGCGCGGCAAGCTCGTCATGATTGAAGGCGCCCTCATCACCGGCGGCATCACCATTTCCTACTGGGTCGACCTCGGCCTCTCCTTTGCCCCCGGCTCCGTCGCCTGGCGCTTCCCTCTCGCCTTCCAGATCGTCTTTTGCCTCTTCATCCTCGCCTTTGTCCTCGACCTGCCCGAGTCCCCCCGCTGGCTCATCCTCAAGGGTCGCGACGACGAGGCCCGCCGCGTCATTGCAGCCGTCGCCAATGTCAGCGACGACGACAAGTACGTCGACAACGAGCTGCTCGCCATCAAGGAGACGGTGGCAGAGATGAGCAAGGGCTCCTACTCCGATCTCTTCGCTTGCGACAGGAACCGCACCCTGCACCGAACCCTCATCGCCTACTTTAACCAGATGTTCCAGCAGATTTCCGGCATCAACCTCATCACCTACTACGCCGCCAAGATCTACTCGGATCTCGGCATGTCGCCCTTCATGTCCCGCCTGCTCGCCGCCCTCAATGGAACCGAGTACTTCATCGCTTCCTGGCCCGCCGTCTTCCTCGTCGAGCGTGTCGGCCGTCGCAAGCTCATGCTCTTCGGCGCCGCCGGTCAAGCCATTACCATGGCCATCCTGGCCGGCGTCAACTCGAGGCCCACCGAGAAACCCTATCAGATCGCCGGCATCGTCTTCCTCTTTGTCTTCAACACCTTCTTCGCCATCGGCTGGCTCGGCATGACTTGGCTGTACCCGGCCGAGATCACGCCCCTGCGCACCCGCGCTCCTGCAAACGCCCTTTCGACGTCGTCCAACTGGATTTTCAACTTCTTGGTAAGCCCCTGTCCCCTCTCTTCTCCTCTCTTCTTCTTCGTGGACAAGGTCTGATGGCTTGAAACAAACAGGTCGTCATGATTACACCCGTGGCCTTCCAGAATATCCAGTACAAGACATATCTTGTGTTTGCCGTCATCAACGCCTTTATGGTCCCGTCGGTCTACTTCTTCTTCCCTGAAACGGCGTACCGGTCGCTGGAGGAGATGGACACCATCTTCCAAAAGGTTTCGGGCTGGAAGGGCGCATTTACTGTCATCCGTCAAGCCGAGATTGAGCCGCGCCGTTACGGCAAGAACGGCGAGCTGCTTCTTGCCATTGATGAGAAGGCCGGGACGGAGCATCACAATGCCAGCACGAGCGACACAAACGCCGTCGCCAACACGGGCATGTTTACCAAGGCCGATGAAGAGACGCAGCGGCCGCACCACTGAGCTGGCGGCCGCTTTATTTTCTTTTTTCTTGTCCATTTTCTCTGCCTATATAAAAGCCACCTGGGATGCCTCGAGTTCAAGGATTCTACAGCGTGGCGAGGTGGATGTATATACGAATATGTCGCGACGAGTGTTGGATGAGGACCATGTTCATATACCCTATTTTTTCTCTCTTTTCAATTTTGGACCTGATGCTTTGTTGGACTGGTCCGCATTCCACCCGGAGAAGGAGACGCACGAAACAGTCGTCTTGGCGAAGACCGAGACATTTGCCCTATGCCACTCGCTCCTCTATGCCGTTGTCTCAACCATGACAAGTGTCGTCTCGGCAACGCTGCCACTGCCGAAGTCAAAAGGACACGGGCGTGGAGGGGAAGGAGAGGCATGGGCGCTCTGGAGATGGGCGGGGCTTCTGTTGAGCGAGTAAGCAGACATGTACTTGGTACACGGGAGTCTCTGGTCGAGTGGACGGGTAGATGTGAAGCTGCACAGCATCGTCGCCTCGTCAAAGTGACCAAGTTAGAGCTTAATTCGCTGAAGCGCATGACAGAATTACCCAAGGGGCCGGAAGAAGGATCAAAAAGGCCCCGGAAGCAACGATAGCTCTGCTCTCCCTCGTGCCTGTCAGTCATGGCGATACGGTGAGGGGTAATTAACTACGTAACTGCCTGTACTGTACTCCGTACGTACGAGTGGATTCGATGAGGCCTAATTACCGGTACTCCCTAATTACTCCCTACTCCCTACTCCGTAGAGCTACCCCGCCATTGTCTCGTCCGCTCTGGGCAACCCCCGTCTCTTTCATCATCCCCACTCCCATCATTCACACAAACGTCCTCCATCGCCTTTTGCCACCCCTGCGTCCCGCTCCTTGTCTGCCCCGACGCCCCTCGCCCGGCATCGCCTGTCCGGCCCCCGTCTCCGGGAAACACCTTGGAGGCTTTCCGAAACGACACTGCACCCCGACGACAGAGCGAGCATCCACGCGCAAATCCAGCCATCATGGTGGATAGGCCAAACAAGCCCACGGCCCTCGCCGCAACCCCTGGCCTTCCCCCGCAGGCCCAGGTCACCATCTCCGACGACAACGCCCGTGTTGCCGCCCTGCTGCCCACGGGTGAGAGCGTCGAGGTTCTACTCTTTGGCGCCACTGTCCTGAGTTGGAAGGATGCCGCCGGCGACGAGAAGCTGTGGCTGAGCGAGGCTTCCAAGCTAGATGGCTCCAAGGGTGTGAGGGGAGGCATCCCCATAGTCTTTCCGGTAAGACGCTGCCACGGATATGCCAGCCCAGCGATTATCGACTAATGGACTTCACCCCCTTCTTGCAGTTGTTTGGTCCTCCCAACGCCGACCACCCAGCCACCTCCAAGTTGCCCCAGCACGGCTTCGCCCGCACCGCGAGGTGGGAGTACCTGGGCAAGTCCACCAGCGAGGGGTCCAGCTCGAGCGTCAAGCTCGACTTTGGCCTCTCGTCCGAGAATCTTGATGATGCTACCCGCGCCGCTTGGCCCTACAAATTTGGCCTGCTGTACAGCGTCACCCTGGACCGCGAGAGCCTCAACACGACGCTCGTCATCTCCAACCAAGGCGACGAGTCGTTTGACCTCCAGACCCTCTTGCACACGTACTTTAGAGTCAAGGTAAGGCACTATGCCCCCAGTTCCCCACCGCCCGGGCCCAGAACGGTGCGTCGTATGCCAAGCATGTCACTGATGGCATGACAGGACATAACGTCGGTACGAATCAGCGGTTTCGAGGATTCTTCGTACGTCGACAAGGTTGACGGCGCCAAAGCCAAGACAGAGGCGTCCGCACCTGTCACCTTCTCCGGCGAGGCCGACCGCGTCTACACCCCCGCCAAGGGACCCGGGCACCCCGTCATTGTCTCCGATGACGGACAGCCGCGCTTCCGCATCGTACGAGATAACCTCGACCAAGTGGTTATATGGAACCCTTGGGCGGACAAGGCCGAGGGCATGTCCGACTTCGTGCCCAAGAGCGGCTACAAGAACATGGTGTGCGTCGAGGCCGGCAGCGTCAAGGGATGGCAGAAGCTGGACAAGAGCGACACGTTTGAGGCTGCGCAGACGATTTTTCTGTCCTGAGAAGGCCGGCGACACTCTGGCCAGCCGGATTTAAAGCCGTCGGCAAGGGAGACGCGGCGACGCGCATCACCGAACATACGTAGGGGAGGCAGGATTGAAGCAATGGGTGTGGGCGATGGGCGGCGGGCAAGTAAGTGGGCATCACAGAGGGGGCTGTGAAAAAGAGAAGGCGACTCAGATATTCGCCCCGCGGGCACTGAAATCTGGCCCGGATGAGATGCATCTTCACGTTATGTTCCTACTGTATTTGACTTATACATGCAGAGAATTTCTTTCATTTTTCCAATCTGCACGTGCGACACGTACCAAAAACACCGTGTACTACTCTTCGTCGCCAACAACGTCGATTGAATGCCGCGCGTGACTTGGCAGAGCCTTGGATGGCTGACTGGGCAGAGGAGGAGTGGGCCGGTGCCGAGACCCCTTTTCCCCTTTCACCCCCCGTCTTTTCTTGCCCTCACGCGGACCAGCATTCTCTCTAGTCGTCGGCGTGACTTGATGACGCCCAAGCCCTTTCCCTCGTCGTGCCGCCTCCTCACGTCGACGACAGCTTCTGCTCCTGAGAATAGTGGTCGGCAATGAGAAAGGCGAGCTCGAGGGCTTGCTTCTCGTTGAGGCGGGGGTCGCAGAAGGAGGTGTAGTTTGTCGACAGGTCATCCTCTGCCAGCCCCTCGCTGCCGCCCAGGCACTCGGTCACGGCGTCGCCGGTGAGCTCGAGGTGGACGCCGCCGAGGTAGCTGCCCTGCTCCTTGTGGATGCGCAGCGACTCCTGCAGCTCACGGTAAATGTCGTTGAAGCGGCGCGTCTTGATGCCCGCGGGGGTGGACAGGGTGTTGCCGTGCATGGGGTCGCACTGCCAGACGACGCAGCGGGCGTACTCGGAGTCCTCGACGGCGCGGATGTGCTGCGGGAGGAGCTCGGCGACGCGGCCGGCGCCGTAGCGCGTGATGAGCGTGATCTTGCCGGGCTCGCGGCTCGGGTTTAGGGTGCGCAGGAGGGCGAGGAGGTCGGCCGTCGGCGTGGTGGGCCCAACCTTGATGCCGATGGGATTGGCAATGCCGCGGAAGAACTCGACGTGGGCGTGGTCCAGCTGGCGCGTGCGGTCGCCGATCCAGACAAAGTGCGCCGACGTGTCGTAGTACTCGCTCTTGCCGGCCTCGGGCCTGCCCCCGTCATGATGCAGCGGCAGCTGCGCGGGGCTGGACATGGTGCTGCTGCTGTTACTGCCGCCGCTGCCGCCGCCAAAGCCGAACCCACCGGGGGGCGGAGGCTGCTCGAGAAGACGCGTCAGGGGCTGCTCGTACTCGAGGAGAAGGCCCTCGTGGCTGGTGAAGAGGTCGACGGTGTCGAGCTCGCCGGGGCGGGCGTTGATGACCTGCAGGAAGCGGAGCGTCTGCTGGATGCTGTTGGCGATGGCCGAGTACTTTTGCTTGAGGACGGGGTCCTTGACGTGGCCGAGGCCCCAGTCGAGAGGGCGGTGGAGGTCGGCGATGCCCGAGGCGATGGCGGCGCGGATGTAGTTGAGGGTGGCGGCCGAGTGGTGGTAGGCCCTGGGGGGTTGGGTTGGGTTGGCATCGACCGTCTGCAGGTCTTCACGCGGCGGGACGACGACTTACTTGAGCAGACGAGAGGGGTCAATGTCGCGCTCGTCGACGCGGTAGCCGTTGAGAATGTCGCCGCGGAAGCTAGGGATCTCGTTGCCCTGAACCACCTCGGTCGGGCTGGAGCGAGGCTTGGCGTACTGGCCAGCCATGCGGCCGATGCGGACGACGCGCTTGTTGGTGCCCCAGATAAGGACGACGCTCATCTGCAGCAGCAGCTTGATCTTGGACTCGATGGCGCCCTGCTCGCAGTAGTCGAAGAGCTCGGCGCAGTCGCCGCCCTGGAGGAGAAAGGCCTTGCCGTGGGCGACGTCGCGCAGCTGGGCCTTGAGGGTGAGGATCTCGTTGGGGTGGACGAGGGGCGGCATGCGCGCGAGCTCGCCGGCGGCGCGCGAGAGCTTGTCGGCGTCAGGATACTGGGGCGCCTGCCGGATGGGCTTGGAGCGCCACGACGAGGGGCTCCATGGCTCGTCTTGGTGCTGTTGCGCTGGGCCTCCTGCCTGTCCCCGTTGCTGCGGGGGCTGAGCATCGGGGGCCATGGCTGACGAGGGAGGCTCGGCTGGGCTCGGCTGTGTGAGAAGAGGCGAAGCGCCGGCAGCGACAGAGGCGGAAAAGGGGGTTGATGATGGTGGTGGTGGTGGTCGTCGTCGTCGTCGGTGGGCGTGAAAAGATGTGCCGAGTTTGTATGTACAGCCAGTCACCGCCGTGGCAAGATGGTCAGAGAGGTGCCGATGGTCAATTGCGCATCCTGCTCTCTCCTGCTCTCAGCAAAAGAGGATCGAAACACACACAAAGGAGAGGATTGTGACGCTGACTCTGGGGAAAAGGTGGGCCGATATTATGTTGACAGCTCTTTAGGGAAGTGAGTCAGAGCAGCCTCGGTGGTGAGCCCGAATTGGCCAATCAGTAACGGCAATTTTCGAGGATCAAGCTAAGTCGTGAGAGCGGTCTGTATCGGAGCTTCACCGCAGTCTAGATACCCGTCAAAACAAATAGATATAACACCTGCAAGCCCAAGTCCTACTGTGCAAGATGATACAGGACACGGGCGAGGCAAGTCAAGCCGGTGCAGCGGCTGGGCGTCTTGGCCGCCCCGCCAGGCGCATAAACCCCGCCTTGTCATAAGTTGATAAGGCTCGGCTTGCATCATTTCTCTTCTTCATCCGCGACAGCGAAATCAACACAGCCAGCTCCCGCACAGCCAGCTCCCGCACCAACCACTTCGCCATCATGGCAGACAACCGCCCCCCCGCCGACGTCGACGACGAGCTCCCCGCCTCTTCGACCGCCAAGTCGGCCGAGGACCGCAAGGCCGCCTCGGCCCTCGCCAGCCTCGACGCCAGCCACGACGATGCCGCCGCCACCGCCAGCAAGCACGTCGACCGCCGCGCCGTCGATGAGGCCATGAAGCGCCTCGGCGGCGTCGTGCCCTCCTCCTCCTCCTCCGCTGCCGCTGCCGCCTCCTCCAAGGCCAAGGCCGCCGCCGCCGCATCTCCCGTCAAGAACGTAAAGGTGGATGCTGCCGACGTTGCCCTCGTCGTCGACCAGCTCGAGCTGCCCCGCCCCAAGGCGACGGAGCTCCTCAAGGCACACGACGGTGACGCCGTAAAGGCCATGCGGGCCTACATCAGCGCATAGGACTCGAGGGCCGGGCCGCTTCACGTCCCTTGCGAGACGACAGACTCGGCCGCCCAGCACGATGCGCGGCATTCTCTTTCAGAATCACACACGTCCGGAGCCGACGAGCCAGCACCTCCCGAGAATAGTTATACTCGGCCAACATTTTCTCCTCTCGAAATGGAATGGACCGCCCTCGACGATAACACGAAACAGTATCATGGTGCACTTTTCGGTCAGGGTTGGACCCGTCCTGCTGAGTGGGTGCCCCGTCACCGACGCACAATTTTCTTGCACGACGATGGTATCCCGCCGATGCAATCCCTGGCAAGATTCAATATATACAGGCTCTGTGTTTGCGGTGCAAACCTCGCTGCACTTGGTGTGACCATAGCAATTGATGGACTTGGGGCGCCACGCACGCTGGCACTGGGCGAGGCACCGGCTTCCGCGATATCAAGTCGAGCATATAGAGTGGGATAATCAGTTCTTGCTTCTCCTGTAGCATACCTACAACAAATGCAACCGATGCCTTGGGATTCCAGTCTTCAAGGCCGGTTCCAACACGCCCAAACACGCCGTGAGAATTCAGTCGTCAATAAATCCCTTTGCCCGAGCCTCATTTGCTCCCCGCCACCGCTGCCTCAACCCCATGTCCTGGACAGCGGGCTGCCAATCTTGGGGGCAAACTGCAAGCTCTTGCGCCGCGCCGCCATAAGCCGCATCAGCACCTGCTCGTCCTTGTCCCTGGCGAGGATGCCCTCGCCCATGTCGCGATACTGGTTCCGCTTGGGCGGGCAGGTCCGCGTCACGAGGGCCTGCCCTGCCGGCGACGAGTCGACGTAATCGTCGTCATGCTCGTCGTCGTCGCCGTACGGCGTCTCCGGCAGCTCGGCCGCGTACCGCGCCACGGCCTCGGGGGCAGGCGTCTTGGGCACGGGGGTCAACAAGACACACGACCATTCCAGGTCGTCGTCGTCCGCGTCGCCCTGCTCGTCCTGGTCCGAGGGAGTACGCATCCATATGGTGCTGTCTCGGCGGTTCGCTGGCGAGTTGGGCGTCCGCGACGACGCCCCCTTGGCTGGGCTGCTGACGACGGTGCCGTTCAGGTTGGCCAGGGCTTTTGGCTCCATGCTCTTACGCCGGCGAGCGCCTCCGCGCGGCATGTTGCTCGTGTCAATGTAAAAGGGCGCTTCGTCGAGCCACTCGTTCTCTCGCTCGCAACTGTAGCCCCTTGTCAGTTATGCATGCCTGGCTTGCCCTCCTCCCGTGGGTCAACACTTACTCGAGAACCCAGCTGACGCCTACGCAGTGGACCAGACCGTTGGCCCATCGCACCTTTTCCAGCGTGCGCTTGCCGCCGTCCTTGTAGACGACGTGCGTGATGCCCACCTTGTTGGACGACGCCTCGCCGTCGGTAGGGCTCGTGGGGTTCCAGTGCCATGTCTTGACGCAGCGGGCGCCCATCTGGCCGAGCAGCTCGACAAAGATGCCGCTCGCATCCGCGCCCTCGGTCGTGTGCACGTCGACAAAGACGACGGCGCCCCGGAGCAGGGCCGGGTTCAGGTCCCGGCGAGGCGTCCTTGCGGGCGTTCCCATGGTGGACCACATGTCCGTCTTTGATGGCGTGACCGGGGCGCATGGCGGCGTGATACGCTCCTCCTCCGCCAAGGCGCTCCCAGCATTCTTATCTTTGGATGGCGAATACGAAATGACAGTCGCGCTTCGGGACAGGCTGCCGGGGCGTCTGTGAGAGACGCGCGAGGCGCTCAAGCTGCGCTTCTTCAGCGGACTCGGCGTCGAGTCGTCGGCGGGCTTCAGAGGCACCTTTGTTGTCGTGAAAAACGTCTTGAGCGGCCTCTGGGGTCGAGCGGGCGTCACGGGTGCAGTAGTCCGGCTGTGCACGGCCGGCAGCTCCATGGGCGTTTCGTTCTCGTCGCCGTATTCTTGGCTGGCCTCGGACAGGCTGTCGTCAAACGACTGACCGTTGACGACGGCATCGATCTGTTCCGGCTCCATGGCTGACATGTCGTTGGCCTCTTGGGCCAGAGCAACATCCTCTTCGGTAATCATGATCTCGTCCAGGGGCGTCTCCAGTGCTTCATCGTCGCCGGCAGCCTCTCCCTCGATGATGTCCTCGACGTCCAAGACATTGTCAGTGTGGACCAGCATCTCGTCGTCAAAGAAGCTGCCCTTGAAAGGCGAGTCTTCGAATGCAAGTTGTTCCCCCGAAGCCGCCTGTGGCTCATTGACGGTCTCGCCCGTCTCATTCGGGGTCTCGAGGGCCTCAACCGCTCCGCCAGCGATGGGCTTGACGGGGCTGACCGTCGACCAGGAGCCGAACTGCTCGGCCAGAGAAGTCAGCCCAATGGTCGATCTGCGAGAGTCGTTTGGCCTCCAGAGGTTTCCTTTGGGCGTCTGCGTGGGCCGAGCAGGCGTCGGGGCCATATATTCGACACGAGCGGATGGCTCGTCCTCGTCCTCGGACTCCGACTGGAGATCGTGGCAGGGATCCATGTCCTTTTCCCGAAGCTGGAACATGGGGTTTCCCTGTGTTGGGGCCTCCTCGGCTTGTGGTAGTAGCTCTGCCGATTCTTCCATCTCGGCAACAATCTCGTCCAGAGCCATGGGGTCAACGTCGTCATCTTCCGGGGCGTAGACTGACTCCACGCCCGACGGCTCAGGGAAGAGGAATGCCGCTTCTTCAGTCCGATTCGCCGGCTCTGTCGGATCGGCAATTTCCGCCGCTTCGTGCACGAGCTGGATTACCTCTTCCTCCGGCTCCTCCTCCTCCTCCTCCTCGACGATCGCTTCCGCCTCCTCGCGCAGGGCAGGATCGATGTGGCGAGGCAAAACAGAAGAGAGACGGCCGGAGAAAGGCGGTTTCTCAGTCGAATCGCTGTACAAGTTCCCATTGTCCACGTCTTCAGTGACACAATTCTCCGCCATGAGCTTCTGCGATGGGCGGGTCCCCGCTGGGCGGGAGGGCGTGGCCATGACCAGCGGTTGCATTTCAGGCGACTCGCCCAGGCAAGAAGCACCGCGAGGCCGTGGTTCGGTCAAGGGCCTCCAGCCTGGCATGGCTCGTTTTGCCGGTGACTGGAACAGGGAATTTCTAAAGGCCGATTGAGAATGAAGAGGTTTGCCGCTGGCAGCGGTCGATGGCAAGTTGAGGCCCTTGATGGGAGACTGCAGTCGCTTGGCAGCAGACTGGAGAAGGGGCGTTCTCAGCCCAGGCGCCTGACCCGGGAGCTCGATGTGGTGGTCTGAGGTCTTGACCGCGGATCCCGGTACTGGTGCCAGGCCCATACGCTTCGCCGGAGATTTCAACGAATCCTTGACCGGCGACGAGGGTAGCCGCCTGGGTGGTGACCCCAGCGAGGAAGAAGCGGCGGCGGCGACGGCATCCTGCGACGGCGCTGTCTTGGCCTCAATTGACTCCGACTTGGCCTGAGCGGACTCGCGTTTTCTGGTGCTGACAATGACGCCCGCCGGCGGCTTGATGGGGCTCACCATCATGGCCTTGACAGGCGTCTTGGTCTTTTCCGCGGCGAGCTCGTCCTCGGAGCTATCGCCGTCGCGCGTGATGGGCATTTGAGTCACCTTCTTGGGGCTCAGTGGTTTCTTTTGGCCGTCGTCACCAGTCGTCGTCGATGCGGCTGCTCTCGTGCTAGAACGAGCTGCCGTCATCGCGGCCCCTCCGCGGCGGGCGGGTCGACCGCGGAGGCCCGTCGCGACTGGTTCCTTGGGCTTCGGTTTGGGGCCCACGTTTTCCTTGTCAGGTTCCTGGAACTTGACCGTCTTTTTTGCTGCCGCCGGCTTGGCTGCTGTTCCGCCGTTTGTCCTTGCAACGGCCGCCGGCCGGCCTCGGGCCGTCTTCTTGGCCGCGTCCGCGGCCGGCTCTTTTGTTTCGGGTGCAGGCGTCTTCCTGGGTCGGCCACGAGCCCTTGCTGGCCCAGCGGCTTCTGGTTGCTCCGCCTCCTCTCTTCTGGGCGCTTCATCAGCCGTCTTCCTCGCTAGTGCTCCTCGGGCCCGCGTGGCCTTGGCCGGAGCGGGCGCCGGGGTCTCCTCTTGGGCTTCGACGCCCCTTCTCGGCCGTGCCCTGAGGGCTCTCGTGGCCGTTGCGCGTTGCTGGCTGCTGTCCTCGTTTTCGTTCTCATCCGCTCTCGTCTTTCGCTTGGCGGCTGTGCTCTTGGTGCCCGCCGTCGCCATTCCTGCCGTCCTTGCCTTGGCGGCCGACGTGACAATCTTGGTTGGCTGTTTGGTCGTTGCTTCGCCGGCTTTTGCAGCCGCCCGTGCACGGGTGATTCGCTTCGGAGGCGACTCCATGGTGAATGCGGCCGCGTATGTGTGTGTTTGCTGTGAATGGGGGTTGGTTAGTATGTAGGGGGGGGGAGAAAAGGGAAGAAGAGAAGATGGACGAGTAAAGACAAGAAATGCGGTGTTTTTACGTGTTGAATGCGGTGAATGCTGAGCCGGGGTATGGGGTATTTTGTTGTGTATTTACCCGCGAAGCGTGTTTAGGGCGTGTTGCTCGGCAACCAAGGGTGGGTCTGCGATGAGTTGTGTTGACAGGTGCCCACCCTGTACTCCGTACATGTACATACGTCAGTTCCCCCACACCGTTCGTCCGTTTCCCTCCTCGATCAACGCAGAGTCGAGCTTACAACAGATGGATTGCAGCTCGTCGTCGGCGGTTGACAGGCAGCTATATACAGAATTCCAACCCCGGCTGAGGATCTGCGGAGCAGGGCAGCTCCCCACTCCGTTGCACGTGCGAGCTTCCACCATGGGAACAGGCTTCCATGCCCTGCCTCTAAGTGCCCTCCGAACAATCCCTTCAGCCTCTCATCAAGGCCGTTTCTCTGTACTTCTTGTTTCACGTGCATTCATTCATGTTCTCATCGCCACAGGGGCCGCAGACTACCAAGATGCAGATAGAGCCTGCCCCAACCCCCCAAAGTCGTAAAAGCGTCACAAATATCAAACAGAGAATCGAACAACCATCTGTCGTACACCGGGGCCGTATGTACGTCGGGGCCGCGCCGTCGAAGGCTACCTGAAAGATGTTCGAAACGGACCGTCCACCTTGATGTCCTTGATGCCTTCGGGCATCAGGCGCAGCCACTCGTTCCAGCTGTCAATGTCGACATTGTCGTCGTGCAGCTTGATGGAAAGATGCAGTTGGGGGCTGTTTTCGTACGAAAAGTTGTTCCGCAGAGGGCTATGCTGATACATGGGGCAGAGGAATATGGACGGGAGCCTCGAGTTTCCCGACATCATGGCGTGCAGCGGAGCGGGGAAGCTCGTGATGGTCTCCTTTTCGGGGTTCTTGTCGTGTATCAGCTTGGGATAGGTTGCGAGGAGGACCGAGTGAAGCTCGACGGCCGAGAGGGGGTTCGAGCGCGTCGCCCGAGTGCGCAAGTGCTCTGCCAAGGCCCGCGTGAAAGCGCATCGGTCGAGAGCCGTGGCGTGTTCCTCGGACACGGAGGCGGCAATGAGCTCCAGGACGCCCTTCTGTCGAACCATCCTCGAGGAAGGGTAGTAGGCCGCGTCCATGAGGATGAGGGTGTCGGAGCAGGCTTCCTCGAGGATCTGCTGAATGCCGTTCCACCTGATGATGGATGCTTTGCTGCCGTCTTTCGAGCTAGCGCGCCCTCGTCAGCACGTCACGGTTCGCCGCAGTCGTCGCCCAGAACAGGGGCTGGTGGGCTCATCTACCTGGCCAATACCATCTCCCGGTTCCCATCAAGGTAGGTGTGCCCGGCATAGTAGACAATCTTCAAAACGTCGCGCTGGTCACGGTCTTCGGCAAACTCGTTGAGCTGGCGCGACAGCCATCTCCAGGAGCTCTTGGAGCCGTCCGAGGAGGAGGGAATGGTCTGGATGTGAAACGTATAGTGGTAGTATTTTTCGAGGACATCGGCCAGTTCCTCGACTGCGCCGCGCACAAGAGCCACGTCGTCGTCGTCATGCCAGAAGAGCAAGAGAGCCTGGACGGCGCTGTATCGACCGCGGTTCGGGGTTGACAGGGTTCTCGGGACGTTGCTCTGCAGCTCATTCTTGAGGCTCTCGATGCCGGGCAGAGACAGCGATTTCTCGAGTCGCGGCCCGGACGGAAGGGGGGTGCGGATACGAGCCTCGCTGAGGGGGGGCCTGCCTGGCTGGTGAGGGGCGTGTGCGGCCATGTCGACGTCCATGTCCTGGGGATCGTGGGTAAAGGCCGGCGGAGCAGCGTTGAGAGAGGCGGCCGGGCTCAAGGCTCGGCCGGCGGCGGCGAGGGAGGGGGCAATGTCCTGGATGCCGGGGCTGTGGGACCTGTGAAACTTGTTGACCAGGTCCTCCCACGTCAGGTTGTGGTGGCTCGGGTGGCACTAGAGGGCAGCGATCTCGTCAGTGCCTCTCACATGGAGGAGGATGAATAGGCCGAGAGAGGCAGAGAAACTCGGGCCGACGTACGGCAACTCTCCTGCGGCGACAGTCGGTGCATGCGCCCAGCTTCCGTATGAGAGCAGCGCGCTCTCTGGACTGCTGGGATAGGGGCCCGGTACGTCTCCTACTGGTGCGGCGGGTGTTAGAGACGTCGGACCCATCCGTGATGGAGAAAATGGACTGGTGCAGGCTGGGGGAGGTGTCGGCACTGTACGATGAGTTGCTGGTCTCGGTCGAGGCCAGAGTGGCCGTCGTGGCCTGGGTCGAGATGGACGAGGTAGTGTCCTTGCGAGGCGGGGGAGAGCCCGGGTGAGGGAGATGAGCAACGGACGAAGCAGGAGAGTACAGCGGGGGCCGGGGCGGCATTTCGTCTGGCCTGGGCAGCGAGCCGGGAGACAGGGCCGGGGAGAAGGCCGACGGCAGGCCGGGAGGGGCTTGGGCGGCGCGGACCGCTGCCGGGACGTCTATCGACGCTGGAGCCTGATGGCGGGCCGGAGCTGGGTCGGAGGCGGCGGCATTGGTCAAATTGTGGACGGGGTCCATGGCGGCAGCTGCAAGAGTGTGTCTATGCGGGAGGGGACGATATATGGGAGCGAGGAGGAAGGATGGGGAGAAGAGAGAGCGTGCGTGAGAGCGAGGCGTCGGAGAGTCAGAAGCGCATCATCGGCAGAGTGGCAAGAGACAGAGACCGGGAGGAGAGGCAGGGCGGGTTGCCAGCCGCAGCGGTCCCAGAGCGGAAGGCCGCCTGTAGGGCTGGGCGAGGGCGAGGGCAGCCGAGCGTGGCGGCAGCAAGGCAAGGATGTGGGTAGATGGAGAGCGAGTGAGGGCTGAAGCGCGGCCAAGAAGGCCGAAAGGTCGTGTGTGCCACAGGGCCGAATTGGGTTTCGCGATGGCGTGAGAGGATGCAGATGCAGATGCAGATGAAGATGCCGAGGGCCACAGTCGGGGCAAGGCCAGATGCGAGGCGAGGCGACGTCGAGGTTCGGTGACGATGGGGATTCTTTGGCGCGCCCGAGGGGAAAGGGAACGGGCGGGAAGCTGAAAGGAGCGCCCGGTACGGAGGCAAAGGCAGGTGAAGAAAACGAACCCCTCCAAGCGCGCGCGTGCGACAGGCGAGGGGCAGGCAGCCAAGGTGTGCAAGTACGTACCTGTACAGCCAGTAGCCGAGGGAGTGGGGAGGGGTAAGCATTCAATTGCCCGTCCAAGGTACCGGGTAGGACCTCAGAACCTGGTCAACCATGCCGTGTCTCGACGAAAGGGGGTTTATTTCATCCAAGAGGCCGACGAGGATGAACACAAGTGCAGAAAGTGAGTGAAGAGTGTGCCGAGGGGGTGAGGAGGGTGAGGAAGGTGAGGAGGGTGGACAACCCCATGAGTTGCGCCCCCGCGAGAAACGGGGGGGGCCCATGGAGCGCCCGGCTCGCCAACACGTCTAAAAACAGTGCTCCGGAATCGATGCCCTGGCCGTTGGCGTGACACGGCAGCCAGGCCTTTGAAGCCACTGTAACTCACCGGGTACCAACCACTTGCAGGTACTCCCGGAGCAGGGCACGGGGCAAGAGCACTCCAACTACAGTACGCCAAAGCCCACCACCAGACAGCAATCTACAGGGACCTCGGCCACGCTAAAAACATACAGCGCTGTAATTACACCCAGCAGGCCGCGGTAAAGGTAGCCGAGACATGCAATCGCAATCATCTCATGTACAATGATGTCAACCCTCAAGCATCGCAAAACTTCGCGACCTCGACGACACATGGCTCAGGGCCGAAGCCGGCAACGCACACCCTGTACGCCTACTGTCCACTGCATCCACGACGCGCCGCGAGTTGATGGAGACGACGTCGAGTCGCCAAGCACAAGCTTGAGTCGATGCCCGCCCGTATCGGAACCTACCCAGGCCACCTCCTGCTGTACCACCCAGCCATCTTGCCCTATTCGTACATGTATGCGAAATCTATTCCCTCTTCAACACTCCTTGCTCATTTTCCAGAGCAGCCGCATAGCCCGGCGCGGCTCATCAAATACCTCCCAGCCGGCCTCACGCATTTACTGTATGGTACACGGCCTTTCGCGGCGCAAGCAGACCCCTGCTTCATGTCTCGCTCAACTCCATGCAAGTCAGACCAGCCACATCATCCCCCCCTCGCTCTCGGCAGGGCCCGCTAGTTGGACCATGAGTCTGGTTAGTCTTTGTCTTGTATTGGGCACTTGGCGTCACGAGACGCCCACTCGCCCTCCTCTAGAGTCTATACCTTGTCATCTTCCATGGCCTATATACACTCAATCACACCCAAGCTACTCCAATACGAGAACCCAGTCTTCACTCCATGCTAGGCTCGCGACACGCGCACCTCCACAAACCATCCCAGCCCTCACCGAGCTTCTGCCCCGATCGAGGCCTCTCCGCCGCAGCGTGGCACAACCTTCCCCGTCATCGCCACACCTTATCCTCGCCTCCGGCTAGTCTCGTAGGAGCCGAGACGGGAAGAGCTATTGCCTGCCGTATTCTTTTCAGCTGTACAATCTACTCCGTGTTCAAGATACTGCTTCACGTCACGGGGCCAGTCTCCAAAGTCTCCGCGTCTTGCCCTCGGACTGCTCCATCGTGCGTACAAGGACCTGGTCGCATCCATTGTCGCTGAACATGCATGTCTATTGTCGGCGAGTCCATTCGTCGTTTTGAAACCCTCCGTCCTGGCTCCGACGATATCCAATCTCGTCTCTCCGGTCGTCAATTAGCCTCCCCCACTCTAGTAGCAGTCGGAAGAGATAAATCTCCATGTCCTTCTTCCTAAGAACCTGCTTTGCCCACTTCTGCCCTCGGCGGCTGATCCACGTGGCGTCTTTTGGACGGCCCCGCAGTGCCGTATCCCTGCCATTCAGCTTCGGTCGGTTCTCCGTGCCGGTAAAGTACGCAAAGGTCGAATGCAAGGATTGGTACCGCACATCGACGGGCACGAAATGAAGCCAAGGAACGAGCCTCTCCGTGTACCACGTCCGGAATATCGTCGAGATGAACGGGACACTACCCGATCGGATCGTGCGCAGCATCTCGCTCGGCGGCCCGTCGTCCTCGTCCGTCAGCAGCACATGGCGATATTCCAGGGCCTCTTCCGTATCTGCTTCCGTGCCAAAGGCATGCTTGATGAGCTCGCAATTGGTCCCCAAGCATGCCGAGTAGTCAATCATTCCGATGGACAGAGGCAGCGCTCGATTGGCTTCTGCTGCCGGGACCCTTTCAATTCTATAGTGGCCATCTTCCCCCGGCGTGGGAAGCACCATGGGTACCTCATCGTGCTCGTCAGGGCGATTCAGAAGATGCAACAGCCTGAACTTGTGGCTTCCGCGCAGCGCTTGTCCGTTGATTTCGTTGTTTCCGACCGAGCCTCTCCAAAATAGGTTGTCATATCTTCGCGAAAATTGCCATGGCATATCGGGCTTCTCCAGCCTAGATCTTGGCAGCGGAATGAGAATATCGCTAAAATCGTTTGTCTTTGATGCGCTGAACAAGGGAGCGAGTTTCCTGACTGGCGTTGATCGACGATCAGTCAGGAAAAACCCGTGTAGGTGCTTCAAATCTGGCTGGCCACAGACGTCTAGCGAGCGGGAAAAGTCGGTCATGAGCACTCCCAGGCCCCATGAGTGCCCATCCACACACTCGGAGCAGAATTGGCCAATGTTCCAATCCGGGCTCGTTCTTGCGCGGGATGTAGGCGGGCATGCTTCCACCTGCATCTGGCGCAAGTCACTTGCTCTTGTCGGTAACTCATCCACGGACTTGGGACTATCCTGCCCACTTCTCGTCTCCAGAGAACCCAGGCTCGAATTCGATGCTTCTGGCCATCTCTTTGAGAAAGTATTGGTCAAGGTGCTCAAGTCAGCTCGGCCCTGCAACTCAACATCATCCCACGACGGGAGGATACGTGGCGCTGGGCCGAGATTGATGGGCAAGACCATGTCGGGAAGATGTCTGGAGAATAGCTTGATCATCTCCTCCAGCTCTTCGAGATCCGCGTTCTCAGCATCCTCGCCCGAATCCCTCTTTGCAACCTCGCCGTTTTGCACCTTGATGACAGCTACGCCAGTATCAGCCGCCATGGCATCCGCTCTGCTTCGGAGTTCTGCGGGCGCAAGATCCCAAAACGGGGCGATATCCCGGTCCATTTGCTCGAAATCGTCGACGATGAGAGATTCAGAGGCATATCGGTACCACTCGTCAAAGTTGGGAGGGGGCGCTCTGTCGGCGTGGCGTTTTTGGTATACGTCGACTGCCACCGGAAGGCTCTGGCTTGTTCCCGCCTCAAGCAGCCAGCGACTGTGCTTTGTTTGGGCCTGATACATGAGCTCAGAGATCGGGTGACGGTCGTCAAAAGTCGGCATCTGCGTGGTGAAGGTGAAAATGGTTGCCACGCAGAGAAGCGCCATGAACAAAAAGGTCAACAGGAGGCGCGGGACGAAGATGACGGATCGGATGTCATGAGAAAAAGTAAACAAAACAGCCCCAAACGCCAAGAACCAGACGGGCAGCAAAGCGTCTACCCGCGATAGGTGCATCCAGTCACCCATTCTAAGCACGTTGAGGCTGGAACACCACGTGCCAGCGAGGAACGTGAGGACGCTTATTGGGGTGATTGGGGATGTTTCGCACATCCAAAATGTCGCTGACGACATAAACGTGGCGAGAGCAGCGCTGTCCATCAAGAAGTCAAGTCCGTGTAGCGAGCCAAAGGCGACGTTGAACCTGCGAAACCCCCCGAAGATGACGCTGCCGAGCCACAGGCCCCCGAAGACGAGCGAGGAAGAGGCGAAGACGCTGGCCAAAACCCGCAGCCGCAGCCTCACAGTCCTCGCCCACGCAAGAATTCGCCAGAGGAGAATGATGATGGCAGTATCGAGAGCAAGGCCAACCATTTGGAGGAAAAGCGTCAGAGGTCGACTGTCGACTGGAGAAAAGCAAGTAAAGGTTGATTCCGTTATCTGGCTGGCAGCGAGATAGGCGCCAGTAGCGAAAACGAAGGCGCTCGAGAGCACCAAGACCATGGTCACCCGAGGCCCAGTAAACCAATCGTGCAGATCGTCAAAGACACTGCGCCAGGGGTCATCCACGTACTCGGACGGCGGAACGCCCCATCGCCGTCGATTCGACAAGACTTCATAGCAAATGAGAATTACGCAGAGAAAGGACTGTCGCCAGCGTGTCAAACATGCGCGCAGAGCTCGAAACGGACCTTGGAAGCGCCTACCTCAATCCCGGGACTAGCACACCGCGGCTGGTAGTTGACACGGTGGAAAATCTCCAGCCGCAGTACAATAAAGAGTATGAGAGCCGGCAGAGAATAGCGCCTTGGGTGCCCGGGTAGATGGCTGCTGGAACCGTTCAGCACGGCCTCATCTGAAGGGCAGCCCGCTGAGTGTCCATCCCGGACTTGATGCCGCTTGGCAGAGGACCGCCCGTCTCCAAAGGCGATCCATTTGGAGTGATGACTAGCGGCGTAGCACCACCCTCCAGACAGCAGTAGCACCACGAAGGACGAGAATCGTGGCTGCTCTGCCGGGCTGGTCAGTGTCTTACGGGCAGGGGGGAGTCACCAGGCGCCAGAAACTCTTACCAGTCAGAGAGTGGCGCTTGAGAGATTGAGATATAAAATTGAGGGACAAAAGGCAGCTAAACAGATGTCAGTACAACAGAGTGGAGATGAGAAAGGGGGGCTTCGTGCCACAAGGCCAGGACTTGCACCACCATAGAACGGGCCATGGCTTAGGCGTCTAGTCCAGTCGGCTCTCGCTATCATCGAAGCCGGGATTCGCAGGATGCATCCCAATTCCGATTCCAGGTCGTAAAGGTTGCATCCGAGGCGGACCGGGCATCGCGGTGACATGCAGAAATGGGGAGCTGACGGGAGTTTCCAGTTTGACATGCTGGAAGACGCGTCAGGGGGTGGCTTTCGCGCTTTTGGCAGCCTCGACGTCAGGTGATTACATCATCAGGCCCCTTGCCCTGGTGCTAAGTACCGACGCACTCCACGTGCCTGCGCGTCACGTCATCTTCGCGTCTCGGCCCGCCGCGTTTAATTGATTGACCGGCGGCCAAACATCACTGCATCTCTCGTCGTGCCCCCCGGCGACCATCGCCATGGCCGGATTCAACGACGTGCCGCTCATCCAGAACCTCGCCGTCCCCACCGTATGCCTGCTGATTGCCTTCCTGAGCTACTTCTCCCAGTATATCTTCCACCGCTCGACCCTCGACCCCGGCCCGCCCTCGCGGACCGAATCCGTCGTCTTCAACGCCCTGCTGCTGTGCCTGTGGCTCGCCTACTTTAGGTCAGTCACCATCGATCCGGGTCGATATGTCTTCCCCGGCAAGGTCATCGAATCCGACAGCCGCTGGTGCAGAAAGTGCGAGGCCCCGAAGCCCCCGAGGGCCCATCACTGCCGCCACTGTGGGCAATGCATCCCCAAGATGGATCACCACTGTCCGTGGACTCGCAACTGCGTGTCCATGACGACGTTTCCGCACTTCCTGCGATTCCTCGTATACTCCAACCTGTCGCTCTGGGCATTGGGAAGACTTCTCTGGCAGCGCTTCTACGCACTCTGGGAGGCTCGGCATCTACCCGCCTATCTCGGACCCAGTCTGCAGGCGCTCATTGCGTTGGCATTGACATCGCTCATATGCCTCTTCACGACGCTCGCTCTTGGCGTCATGCTGGTCACTACCCTGAGGGCCTGGCTGTTTAATTGCACCATGATTGAAGGCTGGGAGCTGGAGCGCCACGAGGCAGTCGTCGATCGAGACGGGCGAGACTGGTGGGACATAACCCAGCCTGACGGTGAAAAGGTTCGATTCGAAAGGATCGAGTTTCCGTACGACATTGGCTTATTTGCCAACATGTCCCAGGCCATGGGGACTTCCAACCCCCTGCTCTGGTTCTTCCCCTTTGCTGGTAACCCCCACGTCGGTACTGATGGGCGGGGTGTTGGCTGGAACTGGGAGGAGAATGGTTTCAACCGCAAAGAAGGCATGTGGCCGCCCCTTGACCCAGAGAAGATTCGGCGAGCCGCTCGACCGTGGCCGGCGTCACACGGGCACGATCGGGCCAGATTACCTTACGAGGACCTGAGTCTAGAGGAGCAGAAACGAGCGTTCAAGCAACGCCAGGAAGAGGACGCGAGGAGGAGGAAGTCGCTCCTCGCGGAGCTGGAAGAGGTGGACGACTACGACTTTGTAGATGATGTGAACGACTCGAACGACGCACGGGGCCGAGATTCGGGCGGAGCGCCGGGGTGGATGAACTCGGACGGCGAGCGGCTGCAAGACTACGGCGTCGACGAGGAAGCCGAAGACGCCGAGGCTGAAGATCTGCACGACGAGGACATGCCTCTCGGAGAACTGCTGCGCCGGAGAAGGGTCGTTTCACGGGACGACGCAGCCTAGCCCGAACCGAATCGGTGCGTCGATGCCGGCGCAGGAAAGGCCTACGGTGCAAATTTACGTCGTGAGATGCTGCATCGGCCAAAACATCAAGGCAAGCGTGGAGTTTAAGTATTCGATCTTGACGTTGAAGGCTCATTCAAGAAACACACGTCTAATAGTCCACTACACCCTGCTTGCCAGTTAACCAGACACTGCTTCCCCCTCCGAGGACTCCGATTGTAGTCGAATGGCGAGCTACTCGTCGACTTCTCATGTAGTCACAACAAGAACGAGCACTCCTCCGCATTGCAACGAGAGAAAGAAAAAAAAGGCTCCGCAAGGCTTGCAACCCCATCGCCCAGGTCGTGAAAGCGTAACTTGAATCGCCGACTCTTACCAGTCATCATCCTCCCGACCCTTTTGCATGGCATTTTTACGTGCCAGGAGAGCGTCTGCTAAACTGCCAGCCAGACTGGGCGTTGGCGTTGTGCTGCGGCTACCCTCGGAGCCGCTGGCGCCGTTCAGGCTCATGCCCGAGTCTCGCTGTCCCAAGTCGACCGGCTTGCGTCCGGCCGCCGGTCGCTTCGCAGGCGGGGCCGGCGGCTTTGCCTTGGCCGACGGCGGAGGCGGGGGTGGTCGAGGAGCGGGGACCGGAGCTGCTGCCTGTTCCTCCACGTACGCCGCTGGAACCCAGGCCTGTTTTTGAGCGTTTTTCGCCAGCCACCATCCTGCGAGGCGAGTTAGTTTGGCCAAAATTCAACTTGCCGACCAGCAAGGGTGGGGGGCATACCGTTGTTTTCTTTTTGCACAATTTCAAGTATCTCCCCCGCACGGATGGACAGCTCGTTCTCCCTTTGGCCGGCAAAATCATAGAGCACCTTGGCCGTGACCTTTGCCGGGGTAGAAGGCGGAGCTGGTGGGGGCGGAGGAGGGGCACGAGCTCCCCCCCCGCCCGTACTGTTCTGGTTTCTCGTGTGGTTTGCAAGGGGTCGCTGAGCTGCGGCGGCGCTCGCTGCGGCAGGGGCACCCGCTGCGGCGCTGAGCACGGCGGGGGGCTGAGGCACGGCTCGGGCTGCGCCAGCTCCTGGCCTCGGCTGCGCTGTTCGGTTCCCCGTGATCCTGGATGGTCGGCCGCCCGGACCGCCCGGCTTGATGAGTTTGCCCCGTGTAATCGGCCTCGGGGGTACTGGCTTGGTTTTTGGCATTGGCCTCGATCCCGAGTTGGGGGGTTCTCCTTGGTGGGTGTGGACAGCGCCGCTCTTGTAAAAGTCGGCTCGCTGCTGCGAGTCTTTCAAGACTTTGACCTGCTGCATCTTATTCGGCTTCTTGGCGTACTCAATCACGTCGCCAACCTTGAGGTTGAATCCGCCGGGCATCACACGCTGCATCTGGGTGAACATTTCAGTCTTGAAGACGCAGCTCAGTAGGGGATCGGGCTCCTGTGCCGATCCGACTCCGAGCGAGAACCAGTCATCCTGGCACGTAGAAGTCCCGATGAATTTGATGGAGCCAAGGGGAACGGCCCTCTCGACGGAGATCTGCGGCTGGCCGTTGACAAGCAGCTGGGCGATGATGTAAAATTTGCTGCTGGTGATGATGATGGTGCGGGGACTCGGCTTGCTGGACCGGCCGAACTTGGCCTCGAGCATCTCGCCACGGCAAGAGAAGATGGCCCGCTCGTTGGATCCTATGCCCGCAGCGTTGCGAATCTGCGCGCCGTGGCCAGTGGTGGCGTTGGCGCCCAGGTAGTCGCCGAGGAACCTGCGAGAGCCCAACAGACTCATGCGCCTCCTTTCCTTGCGTCCCTGGAGGATCCGGTGGCCCTTGTCACGAAGCTGCAGGAACTCGGCCCCGGTTCGCTTCTTCCTCCACATACGCTGTATCCGTGTCGCGGACTCTGCTCGATACGCGAGATAGGCTCGCCACATTCTTTGGATGCGGGTTGCCATGTTGTGCCAGTATCGGTCTCTCATGTGCTCCAGGGCAAACAGGGTCTCGGGTGCCTTGACGAAAGCCTTTGTAACGCCAAGCTGCCACTCTTCTTTGGGGATGCTCGTATCTTTGAGGATCTGCCTGACGGCATCCTCGTACGAACCTTGCCAGGTGTACTCGCCTGCATACGACGTGGCGGGCGACAGAAGAAAGAAGCGGTCGACAAACTTGTCAAAGGCTTGCCGGTAGGCGAACCCGGCTCGTCGAATCCGGACGTTTTCTTGGAGACCCAGGTACTTGATTTGGTGAAGCACGTTGGGGCTGTTGTATTCAGTGGGCGACTTGTTCTCATTAGGCTTGATGGTCCGGATGTATGATGGCTGGCACTTCATGAGCGTCTCCACCAGGGCGTTGGCCGAAGCGCGGATCCGATCTCCGGCCGAGGGCGGCTGTTTACGGTTGTCCTGGTCGACCTGGTGAGGGAAGATTGTATGTACAAATTGGACTCCGCTGTGCTGGAAAAGATTGAGAAGCCCTTTGAGGAGCTGGTCCTTGTTCTTGTCGGTAATTCCCTCGACGGTGTAGGAAACTTCTCCAGCGTAGTGCTTGATGATGAAGTTGCCCTGACGGGGGGTCAGGTGAGCGTGAGACATGCCATTAATGCTCTGCATAAAGGTCCGGTCGCATGCGGCGGGATCAGCATGTGCCGTCTTGGTGGCATCCTTCATGGCCGAAAAGACGCCGGGGGGCCTGATTTGCTCAATGAGGTCGCACACGACCTTGTTGTCGAAGTACTTGATGGGAGTCCACTGGATTTTCTCCCTGGCATATTCCTCCTGTTCTGTCTTGAGGGTAAGCTGGATGAAGATTTGCTGCAACTTTTCGTTGACGTAGTTGATGCACAGCTGCTCGAAGCTGTTCTTCTCGAAGATTTCGAAGCCGTATATGTCCAGTATCCCGACCGAATTGGCCGTCGCCTGTCGAGACTTGAGAGACTTGTTTATGCGCTCCACGATCCAGTCAAAAAGATTGTTGTAGATGGCCTTGGCCAGGGCATCGCGCGAGGCAGAGGCCTGGGCGGGGTTAGCAGGGGACTCGATTACTTCGCCGCTGCGAGGGGTCAGGATGCGGATCGTGATGGCGTGGATTAGCTGTTCGGGCGTCACTTCGAGGAGGTATGCGGCAAAATCCACCACCGACTGGTCAGCGACAGCGGCGTAGCCATTGTCGTCTTCCTGGAATTGGATGTTGCCGATCCACAGGATAGTAGCGAGCATGCGAAAGATGTCGTCCTGCTCGGACTGGCTCAGACCAATAACGCTCATGGCGTTGAGGGTGTCCTGGAAGTCGGCTACATCGTCGATGCCGTCGACGTCGAAGCATTTGGAGCGGCTGGTATAGACGTAGGTCTCGGGACGTTGGATGCCAAAACGCTCCTGGTACTGCCGCGAAGCCCCCTTGGTGAACTGGTAGAAGATGTGGAAGTTCCTCTCGTTGGTTATTTGGCCGACGACGCGCGTCTTCTCGAGCAGATAGTTTGTGATGTCGGCCCCGACCGGTTCGCCTGCCGAGTTGAAGTGGATCTGGAGGTACTTTCCGAACCGCGACGAGTTATTGTTCCGCAGCGTCTTTGCGTTGCCGAACGACTCGAGCAAGGGGTTTGTGGCCAGCACCATTTCCTTGATTTTCTTGATGTCACCCGACTGCTCGCCAGAGACACTGGCAATGTATTGCATGATGCGCTTGGCAGCCTCAGTCTTGCCGGCGCCAGACTCGCCCGATATGATGACGCACTGGTTGTCCTTGTAAGCCTTCATGTTGTAGTAGGCGGACTCGGCGATGGCAAAGACGTGAGGGGGCATCTCGAGACGGTTCTTTCCCTTGTAGCTGTCGAGGACGTGGTCGGTGTAGATGCCCAGGTCGCGGAAGGGGTTGACGGATACCAGGACATGGCCGATGTACGTGTAGATTTCGGCGCCTTCGAAGCGCTTCTTGAGGTTGTCGTTGATGGCTTCGTTGGAGACCTTGCTGAGGAGGGTCAAGTCGGAAACGCCAATTTCCTTCTTCTTGGCCACCTCAAAGGTGGCCTTTTTGGGCTTCGCACTGCCGCCGCCCTGGACGCCCGATGCTCCCGATTGGGCATGCTGGGCAGCTTTGTTCTTGGGACGCCGTGATATACCCTGAGAGATGTGAGCATTTGTTCGGCCGGAAGGGAGCCGGCAGCAGCGTCTCGATTGCTTCGTACCATGGCGGGCGGGCGAGAGAGCGGTGGGATGGAGGATTCGCCGCAGACGGGTGTCGATTTACTCGGGCATCAGAAAGGAGAAACGGGCAGTCGACTAGGCGGGAGGCGGAGGCGGAGGCGGAGGCAGGCGTCGAGAGGAAATAAGCTGGCGAAGAGAGAAGAGCTGCGTTTAGGATGCGAGAATCGGGGCGTTGAGAAGGTGGTTGGATCTGGGGGCGATTGATGGCACGCTCATCGCGATGCACGAATGGTGGTTTGGCGGTGCCTGACGGCGACGAAACGCCGACAATTTGCCGGCTTGCACAGCCCTCGCAGCACACGAATCAGTGGGACGCAAGCTGACGAGTCGCCACGCCTCCCTCCACATGCATTCCGAACTGCGTACGGAGCTAATGAAACCAGTAACAGGGCGGACATGCATCGGTCTGGTTTTCTCGCCAGCCAGCTCTCCGGTTGGCAAGGTGCCTTGTTGTGTGCTACGGCGATGGCTTAGGTCTTCGGATATTTTGACCCAGCCCGTGCGTGAGTGGCTCGAGGGGGTTGTCGTCATCGTGCTTCCCAGCGGCGTCTTGACCCTTATTCTACTAGTACTGTACGGTAGAGGATAAGAAATTGGGGATGATCCTTGAATCAAGGAAATGGGGCGCACCAATGGCGAGGAGAGAAAATAAAACGAGAGGATGAGCTCATGTAATTAGCTGAGCTACCAGTTGCCATAGACTACGTACCAGGTAGTAGGTAGTATCCGCAGGTACCTACCTTACCTATATGAAATAGGTACAGTATAGTTACAGTGCAAATCAAAGCCCATCATCGGACGGCCAAACGAGCGCTCTCTCCCGCACCTCGCAGACTTGTCTACTGTACTGTACTTCACCTACTGTAGCACCTAAGGAGGTAAGGTTAAGTATCTTACCTAGGTAGGTACGTAGTAGGTTCACCTCAGCTGTCACCTCGTCTGTCACACCTGGCAACGCGCCATCTGCGGGGTTCTCAAAGCAGAGCCCATGGCATGCATGCCGCCTCTGGTTGCGGGGTAATGCAACAACCATCTCCAACAAGTCTTGCCTCTTATACGCCAGTCATGCCGCGGCAACGAGACGCACCACAGGGCCGCCGCCCGGCGACCACCTGCGGCAAGCCAACGGGACAGGCTTGCATGCAGGGTACCAGTACGGTTCATGCTGGAATGAAGGCCATCATCGTCCATGGATGGACAATATCAACCTGACGACATAAGTAGGCGGTCAGGGAGCATGCGCGATACCTTGCCCCTGCTGCGCTCTGCCTTACATACAGGTATAATAAGTTGGCACCTGCCACAGCTATAACAAAGCACGACTCTCCCTCCCCCCTATCCAGCCAAGCCAGCGTCCCGCTTTGATACCTTTCTCCATCATCCTCCTGACTCCCAACCGGCGTGAACCCTCCTCCATCAATCAAGCCCTGCTGTACCACTAGTCAGTCTAGCTTTCCATCGATTACTGTGCGAGTGACGTCGCCGACGACCCCTCCTGGTACTCGCGCCCACTTAAAACACCCACATCATCGCCATCATCATCGCCATCATCATCGGCAGCCTCACATCTCGCTGCACCACCGCCCCCCATGACCGAGTCGACCGAGACGCACCCCCCCGCCGTCGACGAGACGCCCATCTCGCCCATCCGCCCCGACCATGGCAGGAAGAACTCGCTCGAAAACCACTTGATGCACCGCCCGAACCGCTCTGAGCTGGTAGACAGTACGTCGTGCCTTGCGTTAGCCCCAGGTTTTGCTTTATCCATCGGCCATCCGTTCGCCCCATCCCGCCTCACTTTGTCGTCGCCCATCTCCATCGCCTCTTTTGCCACCCCGTCGCCCCATGTTCCCGGTCCTGCCATGCCCCGGCCCCGGGTCGGAATCTGCCCCTGTTTGCCTCGTCACCAAGTCTTGCGGCGGCTGACATTGCTGGCTTTGGCCACCCCAGAAAACATTCTGCCTGAATCCTCGGCCGCCCCGAGTATCCAGGCTCATCAGAGGGAGGTAAACAAGAGTCCAATCCTCTACCCCCTCCCCTTCCCTCCCCTGCCCCTTGTCCGGCGAGGCGAACGGGTGGCGCTGACGCACGGCCGGCATACCGCCTTGGCCTCGACAGCTCCAACGGAACATGCTCGAAGATAAGCTCAACGACAAGATTTCCCATCGGCCAGACCCGGAGAAGCTTGTCAAGGAAGGCGTCCTGCGTAACGACCCCCGCACGGCCGAGGAAAAGTACGAGGAGGCTATTGAGGAAGAGTACGCCAAGCGCGAGGGCGGTGCTTGACGGGCCCCCCACGAGTGCGCAGCGGCAGCCTAGTGCGGTTCACTGCATTGCATCGAGGGACGGCCGGGGCGTGGGGCAAGAATATCCCCGGCCTGGGCCTGGTGCTACGGTTGATGAATTCTCTGCTCGTCTTTCTCGGTAGTGGGCAACTCGTGGCTCGATTGTGATGAGTCTTTGCGGGGGTTTCACGTCGTTCATACAAACGGAACAATGGCCACGTACAGAACCGCGTCCCTTTGGTTTGCGCACTTGTTTGACGGTAAAGCTTCCTTTCAACGTGTCGACGTCGACGAGAAAGCAACTCCTGCGACCAGGCCACGCGGTACACGTCAAGTTTGCAGATCCCCACCGCGCCAGGTGCCGAGGTACAACCCATTGTACCCGTGGTAAGTTGCTTGGGCACCAACTTGCCAAAGACGCCACTGGTAGAGGTGGGAATGGTCTGCTTCTAGTTCCTGCAGCGGCATCATGCATGCAGGGCACCGATTTGCCGGCCATTCGTCTGGGATGAATCGTGACGTGCTGAGGAGTCAAGTCGGAGGCCGAATGTGGTTTTTGATGCATTTCTTCGCTATAAATGGAGACGACCAGAGCTCGTCCATCGATTTCACCAGCTCCCGAATAAAAAAAAGTACAAGTCATTCATTGCATTTCCCGCCCGCGCCATATCGCCTTGTAGTATCCAAAGGCCGTGAGACCCTCTAGTATAGGTTTTCTATGTATGCCCTTTTCGCCAAGGTCTAGTCGGATCAACAACGCCGCCCCATGTTATAAGTCAGGCGCCGACGCCGTGCTCGCGGCTCACATATCACTGCGCGCGAGACGGCGCCGCGTACCTGTTATTTCGCAGCATAGGCACCACTGTAGCCGGGGGTCGGGGAGCCCGACTGATAACCGGTCCTGTTGTGGTTGATGACCGTGGTGCCATTCGACGACCGGGCGACTTGAGCCGTGTGCTCAGCTGTGTTAAGAATCCGGGTTAGAGAGTGGGGACATGACGGAACATCCATGCAGGGCTTCTTACTGGCACCGTACACACGTCGGATTCCGGACGACGCGGAGCGAGGAACAGACGAGGCCGCTGACGAAGGCGCATACGATGCGCTGCTTCGTGAGTAGGTTCCGTAGGAGCTCCCAACCGAGGCCTCCCTGGGGGCCTGATGGACCTGGGCGTCGTATGGGCCGGGCATTGTAGCGGCTGGTTGCTTGCGGGTTGAGCTGAGGTGGGCTGTAGCGGGCTGTAGAGGCTTGCGTAAAGGGGAAGCGATGAGCCAGAGGTGAGATTGTATGGGCCTGTATCTGAAGCGAGATAGGACCGGTATGTAGTAAGTAGCCGTAGTGATTGCGTCTGTCTGTAGTAGAGCAAAGCAGGTATGAACAGGCAGAGAGAGAGAGGGAGAGGGAGGGAGAGGGAGTCGGTATTTATACCAGGGACGGGAGTGCTCGAAGCTGCCAGGCCGCGCCAGTACGTACCGTACCTACGGAGCAGGGCGTGAGCATGAAGAGGTGCAAGAACATTTGGTAAAGTAAACGGGTCAAGGCAGGCAAGATGGACATGGAGTGCGTGAAGCCATGCGTTGACGCAACGACTACCGGGGGGGGGGGCATCACGACATACAAAGCCCGGAGTGAGTCAAAAGGCGCACGCCCCGATGTACGGCAGTCAAGCCATGATGGAGCCGGCTGGGCCCCAGGTCCGGCAAGGGGATAAAGGGGGTGAAACGGGGCGCAAGGGCCTGGTTGGGCGCCGAGGCTTTCTTGGGTTGTCGGTGACGGTCCACGTTGGGATTTCTGAGGCGAGGAAGCACAGAAGACCGACGTGACTTTGCGAACAAAGACAGGGCAGACCAGGGCGGGTGTGGCAAAGCCTGGGCTCGACACTGACACGCCCCGGGACATGGACGGGGTGGTGGCTTCGAGGCAGGGCCGATATCCATGCTCCTCTGCCTGCTGGGTAGGTACAGAGTGCTGCCGTCCAAGGCAAGCCAAGTCCTTCAGATGCCTAGATACGAGTGCGAGGCAAGGCAAGGCACGTCTTCACTCAGGCATTCCGGATGGGGCATGGCGGGCCGGCGGGCAGACGACGAGGATATGGCCGTGCCTGGCATGAACGTGACGCAGGTCCTCGATGGCCGGATAGGACAGACGTCGTCAGCGTGGGCCACGAAGATGCGTCGTCGCTGCCTGCCAGGGGGAGGGGGGCGGAGGGGGGCGGAGAGGGGCGGGCGAATAGCAGAGTCGAATCAGGGGCGTGGCGGGCGCGCGAGAGAGGGTGAGTGAGAATGAATGGACGTCGTTGCTGGATGTAGTCAAGGTGCCTAATATCGTCCTTGGTGAGTAACGCACGTGAGACACGTGAATAGATACCAAGGTGGGTAGAAGGTAGGTAAGGTAGGTAGGTAAGGTAGGTAGGTACCTAGGTAGGTAAGGTAGGTAGGTACTGCTAGTAAGGTACCTTAGGTAGGTAGGCAGGCAGACGGGCACAGCCTCGCGTCCAGGTCCTTGCCATCTAACTATCATCTGCTGTGCTCGCCCGCCCTCAGCACTCGGCGAGGCAGCAGGTACAGTACGGTAATCGGTCCCCGTCGCCTTGGGAGGGCATGGCAACTTGCACCGCCATTGGTTGGGCACCGGCAACTTGGAGCAATGCCCGGGTACTCTGTACGTGCCGGCTTGACTTCCAACTGCGAGGCACAAGGTAAATGTACCGGCGATGCTGTGCGTATACATGCTGTAGTTTGTAAATAAGGCTGGAAACACAGCGGCGTTGGCAAGCGGCGCCAGTGGCCTATTGGCTGGCCCATGGCCCCCTCTTCCACATTTGGCCGTCAGCTGCAGCCTTCATCCATCCGTCGTGATCTGTCGGCCGGCCAATCCGCCCCTTGGAAATCGCAAAGGGCAGCGAGGGGAGCATCACGGCCACCATGCATGTACTGTACATGACGTGCCTGGCCCGGTCGGTACCTTGCGTCAGAATGCGGTGGGACGGCTGCATGCGCCTTTTTTGGGCATCTGTCTCGCTCCACTGGTGCTTGGCGGCTGATGGGAAGCTGAAGCCTCATCCATCGGGAGGGAGGGGAGCTTCTTCCACCATCTTCTTTTCTCCGAGGCCTCCGGAGCGGCCTCTCACTCCACGTACCGTGGGTTGGCTGAGTCCACGGAGGAGGATACGAGGTTGTGTGCGCCTTCGGAAAAAGAAAACAAAGGGGTGAAAGAGCATCTACGTGCCGCCTGTACACGGGCCTCGGACTCGCGAGACAGCATCGCCGTCATACAGTCTTGGCCAACAGCCAGGTGTATCTGCATGGGAGAGCTTGGCTGCCTAAATTTGCCTGACGAAGCACAGCCGCCGTGGCAGTCGAAGACGGCAAAAGCCCACTCTCTCTAGCTCCTCGTCGGCCCTCGCCCCCTTTCATCGTCCTTGACGGCGACGAATGGGCTGATGATGCAGCGAGGTGCTGGGAGATGGTGGCCATGATGAAGGCCTACGGGTAGCCTCGAGTCGGTGAAGCCGTACAGCCAGCTGCTACGCCCCACGGCTCTCGAATCGACCGCCCACGCCCACGCCCACGCCCACGCCCACGCACCTCTGCTGGCCGGGCACCACGGCTGTTGCGGTCTAGCACAGCCTGATGGTGAAGAGGTGAGTTGTCGGGACGCTGTGTATTTTGGTGGGGTAATGATGAAGCTCCGGCCGGACAGGCGATGCTGGAAGCCAAATGGTGGTGTGCGCAAGCACGCCTGGATGATAGGTATAAAGAGCCTGACGTCATTACTTTGTCGCCCAGTTGCCCAGTTGCCCAGTTGCCCAGTTGCCCATTCAGACTGCCAGCCAAGCCATGCTCAGCCACCGCCCGTGGGCGAATGGCCGGCTCGGCGGCAAAGGAGAGGAACTCGTCCGAAGCTTGGGCGTCTCAACCCGAGGCCTATCCTGATAACCGACTTGTGGCTTGCAATGGGCATGGCTCCATCTCCGTCGGTTCGGTGAATGGAGCTACAGAGGTGTGACGTTGGGCATCCAACCACTGTCAGGAGATGGATGGAGGAGAAGACGGCAATGCAATTAATCGATCCCCGGGCGCAGACCACCACCACTTAATGCTCCTCCACGAGTCCCTGTATGCAGCATGAGCCCACGTGCCACCACGCCAGCGTGTCGCATGCACCATCCGCGCTCTTGTCTCCAGACTTGAGCGTGGATGATTCAAGCCGTTGTTCGAATAAGTATTTTAGTACCTATCGAAATGGTGGAATATTAGTGCTAAACCCTAGCGATTAACAGGCAGAAACCTCGGGAGGAGGGCCACTAACTTGGTACCTAGCACCGAGAGCTTAGCATCTGTCCCGCCCCCCCTTTCTGCCGTGCATGTACGGAGTACGATGTACAATGGATGAGAGCACGGCGAGTACCTGCCAGGTACCACCCCTACCTGCAGCCCCCCCTTGCCTGGCGCAAGGTGGTACCTGTTCTCTCGGCCATCGCCTACACCTTGGCAGACCTCCATCCATCATCACCACGCCTTTCCTGTCCTCACTCCTGGCACAAAGGACCTCCTCCAGACAGACCCCCGAAACAGCACAATCATGAAGCCTGCAGTCGTCTTTGCCGCGGTGGTCTCGGCTTGTGCCAGCCTCGTGGCCGCCGCCGCCCAAGAGCTCAAGATCGACGTCACGCTGCCCGTCGAATGCGACCGGAAAACGAAACGCGGCGACAACGTGTCAATGCACTACAAAGGCACCCTCGCTGACTCGGGCAAGAAATTCGATGCCAGTGAGCCACTCTCGTCTCCTAGCTTGCCCGAGGAACAAGGCTCAATGCTGATTACTTCCCTCCCCCAGGCTATGACAGGGACCAGCCTCTCTCCTTCGTCCTGGGCAATGGCCATGTCATTAAGGGGTGTGTCGCCCTTCTCTCCGGCCTGCGTACGGGCATGGCCCTCGTCCACCGACTAACAGTGGCATCAGATGGGACCAGGGCCTCTTGAACATGTGCATTGGCGAGAAGCGGTGAGTTTCGCCGTGGCCATGGACCAATCCCGTCAAACACCCGTCGGGCGTGTGTCTGGCTGACTTGAAGCTTGTAGGACTTTGACAATACCCCCAGAGCTCGGCTACGGCCAGCGTGCCATGGGCCCGATCCCTGCTGGTTCGACCCTCAGTACGTCTTCCCCGCAGGTCCATCTTAACTACACGTCGATGGCTAACGGCCGCTACAGTTTTCGAGACCGAGCTGGTAGCCATTGCCGGAGTCCCCAAACCCGACAAGATCAAGACCAAGTCTGTCCAAGACAAGGTGTCGGACAAGGTCGCCAGCGCCGCCGCCGAGGCCGCCAGTGCCGCCAAGACCATGCTCACCGATTCCGACGACGTGCAGGGGCACGAGGAGCTATAGTCAAGGTTCTGAGCAACCACAAATAGCCAGCATATGCACGAGACTTGCGCGACGAGGTCACTTCTGGCAATTGATTACCTGGCGTGATTCAGCTCCCTGAGGCGTCCATAGCCGATGGCCCAGCCCGTTGTTCAACGTGTTGCCATGCGACGTGAATGACACATGTAGCGAGCCGCGATCCTCCTCAAGTCTCTGCTCTAGCGTCCTTGTTTCGTCAAACCGGAGCGCCGGACCGTGTGGGTATACAGCAGGTTGCCAGGTCAGAGGACTGCCGCGGGCTGTAAGCGGGACACGAGCGATGCACAGACCAAGTTGAGGTTGAAATATCAGTGAAATCCAACGCCCGGCCAGCGCACAAGGCGTCCATGTTCAGCCGTCTGCCCGAAACGAACCCGGGCGAATCGCTGGGAACCGAGCTAGGGTTCAGGCGGAGGCGGATGAGCCGATGGATGATGGCTTGGATACGTGCACTGTAGATGACTCTGAGGTGGTCCTGCTCTGGCCATGCTCGAGCCAGGCTTTGGCATCAAGGTGCCCTCATCGCCGCTGCGGACTGGGTCGAGAACGTGCCCGAGTAGCCCGTAGAGAGGGAGAGAACTGGCGTTGCTGCACGCCAGACAACACTCAACAAAGGTGAAGCACATATATCCTCAGGGAGGAAAAAGGTAAGTGAACCGCTATATTGAAGAAGTGAAGAAAATGTGCGGGGAAGAAATCCTCGCCCTCTTCCACCTCACAGTGGGCACTTCAAAAGCCGTTACAATGGAAACAAAAGTGGTGGTGCCCAGGCGGCGGAGCAGCTACTCCTGAGCACGCCGGCCCGGTCTATCGGAGAACAGCTGGTGACACTTGCAGCAGACACGGCGAGTTTTTGTGCACATACAGCTGCAATTCGTGGCTGAGCTTAGCAATGTGCTGGCGTCCTGACGACATGCTCGCTCCGCGTGTCCTCTGGAGCAACACGTTTGCCGAGTGGGACGCAGGAGCGACAGCCCATCAGGAGGCTGGTGTTCCAGACAATGGCCAATCGAGAAGTGCTGAAAAAGAGCTAGCCGTGTCGGTCAGGTCGGCGATGAAAAGTAGAATGCACTTCTAGAGTCGGGGCGGCGTTGTATGGTCCTCTGAGGGGAGAGCTAACCGACCTACAATTTCAAGCTTCATGCCTTACCCGCGCTGCTCATGAGTCGTTGCCCAGAATCATCCAACTAGGGATGGGCAATTGACGCGATCGTGAGAAAGAGGCGTCGAGTCATGATTCGTCACAGTCGTAACTGGCCGGCCTATCCAAAGAACAGCTTCTTCTGCTTGGGATCCGAGGCAGATGCCCTCCCTCGCTTTCTCTCCGCAGTCTTGGGTCTTTTGCTCCCAGGCGGGCTGTCCCGCGCCCGTTCCGGTTCGTCACCCTGAACCGCATCGCGTATCGTTTGACGAGATAGGCAGAGGTCAATGTGCTCGTTGAACTGTCGCTCATTTGCAGACTGCGGCCTGAGGCAGATGGGACAGTCCCACCATTCCTCTTCGCGTTCGGTCATGGGCTTTACCGGATTCGAGACGATCTCTTTGCCATGCCTACCATATGCCAGCGCACTGGCGTCGTCCATGTCGTTTATGAAGTTCGAGTCCGTCGTCCTGTCGGCCTCCTTGGGACGTGGCTCCTCCGTAAGCAGCGTTTCCCAACCGGCCTCGTCTTCCAAGGCTCCGGCTGCCTTTCTTTTACCAGCTTCCGACTCCAGCTCGTCTTCGGCCGCGAGTCTCCGTTGCTTGAACCCAAAAAAGGCCATTGTATCAGGTTTCTTGGTGCTGACGAGATGCGTGCAGCGTAAGCCCATGAGCCGCAGCTTCATGCCTGGCATTTCTTGCTCTAGCTTGGCAAGCATAGGCAACGCAAAGCTGTAGAGGTCGTCTGCGAGGCCGATTGCCCTCGGCATGACCTGTTGACGTGTCAAAACTTCAAAGGTATGCAATTTGACCTTGAGGCACAACGTGCGACCTTTGCATTCGGCTCGCTTCATGTCCTGCTCGAGCTCCTCCGCCGTCGAGCGCAGCTTTTGTCGCAGTTTTGCGCCATCGGACATTTCCCCAAACGTGCTCTCTGTCCCGACGCTCTTCCGTTCATAGTCCTCGGCAGGCTGAATTCGGGTGCGGCCCAGCCCCAAATGGCAGGTCAACAGAAATTCAAAAGTCTTTTCTCCAAAGAGCTGGTTCAAGTATTTCCTCTGCTCGTAAATGTCCCCGCATGTTCTCACTCCAACCTCGAGAAGCTCTCGTTCCAGGACTCGGCCAATGCCGTTGACCTTCCTGGTCGGCAAGTCTCGCATAAATGCCATGATGGTACTTCTGTCATTGGGCAAGACAAACTGGCCATTGGGCTTGTTCATGTTCGAGCAAATCTTGGCAAGTTTTGTGTTTGCGGCAATTCCGGCCGAGACGGTAATGTTTGTCTTTTGGTGAATCTCGCTTCTCATCTCCTCAATTGCTTCTGCGGGACCAACGTCGCGCTCTGCGCAGTATTCAGTAATGTTCAAGTATGCTTCGTCAATGCTGGCACTCTCGAATCGCGGGTCGTACTCGGCAAGAATTTCTCTTATTTCTTGGGCTTTGGCGGTATATTTTTGGAAATTGGGTTTGATAAAGATGAGGTCAGGGCAGAGCTTCTTTGCGACGAAGCCGGCCATGCCAGAGCGGCAGCCGAACTGTCGGGCGACGTAGTTGCAAGTTGTGAGAACGCCGCCGCCGACCGCAAACGGCAGGGTCTTGAGCTCAGGCCTCTCCAATTGCTCCACCGCTGCATAAAAGGCATCACAATCGATATGAACAACGTGTTGTGTAAGATCCCGGGACACCTCGAGCTCGGCAATCGTGCGGTCGGCGTTTCGTAGGTCGCGGGATAGGTCACGCTCCTCGAGCTTCCGCTTCCGTTGCAGGATCTGCTCTATTTTCTTGGTGAGAATCTTGTCGCGGGCCTCTTCCCGATTGAAGAACTTGGAGCCTTTAGACGCATTGTAGATGATTTCGGAAACCTAGACATGGCCACGTTGAGCTGACCATACTTTCCGTTTCCAGGGACAGAGCGAGTAGCGTACCTTGCCTTGATCGACCTTGTCCTGGCCAGCCTTGGTCAAGGACGGGCCCAGCAAGTGATACTTGAGGGTCCTGAGGCTATCCTCCTCCGCCTCCTCCATTTGCTGTCCGTCGTCATGCGTACGCTCGGTCGCAGCCATGTCGGACGGGTCGGAGCAGGTCGGTCAGCACATTGATTTCAAGTGACGAAGGGTCGTCCTTTGATAATAATTCCCGGGCAAGTCGAACATTTGTAAACTAGGCGGTCGCGTCGACTGCTGACAATAAACGCGGTTGTTTGGCAAATGACGTCTCAGCTCAGCCACGGTCGCGTCGGAGGCCCGCACGCTGTCATGTGACTTTGAGTGCATCCACTAAGTCTATTTCGGGGCCAAAGCTTGACACGATTGAATCTTGGTTCCTCCGCTTCGCAGCCGAGGTCGAGCGCATCTCGATCTTGGGGCGAACAGAATTCTTCCTTTCGAGATAGCGGGTCTACCGTCTTTCAATATATCGATAGCGCCAAGCCCAGAGGTCGACGTGCTGCGTGCCCAGGGCGTTGACGGTATCCTCCTCGTCGCCTCCGGTAGTCTCAGACGCTGCTGCATGACAAACCTGTCGTCTGACCGCCCCTGTCGCAGATGTATTGGCGCGGGCGGGGGTGAGATGGCGATGGTGGTGCCGTGGAGAAGGGGGTAGAGGAGCAGGCGCGGGACGGCGCGATCCATGAAAACGGATCAACAACGCACATCTCCAGTTCAGGGTTAAGGTTTACAAGGGACCGGCCGACAAAACGGCTTATGGAAACGCCCGCGTGGGTGATGAACCGGGCACAGACAAGCTCCCGGTTTCTCAACCACCTCGATTGGTCAGATGCGATGCTCCTCTAAGCGCCCGGGACAACGCCGATCAGCCCAGGTGGTGGGTGCTGAGGGCTGCGGTACAAATACTGACCGGGAGCTGAGCTCTAAATGTCTCCTTTTCCCCCTCTTCTCTACTGTATCTCATCAGCCGTCATCCCCCGCCCAAGTGCGTCTCCTCTGCAAAAAGACGTGTGGAAGGAGCAAAGCAAATCATTCGAGGCGACCCTCGCTCGACTCGGCCCTCGGGCTGCCAAAAGGATAAACGATCGCCGCTGCGCAGTTTTTTCCGAACCCAGCCATGGCAGCGCGGCCAGGCGAAGAGAACGTGGCAACCCTGTAAGCGAGGCACTCCCTCACGCGCTCGACCGGAGACGAAGCAGTATCGCTCACGCTCTGGCCTGGCCTGGGTAGGTTCGGTGACATCCACTACTTGTACGGACCGCCCGATACAAAGCCCCGGCATCACCGGTTCGACAAGGGCTCCTATGTCTATCTATTCGAGAATGCGGGCGAGAGGAGATGCCGCATCGAGATAGCAAATTACCCTGGCACAGAGGACCAGGACGCCTTTTTCGGATGTGAGTTGTGCGCCACCCGAGTGCGCTGTCACGGCCAATGTCGGCTAAAGAAGTCGACCCATGGCTGTGTCGCATCGGCGCAGTCCTCGACCAGACTCATGTGCGATACTCGTACAAGCACCACTGCATGGTGTCGTTGACCGTCGCCGACGCGGTTGACCAGAGCGAGTGGCATCTACCGACGTACGACCCTCGCAACGAGAACAAGTACCACTACAAGCTCCATTCGCTCGACGCCTATTTCTGGACGCAGCAAGACGCGCTGCAGTTCGTCAACGGCGTCAGGCGCGTCCTGCCGCCGTCCCAGGTAGAGGTCATGGACGAGCCCGCGCCGCCGCCACAGGCCGCGGGCATGAGCTCTGTCGTGCAACAGTTGGAGAGGGCAGCCATCTCAGACCCCCAGTACGGAGCCGGCGCCTCGACGACGTCGCAACACCCGCCTCTCCCCCAAGGTGCCGCCATGACAGCGTCTCCGGAGGCGCCGGGGGCCGTTCCGCCGCCGCCTCCGCCGCAGGGCAACTTCGTGCCCATGGCATACAACCCCGCCGCGCCGGCCGCGCCGGAGACGATACGACATCGTGAGAAAACGCCGCCGCTGGATGACGATCCCCTCAACCCTCTGGCCGTGGCCGTGGCGCACGATTACCACAAGCAGCCCTTTACCCCGGGGCTCCCTCCGGCGTCGCAGCCCGGGGGAGGTCCCGGAGTTGCCAGCCCCGGCATGCCGCCTCCGCAGCAGCCGGCTATGCAGAGGGCGATGACGATGCCCAGGCAGGCGGGGTTGGCGAGCCCATTCGGGCCCAGTCCGAACAGTTTCCCAGCATCACCCCGGTTTGCCCCCGCGGGCCTAACCCAGACAACCTCGCAGCCTACGCCGCCGATAACGGGCTCCGGCATGCCGCCCCCGCCGGGGGGCTACTCGGGCTATCCGCACGGACCGCAGACGCCATCAGGGGCGCCGGGCCAGGACTACTCGATCCACCAGCAGGTGTATCGGCCGAGCGAGGCTGACTCGGGGCCGACTCCGCACCAGTATCAGCCCAAACAAGAGCCGAGGGGGAAGCTGGAGGAGAACGCCGGAAGGCTGGAGCGCGGTGTGACGGGCATGTTGAAGAAGTTTGAAAAGAAGTTTGGGTAAGGCGTAAGGGGGGACATGTCTTTTGTCTTGGCTGCCTCTTAACGCCCGTACCTAACCCTATGATGCCTGGGGTTGGATAAGGTCAGACACGACCGGAACAGCGCGCAGACCTGATTGGGCGGTACGGAATGGCGGTCGGCCCCGTTGGAACTGAAAGACGATGGCTGCTGGGCTGAATGTCTGCGCGGTGCGGTGACGCACTATTGACTGGCATGGCGCTACGCCTCCGCCACGAGCACATGCGTGCCTTTGCATCTGCAGGCCCATGACGAGGCAGACTTGAGACATGTCTGGAGTTGCGCGGCGACAGGATGGCATGTAGGGCACAGAAGGTACGTGCCTAGGTAGGTACTATCCATCTGAGGATTGGTACTTGTAGAGAGAGTTTTGCTGTGCAAGTGTCTGGACTCTGGAGCTGCTACATGGGAATGATAGCGCCGGACCGTGTCCAAGTACCTACTTTACTGACATGCTGGTACCGATGCACTGCTCCCCGGCCGACCAGGCTAGCACGCCTCGGCGACCTGGGGAAGCCGCTTTGGTCCACGTATTCCGACTGTCGAATGTGATGCACTTTTTCTTCTTTTCCTTCTTCGCCTTGCCTTTTCCCCCTCTGGTGGTGTGTTGGTGGTGGATCATGGGATGGGCTGCTACCGAACAAGGGCCGGGCTGTGCGGTGGCCCGATTTGTCCAGCCACCGTGGCGTTGCGTTGCCCTCCCGGGAAAGTGAACGCCAAAGAAAAGTGGGGGAGGCGGAAAAAAGGCCATCAAAGAATCCAACTGCTTCGTCGACGGAAGTGCACAAGACGGGACAGTCTGTTCAGCTTCGACGCGTCCAATGTCTCTATACCATGCTTCGACGAATAAGGTGTGCGCCGAGGCAACGAATTTGGGGGCACGGCTTCCCTTCAGACCCTGCAGGCGACGCAGGCAGGCTGGTACCCTTTGTCCAGGACTCCAGCGCCAGGATGGCTCGGACTGCCTGTTGGGCTGCACAAGTCTTGTACCACCTACAGGAACTCGGCCTGTCTGACATGGAAGGCAAGCGACAGGCCGCCCGCTCAGGCAAGCAGGGTGTGCCGAAATAGGAGGGGGGGCTCACAGTGTGGTAGGTTATCGTGCCCAGATCTGACACACCCTCGCTCACCGTCCCTTTCGAGCCCAGCCCCCTTGTTCCTCCCCGTCAGCCCAAGCCCGTGTTCGTCTTCCTTTCATCTTCCCATCTCTGGCCGTGCTCGTCTTGACTCGATTTCCGGCATCCAGCAGTGCGCCATCCATGCGGTGACCCCGAAAGGGGGTCCTTTGTGTGCTGTCGCAGCTACAGCTTCGCTTGGCAGTCGTTGAACGCCTCCCAGCTCCGACGTCGACTCGCCCATACGCTCGCCACGCACTTTCATGCTCAGCTCTGCTGCTGAACCCCTTCTGTGTCCCGCTTGTGTTATTCGTCTTCTTCCGGAGCGCGGCCCGGGCAACGGCAGAGAGAATGCACCTTCAGGGTCACTCGGCGTCTGTCGCTGGTGGCGCCGCTCGCGGCCGGAGATACGCTGCTGCGCTGATGCGGAGAAATCTTAGCGACAAAAACGTCGCCTTCATTGTAAGTTGGTTGATGAATTGGACTTGTTCTTCCCCTACATTCCTCATCAAATCCCCTCTTCTTCCACACGGCCCTTTCTCTGCGCTCCCTGGCAGAATCTACATTGTTTGCCCCGGAGCCAGAGTCCGTATCTAACCCGGGACGTTTTTTCAAGGTCATTGTCGCCATCTTCGTCTTCCTCACTTCAATCGCCTTACTGGGCGTAATACTCGCCAAGCGCCGTCGCCGCCGCCAACGCCAAGGGAAAAAGACGGGCGATCCTCGGCGCGATGTGGTGGACAACATGCTGAGTGCCTGGCAGCCGGACGGCAGCCGGTACGAACGAGCTTGGGAGGACGACGCTACAGACAGGCGGCAATCGCCACACCGGCTTTCTCGGCCGTCGCCGAGATTGAGCGGCGGTGATGAGCGGCGGCGCACTTCGGAAGTAAACGTCTCGAGAGCAAACATCAACGGCGCCGGCGCCGGCTTGAGCAGCCGCCACGGCAGCAGGAACACCGTTGCTGTCGAGGCGGCCGCCGAGGCCGACGTTGACCGCAGCGCCTCGATCCGCTCCGTCATGACGCTCCCTCCCTACAGCTTCATGGCGTCCACCAATGAACAGGTTCTGGGGCGCGAAGGCGAAAGAGACGGCATTGACGTGGTCATCGCCTTGCCGACCGACGAGGATCGCGAGGCTCTTCGCGAGGAGGAAATGGACACGCTCTATCAGATCAGGCTGGCAAGGCGGCGGCAGATTGTCGAGAGAGACGAGCTGAGGAGACAACAGAACGAGGCGAGGCGACGAAACGATGGCGAAGCTCTGGCCGAGATTCGCGCACACTCGAGAACCACCACCAGCACTGGCGAGTTGGACGAGCTCCGGCGAGAGGTGAGCCGGATCCAGGAGACCAGGCAACGCTCCGTGTCTAGAGTCTCGTACGCAGACCTCGGCGTGGCCAGGCCTGATGGAACGCGGATCCGCGCAAACAGCAACGAGAGCGAGCGCATGGGGCTGCTTTCCGATGCCGCGAGCATTGCCCTCTCGAGCCAGTCATGCGCTCCGTCTCTCGCGCGGCACCGGCGCGGACGAAGCGCAAGCTCCCTGGTGAGTGTCGATAGCGACCTCTTGCCACCCAACTCGGCCCGTGCTGGAGGTGGATCCCACTCGGAAGCGCCGCCGCCACAGGGTGGACATGCCCGGGCGAGATCGAATCCCGAGCTTGCCGAGGCAGACTTAGGAGACGTGGCCATGCCGCCTCCTGACTATCACGACGTCCCCTTGGACGATGATGCAGAGCTCACGCAGTCCACCACGCCACTTGATGAGCCACCGCCAGACTACCCGGGGCCTGTCCGATCGGCAGCCGAGTGGAGCGAGCACGGCGCCCGGCCGTCGGCATCAGGTGGTCCGGAGGCGGCGGCGACGGGATCGGGAAAGACACAAACAGGTCGACGAATCGGCGGGATCCCTCAGTTGCCGAGCCTGAGAATTTCGGGCCTCCCCGCGATCGTGATTGAGCCGTCGAGTGCGCAGCCGGTGAGCCGCTGACGGGGTGAGCAGCTGGACTCTCGCATCGATGCTGCTGTGTCGCCGGCGGGCTGTCGGAGTGGCTTTAGGGGGTTGCAGATACCACATGAGCGCTGTTTTTTTTTTGGGAGCGATGCATGATGTCGGCTACCATTGGAGCTATATAATGGGTTTCTGATGATATTTCGTCTTTTTTCTTCTCTTCCCAGCTTCACTGCCGCAGATACAAATGTGCTCGGGGTGGTGGCTTTGGTTGATGGCTAGGTAGTTTAAATCATGGCGTTGGCCGGCGACATTTATGCCGCGATCCTCTTTGACCCCAGCTGCCCCTTCTTTATGATTGCTTGGACCAAGCCTGTCTCTCTCGCGGCCTGTGTGGGACACGATGAGCGACGCGCTGCCGAGTCACACAGCGACGAGGAGATGACGGAGGAGCGGCCGGGCAGCTACAAAGACCAGTGAGAGGCAGCAAGCGGGACACGCTCGTGTTACTGGAAGCCTCACTCATCACCCCGAGGCGGCACGGAGCAATGCGCGTATAGTCCTCGGAGCCGGTATCCCGCAGCAACGGGTAGCAGCTGGAGAGCTATCCGCGACAGATAGCGCAGGGGGGCCAAGCGGCTCGCCATTGGCGACGCCAGGAAGCCGCTTATCCAAGCTTTAGCAAGCTTTAGCAAGCTTTAGCAAGCTTTAGCTAATCGCCGGGAGCCCCGCAGATGCGACGAGCGGATCGTCCCATGCGGAGGGGGAGAGCATTAATCAGCATTTGACTTAGGTACAGAGTACACAGTGCTCCATACCTCGCGCTCAACAGCTGCCTCGACACACCCACCACACCGGCCTCGTAAGCCACCTCCGTCTCGGATCACGGCTTCTCTCCAGACTGGTACGTACGCACGAGGCAGACGGGAGACGAGTTGAGCCGGCCAGCTGAGGTTCAGTAACGGAGTGGCGAACTCGGGGTCGGGATTGGCCCGCCCGTTTCCTTCCTCCCCCCCCACCCCCGGCTGCATCCATGTACTTGGTACATATCGGCTTTCTTCCTTTTGGGACGAGCGGGGTGGTGGGGGAAGGGGAAGGAGGGGCACCCGGTAGAGCTCGCCCGCCGCGTCACCAATTCGCTCATGTCACGATGCGAGCTCGATGCTGCTCGCCGTCTGCCTCTGCGCCAGGAACTGAGCATTGCGTAGCTCTGCCTGGTCCCGCCGAGTCCAAAACAAGAACGACTAAAGAGTGAGGGAGCCAGAGAGTGGCGGCGTCGTCGCCATGGCCGACGAGGAAACCGGGAAGCTTATCAATGCTGTCCCGGTTGACTGACGCATCTGCCCGCAAACTTACTTGGGGGCTAAGTCGACGACGGCTGTGGCCCGCCACAGTTCCCGAATCGCCGTGCCGGGCCTCCCATTCTCATATAAAACCCCCCCTCCCTTTCGGCCGGGACCTTTGCTCTGTTGTTGCTGCTGCAGTGTGCTACCAACAGCTGACTTACCATCACCTCATCTTGTACTGTGCCTGTAGTACACGCACAATTCTCTTCCCCTCCCTCTTCCATCGTGCAGACATCAACCGATCTGATTTCGTCAAGATCTCTCCTCGAGCCAGGCCATCCATTATCCCTCCAGCAACTTCGCCATGGCTCCCAAGATTGCCATTGTCTTTGTTAGTCCTTTCCTGCGCTCTTGTTCCTCTTTTACAACAGCTTTCCCCGCCAGCCGTCTTGCCTGTTGCTGTGCCCCCTCTCGCCCCGAAGCCAGCAGACACGGGTGACACGACTGCCTGGCGACGCACTCACCGTCCCTCCGTTACACTTCCTTGCGTTTCCATGTCGTACATCGATTGCCGTGCTCTGAATTTTGCCCCCCCTCCCTCTGGCTTGTCGCCCCCCTCCCAGACCAACGCTGACGGAGTGCCCTCGGCCTCGTACAGTATTCCATGTACGGCCACATTCGGCAGCTGGCCGAGGCCGAGAAGAAGGGCATCGAAAAGGCCGGCGGCCAAGTCGACTTGTATCAGCTCCCCGAGACGCTCCCCGACGAAGTCCTGGCCAAAATGCACGCCCCGGCCAAGCCCACTGATATCCGCGTCTTGGAAGATCCCACAGTCTTGACTAAGTACGATGCCTTCCTCCTTGGTATTCCCACCCGATACGGCAACTTTCCCGCTCAGTGGAAGGTATGTACATGTGGCCCCACGCAGCCTGGATCCGGGGACCCGAGCCCGTCCAGCACTGCTGTCAAGGCTAGGGTGGTGGCTAGATTGCTGCTAACCATGCGTCTTTTCTCCTCCCCCCTTAGACCTTCTGGGACAAGACGGGCGGTGTCTGGGCCTCGGGTGGCTTCTACGGCAAGTATGCCGGCCTCTTCGTCTCCACGGGCGGCCACGGTGGCGGCCAGGAGTCGACGTGCATCGCAGCCATGTCGACTCTCGCCCACCACGGAATCAACTACGTCCCGCTCGGCTACGCAAAATCCTTCGCCCAGTTGACCAACCTGTCCGAGGTTCACGGCGGCAGCCCTTGGGGTGCCGGCACCTTCGCCGGCGGTGATGGCTCCCGACAGCCCAGCGCTCTCGAGCTCGAGATTGCCACCATCCAGGGCGAGACCTTTTACCAGACCGTTGCCAAGGCCTTTGGCTAGTTGCGGGCCACCGGACCCGGTGATCAGTAGGCCGAGACGGACGCGGCAAAGGTCGACGGCGCGGCAAATGTCGGCGCCCGGCCGCTCGGCCCACTAGCGGGGACTGCTTCATTGACGGGAAAGGCGAGACAGCGAATTGGCACAGGCAGCTTTCCTGTTCAATGTTTCACCATGTGCAAAGCAAGTATCTAGGAAGATTCCGTAGCTTCGATGGAATGTAGCCCATCCAGCCCTGACAAGAAGCATCCGCCGCTGCGCGAGAACGGAATGGAAGATAACCCGGGTCCATTCCCAGGCCCTGAACAAGCACTTCCCTGCCCTTACATGTTGTCAGTGAGGAGAAAGTCTCTTCACTCGCCATGCTTTTGCAATGTGCAAATCTCCGCCATGCACTCTACTGACAGCAAGTCATGGCTGATGGTGTTGGATCCGCTCTTGGCCATCAACTCGTCCAAGATCCCGTACAGGTACTTCATGGTTGTGTGCTTGGCCGGGTCTCGAGTCGAAGGGTCACCGCCGTAGTCCACCCAATAGCTTGTTTGAAGATCCTCAATCACGTACAGCCCCCCGGGCTTGACGATTGGCCATAGACGTTCCAGCGATGTCATTTGCTGCTCCATCGTGTGCCCGCCGTCGTCAACCACGATGTCGAACAGGCCGTGGGCCGTCGTGTCGGCGGCGAAACGCTCGAGAAAATCAGCATCCGCCTGATCGCCAACAAAGACGTGGGCATTGGCCGTCTTGTCTTGATACTTGTTTGCACACAGTGCGTCAAATTCGATAAAGTACAGTTCAACGTTGGGCAAATACTCGAGCCAGGTATAGTAAGATGCACCAGGGCCATAGTCCTTTGAGGGTGAGTGGCACGTCGATAACGGTCTGACAAGATGAGTACAATACCATGTTGCAGCCAAGCCCGATTTCCAGCATCTTTAAGGGCAGGCTTCGGAGAGGCAAAAGATATTTTTCATACATGTGCTGATAGCTGTGGGTGGTGACTTTGTCGGTGCCGTGCTTGAGCGCGACTTGCTCGAAAGAAGCGCTTTGCTGGTTCGTGTCTCGGGAGGCATTGCTGTGCACAGGGCGAGGAAGCGGGCGGACACGAGTCAGCTTTGAATTCCTCGGTGACGGTCCGCTGACTTGCAGGTAAGTGCCCGGCTTGATGTGCTGCTGCAACAGCTCTGTCTCGCGGCCCAGCTGGTGAACAAGGGCCAGGGTGAAGAAGGCGGCGGCCGCGCAGAAGAGAGGAATTAGGATCCGGTTTTGCTTCATCCTGACGGCGAGGGACCTCTATCCTTGTGCAGAGGGACGAATCCTGGGCGCGGTGTTTGATGGAGACGGGACTGGAAGAGAAAAGACAGCGTTGGCGCGAGAAACTGGGCCTCGGGGCGTGAGAGCCCAAGGTGTTGCGAGCCGGGTTGGCTCCCGCGAATTCCCAGCACCCTGTGCCGAGACGGCAGGCACGACGAAGGGGGCCGAGGCAGGCACCTTGGAGAGGCGAATTTGGAAGGACTGACCTATCCGGGCTTGATGCGCGAGAACCGTTCAGAAGCAGGGCAGCCTCGGAATTGCATTTTCCCACGCCAATACAGCGAAGCAGGCTTAACTCACTCCTTCATCCTCCCACGAGTGGCTGTAGGGACATGTCGCACATCTGCTGACGCCTTGGCTCCAAACAGTTGGCGTACGTCGTCCACGGGTGACTGCGTGCAAGTTCTGGCGCTGAGAACGCAATGGGCTGCCAACTGTCGGCCCTCTCGTTGCCTAGTGCTGCTCAGATCCTGTTGCCAGACCGGCCATCCCTTTGCTTGAAGAGATTCGTTTGCGACCCGAAAAACGGGTTGGGCTGGAATGGGTGGGGGTTCGACTGCAGCTCTCCATCGTACGGCCGTTGGGGCTTATCCTCGACAGGCCTGGCTACCTCGATCTCGCCCCTGTAGATCTCAACGACGGACACGAGCGGGAACAGCAACAGCAGCATGGACAGAAGCTGCCCGAAGCCCCACGTCTTTTCTCCCTCTTCGTTAAGCTTCACCGACGGATGGCCAAAGGCCTGCGACAGGAGGCCGATGCGCACGGCGGCGCCCACGGCAATGACCGTCATTAGAAACAGCCCGGCGACCTGGACGACCTTGTAAAACTTCTGGTCTCGACTGTGCAGATACCAGGTCGCCAAACCAAAAATGATGCCGTTGCCTCCGATGACGACGATAGTTCCCACGTATGATAGCCCGATGCTGGACGGTGCCCCGTTGCCGTCAACCTGCCAGACGCAAGCGATGGGCAAGGTATCGTTCTCGAGTCCTTTCGACACCGCCTTGAGCACGAACACGCCAGAGACGCTGGACAATGCCAGGTTGACAAACATGAGGAACTGCCTCATCCACCGAATGACCCAATCGCGGCGGTAGTCGTGGACTAGAGCCAGCAAGGTGGCGTTGTGCGTCGCCATGGAGAGCAGAGACAGCATCCATATCAGAAAGAAGTGGTACGGCACCAGCGTGTTCATCTTGGCCAATCCTACACCTGCAAGCCTCGAGTCAGCTAAGGGTGATGATGGATGGCCTTTGGCAGGCAGCGCGCCTCACTTTGAATGCCGATGCCTTGCAGAATCTGGGAATCGCTGTATCCATTGAGCAGCTTGCGCCGGATGGTCGAGTCCTTGGCTCGAAAGTCGGCCCAGATGACGGTGGCGGACAAGACGATGGCCAGACATGCAGTGACCATGAAGGACAACAGGATCTGCGAGGCCATGTCAGCCGCCGGCTGCCTTTGCTCGTCAGCTCGCCCGGCGCGTGTCCTTACCCCAGCTCCCGCGACGCCAGCATCGCTAGGGGCAGACTCTGGCGCGCCCGTGCATCTGGGAGACTCCAAAAAAGCCATGATGTGGTGGCGCGGATGCAGGGCACGGCTCTCGATAGTGTGTGAATGAGGGATGGAGTCTTCACGATGCCGGGTTTCGCACTGGGTCCCTGGGATATGAAATGGACCCGACAGGCTTGCTGTTGCCATGACGTCGTGGTTCAGGGGGATGTGGTCCCCTCTCCTCCCTTGAGACACGAAACGGGGCCTTTATCGGAAAACATAATTACTGCACGAAGGAGTGATCAAATTACAGTACTGCCAGCGGCTCTGAGACAGGCAGCGATCCCCGGCGCTTCTTTTCTTGCCAGGGCTGTGTGCTCTTGGCACCCTGGGCAAGCGCCGGCGAATCCACCCAATCAAGTCGCCCTCGGCCATTTTTGCTACGTACCTTAAAGGTAGGTACTGTACGTATCTACAGTAGTAGGTGCCTAGGTACCTACCTAGGTAGCTCATTGGCCCCCGAGCTGTCACTGGACATGCAGACCCGCCCGCCTCGTGGGGGCAACGGTTGTGGCAACGGTTAAGTTAACTATCCCGGTGCTGCATCAAGCAAGCCATGCCCCCTTTTACTGAGCCAGCGAGCGAGCATCCGCAGGCCCAACGTCTCTGCCCTGGGACCGCCGCGGCTGTGGCTATCGATGGGGGCCTGGGCGCTGCCCGACGAGGGCAGTTCGCCCACGGAATTTGGTTGGCTCGTCACTAATCAACCTCAACGGGCTGCAGGGGACCCAACGCCCGTCGCCAGGCTGGCAAATTTGCGACAGCAAGGCCGGGAACGCGGAAGAGCCGTCCGCATTCCGGGGGGACAAGGTGCCAAATACCAATTCAAGATTGTACTGTACTCTACTACGCAAACCCCGAGCGTATACGCCGCGGATGAAAGTGGAATGGCTCTAGAATCAACGCTTTTGCCTGATGATGCCTACATTACAGTATCATGACCCCGGCACGAACGCCCACTGACCCAACGTCGGCCATTGCTCAGGGCGTGACGGCTCTCCAAGTGGCAATGCAAATTGCCGCTTACACACATACACTCAAAGGCCCTGGCAGATTATTCACCAGGGCGAGGCGAGCAACTCGATTGATTCTATCTCACGCTTTTCCATGGTCATTCGTCGCGACGCCTGGCCGTGTTTGACCCTTGCTCGTCAGTTGTCCGTGGACAGAGATCAGCTCTCAACGTGACTTCGTTGATTTGACAGTTCGCGTCGAGTGTGCCTTTCAACCGACACTCAACTCCTTCAGTCTCCACGCGGCAAGCCGCGGGAATAAGCCTCTAGTTCCTCACTTCGCCACTCTTGCAATGCAACCCAAACATGGCCGTTGCCCGGCCTGGTCACATTTTCGTGCTCGGATGTCTCAGATGGTGGAAGAGAGTCCAAGTAAAGGAAGACTGGCTACCGCTCGTGCCGTTTTGTGTGTACCATCTGGTTTCTAAGGAGCCATGAAGCGTACCTCGAGGTATTGCCTCGCCCTTGTTATTTGATGTAATTAATCCATCACATGGATTGGGAATCTGTCAGCTGCCACCAGCACCTCCATGGCATATAGAGTCCACTTCCAGGTCCTTTGTAGGAGTGTCACTTCACTTTTGCCTGCACAACACAGTGGTTTCCTCACAGAATCCATCAAAGTCGATCGGGTTGACATCACTGCAGACAAAATGTGCCACGACTTTCGACAAGCCTGGATGGGAACCCTTGGGTCATTCAAGCTCAACCTTGGCACATCGGTTGACTATCGAAGTATGGATGTAGTTGCTGGACCCTGGACCCTTGGCAGGCCAGCCGCCGAGAGACCGCTCATGCTCTCGAATGAGTCGGTCGGTTCACGTTCTAAGCACGTGCTTCAACTCTCCTCACAATCACATGCTATTTATCTCGAAAAAGCCTTCATGGTTCTTGCCACCAGCGCCTGCCATGCACCCTGAGCTCTGACCTGAACACGCTAGGAGTAGACTTGTCCCCGTCGTACTACTTCGTACACGACACCGAATCTCCATTTCAGGTGTAGCAGTTTGATCGCTGCTCCCTGCTCTGATGTATTGTTGAATACCTTTTATGGTAAATACCCCATTGGTAACTTATGACACTTCTGAGGTTTACATGGTATAAGAATTATCTAATATCGATCTGCACATTACTTTTCGTAAGCGAGGCGATTCTTTTCTGTTAGAATGATAAAAGCTATTATTCCTGTACGGAGTACCGGTACCGTGGAAAACATGGCCTTATCGATTACTGTGCCATGCAGCCAGCGAGGCGGGCCGACGCTGCAACCTGGAAACTACTGGCCAGCTTCATCCAGTAAAATTGCTAAGTTAGGGCCAGCCGTGTCTGCGAATAGCCGAGCCTGGGAACATCACCAACAAGGTACTGTACGCATGCCTCCATGAGACAGATCAGACACTGCAGCTTGCTGACGCAGGCAATGCAGCGGCCGTTGGGGGCCGAACGTTTGGCAGGCGACGAGGCCATGGGCCCTTGACGGCGATCGCCGCATTGACAGCTTCGACTTGGATTCGGCACTTGGGATAATTATTGCGACTGCAAAAGCACGCCAAATTGCTTTTTCTGCCAAGGGCAAAAGCAAGGCTTCTCAGACTGGCTTGCTGTTCATCTCGTTGCCGTCGACGCTCATGACCGAGCTCGCCCAAGCCATCTCGAGCCGTCAAGGGCCTGCCTTTTCAGGTCGAGCGAGGCAGCGTGCGCCCTCGGTAGCGGACCAACTATGCTGTGCAACTGACCACGACTCTTGTTTTCGACGAGACGCTTGTTGCCTCTTTTCTCGCGACGGGCTCGCCTCCCTGCGCGTGCGTGCCCGACTGGGCTTGATGATGGGACCCGGGGCGCCACGACGAGGACGACATGAATCCCAGGCACGGTCGTAAGCCCGAGGCGCACATGGCTGTGTTTCACCTTTCTTGTCTATCCCGTCAGGTACCGCCAGAAGAAAGCGTCAGCTAGAACATTTGGGGCTATGGATCTGCATCAGACACCCCCCCCCCCTTCCTCTCCCTCTCCCTCCCGAGGGAGCGCGGCTAAGAGGCCACATCAGCCATACAGTACCTAGTGCAAGGCACTCGTTGTGCATCCCCCGTCGACACCCATGGCCCAGGTCGGTCAACATGGGGCTCACCATCGATTCATCCCGCACGGCGCAGCACTTCCACTGTACATACATACAGTACATGCCGGGAACATCGTACCGGCTGGTTGGTTCGCAGCGCGAGATGGCATGGCTGCAGGCATATGGACGTACAACCCTTGTCCAGCTCGTCTGTTCTTGGGCCATGAGTGGCTCGCGGCAGCGGAAGTCATCCGGTTCTGCGGAGCAGCGTACAGTTATCTTCATAGTCGAACATGCACCTCACACACGCCCCCTAGACATACAGTACGGAATCTTGGGCCCGCTGATGCAGCTGTTGGCCCTGCTCTCTCTCACTTCTCTCCTCTCTCTTCCCCTGGGATGGACCCTTTTTTACCAGGGGGGGGGGATGAAGCTAACAGTGCTGTCCCAATGCACAACGCTTGCTCGCTCGTACGCGGTGCACACAGCCCAAGTTGAACCCCCTCTTCACCATCCGAGTCGTGGTCGGCACGGGATTGACATGAGTCAGGGAAGCTCGCCATTGCCCTCGCCAACAGGTCCCTTGCGGCGGATTCGCACGCGGGGCGCCCAACTAACGGCACACGATGATGGCGCACCCGGCTGCTGCCTGAGGGGATGGGACACACTGCACGTACCGTACAGTATGTACGGATACATGTGCATTGATGGCTGGCTGGCAGGCAGCATACATACATGCTTCGTACATACTATACAGCGTTGGCAAGCCCGGTTTTGTCGATTGCTCGTGGTCCAGGGCCCACCACGAGGCGAGCCTGTCTCAGCCCTGGATGAAACACAGCCAACGACGACTACCAGGAACATGCCAGCGCTTCCCTTGCTCCTCGTCTTCATGTAACTTACATATTCCCGCGCGTGCCCTGCATCAAGGCGTCTCCGTCCGTCTCTTCCCTTTTGGTGGCTGCCCGTTGGTTCTGTTCTGTTTGTTCTCATGGTTGCTCCCCTACCTGGCTGTGCAACAACCCAGCGGCCCGTCGTTCGTTGTTGTCGTCGTCGTCGTACGATTTGCATGTCTACTCTCCCGGCCCTGTTTACACTTTCTCGACGGAGCACCACATCATCATCGCCATGACGGTGCCCCTCTCCCTGAGACAAGGCGGCGGCGGCGACGACATGATGGTCCTTGCAAGAATGGCCACGACGGCTCCGAGAATAAGAGGCCGAGATGTCTACGACTGCTCGGCCGCCCGCAGCAGTCCTTCCAAGCAGCCCGTTGCAGCGTGGCGTCGGCCTGCCATGCCCTCCCTCATCGAGCGGCTGCCCAACGAGCTCCAGCGCATCGTCTTCTCCCAGCTCGACTACCAATCCCTCATCCACCTCTCCACCATGAATCGATACTTTCACCGGGCCATTGACCCGCAGACCATGGCCGACGGGATCGACAAGGTCCAGTTCGTCATGCGAGCGGCGAAGGACTTCCCCCAGCACCGTCCCAGCGAAAAAGGCCACGACTACCGGCCGGGCAACTTTGAGTGCTACGTCTGCTTCCGGGTCCGCTCGCCCGACCACTTCGACATGTTGCAGCCCCAGTCCGCCTACGTTGACGCCCACGGCTGCCTCGTCCGGAACCGCGAGCCCGACATGCGCACAGATAGACAGGTCATGCTGCGGCGCTTCTGCGTCGACTGTGGCGTCGCCGAGGGTCTCCACGCGCCCTTCGACTGCCTGACAACGAGGACCGGCAAAGACCTCTGGGTGTGCAGCTGTCGGCAGGTCTGGTCCAAGCCCGCTTGTCTGCGGTGCCCTGACTGTCGCGGGGACTGCCCTTTGCGGCCGAGGAGAAAGCTGTTGATGTGATGAGGTCCGAGTGTTGGGCTTATATACGTATGCGAACGCCGCTTCCATGGACGAGTCAAACGCGGGCCAGCAAATGACATTGATTGACCTGGGGCGTCGAAAACTCGACCCGGCTGCCTTGCCACCTACATCGACGTTGAGACCTGCACACCACATACAAATACATACATGCTCGCAAGTAATGTATAATGGAGGATCCCATGGAGACTGCCGTAGGGGGAAAGAGAGGAGCGGACAAAGCCGGACATGTACAGGACCAGATGGGAGCCGACGGTGTTACAAAGGTGAGGAGGAGCAGTTCGAAGCGTCCATCATGACGTGACGGCCACGCTCGAAGGGGTGGCGAAAGGGGGGCGAGGGCGAAGAGGAGGACGGCAAAGGACCAGAGAGCTCTCGGTGAGCTGCACACGATGATCGTCAACTGGAGAATTCGGCTTTGCGGTTTTTTTTGGGGGCCTGGAGTCTTGTTGACCCCGAGCCGAGGGACGTGTTTTGAACCCGGTTTGGTGTCGTGAAGGGCTGGCGGGGCCGCGTACGACGGTTTACAATAATAAGCTACAGAAGAACAATGGGAATCAGTGGCGCTCGCCAACCTTGCAACCCCCCTGTCTCTCCGAGGGCTTGGCTCTCTGTTTGGCCGTGACAACGTGAAGCCTCTTATCCTGCTTCTTCCGAGAATTGGTCAGGTGTCGTCGCGTGGCTGTCTGCCAGGTTCCACTTGAAGGAAGCCATGGTGATCATCTGGCTTACAGGGACTCCGTTTGCACTGCTTGCTCGGGAGACGGCACCAGTCAAGACAACACGGCTTCATCTTTTTTGTTCGTCCTTTTCACGGCATTCAAGTGACAATACAAAAGGCGTCTCGCGGAGGGGGGCAACGGTCTGGGCGCTGCTCCTTCCATCCAGTCGAGATCTCTCCCGATACTGCCGCCCTCGCTCTGTCCACCTCTTGCAGGAAATAGAGAGAGTGTCCTCGGGGAACCACAGCGTAAAGCCCGGATGAAGGGGGTGGTGGTGGGGGGGGCTTTCAAGGTTCTCGTGAGCTTCCTTGCCGCCAAACCTCGATCCCATCCTTTGATACCGACGACCAAACGGCGAATCTGAAACCTTCATCCCGTCTCTCTCGTCGATTTTAATTCAAGCCCAACGTCTCCGACGATGGCGGAGAGGGTTCGTCGCGAGTTTCATCGCGCCCGCCGCACGGCTATTTAGGCGCCTCGCCCGTCCCTGTCCACGGCTCTTCCGCCTTCCCCCGTCCTTCTTCACACCCACTCCTCACCGTCTCTCCTCGCTGCCAGGCAGTCCTCGAAACCGGCCCTTTTCATGTTGCCCTCTCCGACGGTGGAGGCGTTGCTCCATCCCTTTTCTTTCCCCCAGGGCCAGGTCTTTCAAGGTGGACGAGAGCCTCTCATGTCCTCTTCGACATCAGCCCTGGCGGCGGCACTAGGCGAGCGCAAGGTATGAAGGATACGAGCTGCCTCTCTCCCTTTGCGCAGAGACATTGCAGCCCGGCTGATGCTTTTCTTCATGGTTTCGGATGGTTCGAGCAGCTGATCTCGTCCCAGCAGAAGCATTCCCTCATGTTCGCCCGGACGGCCCAGAACTCTGCACAAGGTAGTAAATCAATTACACCATGCCGGTCGTGACGACTTTATCAATTCGACCTCGTCCGCTGACCACCAAAAAAGACTTGCTCCGTGGCCTTCTCCGAGAACTCGGCTCTGATGGGCTTGTCAATGTCGTACAGGACGGCGACGCCACAAGCAAGTCCGTTATAGCGTCTTCTCTCTCAACGCCCTTCCATGACACAATGTAAGGACACCAGAACAAAGAAGCGATAGGATCGATGCAAATGCGGGTGCTGTAAAGGGCTGACGATCCCCCAAGCCTAGATGGCGGCCCGTCAGGGGAAACCGCGAGTGCCCTCGTCTCCTCGTCTGTCGAGTCCTGCAACCTCGCTACCACGGTCGAGATAAGCCTCCCGTCGAGACCCGCCTCCGACGAGCCGTTTGCGCAACCGCCCGTGGTCAAGACCTCCGCGGGTCCCCATTTCCGCAATGACTTCTTCGCCGTTGCTCGCTCCGATACGGCCGGCTGGGGCGCATTCGCGGCCAGAACCCTTGGACGCGGCGACGTGATACTGAGGGAAAGGCCTTTGATGGTGGCGGATCGGTCAAGCCTATTCAGTGAATTCGACAAGCTGGGTCCAACAGCCAGGCAACTTGCCCTGAGCCTCCATGCCAACGAGCACTCCAAGCCGGGCACGCCTCTGATCCAAGCCGTCTGGGCCACCAACTGGTATGTCGAGTCCCAAGGCGTCGTCGCTCTCACCCGAGGCCTGTGAGAAAAGGGGGCTAACATTCGCCAAAGTTTCACCGTCGGAGGGCGGCAGGCTGGCCTCTTCCCCGTCGCAGCACGCTTCAACCACGCGTGCTGCCCGGCGCACAACGTCGACTTTCGGTTTGATCACGAATCCGACTGTCTTGAGCTGATCGTGAAGGCCGATCAAGTCGCCGCGGGGGAGGAGCTGCGGATAAGCTATGGGAGAGACCGCACCGCTGCCGAGCTCTATATGACGTACGGGTTTCGATGCCGATGTGGAGCGTGTAGGGGTCTCAGCGATAGGGAGGTTTGGAGGCTGACCTCCCAATGGTAGGGCGTTGGTGATAGCACCTTGGACACTGCGTATGGTCTGGATACCAATGATTGGATCAGAGGGCCAAGCGCTGCTTGGTCAACGGTAGCGTCCACAGTCCGCATGGAAGCGCAAGCGTGTGCTGGGCCTTGGCCACTCTGGACGCGTTCTTGCAAACTCCAACACAGGATGATACCGAACGAAGGCAAAGAAAATAAAGCGAAGGGAAAAGAAATACAAAACAGGGCTCGGAAGTCAAGTCGTTACTCTCGTCCAATCTCGCGTACTGTCAACCCCAGTCTCATTCTTGCGTATCGGCTGCGTCGAGGCTTCCCGGCCCCTAGAGATAATTCAGCATCCTAATAACTGCATCCTCTTCATCCTCGTCCTGCTCTTCCTTCGAGCCGTGCGGCTCAAAGGTCCAATAGCCGTCCTTGTCCTTGGTTAGAGCCACCCTCGACTTGCCTAAATCATCCAAGCCCTTGGGCACGTCCATCTTCTCTGAGCCCAAGGCGAGGATTCGAAGGTCGATACGACTGAAAAGCATGGGCAAGGAGTCTCCCTTCCAAGCCGACACGTCGTCTCGAGCCCCGGCCTTGATGGTGCTGACAAGATAGAATAGGCTGATGACGAGGAACAGCGCCGGGTACATCATCCAATACCATTGCACGTGGACGTAATTGGCCATTTTGGAGGCATTGCCCTCATAATTCGTCCTGTATGGATCGCGAATCGTCCCATGCTCGCGTATCTCGTTGGTCAAACTCAGGCTGAACTTGTCAATCCAAGTGCCCAGGTCAACCGTTGCTTGCCACATGGCCTCGACCCAGTCGGAGGAGAAATTGATAACGTCCGAGGCATGCTCGAACTTGCCGTTGGTCAGAGAATCGATGAAGCTTCGCAAAGCTTTTAGAGAACGGTCCGAGACGCTGAATCGAGACATTTGCTGCGTATTCATGCCTTCGGGAATGCTCACAAACACATGCTCGTCGGAGTGGGCGCTTGTTGCTGCTTCAAAGCGGCTCTCGTCCCATGTGGCCACGACCATCTGCCGCGCCCTGCCATCAGCCACCGACACATTGTATGCCTTGAGACAGAACCATAGCGCGCACTCGGCTCCGGTCGTGCGTGTTGCTGCTGCCCGCTGTGATATCGTCATGATCTCGAACATGGAGACAAAGGCTTTCTTCTGGTCGGTGGCGTTGCTCAGACTTCCATTCACAGGATTTACCTGGAACAGGTCCACCTCGGCGCCCTCCAAGAGCGTGGCATTCGTGTTGGCTGAGATGCCGAAAGAGCAGGACCGCGTCTCTTCTGTGCAATGAACCTTGACCTGGGCGGGAGCGCACCGACCGCAGACTGCAAGGGTCGGGAAGACGGGCCAGGTGCAATTGGCCGTGTAGCATCGAGGTTCGAGATCGCGAACTTGGGCGGCCAGGATGCCGCTGTAGACGGCCGACTTGGTCGACAGCGCAAGTGAGGAGCCTGGGCGCCCTGAATCAGCATTCGCCCCTTGCACGCCTGGCGGGGGGTGGTGGTGGTGGTGGTGGCTGTACCATCCTGAATTCCCCTTCGGACAACACTGTCCTAGTAGTCGCTTCGGAATGGGGCAGGGGCAGGGCGAAAAGTATCGTTGGTGTACTTGGTCGGATTCTGGACGTAGACGAACATTTGCTGGGAAAACGTCTCGAAGCCATGCGTTACTACAATGATCAGGGCCCCGAGACAGGACAAATGTCTGCGAGGCTGACGGTCAGCTGCCAGGGAAACAGGAGCATCACAGAACATGGAGCACCGGGAAACGAGGGAACCAACAGTCCCTTGAGGCGCCAGAGCAAGGCCAGACTGCCCAGGAATCCTCGCGATGCCTCGTCAAACAACTTGAAGTCCTCGAGCCGTGCTCGGTTGTGCGTCCGAGCCTGATGCGATTTGGAAACCCAGATCCAGGCTCCCTGGCAGATGCAGGACTCGACGATGCTTCCAAGAGTAACGCGAACCAGCGTCATGATGGCGATGACAATCATGTCGAGCTCGATGCCGGGCTCGAAGTGAGGAGCAAGTTTGCCGTCGAAATGCCACAGCACCAAAGCAAGGGTGACGATTCCGCCGATGCAGAGGGCGGCACATCTGTACTCGTCGGCCCACCACCTGAACGAGGACTTGTGGTGCCGCTTCTGGTGAGTCCGGGGCACATTGTGTCCGAGGTTGGTTTCTCCCTCTACATCGTTTTCGTCTGCCGCGCCGTCATGAACAGAAGGAAGCCCGCGATCTCCGACGTCCAAAACGCCGTTTCCGTCTTTGTTGCTGTTTATGTTGCTGTTACTGTTGCTGGTGTTTAGTCTCCGGAGACGCAGATAGGGTGAGCCGTTCACTGTGGCCATGCTGGCTGCTGTCGGTGCTTGGGTCTTCTCCGATGGTCCAGTGTCGCCGCTCTTGGCGGTGCAAGGCTGAGGATGACAATTTGAAGATAAGACATGCTCTCGATACCCTTTCGTCCCCGACTTTGTTGCAGGCATCCCGCCTTCTCCTGCCTTTCCCGATAAAGCGAGCAGGTAAGGACAAAGTCCACAAGCTCATGCCTCTCCATGGATAGGTAGGTAAGTGGGTGGGTGGATATCTCCTGTCGATATCTCCTGTCTACACTTACTTCGAGGAAGATAGCCAGGTAGGCACCAACTACTGCCTGCTATCCGAGGCAGGCGAAGCAGAGAAGAATGAAGGTGCTCCAGGGCTGACCAAGACGTGGCTCCCCGGGAATCCGGCTGCCCTGCCTCGCATTGGCTAGTTAGTGGCTGGTTGGCGTGAGCGAGAGACGCTCTATCGAGTAGACATCCGGCCGGTTATGGCTCTGAGGCGTAAGAGGACACTAGCACGACTCGGAACTGACAAGATGCAGAAGTGGCCCGGAGGGGGCTTGTCAGTCAGTTTGAACTCCTAGAATTAATGTCTTGCGGACGAAGTAGCTTGATAGATACCAGGGGTTGTGATAGATGCTGTGCCAGTCCAATACCAAAGCCCGGCGAATCGTCCGCGAGCCGGCAGACGAGAGAGTTTCCCTCGGCCGCTGCAGTCATTGCGCACACATTCGCTTGTAAGGCTCATGGCGGCCAGGCCCGTCTCCCGAGTCCCTCCACTCATGCTGTTTCTCCCCCGTCTTGTGTCGTAACACTCAGCACGCCGTTGACGAGTTAGAGGATCACTTGCTCTTGTGCACATGCCAATCCAAATGGACGGCGAGCCCGCTGGCTTGCACCAGCTGGCCCGTATCAGGTCAGAGCCAAGTACGACAGCCGCCCTCCACCGGCTTCCAAAAGCCAGTCCCAGATTCCACCACAATCAAGTTGCTCCAACTCCTATCGCTCTGGGCCCATGCCAAGTCAGCCCCAGTGGCGGTGGCATGCGTCGGCCATCGCAGTTTGATGCGCGATTTTCCGGGCCGGCGCCAGGCGGGATTGGGTGCCTAGACGTGTCTGCGAATATGACCAAAAAACGGGATTTCCTTTCAACCCCTTTATGGCGGGAAACTCAGCTGATGAGCCCTTTACGACGCGCGCCAGGCTAGCTCGAGCTGTCCATTTTAATCCCAGTACCGGATCTCTCCCTCCAGGCCCGCCGTGGCCACCTTGCTGGTTTCCTGCGGATGCCACCTCACGCACGTCACGGCCTGGCTCCCCGCCTTTAGTTTGTGATACATCTTGCACGTCTTCCAGTCCCAGAAGCACACGTAGCCCCCCGAGTCTCCAGAGGCCAAGAACTGGCCGTCTGGGCTGCAGTCGAGGTCAATGGCCAGGCCAGCATTGTTGTGTCCGCGATAGCTCTTCTTCCGGTTCTGTCGAAACTTGTCATTGGCGCCGTAAACCAGTATTTGGTTGTCCGAGCTCTGGTACGCCACGTATTTGCCGCTGGAGTGAAGCGTCGAATTCGTCATGGGGTACATGTCGGGCTCGGCAATGTATTTGATTGGGACGGGGATGTTGTAGTCCCACGCGCGAAGCGACTTGTCGTCAGACGTGGTCATGAAGCGGCGGTTTTGATCCACAAAGGTAATAGTGTTGATGGCGGCGAGGTGATGGTCGTATTCTTGCACCATCTCGTTTGGCGTCCGCGTGTCGAATTGAACAATCTTCTTGTCTGACATGCCGGCCAGAAACTCATTGGCATGTTCGGGGTCGGGGTTGAACTTGATGACATGAGGCGTTTTCCCAGTCGTGAATTTGCTTATGCAAGTACCGGTTTCCGTGTCCCACAGCTTAATCATCCTGTCATAGGACGAAGACAGGAACTGTGTGCCCGAGAAGTTGAAGCATATGTCCGAAATTGCTTTGGAGTGCCCAGAGTACGTGCGCAGAAGCTGCCTTTCGTGATAAACGTCGCGGATCTTGACAGTGGAGTCGGCGCTGGATGAAAGAAGTAAGTGGCCGGAGCTGGGGAAGAAGCGCAGCGCCGTGACCGCCATGGAATGGTCTTTCCAGGCGTGGATCTGCTTCTTCGGGATGTAATTCGTGGTACTCCCCACGTCCTTGCGCAAGTCGATGTCGAGGTCTTGCGGAACGTGCATGTACGTTCTGCCCTGGTAGTCGTGCTCTTCCACACCATGTAGCGTCGTCGTCTCGTCCCCCAGCTCCTCGACCTCTTTCCGCCGCGCAATCGCTGCAGCCGGAGCCCGCACGACGGTACCGCTCTCCACGACGTCCTCGTCCTCGTCAATAACTTCAAACTCTTCGTCGCTTTGCAGAACCTCGCCCTTTCCAACCACCTCGTACTCGTCTCTTGAGTACTTGGCCCAAGGTCCGACGTAGGATCCGGGGCCTTCAGTGATGGTAGCATCGCCCTTGTTTTGCCTGCCAGCACGTATCCGTGCTGCTTCGTCTTTCAGTACCGCGCCGCTCTGGTACTCTCTCTCCGGCCCCCCCTTCCTCTCCACCGCCCTATGCTTGCTCCGAAATGTATGCTCGCTCAAAAATGTCTCCTCGGCATGGCCTGTCAAGACATTCTTTCGTTTCTGGGCACTCGGGTCGTCCTTGAACGGGTTTGCGGGGCCGAGGACGGGCTTTGCTAAGTTCTCCGCGGAGTAGGGCACAACCGCATGATCTGCTTCAGCTTGTTGACGAACAATGAGTGCGTCCTGCGGCGGCAGATTTGGCGGATACTCTCCAAAGTCTGCCATTCCGAATTGCTTTGGGGATGGTAGAGATCCCGCTTAGATCAGAAAAGGCAGAAAGACGGCATCGACTTTGGGTTTATTCGCTTTCGAAAGCAAAGTGCTCTGATACTGGGTTCGGAGGGATTCTGTTCGTGAGAGTCTGCGCTGGGGGAGCCAAAACAGGCGTAGGTGACGGGGGACGAAATCTACTGGGCGCTGGTCGCGCGATGCATTTTTGGGTTCCGCGATGGGAGAGCCAAGGGTACATATCGTCACGTGATTGGCTGGCCACATGGATGTCGTGATGTCCTCTGATTTGTATCACCAACCGTTTCACTGCAGCGCAACGGCATTTGAAAGAGACTCCACAAGGCATCATTCAGGATTTATCATTATTCTGTCATGTCGAGGGGGGAAACCACAGCGAGTATGGCACCACGAAGCCGTGAGATAGTTCCCTCAAGAGTGAAGTTGCTCTACGTGTAACCTCCAAAAACGCCACAGGGACTGTGCCCAAGACTCTCCAATGTTGTGCGATTTTCCAGCCGTCAACTCGTCATGTACTGAGCCAAAGGTCTCATCCGGGGACCGTCCTCCATCCGTTTCAAGCCAACGTGAGCATCTTGTCTCGACGGCTCTGGCGTCAAAGCGAACACCATGAGGTCAAGCTTGTCAAAACGTGTTGTGATTCACGCGTAAACAGCTTGCCGGCCGATAAATATCTTTAGGAGGACTCGTCTCGGATGAGTGCCACAATCATGCTGTAGAGATAGAAGAAGAACATGATTAGGTGGAAGGCGAGTTTGGCAAAGGACTCCTGTTGGCTATTATTAGTCGCAGAACAATCTTCGGGAGGCTCCAGGCACATACCTTCTTATGGACGTTCAATTTTCGGAATATTTCGGTGGCATCCAGCAAATGGGTATTGTCCACGATCCTGCCAACCGATTAGCCATGCTCCGGGACTCGGGACGTGTGCCACAAGGGTGGAAGCCTCACTTCTTGGCATTCCAGGCGAGAAGGGGTAGATTGAGGACGAGGGCCAGCCAGTAGCCGTTTATCAGGAACAAGAAGGTTAGGAAGCCATGTACAGCCGCCTCGGGAACGATATAAGCGTTTAGGCGATTGCAGAGCTCAATAGGGTTGATGTAGTCACTGCAGCAATACCAGTTAGCCAGGGACTCCATGGGAACCTCGAGGATACGCCGGCTGGCCGACAGAGTCAGCGAGCAACAGGTATGTCGTCTTACCATTCCAAGTCGCTGTACATGATGGTGAAGAAAACCTGGAGGAAGAGGTTGACGGCGTTGATCAACACCGCCAACAGGTAGAGCCACGCTTCTCCAGACATCATGATAGTCGGTTGTTGTCGCAAGCGGACGAGAGTCGGTCAAATGTTTGTGAGGCTGTAAGGGAGGAGGTGGCGACCAAGATAGCTGTCGTCCAGCTCGTTCGGCTATTGCACGAAGCTCCGGATGCGGCGCAAAATAAGATGAGTGGGTCGGTCGAGCCGGGCAGACCCGAGAAGCGCGTCAGATGCTTGGTATAGGCGAGAGGGGTCGATAACCGTAAGGTCAGGACGCGAGAGCGGCTCAGAGGCTGGCGACCTGAGAGGTGGTGAGAGGCAGGACAATGTTTGTGTGGGGGATGGGGGTTGGTCACCTCTGCTAGGTCGTCTGCTATCAGGTACGAAGTACGATAATGGAGGGAGCTCGTGGTGGGCGGGACGGCCTCAGGTGGAAATTTTCTGGCAGCCGCGGGTGGCCCGTGCTCGGGCGTAGCTTTTGCTGCACAGTACCTCAGTAAGCTTGGTATCTCACCTCGCCTCACCTGGAGGGAGGTACCTGAGCTACCTCCAGGGCCTGCCAAACAGCCGCCATTTCGTGCAGTAAACAAGCGCCTCAATGTACCAGGACCTCGGGTCAGGTAAAACACCTCCCTGCACACAATCGCGCCCTTTGTGCTACGCCTCTGGCTTCGGGTGTTGGGCTCCAAGTACCCGAGTTAGACGGTACCGCAGCTCGGCGGGCTAACATTCTGTCGCAGACCATCTCAGGGCACCAGTGACGCGAGATACCAAGCGGCAATCTCGGAATCACCCACGTTGATGTGGAGGGGGCCACCGTGGAGAAGTCAAGTCATTGGGTTGACCAAATAGACTACATCTGCCTGCATCACGGCGTCTGCTCTCTAGCCTCGTCTACAAAGTGCGCAACACGCCCGGCTCTCCAGGTAGTTTAGCAGGAATTATGCTAAGCATCGCTTTCCAGATGACGGCGGCTCACCGCGCCAAAGGTCTTTCGAACAGCCGCAGAATGGGTGCGTACAATCATTCAAAGCGAAGCCACCCCCTGGCGCGGCGCTGGCTCTACCTCTTCTGAACACGTGTATTGCTTGTACCGGGATTCTTTCTCAGCTTTCGTCCAAGTCGGCCATCCATCACTGTCCTACTCCAGACGTCGCGGCCGTCTCGCCAACCGGCATTGTTGCAGGACCACCAGGTGAGTCCTCCTTCCTCGCCGTCAGAATCTCCACTCCATCTTCCGTGACGAGAAGGGTATGCTCTGTCTAGCCTGTCAGAATGCGATTCCCCGCGGGGGTAGTGATATGTTTTCGTGGCGTCCGTCTCACCAAATTGGGCCGTTCGCTTCCCGTCTATCGTGGTACTAGTCCAGTTGTCCGGCCAAGTAATGTCTCGGTACTTGCCCAAAGCAATCATGGGCTCGATGGTAAACGTCATGCCGGGCTTGCACTCGCCGACAGCCTTGTTCTTGGAGTAGTGCGGCACGTTCGGGGCGCAGTGGAAGAGTGAGTTGATTCCATGCCCGCAATATGTTCGGATGACGCTGCAATTCTTCTTTTTGGCGTGCTTCTCAATAATGTTGCCAAATTCGCGGATCAGTATGCCCGGTTTGACGGCTTCGATGGCCTCTGCGAGGCACTCCCGTGCTGCCTCTACAACGCGCACGTTCTCCGGGTCGGCCAAGGCCTTGTCGCCAATGTAGTACGTTTCGTTAAGGTCGGCGTGATAGCCCTCGTGGTAGAGAGAAATGTCAATGTTGAGTATGTCGCCGTCAAGTAGGACGCGCTGGTCAGGAATCCCGTGGCAGATGACCTCGTTGACTGAGGTGCAGCAAGACTTGGGGAAGTGATTGTAGTTGAGAGGCGACGGATAGGACTGGGACGGGGGCGTTAGAATCTCAGCTATCGCTCCGGCGCGTCCCGGGCCTTGCTCTCGTATTTCTCTCCTCGTGTTGTGCGTCCGCACGTTGGAATCGACCACCTTCTCTCTCCTGTGTACTCCCGGTCACCCTCAACAAGAGCGCTCCCCGCCGACGGTCACTCACATTTCTCTCTATGCACGCCTTGTGGACGACGTCGTCGATGTAGTCGGTCGTGACACCGGGTTTTGCGGCGGCGGCGGCAATATCGAGCACCTCGCGGGCCAGCCGGCAGCTCTTGCGCATGGCGTCCTGGCCCTTGGCGTCAAGAATATCGATCTTGTTCCGGTTGACCAGAGAGCGGCTGTACTTTGGGTTTCCATCCTGCCACCAGACGGGATGGGGAATCGACTTGGGCAGGGTTCGATGCTCCGACAGAGGATAGACGGGGCGCAGTGGGCCGGAGAAGGGGAAGCTCGGAAACGGATTATAGAAGCCGGTAGCTGGATCTGGTGAGATTGCTTTCGGCGGGATGAGATGGTGGAGGATATTACTTTGCTTCTTGTGGGCGCTCTTGTGGTTGCTCTTGTGGGGGGGGAAATGGTCAGACGAGAAAACGGTTGCAGCTACGGGGGTGAGCTTATCATGAGAACATACCCAGTTCTTCTTGAAGCAGTCTTGGGAGCAGAAATAGCTGTCCTTGATGCCGAGCTTCAAGCATGTCGGGCACTGCAACGACCCAGCCTCGTTGTCGCAGTCTACTCCCAGGCACTTCTTCTTGGCCGGCGGCTCAGACGTCATGATAGCTGCTGGCGAGTGAGAGGAAGGGGGAATCGGTTCGAAACGGCGCGGCACGACGCGAATCGACAAAGGCGAGGAGGCAGACGGGCACCGACGAGGAGCTCGTAGAACGAAGTTGACGATGTGAAAAAGGGCCTAGGCGCGAAAATAACTCTACCCTGGAAAGTACGGAACATCCCGTTCCTGAGTACCAGGTACCTAGGTCGGTGCGAAGTAATTACAGTAGACGGCATTTTGGGCATGTGCATTTTTATGTAAGGAGGATTCGTGGCTCATCCCTTACATAAGGCGTCTGACGCACCATTCTGCATCCCTAGCAACTTTCTAAAAGACTTATTAAAAGTAATGACACCATTCCTGGCAACCTGAGAGCCTTGATATGCCGCACTTGATTTGTCTTGCTTCGGGATGGAACATTCGGGATCCGAACCATGGTCCAAATCACAGATACTGTACGAAAGCACGTATCCTCTACATCTACATGGAGGCGGTAGGATATCCGTGGCGGGTTCCACTTTTCCGGCGACGCGAGAGAATCAGCTCCCAAACGGACTCAGGATCCCTTGCGTCTTGCCATGGCCCAAGACGCCGTAGGGGCACGAGAGAGATGGACGAATAGTACATAAACCCCCGCGTTCTCCACTCTTGCTGAGGTCTCTCCCGCAACTCGCCAGTACGTACGGCCCTCTGCCATGGAAGCGCCCCAAAAGACGGTCATTGTCGGCGCCGGGCCGGTCGGCTCCCTGGCGGCCCTGTACGCAGCCCAGAGAGGCCACCAGGTCGAGGTGTACGAGCTGCGTCCAGGTATGCTTGCGGAGTGGCAATGTGTCCCTTGATCCAGCCGCCTCCTCGCCGCCATGGCCATTCTTCAACGCCAAGACGCAAGCCGCTTGTGTTCACGAGACTCTTCCTAATCGACTTCAGATCTGCGAAACCCAGGCATCGTGCCTCTCAACTTCACAAAGTCCATCAACTTGGCCGTGTCCGAGCGTGGGATACACGCCCTGCGACTGGCTGGCCACCCGACCCTCTTGAAATCCATCATGGACGCCACGATTCCCATGCGCGGCCGCATGATACACGGCAGGAGCCCCACGCGGGCTTTGTACGAGCATTCCCAAGACTACGACGCCAAAGGCCGGGTGAGAGTCATCTTTGTTACACGGTAGGCATTTGCTGAATTCGGCACCAGGCAATCTACGCAATTGACCGTTCGGGTCTCAACTCGCGCCTCCTCGATGTCCTCGACTCGATGCCCAACGTCAAGCTCTTCTTCAATCACAAGCTGACCGGAGCCGACTTCAATGCTTGCCGTGCCTGGTTTGAGGCACGAGACCAGGTCGCCTCGCCCAATGACCGTTTCAGAGAGATTGAAATTGGCTTCGACCTCATGATCGGGGCCGACGGGGCGCATTCAGCCGTGCGCTACCACATCATGAAGTTTTCCCGTATGGACTATCAACAAGAGTACATCGACACCCTCTGGTGCGAGTTCCAACTGGGCCCCCGAGAGACTGCCTCCCAGGACGACCCGTGGGCCAAATTCCAGATATCGCCAAATCACTTGCATATTTGGCCAGGCAAGGACTTTATGTTCATTGCCATACCAAGCGAGGTATTCCCCTTCTGCAGAACCAGATCTCGAATGCCTTGAGGCTGCTGACCCCGGCTCACCCTAGGACGGTTCTTTTACGTGCACCCTGTTCCTCCCAAGCAGGCAATTTGCCGAGCTGGAGAATGATCCGTGCACTCTACCCGCCTTCTTTAACCAACACTTCCCCGGCGTCACCGACTTGATACCCAGCGAAAGCCTCATCTCGTCTTTCCAGGAAAACCCCCATCTCCCGCTAATCAGCCTCAGGTGCCGCCCATACCACCATGGCTCATCCGGCATCATCATCGGCGACGCTGCCCACGCCATGGTTCCTTTCTACGGGCAAGGCATGAACGCCGGAATGGAGGATGTGCGCATTCTCTTTTCCGTGCTCGACAAGCATGTCGATGTGTCCGAGAATCATCTCAATGACAAGGGCAACGCCGCGGTCATGCTCCCTATTAGCAGGGCCAAGGCGTTGGCCGAGTACTCGGCGGTGCGAGAACCCGACGCCCATGCCATCAACGAGTTGGCGCTGCAAAACTACGTCGAGATGAGATCATCCGTCCTCTCCAAGCGGTACCGGCTTCGCAAGTTCCTCGAAGAATATATGAGCACCAATCTTCCCAGCCTCGGCTGGCATACCAAGTATTCACGGGTTAGCTTTAGCAACGAGCCCTACGCCGACATCGTCCGGCAGAGCGACCACCAGGGGAGGGTTCTATTGTGGAGTTTCGTGGGATTACTGGCCAGCCCTTTTGCCGTCACCGGACTGGCCCTCGCATGCAGACATCGCCGAACCCTCATGTCCGGCCTCTACAGCCTCCTGGGAATGAACGCAGCCCGTTCGGGCTAAGTGACGGACCTTTGGCTTCTTGGAGCAACCTGTACATTTATTTCCGGCCGCCACTGCTTCAACCATATACTCGCCGACATGGGCAACCGACCTCACAAGCTTGGGAACCCGCAAGTCGCGCTGCGGCGCGAAATTTGGAACCATGGCGCGCCTGCGGATAGAAGCATTGAGTCGGGTCGGACTGTGCAAAGTAGTAGTATGAGACCAGGGAGCATTACCGCGAGTCTGCTGTGTAAAAGATTTGATGCGTTCTGGCTGTACCCGGGGAATGTCTTATGCCTCTTCGTTGAAGTTCTGAAAAACCGCTGTAGTGTTTGGCCCGGATGGGTGCAATGGACAGAAGGGAATGCTTAGTCAGCTCAGGTCACATCCTTCTGGTAGTCTAGGAATTATCATCAGCTCGCTCCGTAGTCTGCATCACGCCAAGTTCCTTTGCGCCTCCAACTCGCAGCACTGCCTGGTTAACTGGCGGGTCAATTTCGAGTGGTCTGCTGCTGAGTGAGCCCTCGGCTCGGGGGTTCGCGTCGTCTTTCAAACGCAAGAAAGTCCCCCATCGCCACTTCAAGAGATAAGCTGGCCGGCTATCGGTGGGCTCGCTGAAATATTTGTATGTGTCCCGTCGCCACTCAATCTGCGACGCACTGCCGTACTGACTGGCTCTCGTCCTTTGTAACAAGAGCTTCCCATCACGGCGTCGAGCGTAAGGATCCTCGGGCTTAGGCCGTCGTCGCACCTGGGCACGAACCCCGAACCCGAATTCACGTTTCTCCACCTCAAACTCCTCGGCCGCTCTCGCGTGCACACTTGCCCACCATGCCTTCGATTCTCAACGTTGCAAACATGTGCTCGCACCTGCAGAATGTCTCCAAGGCACGGCTGGGCATTACTTCGGTCAAGAACACAAAGTACAACCTACGGCTTGCTCTTGCTATGCACCGCTCCGGCTTCTTCTCCGCCGTCTACCGTGGAGGCAAGTCACCACCTACGATGGAACAGATGGTCTCCGAGCCCCCCGAGGTCCTCACTACTGCAAACGTCGCTCAGTCGAGGCTATGGCTTTGCATGAAGTATTGGGACGGTCGACCCGTCCTGTCCAAGGCCACGACGGTCAGCACCCCTAGCCGCATTATGACAGCTACCATCAAGGAGCTTGACAAGCTGGCACGGGGAAGACAAACCAAGGTCAGCGGCGGCGTCGTTCGGGGATTGAACATGGGCGAGTGCATGTTCTTGGGCACATCGAACGGGGTCCTCGAGGTGAGAGAGGCACTGGATCGAAAAGTTGGAGGGATCCTTATCTGTCGCGTGTTATGAGCCGGGGGCGACGGTTCTAGAGTGTATAGTAGGCTGTTTACACCAGTAGTGTTCCCTGGTTTTCATCTCGCCACGCAATCTTGGGCCTTGCAGGAAGACCCAGAAGCAGCATCTTTTGTGACGCAGTGCAGCGAGTAAGGAAGGGGGCACGTCACGGGGGCATTCCAGACCTTTTACTGCCCAAACAGCGAGCAACCCTCTGGATTGTACAATTTACTCTACACAGCGAGCGCGATCCACCGGCTACCTAATTGTCAATGCTGTCCGTGTCAGGTATCCTAGGTATCTTGGAGAACTAAATGCGCCTCAACAAGATTGCGCCAATGAAGAAAATCATAGGAGGGACCATCAGAGCCCGGAGAGTCTGAAGTCTCGTAACCAGAGCTGCGTAATAACTGGTCTTCGATCAACTCGCCCTTTCACGCGACCCGGTGAACTGAACTGTCTCCGCTCCACCGCGGCCATGGCAGGCTATTGAAGGTTCTGCTCGGATTCAACGTTCTTTGTTTCCTGCTCTATTGGCAGCGGTGGGTGAAGGCTTGAGCCTTGCGACTCACATTGACTCTCGGCGTCCCGGGGAGAGCCATGTACCACGTCGTCCTCAATCTTTTCGTCCTTCATCGTATCTGGAGCCGTGGACTTTGATGCATTGTCAAAGATTTCTGCGACAAGCTCCTTTGCCTCAACCTCCTCATCATTAACAATGTCTGCAGTGGGCTTTGACGGGTCTGAAGAGTCCGACAATATGGCTGGCCGCTCTCCAAGTATAGCACTCTCTCGAATGTCTGCTTGCGATTTTGCCTCCGTCACATGGGCACCGGTCAATCCAGGAGCAGGCTTGTCGACTGGAGAGGCACAAGGTAGTGGCTCCACGTTGGCCGGCTGCACAGGCTGTTGACCCAGATCGAATTCCTGTGCGACGTCAATGACCTCCTCGGCTGTCTCGACACATGCAGTTTCGGGAACCGTGGCCTTTTCCGCAATTGGGTCTAAGGGGCTTGTCGCGTTTAGCAGCTCGACCTGCGATTCTGTCGGGCCGGCTTCTGGGGGGCTTGCAGCCTCCTTTTCGCCTGATTCGACACGCAGGTTGTCTTCTGGTGAATCTGGCTTTTCGGAATCTCGCGCCCGAGGCGTCGGGATCTCGCTTGCGTCCTTGGAGACGCTAATTACTCGGTGTATGGGCTCCGGCTGGGATAGCTCATGCTCGACGTCCGCAGATGTCCTGCCAGATTCCGCCTGCTGCGAGCTATTTGATTCAGACTTTATGCTCGCTTGGTCCTTGGCAAGGACCGGTCTGCGTACATTGGCCGCTTGTCGTGGATGACGCTCAGCCGCTGCTGTTGACGGGCGAGGGGCTGTCTTCTTTGGAGGTGTTGAGGGAACTTTCTCCGCTGTCTTTGACGATGAAGCCTGGGTCGGCCTCATCATTCTCGCCAGAAAACCCTCGTCAACGTGGCTGCTACGCTTCGTAGCGTTCGTGTCCGGTTCGAAAGACCTGCTGGGCGGAAGGCCAACGCTAGGCTTTGGACGGCTTATCGCAGATTTGGGCCGATTTGCCGGTTGGGCCGAGGCGGATGCTCTTGACGGGTTCGCGCGAGTAGTCGCGTGTGCGGGCGCATCCAGACTCTGTAAGCTTTCAGACTGCCGCGAGTAAGACTGCCTCGCCACGTTGCCTTTGGAAACAGACGAGGCAGTTGGAGCCGTGAGAGTGGAGGGAATGTTGACAGGCTTGGTGGTGGATTTTGGCTTCGGCTTTGAAAGAGCAGTGTCCCCGTGGCCTATTCCTTTTGAGGGTTGGGGCTTTTGAGTCGTGATCGAAGGATTGGACCTGGGCTTGGGTCCTGTGGTCGTGATTCTCGTACTGGCAGTTGTGTCCCCCCGTCTGGTGCTCAACTTCTCAACTGTTTTCTTTACGGGCTTGTTGGCGTCACTTTTCGACGCCACAACGGAAGTTTTGGCCGTTTGTGATCCGTTCGCGACCGTCTTCTTCTGAGACCCGACAGGAGCCTGGCTGCTCGCACCGGGCTTTTTCGTCACTGCTCCGGATGTCTTTGATGGCGTGGCGGAGGTGTCAGCCTGAGACTCGTCTGGTTGACGTCCTTCGATTGACGATGAGGGTGTCATGGCTCCGCTCCTGGGGGGGCTCAAGGACGAACCAGCAACCATGTCGGCCGGCTTAGGATCGGTGGATGACTGCTCCTGATCTAGTTGCTTGTCGGGATCCGTGCTCGGCTTGTCACCAACAGCGCCGGCAGGTTTGGGGGGGAGCGGTGCGTCGGAGGACGGCCGTAGGTGTTCGCTGATGGGTTCGCTGACGAACAGCCTGCGCATGGGCTTGGAGACGTCGTCTGAAGATGTCGCGGCAGGTTTATCTGGGAATGTCGAAGTAGACTCTGCGTCGGTCTCGATGCTCAAACGACGTCTAGACAAACTGGACTCTCCACTGTGATCTCGCCGGAGGCCCATGCGGCCGTCTTTTTCGATGGCGACAAAGTTTGTGCGAACCTTGGAGAGCGGTCTAGGAGACCCGGTACCATTTGCGCCTGCGAGGAGAACTTTTGATCAGCCACGCAGCCAGTGGCGTTGCATCTTGGCCGGCCAGGATAGGTGTTGGACCTGCACCAACGATGATGTGATGCGCAGATACGAGGCAGGAGAAGGGGGGAGAGAGGCATCCCGCCGATGACAAGGCAGAGACGGAGTAAGGGATTCGAGGTGAAGAGAAGGTATGGGCAGACCTCCCGTACCTACCTACGGGGTTTGCGGATGAGGTTGAGACACCAGGCGATCTCCCTCTGTCAGGTGGACTCTTGTCCCCTTTATTTTCGAACATGGCCCTCAGGTTCCTAACCTGGCTCATGGTGCCGGGCGTCGCCACGACCAGAGACGTCGATAAGAGATTGTTGGCGGTGTACGCGATGCTCCGAGAAGATGCAGGCACGGATGACGCATGGATATCTGGATGCAGCGCAGGATGCAGGCCTGGGGGAGACAAAGGGAAAACGGCCACGAAAGGGAGACGTGGTCAACAGGGGCAATTTACAGCTGCGGTCAGGGTTACTGCCGGGGTCGGCAAGGCAGGTGTTACTCTTGGCTACCGACAAGGTACCTCTGTGCAGCCAACGGCCGAGAGGGATACCTTGCCAGAGTTAAGAAATACCCGCCCGAGACTAAGCCGCGATTGCTTCTCCATACCTATAGAGTACCGTTAGACTTAATATGACTCCAGCTCCAAAGTACTTATCCAAGGGGGAATTCCATATAAAGTATTATACTAGATACTAATATCCCAAGGGGGCTCTAGTAATTATTATTTTTATATAAGGAACAACCCTCTACAACCCTCTAGAATATCTTGCAGTCTGCTATTCTACCCGGCGGTCCATATTTTTCAACATACAACAATGACGAGGACGTGTGCCTCAGCTCATTTCTCCAAGTGTTGTACAAGTCAAGAAAATAAGCGCCAACTCTCCCTCTTTTCCCTTCTTTGCATTTGCGTTACCCATGTTGCTCCTCAAAGCACGCATATACCTCCGCGTGATGTCATGCCCCTTTCAGTCAGTTCCCCTCTAGATCGCTCTCTTTTCCACCTGCCAGTCCAGAAACCTACCCAGAAAATGTCCCGTGAAAATTGTTCTGACATCTGTTCTCCTTGGAATAGAAGAAGGCGACGGGACCGCCGAGTGTCGTAGGATGCTAAAGCGCAACCGTAAAAGATAGGTTGAATCTTCGTATAGTACAAGAAACTGTAGTACAAGAAACTGGGGTGCAAGCACGATGTGCAGAACAGCTTGCCTAGCACACACAAACCAAATCTGCTCGCAAGAAGTGCTCGGCCGAACTGCTCATTTGGTTCTCTTCGCCTCGAGTTCGGCCTGATATTTGGCAATCAATTCTTTCCTGTGGCGGAACTCTTGTCAGAAAAGCTGCTTTACGAGACGTTCGGACATTGGAACCCACTGGAGATGAGGGGGTGCGGCGGCGTAGTGGCTGAACTCCATGCTGAACTCCCCCTTCCCTTGGGTCGCCGCCCGTAGCTGTGAGCTGAACCCAAACATGGCATTGAGACTGCAGTCGCAAATTAGTGTAAAGTCCTCGCTTCCAATGTCGGTGTCGTGAATAGTAGCGTTTCTCTTGTTCATGAGCATCAGAATATTGCCCTGAAATTCGTTGGGAGCCGTAATGGTCGTCTTCATCAGCGGCTCTAAGACCTGACCACCAGCATCAGGGAAGGCTTTGCGAAACGCCATTTGTGTGGCGAGATTGAAAGCATAGTCCGAGGAGTCGGTAACATGAGTGGCTCCGTCATTGACAATCATCTTCGCTCCGATGACGCGGTGGCCAAGGAGGGGACCCTTTTCGCAGGAAAGGTCGAACCCTTTGGCACAGGCCGTCAGAAACTTGTCTGGAATGTGGCCGCCCACGACCTGGCTCTCGTAGTAGTTCTCATCCGGCTTGTCGTTGGGCTCAATCCAGCCAGCCACGCGTGCAAAATCGCCGGGGCCACCGCTCTGGCGTTTCAGCAGGTAGTCGAAATCGGCACGTCGGGAAATCGTCTCTCGGTAGGCCACACGGGGCTGGCCCGTGATACAGTCCGTCTTATACTCTCGACGCAGGCGCTCGACATAAACCTCGAGATGCAGCTCGCCCATGCCTGAGATGATCGTCTCTTCACTCTCGGCGTCCACGTGTACTCGAAATGTCGGGTCCTCGCGCTGGAATCGGTTCATCGCTTTGCTGAAACTGTCCGCTTCGGTAGTGCGCTTCGGCCTGATGGACAGCGACATGACAGCGTCCGGCACGTACATGGATGACATGATGTAGGGGAGCCCCCCATCCGTGAAGGTGTCTCCCGATGCGCAGTCAACGCCGAAGACGGCACAAATCTCGCCGGCGCCAACCTCAGACACATCCTCCATCTCGTTCGAGTGCATGCGAACTATGCGTGGGATTCTGACCTTCTTGTCTGTCCTCGAGTTGTACAGGTACGATCCCTTGGTGAGCATGCCCTGGTAGACGCGGATGTATGTAAGCTGTCCAAAGTTGTTCTCCTCCAGCTTGAAGGCCAGCCCGACAAAGGGCAGCGAGTTGTATGGTACAAGCTTGACCGCCCGTTCGCCTTGGGTCTTGTCCAGGGCAGTATTCTCCACCTCGGATGGATTCGGGAGATAGTCGCAAACAGCATCGAGCATAGGTTGGACTCCCTTATCGGCCAGAGCAGATCCCATTAGGACTGGGGAGAAGGCACGTGCGGTGGTTGCTCGTCGGATGGCGGCTTTGATCTGCGACTTTGATGGTTCTTTTTCATCGAGGTAAAGTTCGGCGATCTCGTCGTCGACGTCGGCCAGCTTCTCAATCAAGACTTGGCGCTTCTCGGCAGCCAGTTCTAGTAGAGCGCCAGGTATTTGGTCGGAGACCCGAACCTTGGTTCCGCGTGGTCCTTCGAAATACAAGGCTTTCATCTCAACCAGGTCGACGACGCCCTCGAATTCGTCCTCGGCCCCAATGGGGATCTGGATAGCTGCGGCGGGCATCTTGAGCTTCGAATTGATCTGTTCCACGGCTTTCCAGGGATTGGCGCCCATGCGATCCATTTTATTGATGAAGGAGAGCCTCGGGACATTGTATCGCTTCATCTGGCGGTCGACGGTGGTGGTCTGGGACTGCACGCCGCTGACAGCGCAAAGAATCATGACGGCACCGTCCAGGACTCGAAGGGCTCGCTCGACTTCGATGGTGAAGTCAATATGGCCAGGCGTGTCAATCAAGTTGAAATGGTATGTCTTCTCCTCGCCGTCCTCTGTCTTTTTCCAGTCGCAAAACGTGGCTGCAGACTGAATCGTGATTCCCTTTTCCCGTTCCAGCTCCATGGAATCCATCTTGGCGCCCACTGAATCTTTTCCCCTAACTTCGTGGATTGCCTTGATCCGGCCAGTGTAGAAGAGAACCCTTTCCGTTGCTGTCGTCTTCCCGCTGTCGATATGGGCCTGCACTCGCGACATGTCAGCCAGAGACAGCCCTCGAAGGCGCATCGGAAGTGGAGATCTGGTTTCGTACGGCAATGCCAATGTTGCGAACTCGCGACAGCCGTTGGGCTTCTTCGGGCGCCATGTTTGCGGCAACGTACTCGGGAGTCAGGCCCGCAGCGTCTTCTTGTGCTTTTTTGAGGCTAGAGCGACGACATCAACCAACCATTCATTCCCTGTGACTCGGAGCTATCAGAGGAGCTCTTACGCCGCCTGTGCAGCGCTTGCTACGCGCATCGAGGTGTGGCCAAAGGCCCGGACAGCCTGACGGCTCGAGATAGGTGCAGCTGCCCATGATTCCCCGGTTCCCAAAACTAGTCGCTTGGTCTCCGAGAACAGAAGGCAGCTGGGCCATCGGGCGGCCCTTATCGCACTCATGATGTGTGCGATATGACTTCACGGCAAAAGGCGCGCGTCTGTCGCGAGCTTGAAATCTCGTCGACGAACATAACCTTGAAAGAAAAAAATGGAGAGCTGTCGCAGCTATCAGCCAGCCAGCTTATCGGTGGTGCCCGCAATTGCGTCGTAATTCACTTAGGCCACGTGACCACTTATCGCCCGCAAAACGCCGCCCGTGAAATCGTGTGCAGGACGCCTGATAAGTGCATTTGATAAGTTCCCACCCGACTTATCGGGTTTCCGGCCAACCAGCCCAGACATTCGCCCCGTAGGAAGGTTGCCCGATCGACCGAGATGGCCGCGGACGACTCGTACACGGCAGCTGACGAGCGCGCCCGTGCCGCCCGGAGGCGGGCATCCAGGCGAAGAAGGACGAACAGCCGGCGAACACGACGCGGAGTTACGCGGCGAAGCAGCGGAGTGGAAGGCGCGTCCCCGGCCGGTCCTCCACTTCGATCCCTGTCACGTACGGCCCCTAGGCGGCTAACAGACAAATGCGTATAGGCCTGGTGCCATACGCCTCGGGCTGCAGCAGACGGCTCGCTCTATAGCTGGCCCGACGGCGAGCTCGTAACGCCGGACAAGCTGGCGGCGTGGCTCAAAGAGGATATCCTGTTACGACGCGTTGTGCCGCCGCAGAAGAAGAAGCCGCGCGCGCGGTAAGATTAGGGCAACGGCAACGGCGAGGCCGTACAGGTACGGCAACAGCGCGAACAGGAGCAGCTCGAGGCCGCGGCCATGGCAGAGGCCGAAAGCCTGGCCGAAGCTTTGGAGGTCCCCCTGGCCGAGGCCGCCGAGCTGCTCGCTGACGACCGCGAGGGCTACGTGCCACCCACAGGCCTCGCGACGGCTGCAGTAGACCTTACCGAAGGGTCTTTGCTTACGAGGGCACTATCGACGCCTATATCGCGGCCGTTATCGAGCTATGGAGGCTCCAGGTGGCTCACGGCAACGCGAATACGGAGAATCCCGGGGCGCCGCCGTACGAGGATTCCTTGAGCAACGGGGCCGGCAGCGGGGAGCACGACCGCGCCTCCTTTAAAGACCGCGGAAGCGACGGGATCCAGGCCGGCTACCTCCCCGATGAATGGCTTCGGATCCAGGATCTCCTTCTCACTGGCGCCGCGTATACGCCGCAAAACCTCCGTACGCGAGTCGACCTCCTCTTCGGCCACTACTACCTCTTACGGGGGGAGAACCGGCGCAAGATGGAGCTTGCAGACCTATCCCTACTCGACTATCCGCCTTCGGAGGCCCGACCCCTGTGGTTGCCTGGTAAGCCTTTTACGGGACGGCAAGCTAAATAAGACGGCGAGGAAGGAGTTTATGGGCGCGCTCCGGCACAAGGACCCCTTATTCTGTACGCAAGGGGCCCTAGCACAGCTCTTCTTTTGGCGCTGGCACGTCGCCGGCGAACCGCCCCCGTCCTTCCGGCGCCGTCAGGACTGGTATCGGATCAAGGTCCTCGTCGGGCGGGACCGCGAGCAGGAGCTCTCGTACCCGACGCAGCTACAAGAGACCTGGCGTATCTTCGGCGCTGCCGGCCTTATCGCGTCGAAGAAGACGCACCTCCCGCGCAGGGTGGGCGCCCAGGACGCGGAGACCCATGGCACGTCGCTCGCCCAGATCTCGCAGGCCGGCCGCTGGAACCAGAGCGTGCTCTGCCAGGCATATCTTACGCACCTACCGCGGCAGTTCATGCGTATCGTCGCCGGCTTCTCGGCCTCCCGGGGACTACTTCCTCGCGCGTGCGGCTCACGAACCCCGTACGTCTTACAAAAGCAGCTGTGGCCGTGGATCGAGGTGGGAACCCGCTTTGAGGCGCGGGCGCGCCGGCAATGCTGGGCAGAAGGCGGTCTCGACGACGACGACCTAGCCGCTGACGGCTTCCTTAAGCTTATGCGGCGCCTGCGTATAGTACTTCTGCAGGACCTGGCCGTCCTACAGCTCCGCTACCCGTCGCTACCGTTCTTCGCCTACGCCCCTTTTGGCGGGCCCGAGTGGGACGAGTTCGCCGTCGCCGTGCGGTCCACCGCGGTAGGGGCTATGGAGCCGGTAAGCCTGCTCGTACGACGCGCGCTGCCGGAACTAAGCGGCGTCATAGAGAGCACGCGGGAGGCCCTGTTACAGAATAGTCAGCGGCTCGCCATCCGGCAGGCCCGGCTGGACGGGATTCAGGGCGGCCTCGATGCCCTCCTCCAAGGCAAGGTCCCTATCACCTTTACCGGCTACTTCGGAGCCGGGTCAGCAGAGGCGCTGGCCCCAGCCCCGGCCCCGGCCCCGTCAACAGTACCTACCTTGAATCTCAATACAGCTCCGGCCCCGGCCCCGGCCCCCGCCCCAGAGCCTCTGGTACCAGGCATGCCTATCGTCACAGCCCTGGCAAGGGTCTTTACGGTGGGGGACGTCTGGAAGGAATGGGGTGAAGGGTTTGCAGGTCAGAAGGCCGTACGGGAGCTGGAAGAGACGTGGGAAGCCGCTGGCGCCGGGAACGGGGTCAGAGTGCAGTTCTGTCGCCGGAAGGTGATCTGGGACGAGCTGTTGGCCCGTATGGCGTCCGGCAAAGGAGGCGGCCGTTGCAGAGCTAGAGCTGTTACGCGCCGGCCGAAGCGAACCGACTCGTCGACGAGCTCAAACAGCGCCGACGGCGGGGCCAGGATCGGGGCCAGGGCCAGGGCCAGATACGGGTACAGGTAGGGACCCCGTGCCCGATGACCCAGGTCCAGGCCCGGACCAGGTCCAACTCGAGGTCAGGGCCGTCGGGGCGGAGGACCCGGCTGGGAAAGCGGACCGCCCTCGTCGACGTAAGCCAGCCGCCTCGTAGAGTCTTTATACATATTTATATCCATGTAACTAGACATATTTTTGAGGATCAAAGGGCCGTAGGATCGGTGCATTACTATCTCGCAGTTCCTGTAGCCGAGCCTAGCCCCCCCATTACCCATTCGCGGCGCTGCAACGCAAATATCTCGACGGACAGTAGCCTATACGGAGTGCTCCTCGACCAAACGCGCCGCCGGTGGAGTAGTCCCCAGGCCCCGGAATGGCCTCGATTGGGCTGCTGGCCGTGGAGATATTCGCGTGCGCGGCGCCGGGCACTTATCAGATGGTAGATATGTAATCGCATACGATTTCCCGAAATTACTCCGCAAATCGACCCCACGATAAGTCCTGCTTATCATTATCAGCGTGCTGACCTAGCGGCTATCTAGGTACCTAAGGACTTGGGCTAGTAGGTAGTACCTGGACAAGCTTTAAGTGGCTGATGGTTTTAAGCTAGGTAGGCTAGGAGAAAGTTCTATACCGCCTTAAAAGATGAATAAAGCTTTCATCTTGAAGTTCAATATTATAAAACGCTTTTTGATTAATTAATTAAGTAAAAATCTCAGAAAATTCTCGCAAATAGTAGGTACTTTAGACAGGTAGGTACTTACGGAATCTCTACCTCTACCTACCTACCTACCTAGGTATCTACCTACCTACCCAAGGTACCTAGGTAAGTAAGGTACCTAAGGACCTAATCAAGCTGAATGGTAGGTACCTAGATAGGTAGGTAGGTACCTAGGTATCTCTGAAAGGGGTACGTACCTGTATGAGCTCAGCAGCCCACCCTGACGCTACGCTCCGTGGTGGTCGATGCCGTCAGCTCCCTTTGTTGAACTGACTTCCTCGATGTCACCAGAAGACCGGCCATCGCCCCTTTCGGTCCTCCAATAACCTCTCCTCCACGCGACAACGCCGTTGTTCTCGCATCCAGTCCGCGTCATGGCACCTTTTAGCCGCAGGAGCTTGGTCTCCGGGATCGCTGCTGCTTGCCTGCCCTTCGTCGTCGCGGCGTACGCGAACTCTACCTATAGCAATGCCGACATGCTACGGGCGCAACTGGCCCTCATGGGTGATCGCCCTGACGGCTGCCCACCATGGTAAGTGGACATCGGAAACCAAGCTGTATTTTGCCATCGATGCGTGTCTCTGATGCCACTCTCCCCACAGCTTCAACTGCCTCTTACCGGCGCATACGTGTGCTCAATACGCAGGATGCAACGAATATAATGGCAAATGCGACTGCCCGGATGGTTTTGGGGGCGACGATTGTCTCGAGCCGCGTATGTCCACGTCCAGGCGCACTCACTCTTCTCCCTTGCCCCACCAACATGCTGCCAAACGCCCTACTGACCTGACGCCCATACGCTCCCAGTCTGTGGCTCCCTGGGTCGAGGAAAGGATAGGCCCATGCGCTCTGACGAGACGTGCAACTGCGATGACGGCTGGACCGGTATCAACTGCAATGTGTGTACGCAGGATGAGGCCTGCAATGCCCTAACGGAGACGGGACACGGCGGTGTCTGCTACCAAAACGGCGAGGTTGTCAAGCACAATCATCAAATATGCAAGGTCACGAACAAGCAAATCACCACTCTCCTCGGCAAGCAAAAGCCTGAAGTGACATTCAGCTGCCAGAAGAGGCAAGGGAAGTGTGATTTTCAGTGTGAGCAAAGCCCTTGCCCAGTCCGCCGACCAGCACCTCGAAACTCGCGCTGACAACAAGCCTGCAGTCTGGGTCGACGCCGTTGAATCGTTCTACTGTCACTTGACTGGCTGCCAGTCTAGCGCGAACTTTGATGAGACCAAGAACAGCACTTCGTACAAGTGTGACCACATGAGCTGCAGTTGCATTCCGGGGCGCATGCTTTGCGGCAAAGATGGCTCGGTCGACCTTGGTGACTTCCTCAAGCAATCGATTCAGGGCCCGGGCGGATTCGAATGCGCCTCGAAAGCGGGCGGATCCCACGACTGTGCATTCAGGGAGCCCGAGATGGACAAGCTCATCCACCAATTGATCGGCGACTCGAGCATTCTCCTGGATTGCCGGGCGGGCGAGTGCCTGTATGAAACCGAGGTGCCGGGTTACAGGCGCCCAGTGAAGCAAATCAACACGCCGCTTATCGCCGGTGTGATTGCGGGCTGCGCTCTATTTGTCGTTGCCGTCATCATACTGACGTGGTTCCTTTCACGCCGCAAACTCAAGTACGGAGCTATTCGCCTCGACGATTCCGACGACGAAGGCACCAAGCTCATGACCGACCATAAACCAGCGGCATTGTACTTTGAGAATGTGTCCTACTCGCTCAACGGCAAGAAAATACTCTCTCGTGTTCAAGGCATCAGCCTCCCGGGCGAGGTGATGGCCATCATGGGTGCTTCTGGCGCCGGGAAAACGACGTTTCTCGATATTTTAGCCCGCAAGAACAAACGTGGTCAAGTCTCTGGCGACTTCTATGTCAACGGCGAAAAGGTCAGTGATAATGAATTCAGAAACGTCGTTGGATTTGTCGACCAGGAGGACACCATGCTCCCGACGCTCACAGTTCACGAAACGATTCTCAACAGTGCGCTGCTGCGACTGCCGCGAGACATGAGCCGTGCTTCCAAGGAGCAGAGAGTGTTTGAAGTGGAAAAAGAGTTGGGCATCTACCACATTCGCGACTCGCTCATAGGTTCTGAGGAAGGCAAGGGCCGCGGGATTTCCGGTGGTGAGAAGCGACGCGTTGGCATTGCCTGCGAGCTTGTCACGAGTCCTTCCATTCTGTTTCTGGATGAACCCACGAGCGGACTGGACTCTTTCAATGCCTACAACGTCGTCGAGTGCCTTGTCACACTGGCCAAGAGCTACAAGAGAACCGTTATCTTCACCATTCACCAACCGCGATCCAACATCGTGGCGCTTTTTGACAGGCTCTTACTCCTGGCCAAGGGGAAAACTGTCTACTCCGGGCCCTTTTCGCAATGCCAAGCATACTTCGATACTATCGGATACGAATGCCCGCCCGGGTTCAACATCGCCGATTACCTCGTCGACCTCACCATGCATGCTGGGAGCAGCGTAGCCTTTGACGACGGGGCTGTCGTAGCTGATGCTGCCAGCGTGGGCCCGAGCAGCACAAAGGCAGTCAAGTCGATAGCCAGCATCTCTGGGACAAGTACGGGGGAGGACAGCAACGCCGAGCCATACACGTCTCCACGGCCGAAAAACTGGCGTCGTGATTCGGTCAAGATGCGGCAGGAGCGAGAGTTATTCACGCGCAGGAAGCAAGCGATAGACACCGCCGCCTCGTCGGACGCCGGGGGCGAGGAGGTCGGCGTTTATCGTCTCCAAACGAACCCTGCTGCCAACCTCCTTCCGCCTCAGGCGCCGGAAGACCCCCACGATCTACCACCGTCGGCAGTCACTGGCACTGATTTAGACATTATGACGCAGTCCTTCGCCCGCTCCGACATTGCCAGCAGCACGCGCGAGGAGATCAGGCAGGCTGTTTCTACGGCCGAAGAAGCCAACAGGCCAAACTCCCGTTATGATCCCGAGGGTCCCCACGTCGACGTCAACACGAGCGCTGTAGGGAAGGGCTACGCTCGCATCGGCTACTTTCGCCAGTTCCTGATCCTCTCAGTGAGAACATGGAAGAACCTGTACCGGAACCCGATGCTCATGCTTACCCACTATGCCATCGCCATCATCTTGGCGGTCTTTTCCGGATATTTGTTCTACGGACTCACGGACGATATCCCTGGCTTTCAGAACCGCCTGGGCCTCTTCTTCTTCCTTCTAGCTCTGTTCGGCTTCAGCACGCTTACAAGTCTCAACGTCTTTGCGACTGAGCGCCTCCTCTTCGTGCGCGAGCGGGCCAACGGATACTACGCCCCTGCCACGTACTTCACGGCCAAGGTCCTCTTTGACATAATCCCGCTGAGAATCATTCCTCCGATTCTCATGGGATCCATTATATATCCCATGACCGGTTTGGTCCCCGATTCAGCCCACTTCTTCAAATTCATGCTGGTCCTGGTGCTGTTCAACTTGGCCGCCGCGGCCATATGTCTCTTCATCGGGATTGTGTGCAAAGACGGAAGTGTCGCCAACTTGATTGGAAGCTTGGTGATGTTGTTCAGTCTCCTCTTTGCCGGATTCCTGCTCAACCACGACGCCACACCTGCCGGAGCACTATGGCTGCAGACCCTGTCCATCTTTCACTATGGTTTCGAGTCTCTCATCGTCAACGAAGTGGTGGAGCTCACCCTTGTCGACAAGAAGTATGGACTGGACATCACCGTTCCGGGCGCCGCCATTCTCAGTTCTTTTGGATTCGACAATAGCGCACTTTGGGCCGACATTCGAAATCTCGGCATCTTTGCTCTCTCATTCATCATTCTAGCGTACGCAGCCATGCATGTTCTCCTTGTTGAGAAGCGATAGGACTGTGGCGCGATATGCGATATTAGCCCACGTCGGCCACTGAATGGAGCACATGGAAGGACTACCTGTAAACCTCGAAGGGTAAGTATTTTTCATACCAGTTACGATGTAAATCAAGGCAAGCGGGCTGCGCCCTCTGGACAGCGGCGTTGGAAAGGGTTAGAGTCTAAGAACATTGCTTGAAGAGGGGTACGAGTCCTTGGATTGATTGTGCGCTGGCTGTTGCTACCTGTACATTGACGTAGATCACGAACTCGCAGTTTCAGTGCGAGACAAGCCACTATACCATCTTCCCGCCTGTGAGATCCTCTGCAATCTTTTTGTGTCGGTTGACGGACCGGTCATACTCAGTCTCATAGTAAGCCATGAGTTTGGTCGAAGAGCCCGAGGTAGCCTCTAACATGTTGGCGATGGAGGGTGGCTTGCCATAGATGCCCCAGATATTCCCGGTGGTGCCGTACCGATTGTTGGCTCGACTCTGCATCGAGAAATAGTCCTCATGGAATATCCGGTCGATTTCGGCCTTGAGCTCGTTTTCCTGAACAATGAAGCCGGATGCGCTTATGTACAGCTCCATGAGTGCATCGCGGCGGGCCTCGCGCTTGGCGCTCTCCCGAGCCAACACCTTAGTGCGGCTCCGGTCAGCACGCGAGAAGCGCTCAGGGTCCGGGTATACTTTGGTGTCCAGCATCGCGTCAAGGACAGTGGTCCGAGTCAATCGCTCATCCTCCCGCTCCGGCGCCTCTGCAGCTCGTCTGTGTTCTTCGAATTTGCTGGTCACGCGATGGTGGCGAACATTGTCGCTCTTGGTTCGCCGCTTCCAGAGGGCTCGCAAGCCGGACTTGAGGTTGTTTCTTCTGGTTTCTGCCAATTCATATTTCCATTTCTGGGCTTCGTTTGACGGCTCGAGATGATTGGTCGGCTCCGGGGCGGTACGTTGAATGTACTCGGGGCGTATTTTCTTGTTACCTTCGAGCCGTGGAAATATTTCACGAGGAACAGGCAGATGGCCTCGAACGCGTGGTAGCCTTTTCTCTTCCGACTGAGGGGGACTCGAGAGGCGGATGTAAGAGGGAGATTCGGGGGGGATGGAATTTGAGCGGATGGGCTGCGTGGTCGAGAAGGCTCGAGATGCTCCGAAGAGATGGATAAGAGCAGGTCGAATGCACGGTCCAGTGGAGGGGAGAGACGGGAGAGACATCTTGGCGAGTCTCTTCAGGTCCCGTTGCGATGCTTCATTGGGCGGCGAAAGTAAGTAAAGGCTTTCTACCACCTGGGCGAAGTTGTAAATTGGAGCTGGCGGATTATCCACCCCCGACCTCCGATGCGCAGTAGGTGAAGGTCGGCAGCCACTGGTTTGCGAAAAGGGGGGGCCTCTTATCGATACTCAATTTTTTTCCCAGTCAATTTGGCGCGCACACACAGCCGTTTTAGCAACCCATCACAGCCTACTCACTCATTCACCGCACTTCATTTCCACTTCCTCGAGCGGTTGACGAGGTGAACGCATCGCCATGGGTACTGGAAAGAAGGAAGCCACTAGGCGTGTCCGCCAGGGCAAGACCGGCGATGGCCTCGGCAATGTTCGTGTCAAGGGCGAAAACTTTTATCGGTATGTACTTCCCAATGCTGTGCTGCCTGGCGCGGACGACAGCGGCCGGCTGACGAGACCGCAGCGATGCGAAAAAGGTCAAGACCCTGAGCATGTACAAGGATGGACAGGTGCAAAGAAATGCCGATGGACAGATCACCAAGGCTGCGTCGTACCAGTCGCGGGATGTGCCGAAGGCTCGAATCGAACCGAACCGCAGGTGGTTCACCAACACACGAGTCGTCTCGCAAGATACCTTAAAGGCGTTCCGCGAGGCCATGGCGGAAAAGGCAAACGACCCGTACCAGGTCCTTCTCAAGTCAAACAAGCTCCCTATGAGCCTCATTCGCGACGGCCAAGACTCCAATGGCATCAAGCAGCACAAAGCCAAGATGACCGTGGAGAGCTCTCCTTTTGCCGGGGTCTTTGGGCCCAAAGCTCAGCGCAAGCGCGTGAAATTAGGCGTCGGGAGCCTGGCTGACCTGGCCGACGACACGGAAAAAAGCATGGACTCGTATCAAGATCGAATGGAGCAGGCAAAACTGTTGAGCGGCACGTCCGGCCAAGATGGTGAAGGCTCAGTCTCAATGGCCATCGAGCCCGTTTTCGACAAGGGCCAGAGCAAAAGAATCTGGAACGAGCTGTACAAGGTCATCGACTCCTCCGACGTCGTCATACACGTGCTCGACGCGCGAGATCCCGTGGGAACTCGCTGCAGAAGCGTCGAGAAATATCTCAAGGAGGAAGCACCGCACAAGCATTTGATCTTCGTTCTGAACAAATGTGATCTGGTTCCGACTAGCGTTGCGGTAAGTTTTGTTCAGCGTTTATCATCCTGCTTCAACACCGAAGGCACCCAATGTTCTTTGTCAGGACTCCTTCGACAATATGTTGTCCAAGTGGAGGTTGTCTGTTATAACATTGGGAGATTGATAATTGCCATTCTCGAAGGCCCTAGCTTCTTGTTGGTGGCTGACGGAGGCCGTTCTGGTCGCCGTCATGAGATGGTACGCGGGTCAAATGAGTTGAAACTTGCGGATGTCTTTCACGTGAAAGACAACGACCGGGGGTTTCTTAGTGATGGCTTGCACATTTCTTGTTGAATTTGATCACTTCTCTTGCGTTAAGCTCTTGGGACTAACAAGACGTTCGCAGGCTGGATGGGTGCGCAGTCTCTCCAAGGAATATCCGACACTTGCTTTCCACGCTAGCATTACCAACTCGTTCGGCAAGGGTTCTCTGATTCAGCTTCTTCGACAATTCTCCAGTCTCCATTCGGACAGGAAGCAGATATCTGTGGGATTGATCGGGGGGCCCAATACCGGGAAGTCGTCCATCATTAACACCCTGCTGAAGAAAAAGGTGTGCACTGTTGCTCCCATTCCCGGGGAGACCAAGGTGTGGCAATACGTGAGCCTCATGAAGCGCATTTATCTCATCGACTGCCCCGGTGTCGTCCCCCCCTCAAGCACGGACACGCCTACGGATCTGGTACTACGAGGAGTTGTGCGCGTGGAAAAAGTGGAGCACCCGGAGCAGTACATATCTGCTCTCCTGAGCCGGGTGAAACGCCAGCACATGGAGAGGACTTATGAGCTCAAGGGCTGGGAGAATGCCACTGAGCTCCTGGAACTACTTGCGAGAAAGGGTGGTCGGTTGCTCCGTGGGGGAGAACCAGACTTGGACGGAGTGGCAAAGATGATGTTGAACGACTTCATGAGGGGCAAGATTCCATGGTTTACGCCCGCTCCCACGGCGGAAGGCGAGGAAACGGATTCCGTGGCGGGGCGCAACGGCAGGCTGGGGGAAATGCCCCGGAAGCGAAGTCGAGCCGAGTCTCTGGGTAAGCTGGACACACCATCGGCCATGGAGCCGGCAATCGGATCCGAGACGGGGAGCGACGAAGTATTCGGGGGATTCGGCTGTGATACCGAGGAGGCGCAGTCGTGAAGTCGTTGACTTGAGGCGATGGCAGCGTTTGCACAAAATGATGGAGGGTATTTTGTGATGCGCAGTGTCTTGTTCAGCCACAACTTTGTCGCCGACAAGAGGCGAAATGCTTTTTGGACACGATACGACCCGGCCGACCAGCAACGCACCTGCGGCGCTGACATACATGGATGGACGACGTGAGTCTCAGGTCGTTAAACGGGCTCCGCGTTGCTTCGGCCAGTCTGGGCCCAGGAGTGCCCTCAGATAGCACCCAGGCACTGGGGATCTATGGGCATCCTTTCTCGCGGCTATCCCAACGAACCAGCCATACGCAATCTCACGCGGCCGACAGGAACCGACCCAAAGCCCACGTGGAGCTTGCGAGGCCAAGGATGGCATGGGACAGACCATTACGCACGCACATGAACGAGGAGTGGGCACCGTTCGTTCCCGCGGTATCAGACTCGGCTCTTAACTGCCCCGCGACTGGAGCGACTTGGCGAGCCCAGAGCCGTGTTGCGGCAGCCAAGGCGGACGGCTAAATTGCTTGGCCGGTGGTCGTGGCGGGCCATCAACCGCCTCTCCCTCCTGCCGGCCGTTTTGAGATCAACGACGCTCATCTTGTCCCCAAGCCGCCTGCGTTGAACATGTCAATCATCCGGGCGGGTGGGCTGAGCAGCCGCTGTTCAGCCGATGCCGGGCAAAGTCGAGCTTAAATGGCCGCTCCCCGCGTCGGTCGTCGGCCGCCTCGCGGGGGAGAGCAGCAACTCTGACGGGTTGTGGTGGTTCAGCACGTAGGAGCGGCGACTTGACGCCGAGTGTCGGGAAACCATTATATGATTAACCCCAAAGAATCTCCGCCTTCATCGCTGCTCAACAATGTCGTATCCTTCACGTCCACGGTGCGACACGTTGTCCCGCATGGCTCCCAGGCTGCCGAGCCGCCAACCAGGAACTGAGTGATGGATAATTCGCTTCTGTTTCTGATCAAATTGCCCAATGCACCGCGTCATTCGGGGTGGTCAGGGTGATACGGGGGTCTCATCGGCAACATGGGAAGCTTGGCAGCTCTAGGCCCAACATAGCGTGCAAGCCCCAGCTGCGTTTGTGGGACGCGCGAGAAAAAGGGAGGAGGCTGCGTCTTGGGTGTACCGTTCCCCGTGTCCTGAAGGGGGTCTAAAAATCACAGGACAAAGAGCTCATTGTTCGGCGTCCAGGGGCTCCGGGGAGGATACAGCCGACTCTGACGGCCGGCCGGCCTGTCGGGGGCCCCTGCGACAGTCGAGGCAACGTCTCTCTGTTCTTCACTCGCCAGGTATTACTTCAATCAAAGGTCCGTCGCGTTGCGTACCAGACAACTCTGCCGGCCAACACGCCCGACGTCCTTGTTGCACGGCCTGGACGCGGTGCCCCGGTGGCCCCCATGCGGAGCTGAGCCGCCCCTTCGCCAAGCTGAACATTGTCTCGGCCCTGCTGCGTGTCTCTGGTGGTGCGGATATTTCACCCGCGGCCGGCAGATGCACGCGCTGTGTACTCTGTACGGCACCTCCAGCCTTTTACACGGCCTTTCGCCAGAAGCCGAACAGCCAGTTCGCGACAAGGAATCGGTCCGTTTTTCAGCGTGTGGCTTCATCCGACCTTTGACGTTCCTGTAGACAAATAAAGTCGTGTATTCTCGCCACTTTGCGGCAAGATCAACGCCCGTGGTATTTGCGGCGCCCTCGCGGTGGTCACTTCAGAGTCCAAGACGCAGAGGCCTGGCTCTCGCCGGCATATATACGCGTCGAGCCACCATTGCCTTCTTCTCTGGGAGCTTCAAATGCTCCATATAGTCTCTACCTTTTCTCGCGCAGTGGTTTCCAGGCGTGGAATCCCTAGAGCACTGTCACACTCTCTCGCTCTGTGGGCAGGCAAGCATCCAGGTACAATGATACCATTATTATTGTCTCTCGGCACGCATGTCGTGGCCAATGCTTTGGCCGTTGGCAAGTCGGGCTGTCCGCTACACTTGACTGTCGGCGGCGCCGTTTCTGGTCCCGTGGGCCAAATCGCCAGCGGTCAGGCCAGAGCAGGCACGGGCATCGAGGCGGCAACGTTTGAACTTCGTGGGAGCCATCTGGTTGATTCCCATGGCCGGGGCTGTTGGTGGACCCGTAAGTCCCGAGGGGCATCCATCTAGCCCGACTCAGTTGGCCTCTTGCCCCTGCTGACGATGCTCGGGATGCCAGCTCCCACAGGTATTCTGCAGTGCGACGACGGACAGAAGCCGGACAACGGATTCACGATTGGCTGCGACGGCACCGTCCACTACAACAACCAAACAGCCTTCCACGAATGCGGGACAGCGGACCGGGATCAGCACAACATCTACCTCGAACCCAAGGGCGTCAACTGTGCGCCAGCGGCGCTCAAGGCAGACTCGTGCGCCCAAGCCAACTGTTCCTCTTCGCCGCCAATGACGAAGCCGGCGCCGACGCCCCCAAAGACTTGCCCTGCAGACCTCGGCGGGCCCTTTGAGTTCCCCCACCTCATCGTGCCCGTGGACAGGGCTCAGCCCGACAGGGTTGCCGGCACGTCCTACTTTGGCGAGGCGTCGTCGACCGTTTCCTCCATCTTCAACTTCGACATCCCCTCTGGCGACCGTGGCAAGAGCTGCAGCCTTGTCTTCTTGTTTCCCCAGCAGAGTCATCTCGACACATCCTCGTCCACTGTCGCCGGCACCGGCCAGTTACAGTTCACAGCGCTCCGGTCTGCCGCCTCGAAGAATAGCACGTACAACACCAAGCCGGCCGAGGACCGGTCCTTGCTCAACGTGACCGCGGTCCCGGGAAACAACTACACCGTCGACTCGTTTGACTGCCCCGCGGGCCAGCAAGTCACCATTGAGATGTCGGCTGCCGAGCACACCAGTCTCAGGTACTTCCAGGACTCTAATTCATCGCCCATCGGGCTGTACATTACCAAGTGCTAGATGTCGTGGCAGGAGGCGTGTTGATGGGTCATTTGCAGCTCGCCTCGGCTCGCTTGTTGCTTACCACTTGAGGGCCGAACGTGGTTGTTTATTGGAATACGTCTTGCCTGCGGCAAATTGTACGATTAGTCCACATGCAGATTGTACGATACTCGAGGCTTTTAAACGCAAACGATTGCCAGTCGTTGGCCGCCCCGGACTGTCTGGACGCAGCCAATCAGGGGATTGCGGGAGCGCCCGAAGTTGCAAAGGGGAAAAACCACGGGAGCTTTATTATTTGCCCAGTCACGTGTCGACTCGCTGCCGCTGGAGACCTTTGATGAAAGAACTCGAGCGACGACTTTCGCCGCTTCTCCCAGTTCCGACGTTCATAAAGCTTCGCCCCTCTCTCCGTGGACCTACAAAGTGTCCACTCTACTTTTTTATTGACCATCCTTGCCCGTTGCGCATTGGCGTCACCCTCGTCGCGGCATCACATACAACTTGGCCTGCGCTGCCATGGGCTCGTCGTCGTCCAAAGCAGTCGCGGCTGCTGGCTGTGGAACTGCCCCGCGAAAATTCCCATCCAGAGCGCCGGGAGCTGCGATTCCTCCACGCAACGCACGACAAGCCAGGCCGCCGCCGCCTCAGAGCGACGACACCAAGGATCCAGGTGAGAAAAGAGCACTACTTACTCCCCTTTAACTTTGCCCCTCTGGCTACGGAGATGGCACGGGCCTCTCTCGGTCAAGGCAGCTCCCACTAACGCGATGGCTGCCATAGCAATCCGCACCGACGCCGACTTCGTGTCCGGCGACTTCTCTCGGCGCCTCCACAGCATGGGCATAGTCCAGCCCAACCCGACCTTTTCTCCCTCGTCTCAGGCTGCCTCGCCGCCGTCACCGTCCGCCGCAACAGCGCCCTTGTTCCCCGCGGCCTCCAACAATGCCACGCTCTCCGTCCTTGAAGCCAGGCGGCTTCTCGAGCAGCAGGCCGCCGAGGATTTGGAGAAGCTGGGCCGGCGCGATTCCCCAGGCCGGCGATTCCTCGACATGCGGACCATGGTAGACGCCGTGGAGATGCGGTATCGCGGTACCCCAAACTCGGTCATTGAAAGGAGGCTCGGGCTCGAGTGCGGCATCATGGACAAGCTGGGCCCGCTCAGCATACTTTCACACCTGTCGACCAGACAGTGACAGCGACTCGCACCCACGACAGTTATATGCGCTCACCATCCAGCAGCTGGTCTTTTGTATGTTGATTACGATTATTTACTCGGCGACGACGAGGTGAAAGAGAGACAAGGAAAGGCAAAGTGTCCATAATCTGTTGCTCGCGCGGCACAGACAATGTACCGCAAGGCCGGCCAGCAGCCAAAATTTTGCCGACAAACGCCGCTCCCATGCTCTCTGGTGGCCTGGTGTAAAGGGTGGTTGATGCATGCAAAGTCGTAAACGGGCATTCCGGGCGTCTCTGCTACCGCTACCACGCTGAATGGCCGCCATCGATTCGGAGATCCCCGCCCGTCATGAAGCTACTGGCTTCGCTCAGCAGGAACACGGCGGCGCCACGATACTCGCTGGGCAAGCTGAGGCGGTTGAGCATGTTTTCCGTGGGCCACACCTCCTTTCGCTCGGGGAAGTCGTCGAAGAGCGACTGGAGCATCTGCGTCATGATGTACCCGGGCGAGAGCGTGTTGACACGGATGCCGAACTCGCCCCACTCGGCAGCCAGACTGCGGCACAGTTGGATGACGGCGGCCTTGGAGGCGTTGTATGCCCTTTTGACGGTTGTCGTTAGCCATTTGCCCGTCACAGGTCCACGTGGGCGAGACGACTTACGGAGCATACATGCCGCGGTTGGCAATGGTGCCGCTCATGCTGGCGATCAAGCAGATGCTTCCCTTTTGCTTGAGGCGGACCATCTGACGGGCGGCAGCTTGGGCAGTCATGAAGGCGCCCGTGACGTTGATGCTCATCATCCTGTCCACCTCCTCCGGAGTGTACTCGAGAGCAGGCATCTCGTGGTTGATGCCGGCAGCGGCGATGAGGCCGTCCAAGTGCCCGGCCTCGTCGGCAATGTTCTCCATGATCTTGTTGAGCTCGGCGACATTGCGGACGTCGGACTGGTGGTAGGTGAGACTGGTGTCGAGCTCGCGTCGAGCCCGCTTGTAGATTTCGGAAAAGCCAGAGCTCGGGTCGTTGGCAGGCGAAGGAAGCCTGTCGATGCAGTGCACTGCAGGGAGGTGTTAGCCAGGATGAATCGATTCGCCTCGTGGGTGCGCCGCCAAAGCCGGGGTGGCTAGCTGGACTTGAAGTCGCAAAAAGCCGCCGCCCATGATATGATAGCAACGGCAAGCCAAGACTCACCGGTTGCGCCGGCCTCGAGCAGTGCCTCGGCCTGGACGAGGCCCAGGCCCCTGGCGCCGCCAGAGACGACAATGACCTTGTCCTTGAGGCTGAATTCGGGCAGCAGATGAGGCCGAGGGCCTGGGGCGAGGTTTTGTCGAGTGGGGCTGCTGTGCACGGCGCGGCGGGGGAGGGAGTGGAGCCGACCAAATGCCGGGGCGGCGACGGGGGAGGAGCACAGGGGCTGCAGGGGCACCGGCAGGGGCACCGGCAGGGGCTGCGGCCGGGCCAGCTGCCTCAGCGCGGGGGCGAGTCGCAACATGAGGGCGCGCCTTGTGTATGGCGACTAATAAGATAGGGCTGCGTGCGCCGTGGCGGTGGGAACACGAAGGAGGCGCGAGAGGGCGGACTTGGGGGAAGGACAGATGCAGAGGGCCGGCTGTATGGGGATGGGAAAGAAAAGAGAAAAAGGGTAGGGAAGGATGGGAATGCAGGACGAGGAGGAAGGGGGAGCGCCTATTTGTACGAAAGGATGGGCTACGGCAGGATGCTTACGGCAAGTGGCCGAACAAGGCACGGCATGGCGGAGTTTGGAATAGTCGGGTGCGGGCTGTCTGAGTGGCGTGGCAGCCAACGTTGGGACAGGGCGGAGGAAGCTCGGCGGCGATGATGCGAGTGCAAGTGAGACGATGACAGTTTGCGTGAACGAGGCGCAGGTTGGTTGTCACGAGGCCCAAGGCTGTGAGATGGAGGGCGGGGAAGTCTGTTGTTGTGGGGAAACCAGGAGGGGTGTTAACAAGGAGGGGCGGGGGGGCAGGGATCGAAAACGTGTTTTTGCGAGCGACTGCTTCTTTTGGCATTTATTATCGTCGGCATGCAACTGGAGAAGTGCGTGGGGGCCGAGGGAAAGAGGGAGTTGCGCGGAGGGGCAAGGCCGCGCGCGCCGAGGCTGCAGGCAGTCAGTCAGTCAGTCAGTCAGTCTGTCAGTCAGCCGTCAGAGAGGGGACGGAAGCGCTTCCATGGAAGCTTCTTCGGAGATGCATCGACGATGTAGTACCGAACTGGTCTGTCTGTCTGTCTGTCTGTCTGTCTGTCTGTCTGTCTGTCTGTCTGTCTGTCTGTCTGTCTGTCTGTCTGTCTGTCTGTCTGTCTGTCTGTCTGTCTGTCTGTCTGTCTGTCTGTCTGTCTGTCTGTCTGTCTGTCTGTCTGTCTCTCTGTCTGGCGCCGCAAGAGGCGCAACGCACGCAATAGCATCCATCATGCACAACAGAGGGCGCGCCAGTCATGGGCTCGCGCGAGAGCAGGAGCTCTCTCCGGCGGCTCGGGGCTCCTCCCGTGCAGGCTCCTCCCGTGTGTGTGCTGTAACTTACAGTACTGTACATTACTGTCGTACTTGCCGGCTTGGCTCTGGGGGGGGATTCGTTCCGTCGCAGGTGGTGCTCGCATGTACTGTAACCGTGCTAACAACTATAGTAGTATTACCTAGTAGAAGGCAAAAACTCAATCATCGGGTGCAGCGGCGTGGTAATTGCGGCGGGCGGGTGCTTACCTAATACATGCTGTGACTAGGTAACTAGTTAACTTATCCGTTAGGGCCTGCCTCTCGAGACGTCCTTCCCGTCTTTTCGTCTTTCCTCAGCAGCAGCAGCGGCAGCAGCAGCAGCAACTCGTCGTCAGCAAGCAGTCAGACGCTGGAAACCCTGAATCAACGTCGGGACGGCACCTGCTGTGCAACAATAACAACAACGACAACAACAACAACGTTGTCGATGCGGCCAACGGAGAAGGCGGTGGTGGCTGGCTGGCTGCGCGGCACCGCACACCGCACTGTAGTTCGACAATCGACAGTCGTGTCGGGTGCGTGCTTACGCTTACAGTTCGTCTGCCCGAACAGCCCACGGACGACAGTGGGGGCAAGGAGGGAGCGGCGCGTCTACAGTAGGCTCAATATGAACATGGGCCATTAATGACCCGTGGCAGTCTGGACTCTTGTTCTTCCTCATCGACGCGGCGGCCTAGACCGTCGCAAGTCAGCCCCCTCGGCTTACCAATGTAGGCTAGCCGTCCGAGGCGGCCTACCGTCGTGACGGACATCAAACACCTACTTCTTCACACCCTCGTTCTGCCCAACCGATAAACTCGCGGGGCTAACCATTGGTCGTCTTTGGCCCCTCTCCGTCTGACAAACATGTGCAATGTGCAGGAAGTGCAGAATTGCAGAAGTGCAGAATTGCAGAAGTGCAGAGGTGCAGAATTGTTCCCGAGGCCATGTGGAGGACAGAATGGAACATCAAACCTTGCAAGAGCCTTCCCTCAAGCTTCAGGCGTCGTCGACACCGGATAGGCCAGGGGCCGACTTCTCTGCGCGTTGCGTTGCAGTCTCTCAAGTCTCGGACTGGTGACAATTGTCCCCAGCAAACAACGTCGTACCACAGTCTCCCGCTTAGTACTACTCGAATCCCATCACCCCTCACCCCCCAATTCCTTTGCCTCCTCGCCTTTCAACTCTCCAGGAACGAGAGGGGCGTGCCCCGTATGCCCCCTCTTCCTGCGGCATCGGACGAGGCTCGGAGACGTATGTATGTAGCACTGAGGCTGATCCTTTTGCCTCGACGCGTGCGTGCGTCCATGGTTGGATCGTCCGTCGGCGCGCCGGCCGTCTCTTTGCAGGCAGACAGCCAATTTGCACCCCCGTTTGCCACGTCCTGCCTGCCCCTGTGCTGCATGCATCGTCCGTCCTCTTGCCCTTTCCTGCCCGTGCATCGCCGCCAGGGTTTTTGCTGCAGAGCGCATACAGCACATGACATACATGCGCGCACGCAATGGCCATCGTCGAGGTGCAAGTCAAGGACAGTTTTGCTGCCGAGGCACATGAGCCACCTTGTCACATGCCCATGGCCCCTGGCCGGCACTGTCCATGCCGTCGAATAATTGTCTGCCGGAAACGAACCCCTCCTGCCCAAGGAGAGACCCTGCCCGTCGCATGTTGATGCGCCAAATTGGAGATCCGCCTGCCACCGGCCAGCGGCTTCGGCCTCGCCGCCGAGGCTCCCTACTGACCTCGGCCCCGTATCAGCCGACCACTGTGGTGTTCCGTCTCCCGGCACCCAAAAATAGCTCCGCACCACCGCCGCTTCCACCACGGGTTTTCCCAATGCGGCAAATCTACTAGCTCACGATGGCGCCCCACGGCCTTGCCTCCCCTTTCTTCCTCGGCACCTTCCCATCCTCTCTCTCTCTCTCTCTCTCTCCCTCTCTCCCTCTCCCCCCCCCCCTCTTCTCTCCCTCTCCAAAACGGGCATAGAATCTCGACCTTGCCCCCTTCATCAATTGCCCGATATCTGTCCCAAGTTTAGAACCAGAATTCATCTTCATTTCTCTGTAACGGGGAAAGTGGACCAGAGAAATGCTCAGGCCTGCGTCAATAAATGGGTCGAACTCAAGCCAGACTTTGCCATCCCTTTTCCATTTCACCAGCCCGTCTGTATGTCCTTAACCAATCAATCAGCCGGGAGTCTGCCACGACGGGTTTTCCAGTCACCAACTCCCCGAGTCTCCGATTCCAGACTCACCCGCCTGCTGCTGTACACGCTCTCGTTTACCCCGCGGGCTCGCATCGGCCAATATACGACACCAGCAACCTCGGCTTTTCTTCATCTGGGGCGGGCGAGCGGGCGGTTCCGCTCCACAATGCTACTCGTCCCAGCTCCGCCATGCCGGCATTGTTGAGGTCCGGCTAATCAGAGCTGCAGCTAGGCTATCCAGTCAAACACTGTCACGGCCGTGGTGTAGACCATCGCGATGATACCCAGCACCATGAGACCGAGGTCCAGTGCCTTGATCCAGCCCGCGTCCGCGGCGCCCTTGTAATGCAGATACGCCGGGTATATGTACACGAGCGGAACGCACGCAAAGCTCCCAATCAAAGACACAAACTTGTCTAGGTCCGTGGCCCCGACCATGCTGATGCCGATGCATAGAGCCATGACCGCCGTCCTAATGGCGTTCTTCTTCCACTTGATAGCCGTACTCTTTTTGCCTGTGGCGCGCTCCCCAAACAATGACGTCTCCATGATGCGCACCGCAGGAAATAGTTGCACAGGCTCGCCCCCAAGCACCGCCAGAGAGTAGAGCAGCTGTACTGCATTAACGAGAGCCGAGTCTTGCGGGAAATTGGAAATGACCTGGATTTTGGTCTTCTCCCCAAAGGTGGCATAGCAGAGCGCGCCGACAGACGTGAAGATGACGGTGATGAGGAACATGACAATGTACAGGAGTCCACTGAAGTGCTCCGGCTTCTTCATGCTCGACTGGATGGGCAGAATGAGGCCTATGCCCTCGAACGTGAAAATGGCCGATCCAATGGTCAGGGTAAAGGCCGAGGAGTTGAACATGCGCACGCTGGGCTCAATACCGTTCCGGGCCAGCGTCCAAATATCGAAGTACCAGATGTAAACCAGCCCCACGAGGATAAAGATGTCTGCAAGCAGAGCCACGGGGCCCAGCTTGGAGATGTTCCGGATCAAGGCCAGGGGCACGAGGGGCACAAGCTGGAGGGCGATGAGGCTGGGCACTCCGAGGTCGAACCCACGCCCGTCGTGGCTCATGGCCTGGACGAAGGCCAACAGATTCTCCGCTGTAAAGATGAGGCCGGCACAGACGAATCCCAGCTGAGAGAGGGCGATGGATGCGAGGATGATACTGCGGAATCGCGGGCCCACTATGGCGGCACCCAGGTCTCCGTAACCCCCTCCGTACTTCTGGCGGCAATCGAGGAGTAAGCGAAAGCATAGACAATTGATAAGCGAAACCACAATCAGGGTCAGAGAAGAGAAGAGAATGCCGCCGTTGCGAAATGCTTTGGGCAGAAACATGATGCCAGTTCCAATGAAGGCCTTGAGCAGGGTAAAAAAGGTCTTGACGGTGCCGGCATCGCCCCCTCGTGCGAGACGTCTGGAACTTTTGCGGCGACCAAGCAGCGGACGCCGCTCCGCAGCCTCGTCTTCTGACTGGTCATCGATGGCCGACTCGTCTTCGGACGTGTCGGCATCCTCGAGGTCTTCGCCAGCGAAGCTGCCATATAGATCGAGAAAATCGACAAAGTTCCTGGCCACGACCAGAGGCCCGCTCAGGCGCCGCTGCCGAGCCCGACGTAGAAGATGCTGACGCCTAAAGCCGCCGGGCTCCCGTTGTTCTGGATACGACAGTTCGTCGGCCGGATGGAGACGGGGCGACGGCTGGTGGGAGAAGGTGGCTGCACGGCGGAGCGAATTGGCTCGAGCCTTGATCTTGAACATGTCGCGGTGGATGTCGCCGCCCTGCAGCTTGAGAGATGATTCGAGGGGCTCGGGAGCCGCGGATGCATCATCGTTGGGAGTGACGCCACAAGTGGACGAGGCCGAGTCGGAGGCGAGTGGCTGAACGGGCGACGCTGAGCCCTCCAAGGGCTCGGCGGACAGGCTCACTTCCGGCTCAGCCGAGTAGCCCTCGGGGAGGTATCGGTCCAGAATAGCTGCCTGGCGCTTGCTTTGGTGGCTGCTGGAGAGGTCGGCGGCGTCGGCCATGGCTGTCCAGGTTCGGGGTAAGAGGGAGGAGTGAAGCCGAGTCGGAGGCGAGTCGTCAATGGTATTTATCTTTGAACGCGTCGAGTTCGGCGCCTACCGCAATCCTAGACCGGCGATGAAGCGATACGAGCAGAAAAGAACACACCAGGGCCATCACAATAGACAAAGAGCAGTAGATCCGAGGTCGAGCGTGTCGCGACTTGGACTTGTCTCTTTGCGACTATGCGAGATGGGAAATCGATGAGGGTGCGAGTCAGCTATTGGGAAGGCCCATTCATTACAAGCTGACGTCAGGGCGAGGGTCAAGTGTTTCGGGATAGATGGAGCGGAGAAAGATTGGTGGGCCGGGGGCCTAGGGGATAGGGGCTAGCGGGCAAAACCTTGGCTGATTCGACCACATCGTGGCAAAAATCCGCCCACGTAGTTAAAGATAAACCCGGATTCCTGTCAGATCCAGTGAGAAGTGGTCACGTGAAGGATCTATAAGTGCGGTGCGCGCGGCGCCCGCACTCTCCTTCCATTTCTCTTTGTAGTTTATTAACCTTCTTACGGACCGGATCTGTGGCCCTAACCTCTGCCTATTACGTAACAAGATATCTTCATAGTCGTCTTAATATATCATCTACTACTTGAATTGTAGTAGCAGAACCTCCTAGATCTGGGCTTAAAAGTTTGCCCTCGCCAAGATTTGCGTCGACAGCGCAGTAGATCTTGGCAGCTGCGGCAGGCTCGTTTAGGAACTCGAGCATAAGGGCGGCGCTTCTCAAAGTGGCAATGGGGTTTGCAACTCCATGTCCCATGATATCCGGGGCGCTGCCGTGGCAAGGCTCCCCAATGGCAAATCCATCGCCTACATTCGCACTGGGAACGAGGCCGAGGCTGCCTACGAGGGCAGCAGCACCGTCAGAGAGGATATCGCCGTAAAGGTTGGGGGCAACTATGACGTCGTAGTCCTGGGGTTGCCGGAAGAGCTTGTAAAGCATGGAATCGACAATCTGTTCTTCGATTTTAACAGACACATATTTGGGGTCCGCGAGGGCCCTCTTGGATACCTCGCGGAAGAGCCCGTCGGTTTGTGAAAGAACGTTGGATTTGTGCGTTATGGTGACGGTAGGCTCGGGGTGAATACTCTCCGCGCCCGACTCACGGATGGTTTGACGGCGGACGGCAATGTCGCCTGCCATGGCGGCGATGCGAAAGGAAGCCCTTTCAGATATGCGCTTGATAGCCTCGGCGACCTTGCCGTCCGGCCCGTCGTACATCTTCTCCTGCTTCACGTAAAGGTCCTCGGTGTTCTCGCGAACAATGACCATGTCTATAGGCTTGGAGGCGCTCATGACGGACTTGACGGGGCGAACATTGGCGTAGAGGTCGAGGCGCTTGCGGAGGGCGACGATGGGGGATGAATAGCCCCTGACAGCATGTGTCGGAGAGCTGACGGCGCCGAAGAGGGCTCCGTCGCACTCATTGCGGAGAACATCGACGGTGGCTTCGGGCAAGGCAGTGCCTGTCTGCTCAAACGTCTCGAAGCCGGCCCCAAGGTTGACAAAGTCGAACCGGAGGTTGAGGTAGGAGGGCAGCGCCTCGAGGATCCGGCGACCTGCAGGGATGACTTCTTTGCCGATGCCATCGCCGGGGATAAGGCCTAGTGGGGAGCAGGGCAAGCACGGCATTAGCATACAGCGGAGCAGTCAAGGAGACGAGGGGCTTGGGAGAAAGCGCAAGGCATACCGATTCTTAATGTGCGAATCGACATGACGGGCGCCCAGTTGGTGCGAGAGGTTGTCAACTAATTCGATGCCTTGACCGTGCCGGCACGCGCACGAAGGGGCGATTGTGAGGTGCCTGTCTTTGGCAAGTTGGCAGAGGAAAAAAAAAAATTCGTGTGTTGCTTGCGGGAAGCTGCAGCAGGAGCATTGCGCCTTTCCAACGCCTCTGTTGGGCTCCTGATTCGCGACTCAACAAGAAAATACTCCCAGTAGTGTACCTGGGCGGGCATCTGACTAAGCCCTGTTAGTATGTACCGAATGCGTCACAGTTAAAGTGGGCCGAATGGCCAACGTCTTGCAGTCTTTCTGCTCTTTTGCTAGGTGGTGAAGTGATTCCTTCACCTTTCACCACGTTGCCCAAAATTCATGTGTCTGACACGGTGCTCTCCAACTGACAAAACTAGAACTCTTCAGCCGGTTCGGATTGCCGAGGCTGTTGCCAAGTCCATGTTTAAGGCAGGCTGACATTCAGGTCACTGTCCGTGAGCCTGCAAACATCGAGTCAGATGCAATGATGGCAGCAAAATTGATTAGAAACTCGGCTATATTTTACCATCCAGCGTATGCCTGGACGGGTACTTTACAGTTTATATATAACAAGATTTGTGCGAAGCAGAAAAATGAACCGACTGTTCCCTTCAGCAATCCACCGATTTATGAGCCTCTCGTTTATGAACATTGCCGCAGGCGTCCCAGTAAATCGCTTGTCGGGATGCATGAGTGGATAGCACCAGAGTCCCGTCGAATTGGGCCGCGTCGGGACGCAACCCAAGGCAGGGGAATCAACTTAACCGTCCTGGCAAAGCACACTTTGGCCGGCCTGCAACAAATCAAAGTCAACGACAGGGAGCTGAGCAGCGAAGGAGTCAATTACTTACCACCGGGATGACGCAGCACTTGGCAGACTTTCCCGACTTGCCGCAGATGCTCTTGAAGTCGTCGCCATCTGAAGGGCGGGAAGAAGCTGTGCGGTTATCAGCAAAGATCGTGCTAGGGACTTAGGCGTTGGCCTCCACTTACGGGTCGAGCAACCAAGGTCTAGAACACCGAGGACATCGGTGCCACAGCACTGAGGGTTGCTGTAAAGACCGCCAGGGCAAATTTTGCCACCGCCGTTATTGCCGTTGCCGCCCGGGTTGTTGCCGCCCGGGTTGTTGCCGCCCGGGTTGTTGCCACCAGGGTTGTTGCCGCCCGGGTTGTTGCCGCCCGGGTTGTTGCCGCCCGGGTTGTTGCCGCCCGGGTTGTTGCCACCAGGGTTGTTGCCGCCGTTCCAAGGGTTGCCGCCGTTCCAGGGGCTGCCGCCATAACCCGGGCTGCCGTAGCCAGGATAGCCGCCATGGCCAGCGGGAGGACCATAGGCGGGAGCGCGATGGTCGTCGCAGTCTCCACACTGGTTGGTGGGAGCAGCGAGCGCGCCTGCGAAGAACAGAGAAGCGACGGAGAAGAACTTCATGTTGGCTGGTCGGGGAAGGTGAGCGAGTCAGCTGAGAAGAAGATGGATGTGATATAAAAGAGTGGTAATAGGCGGTGATGTGGTTGAGGACTCGAGAGGGAAGAAAGCGGGTGATGGAATGATGACAGAGAAGTAATGAGAAGCGGCAGGAGCTGCCATTTTTATATCCGAATGCCTCTCGCTTTCAGGCGGCCAGCGTTGGGTGCCCCTTTTGCGGGATGGTGGCCATGATCGGTGGCTTCATGCCCGGAGCTTTCGAGATGTGCTCTCCAGCGCAACAGGGGCTCCGCCCGAGACAGGCTAGATTTCGATGGCGCCGCCGACAGATGGCTGTAAAGGATGAGGCCGCGGGTTGAGGGCGAACAAGCAAGGGAGTGGCGCATCGTGGACATTGGATTTATTGTGCGAACCGTTGCCCCGTGTCTGAGAGGATTTCTCCTTGTACTCTCACGGATGAGGCACGTTACTTCGGGGGTGAAGGTGGCTGCCGCGCCCCCTTGGAAAGGGGACAAAAGAAAGAAGGGGTGGAGATGAGGCCCGGCCGGTGTGGTCGAGGGCACGGTGAAACAAAAGAGGGCGCTCGATCCTCGTGTGTTGTTGAAATCTTTGATACATGTGTCTGGCGGATTCTTTCCCCCGGGCCTTGCTGCTGCTGTTCGCTGTAAGTCTGTTGTTGTTGGTCTGTGTCGTCGTCGTCGATCACGGGATGAGTTGTATCCGCCCGGTGTAGTACAACGGAGACATGGCAATAGCTCGGTCTTTGTAGGGCCCATGAAGGGCGCCGTGCCGTAATATCTTCTCTGCTAGCGAGGGCAGAGCTCGGGGCTGTTGCTAGAAGATCCGAAGTCGACGCAACGCAACCCCGAGAAGATGTCTCGTTACCAGAGCAGAACAATGGACTGCAAGGGACCAAAGTAAGGGCAGCGGCTGACTGGAAAAGGGCCAATTTCGCGGGAGATCCCGAGGGGGCGGCCGACTCTAGAGGCTGAGTGACGTGGAAAGATCCTCCGACACATTCTCGTGTGGGGGGAGGGTTGATGTCTGCCCACGGATCCTCTTCTCGGTCGGGGTTTTGCTTGGATTATATATCGACGCCCCATGCATGCACATGCACGATCAGGACCCTCTGGCTTGCAGCTGCAGGTAAGATTATGCCCGGCGCAGCTCCGCGGCACGGACGTGGCCCGATCGGATCGGATCGGATCTGCCATCAGGAGAAGAGGCCGCTCCAGCCAACCGGATTGGTCCGAGCGGCGTCATGATCCCTGCTAATATACCGTACAGCATTAGCGATTACGGACGGTACTTCGTGCTGCTCTGTCGTGCACATCTTCAACTCACCCGAGACCTAGAGGTAGGACAGGGAGGGAGGAGCGTGACCAAGTACTTCGTCGTAGCAGAGGCGTATAGAGGGCGCGTAGGGAAGGGTGATTTGTAGACATGGCTTTTCTACGATTAGACATAGCAATGCTCTACTTGAACAATCCCCGGTAGAGGCAATGCGATGCCTCCACAAGTTCGACCGCCTGCCTCTCGCTCCGTGCTCTTCACGCCACCCTTCTCTCTGTTGATGCGCACCTCGCTTTCCCGCGCTCGTGTCTGGGGGATGGCGGCATTGATCCGTGATTACTCACACCCAGCTCTCGAGATTCCGGATCACGCAAGCCGGCCGCCCCTGTTCGCGAGGCAGCAGGCGGCCGATACGGAATACCTTCTCGGATGCGGCGAGCGCCCGGGCAACGGCGTCGGCCTCTGAGGCGTCGACAGTGATGACCATGCCGAGACCGACGTTGAAGGTGCGACACATCTCGGCGGGGACAACACCGCCATTTGCCTTGAGCCAGCGGAAGACGGGCGGTATGTCCCACGAGCCAAAGTCGATGTCGGCAGCGAGGCGGGCCTCGGGCAGCATGCGCGGCACGTTCTCGACGAGACCGCCGCCGGTGATGTGCGCCAGGCCCTTGATCTGGGCGAGGACGGGGAGAAGGCTTTTGACGTAGATGCGCGTGGGCGTCAGCAGCGACTCGCCGACGGTCCGGGACGAGTCCCAAGGCGCCTCGGAGGTGTACTCGAGGCCGGCTCTCTGCACGATGCGTCTCACGAGGGAGAAGCCGTTGGAGTGTACTCCGTGCGATGCCAGGCCCAAGAGCACGTCCCCTTCAGCCATGGCGTCTTTGCGTGGGAGGCGGTTGGAGGCTGCGACGGCGCCAACCGCGCAGCCGGCCGCGTCGTAATCCTCACCCTGATACATGCCCGGCATCTCAGCCGTCTCGCCGCCCACCAGGGCGCATCCGGCCTGGCGGCAGCCGTCGGCGACGCCCTCAACAAACGAGGCGGCAGAGGCCAAGTCCAGTTTACTGCAGCCGTAGTAGTCGAGGAACATAAGCGGCGTCGCCCCCTGTACAATCAGGTCGTTGACATTCATGGCCACAAGATCAACGCCCACGGTGTCGTGCCGCTTCATCGACTGTGCAATCATGAGTTTCGTCCCGACGCCGTCGATGGCGCCGACCAGGATAGGCGCGTCTTGGTATCCGCACTGAGAGAGGTCCAACTCTCCACCGAAGCCACCAATCTCGGCGTCAGCGCCGGGTCGCTTAGTGCTGGCAACCGCCTTCTTGATGTTTTCCACAAAGTGGTTTCCTGCTTGGATGTCTACGCCAGCCTGGGCATAGGTCAGGGCCGCCTCGCTCGTTTCCCTAAAGGCTCGGTGGGCAATGTCTTTTCGGAAGAACATGCCATCAAACTCAATCACTCCAGAGGACAGGACGGCGTAACATGCGTCGACGGCCTCTCTCAGCGAATTGCCCACGGAGTTGACTGCAATGACACGGCCCCCGGATGTCGTCAGCTGGCTTTCGCTAAGCTTGGTCCCGGCGTGGAAGATCGTGCTACCGTTGGGAGGGTCCCGGACATATATCAGGGTGCCTTTGGCGTAAGGGCCAGGGTATCCTCCAGCGGCCAGGACGACGGTGGCGCTGAACTTGTTGTCGACCTTAAGTTGACAGTTGTCCAAGTATCCTTCGGCGCAGGCGAGCATGATGTCGGCCAGGTCGGTATCGGCAGAAAGAAGCGGCAACACGGTCTGGGTTTCGGGGTCACCGAATCGCACATTGTACTCGAGTACCTTGGGTCCCGCGCTCGTGATCATGAGGCCGGTAAACAAGACGCCTCGGAAGGGCTGCCTCTCTCGGCGCATGCCTGATATAGTGGGCTTGAGAATTTCCGTGTCGATTCTCTCCATCAACTCCCGTGTGGTAATGTTTGTTGGGGCATAGCAGCCCATGCCGCCCGTGTTTGGGCCCTGGTCTCCATCGAAGATCCTCTTGTGGTCTTGAGCGAGCGGCAGCGATTTGGTCGTATACCCGTCGCAAAAGGTGAGGACACTCAACTCGTCTCCGATCAAGAGTTCCTCGATGACGACCTCGTCGCCCGCGGCGCCAAAGACCTTGTCCACCATGATTTTCTTGAGAGCGTCCTTGGCCTCGTCTTTTGTCTGGGGAAGAATGACGCCCTTTCCGGCCGCTAGGCCTGTCGCCTTGATGACGACGTCATGGCCGACGCTGTCAAGGTAGCGGGTGGCCTTGTCGTGGTCGGAAAAGTTTTCATATGCAGCTGTGGGGATCTCGTATTTCCTCATGAAATCTTTCGAGTACGTCTTGCTGCCTTCCAGCCGCGCTGCCTCTTTGGACGGGCCGAAGCACGGTATGCCGGCCTTTCTGAAGAAGTCTTCTACGCCGTCGACCAGTGGTGCCTCGGGACCGGGGACGACCAGGTTGATGCCATTGGACTTTGAGAAATCGACGAGCCCTGTAAAGTTCTCGGCCGAGACGGAGCGGACGTTCGCGGTCTTAGGGCATGTCGCGGTACCTCCATTACCGGGCACCACCAAGATGCGTTCGACTCGCGGCGACTGGCTCAGTTTCCAGGCAAGCGCGTGTTCGCGGCCGCCGCTGCCAATGAGTAGAACGCGGAGGTCGGCCATGTTCGCTGGATCAGCGAGTCTATCGATCGTTCTGATTGGCACCGGCAGTCGTCTTGTCCTCGTCGTCTCACGAAGGGAATTTATCGTGCAGATTCACCCCTGCCCCCGCTAATATAAAAAATTTAGAGTATTACTATAAGTACTGCTATTTACACAATAGCATATTGCTGTTTGCACACTTACCCTATTTTTAAGATACGTATTAACGCTAGCCTGCCCCGCCTATTTATACCGCGCGCGCCTGGCAAGTACCCGTACCGCCTAAATGCCCGCGCCCGCGCATATAACGCACTTTTAGTTATATAATCCCGACCCAACGATCCCTCTAACGCCTAACGAAGCCGGCGGCGCGCCCCTCCTGCCGCGTCCTCCTCTTTCTTAATCTACTTCCCCGTATATTTCCTTAGGCTAACGATCTTTATTATAACGCTATAAGAGACCGCGGGCTATAGCTAAGTTTATCGATTATAGCGTTAGTAATAGCTTTAAATTTAGTATATATATTTATATAGGCGGGCGCGGGCGCGGTTATTTAGGTAGTATAGGTACTTACTAAGCGCGCGCGGTATAAATAAGTAAGGCGGGCTAGCGTTAGTATATATTTTAAAAAGAAAGTAAGTATATAAATAGTAATATACTATTATAAAAATAGTAATACTTATATTTAATACCTTAGCGAGAGCTTATTAAAGAGACTAAGGCTAGGTTAAAGCTATATTTAGGCTAGAAGCTATAATTACCCGCTATATATATATAGTAGTTACTAAGAATATTCTTTTAATAGTAGTAATAGTAAAAAGGGAGCGATTACTTTATAAGATTATAAAGGTAAATAAAGTTAAGGTCCTTTAAGCTTAAGCGCTATACCTTTAATCTAAGATATTAATAGTGATAACTATTCTTATTAAGGTTAATAGCTTAAAGGAGGCTAATAAGCTTTATAACTTAAGCTTCGTCCTTAAAGTATAAATATTTTAATATAAACCTTATAATAAGTCGGTTTAACTATAAAGGTACTATAATTACTATAAGTATAGCTATATCGCTAAGCGGTATATATTAATATAACTCTATTACTAATATAAGAGTATAGTATATAATAAAGGGGAGGATAAATATAAAGCTAAAAAAGGTAAAATCCCTTATAACTATATCTTATATTAAAGGGACTACTTATTATAGACCTAAACTTACTTTATAGTAAATAAAGCCTAGGAAAAGGTAAGGGAAAACTATATATAAAGACCTTAATAGTTTATAAATACCTAAGTATATACTAAGTAATAGGTATTACTTATTATTAAAACCTAGGGCGTTTTTAATTTAACCGCGGTTTAAAAGTAAGGACTAAGTAAACTACGCTAAGATAAGAGGTCGAGCTTAAGATACCTACTAGCTAGTAAGGCTAAGGAGGCCGAACTAAGTATAAACGATATTTATAAATATAGTAAATAAAAAAGTATTAAAAGATAAAGCGCCTCCTTCTTTATATAAATAACCTTTTTTACTTTAACCTTACTTATATATAACTAAAGTATTATTCTAAAATATATAAAAGAAATATAAGCTAGTATAGCTAGCGCTTTACTACTAAGCTAGCTTTAACTTAATAGTACTCTAGTAAGTAAAAGCTATATTAAGAGGCAGGGCCTTACCCTTTAAAGCGGCGCCTTATAGCTTAGTTTATAAGAAGGGGAGGTATACGCTATATATATATAATAAGCTTAGGCTATATATATAGTCGCCTTAGTTTAAACTAAACTAAAGTAAGGTAGTTTTTAAGGATATTATTAAGCTATAAGTAATATACTTATTACTAAGGGCCGTAAAGACTAAAGTATTATAATAAATAAGTATAATTAAACTAAAGTACCTTATAATAATAATAAGAGACTTTAATATTTATTACTTACTTAACTTAGTATAAGTAATACTAAAGACTAAGATATAGTATACTAAGCTTAACTTAGATCTAACTAAGTTAAACTATATCCCTTAAACTATTATAATATAAATTAATACTTAAGCCTAAGCGCCTAAACTAGCTTTAAAGTAAAAAGAGGTAGAAGCTAAGCTAGTTAAAGCTAAGACTATATCTTAGCTAAGACTATATTAGCTACCGCTTTAAATACTAAAAGATATTAACTATAACTTAAACTATATCTTTATATAATAACCGGTGTTATTCCTAAGAGATAAACCTATTAAGGGGTTTATATTAGTAGATATAATAGGGCATAGTCTAAGCAATAATAAGTATATTACGTTAGTAATAAGTTAGAGGTCGTAGACCGTAAACTATAACTAGGTAATTAAAATTAAAGATAGAATCATAATAAAGATCTATATTAAAAGCTAGAGAGCTATTTATCTAAAGGAGTAAAAGTAGGTAGCTATATATACCTATAGAGACTATCCTTAGATCACGGTCCTAGCCGTGATCCCCTTTATAGCTTATTATAGCTTACTCGTAAGCTATACTCCTAAGTAGTAATCTACCTATATAAGGCTTACTTAGCTTACGTACGCTTTAGGTAAGCTAAGCCTAAGTAACTTCTCGTCCTAACTATTATTCCGAGCCGCTTTATTACGTAAACGTAGCTAGCTCTCTTACGGCCCGCTAACCGTAGTTATAATATAATATCTCCCCTCCTTTTAGTCTTATCCGTAAGACCTACTACTACCTTAGCCGCTATATATAAATATACCCTTATTACGCGTATATATATTCCTAGTTTTATCCTTTCTATCCCTTAGGATATACTACTAATAGTATATCTAGTCGCGTGCTAAAGGATCGTTCTCGTAAGACCCTTAAGCGTATTCGTTTAGCTAAGTCTATTAATCGTCTTAGTTTCGACGTTATACTATATTCTTTCTATTCCTTATATAGCTTCCGCTATAAAATACTAGAGAAATCTTCTAAGTATGCCGAATATATACGGCGGGGTCGTTCCTATAATATATTAAGCGTAGCGATTAGCTCCTATAAGTAACTTCGTTATCCTACCTATTATTTAAAGCTAATATATTTCTTAGTATCCTAAATAAATCTAGAGTTTAATCGATTAAATAAAAAAGAAGAAATTACTAAGGAGCGAATATTAAAAGCTTAAGCTAACTTAAACGAAGCCTTAGCTCGTTTAGCGCGGCTTTACTATTAAAAGCGCTAGCTAAAGATAAAGGGTACTAAGATAGTCTATCGGGGCCTTTATTCCTTAGATAACCTTAATAAAGCTAAGCGCTAAGAATATAAAGCGGTAGTCGATATTTAGTCTATAGGTAGATTTAATATAATTAATTAAAATACTATTAGTTTATTAGGCGATTTTACGATACTTAGGGGGGATTTTACTAGTAGAACTATTAAAGTAAAGAACTATAGTAAGTTAAGTACTTAAATAGTTCCTAGGTATTTTCTTTTAGTCTATATCCCTTTTACTTAATAAGGTATTCTTATTACTAACCTTATTTTCTTATATTTAGTATTTATTTAGCTTTATATTCCTAATTATCGTTAACTTTAATTTTATTTTATAGTTTAGCGTTTTATAGTACTAGTTCTAATAATAAGATATAAAATATTAAGTATATCCTTATTATTATTAGTAGCGAAAGTTTATAGTTATTATTATTAAGATTACGCTAGGGACCTAGCTAGAGGTATCTAGAACTTTAATATTAAATAAGAGGGAAAAACTAAAGTGCCTAGGGGAAAACCCTCCCCTCTTTTAGTATAGGTCCGCCTTAAACGAGGTCGTAGTAGCAGTATATAGGAAATTTACGCCGGCTACCGCGGGCTCCTCCCGCGAAATCGCGTCTCGGCGCGGGCCCTCTCGGGCCGTAGCCGCTACTATCCTAAGCGGCCGCGGCCTAGGCTCGCTAGCCCGGGCCTAGGGTTATAGGCAGTAGTCTCTCTCCGGGGGCCCGACTCGCGGGCGCCTTTATTTACCCTAGCTCCCGCGTCGTAGCCGCGTAGCCGCGGTTGCGTTAGCTTATTGGTCCGTTAGTTAGTAGGGTAGGTAATATCCGGTTACCGGGCCGGGCGCTAGTATAGGTCGCTCCTAGGTAGGGCCGGCTAATTAAAATTCGGTCGGCCGGCTCCGTTAATCGTAAATCGGTTCCTATCTAGCTACGCGACTTTCCGATTAAGGGCGCGGCGGCCTATATTTACCCTCTATCTCGTAGTTACTAATTACGCGCGCCCGGCTCGCGCCTATATATACCTGCCCTCCCCCCTTAGTTCCGTATATACTTCCTCCTATCCCTCTATTATCTATCTCTTTCGTAGGCCTAACTACTACCTCGCCCGCCTCGTTTTTATAACTCTAGGTCTCCTTAATACCGTATCTAGTTCGCTTATCGTTGCGTCGCAATATCTAACTAAGAAGCTAACTTAGGTAGTAGCGGCTCGCCTCCTTTAAAACCCCCTCCTTATAAGAAAGTCGCTATAGTAGCGGGATCGGAGCGCTCTATCCTATATTTTACGTATATCGGGCGTCTTACTAGTAAGCTTACCTATAAGTCCTTCGCTAGCTATTAGAACTAGTCTTATACGTATTAATCCTAGCTTTATCTTAGGTCGGTCTTACCTTTAGTATTTTTACTAACTTTAATAGCTATAAAGGCTAAAGCGTATATCGCTTACGCCGACTTTAACTAGTCTTATTACCAAGTAAGTAACCCCTTCTTACTATAGTACTATCTAAGTTTAGTGCTAATCTAAGTTCTAGATTACCTCCGAAGGCGAGGAGGCCGCTAATACCCTTTACTAGGTATAGTCTAAGGTCGATAGCCCTTCCCTTATTAAGGGTTTAGTATAGGAGCGCCTTTATCGTACTACTCTAGAAACTCGTATTCGCGTTAGTTAGAAGGCCCCCGCCGCTAAGGGTAAGGGCGCGTTAGGCGAGTCTGCCCTTAGTCCGGCTATAGTCGCTAAGAATATAGAGACGCTCGCGTTAGCCTTTACCCGTTTTATAGATAATACCTACTATATATAT